CCTGTGAACTGCACGCCACTCCCAACATTCACCACTGGATCAACCCTCGATTTCCTTTTTGTCACAAACGACCTAAAGATATCAGTACACTCTCCTGTGGTTGAATATGTTGCCGGATCTTGGACGGATCATTTCAGTATCAGCATCCAACTTTCAATTGGGTCACCTCAGCATGGACCTGGAATCTGGAGGTTCAACCCATACCTCCTGTCTGATAAAGAGTTTTGCAACACAATGACTACCTTCCTTGATGCAGCAAAAACACAGATTCCTAATGTAGCACCTCACATCCAATGGGACCTGATAAAGGCTAATTTGAAAGCCATGGCTATAGACCATAGTCGTAAAGCTAGAAACAAAGCCAAGACTATGCAGAAGATACTAGCGGAGCAACGATCTGCTATAATAACACAGCTGCACAGTCAGTCTCAAAGTGACTCACAATCGAGACACCCAAGCAACCCACACAGTCGTCCACGCACACAGCATACGCAACATATCTCCAACAGAGAGGTAGCTCAGGAATACTTAGGGACTAGCCAACCACAAAGTCATAGAATTGAGGACGAACCCCACACCTCACCGATCCCACTGACAGAAGAACAAGAATACGTTCCCAACTCTCTAGACGACGATCCCTCCTCAGTCCTCCATCAACAGCTGCTTGAAGTTGAGCGTCAGATAGACCGCCAACAAGAAGTTGATGCCCGCATCCTAGCACTTCGATCAGGACATAAGTGGCGCGAACATGGAGAACGCTCAAATGCCTACTTCTACCGATGCTTGAAAGAACGCCGACAGGCACAGAACATCCGAGCACTGCAAGAAAATGGTGGCCTAACCGAATCCCCAGATGGTCTGGTTAAATGCGCCCACACCTTCTATTCCGATTTGTATGCTGCCGAAACCATCGATGATAATACCGTCGAGTCACTGTTGGCCAATATTCCAGATTCCAGCTACCTACCTAGCGAAGAGGGAGAGACTATTACGGCAGAATGGGATGCTGAGGACATATTGAGAGCCCTTAATCACTCCCCCACTCGCAGTAGCCCAGGCGTAGATGGTATACCATACGAACTTCTTCGTTGGCTATTCCAGCACAAATTTGCCCAAGGCCTGATGGTCAAAGTCTTTAACCTAGCTCTCCAACGTCAAGAAATTCCGCGATCATGGAAACGGTCCGTGGTTGTTCTGCTGCCAAAAAAGGGAGACCTTACTTCATTGTCCAACTGGAGGCCTATATCGCTGATATGCGCTGACGCCAAACTCTTCACTCGCCTTATCACATCACGCCTTCCAACCGCGATGAAACTCACTATCAACCCATACCAAACAGGGTTTTTGGGAAATAGGTTCATTGCAGATAATGGAATAGTCGCCAGAATAATCATGGATACGGCTCAAAGATACAAACTACCCGGAATCGGCTTACTACTTGACCAAAAAAAGGCTTACGATTGAGTTCACCCTGAGTACCTGCGTCGATGCCTTCTTCGGTTTGGGTTTCCTTCCACTTTCATTCTCGCCATCACAGCCCTCTTCTTTGACACAACACTTTGTGTCAATATCAACGGATATCTGTCAGCTCCAATCAAACAAGGGCGAGGTTTGCGACAAGGGGATCCACTCTCCCCTCTTCTTTTCAACCTGGCCCTCGAACCTCTAATCCGCACCATCCTTGCCACCGAACAACTCAAAGGATTCGTCATCTCAAATGGCCTCCCTTTATTGCCCCAGTCTATAGACGAGCCACCACCTATTAAGTTCTTAGCATATGCTGACGACGTAGTAGTGTTCTTGAACACGCCTGACGAGCTCGACACCCTGATGGATCAGCTCCAGGTATATGGCCGTGCGTCAAATGCCAGAATGAATAGACATAAAACAGTCGCGGTCTCCTTATCTGGTCGTGAACAACAGACTTGGAATTCTCATCTGCAGAACCACGAAATAACTTCATGGCATGATAGCCGTAGCTCGCAGCCAATAACATATCTCGGTTACCCTCTCACCAGCTCAAAGGCTCAACTATCCTGTGCTTTTGAAGACGTAATTACAAAGATCCGTAACCACGCACGATTTTTAGCACAGCGAAACCTTTCGGTTCTTGGTAGAGGGCTAGTCGCCAACTCACTTCTTCTGAGTAGGGCATGGCATGTAATACGCATCCTTCCAGTGAATACGGCAGACATAAGCAGACTTCGTTCAGAAGTAATTAAATTTTTATCTCATGGACGCTACCCATTTGTTAGATTTGACTCATGCACTCGTCCACGACGAGAAGGCGGCCTTGGCGTCCTGGATCCTCAGACCCAATATTCCTTACTGCAAACCAGATGGATCCTCCCCTTGCTCGATCAGACCGCCCCACTATCTTTCGCCGGCAAAATACTGGCATACCTTATAAGGCAGTATTGCAATACAACCGACCCACTTCTTCCTCTGGTGTTTCCTGAGCTGCGGTCACCTCGCCTCAACACCTTTAGTATCTTTCCTACAATCTTCCGTGCTATGAAAACCATTCCTCTCTCCTTTGACTGGACTGTTATAAATCCTGTCACTGTACAGGAGCTACCTCTCAGCACAATTCTGGCCGCATCTCATCCTCTACCACTCTTCTTTACCTGCGGTAAACTACGTGTATGTAATGCATTCATATATGACTACACTCTTGGATGCATACGTCGACTCAACCAGTATGAACGAAGACGAGCCAGGTCTAACATAGACACGCTGTTTACCCTTTTGGATCACGGTGAACTCCGACTGAAGGAGTGGTTCTCTCTGCTCACAGTTTCTCCATTGCGAGAGCCTGGCTCAGTGATGGCCTCCTTCTTTCCGACTCCACCTCGCCACTTTCAAGGCTTCCTTTCCTCTGGAATACCAAAAGTTCCACGGATACGCAATCTCTCTACTCAAGTGATCCGTGCACACATAAGACCGCCCCTCACCCAAGTCTCACCCCCATTCCCGCATGCAGCACCAGTACACTGGCGTAGCTTTTGGGAATCACGTCTTCCTCTTAGAATCTACACCATCTGGTGGAGATTGATGCATGGAAAGGTTCCTAGTAGGCAGCGGCTATTTAGCCATAACGTTACGGTTGTAGACGACCCACAATGCATTTTATGTGGCGAACTGGAAGATGATGAACATCTATTCTGGGCATGCCCTCATAAAAAGTTAATTTGGCATCAAATTGCAACCCGGTTCTTGGAATATCCCACATCGCTTACGTTTGACCACCTTCTCCTTCCTTCTTCTCCAATGTCAGTTGAAGTCAAGAATACCACAGTGTCCGCCTATAGTATTCTGGGATGCACAATAGGGGCCATTTGGGACGCTCACTTCCAACATATCTTCCATGATGTTCCTTTTGTCACTAACCGAATAGCTGCCATCGCTACCTTAAACATTAGAAAAATAGAATTAGAAGACTCACTCTTTTAGATAGATAGCACATGACTATGAAATTTCTTTAATAAACAATACAAAAAAAAATTTCACGTATTGTTTCTCGCTATTTTTGGTAGTAAAACAATAACTTTGTCTTTCAGAAGGTGGCTGATTTAAGCTTTTAAACGCTATATTTTGTCCTACAAAAAATTGATGATCGGCCTATTAAATCGAAATTCAGATCTTTGTGGTAGAGTAAAATCAGGTACAAGAATTTCTGTATTTGGTTTTTATTTTAATGTCTGTTGCTTTAATTCTTCATCCATAGTAAGCACCTTTAGCATATTAGGGACCTTGGACACATCATATAATTTTTTTTGAAACATTTAACCATATATGTAATTTTATACGGTCTCATGTTTCACATCCAAGGCTTCCATATACAATGAAAATGTGTGATATTGCATTTATTGGCCATGTAAAAGCCAAAAACATCAAATAACCCCCATAAACCCTCAAAACAAATGTTGTAATTTTCTCTTTTGCCCTACTCATTCAGAGAACTTTAATAAATCTGAGCCTGTCACAGCTCCATACAAACAAAAAAAAATTATTGGCCATGTTAATTTACTAAACTCACGAACTTAAAATCATGTAATTAGTGCGAACCAAAGTTTGTTACTTTTTACCCTCAAACTGTAATAGCTGTTTAATTTTTTAGACATTAAAGCTAATAGATATTAATTAATATTTGTATACGTAGAATGCTTGCGCAAATAAAGGGGAAAAAACCTAATGCTGGGGCTATATGGACTTCTTTATATGCTTACTTGAAAACATAATTTGTTCTTTATTTCAAGTTTTATGTCATCGTTAGTTTAACAGCATAAAATATCGAAAGATGATTGGTCAACACATTTTATATCATCTTTTTATATGATGTAAAATATTTTATATCATGTTTTTATATCATATAAAATAACGCGATTTTGAAACACACTATTCCTTTTTAAGAGCACAATCTCCGTCTAAATAAATTTTATATGATGTGTCCAAGGTCCCTATTATCTAATTCCAAAGAATAATTTAAGAGGTGCAATATTTTTCGGAATATGAGAATAATTCTTGGAAATGGTGTATTGGGCTTAAGTTTGTACCATGGAAACAATTGCTTTTAAGAATATTTCTTGACTATAACGGTCTGAAAGAGGCTGTGTTAATATTCTATTCAATGAGTTAGTATCCCGGTATTTCAATATTTTGATAAAATAACAAGAGTAACACCAAGCCCTTGTCTTCTTTGTTCTACACGATACATTCTCTTTTATGCTATATAAGCCGCTAGAAATAATTTCTATTAAAAGTTACCTGGGTATATTTCTTGGGATAACCAATGTAAGAATCTCCTAAAGGAGTATTTTCTCTCGGCAAATTCTATAAGCAGTATAAGTGTAAAGAATGAACTTTAATTCAAGAATTTTAGTAGAGTATATAATTACTTTATATTTTCGATTTTGATCTACTGTTATTTTTTTTTACTTTTCTATTTCTTTTCTGTTTTTAATTTTATTTTATTGTTTCCTTGGAGAGCGAAATTGCTGATGGGTCCACTTACCTGTTTTCTCCTTTGGGTAGGAGTTCTATCTTTTGCAGTTGTCGATGCAGCTTATGATATACCTTCAACTCTCGTTGGTGTCATAGAAAACCGTTCTGGTCCTGGAGGCTTTGTGCTGAATAACACATTATACAATTACGGAGGTGGAACATATGAGAAGGCTTATTCCAACATATTCAGCGCTATTACCCTAGCAGAGGACGGTCAGCTTGTGTATAAAGACGTTTACCAATCTACACCCGGGATTCTTTGTGCACGTCCATATGTGACGTTACTAGAAGATCAGCAGACCATTTATAGCTTTACTGGAAGATATCCGGGGTACACTCGAAACAAGACTTTATTAGTTATGCGATATAGCTTCCAGGATCAGAATCCATCATGGGTTCCGATACTTCCAACCAACAACGAGACCTGGCCATCAGCGCGCAAATCTCTTTCTAGTGTAGTTGCACCAAATGGAAAGATATATCTCTACGGCGGGCAAGACTATGATACAGAACACAGGCTCAACGAATTTTACTCTTTTGACCCCGCCACAAATCATTTCACAAATCTGACTACAGCTAGCCTGATGTACAGTGAATCTCACTCTGCTGTTGCACTTCCGTAAATATCTGAATATAATATACAAAGAGTTTTTTTTACAACATAGCTAATCATTATATTATAGAAATGGGTTGCTTGTATATACCACAGGGTATTTGACCCCAACAAGGTCGGGGTCAATTGGCATGCCTTATAATAGAGTACTCGTTTATGACACAAACACAGACACATGGGAAACAAAGGAGACTAGTGGTCTTACATTTAATGAAAGGATTCTAGCAAGTGCAACCCTTGGTAAGATGGTTTTTAATTTTTTTAAGCTTGTTAAACAAGGATAACTACTAATATTTTATATGTGGCTTATTTAAATTGTAGGACCTGACAAGAAGACTATATTTCTTTTTGGTGGTAAGCAAATGTCGTTCGCGTTTTTATATAACAAGTTTCTTATGTATATAAATTATCTTGTGTGTAGGTTCAAATCCAACTACTGTTCTTGATAGTGAAGAAGATGAAGCAACGCTTTATAATGATATCCTTATGCTGGACACATCTACCTGGATCTGGAAAAAAATGGAGACTCAAGGATACCCGCCTACAGCTAGAAATTCAGCTTTCATGGGATTTATCTCTGATAATATTCTTTTGGTTGCATTTGGTAAATTTACTACCTTTTTATTTATCGCACAGCCCAATACTTACTCAGATACTTAGGCCAAGCGATAACAACATACATAAATGATGTTAATGTTTTACGACTTGACAATCAGGAATTGGGTCAATCTACATGGCTCGGTAGCCCAGCAGACTTCTTGTCTAATAAACTTTTAAAAGAAAAAACTGGAACCACTTTAAGCAAAGGTGCTCTTGCTGGAATAGTCATTGGATCCATAGCTTTCGTCGCTTTTTTAGCATTTTGCATATGGAAGTCAAGAAAAAGCTTTAAATATCTTGCCTATTACTTCCGTCACAAGATCCTTTGGACACCGAGGTAAGAACTCATTTCTTAAATATATTGTCAGCCAAATTTATACCTTTTTGTTTTTTGTCTTTTAGATCAGGAGAGCCGATTTGGGCCGAAGGATGTCGTTTGGTTTTCAGATGTGTCATTCTCGCACTCTTTTTATTGTTTTTTGGATTTACAATCCAAGAAGTTGTGAGCACTGATAAATCTATAATGACAATTCGCATGGGATCAACTACTGTGCAAACTCCAGGTAGGACTTTATTGTTTTTGCATCAAAACTTTTATTTATTAAATTAACTCGAATTTTAGACATTCGATTTTGCTATGACGGATGGGATACAGATGAAAGCACGGGAAAAAACTTGCGTCCTCATATTATATGCTCTACAGACGAAAGCTATGACTGTTCTGCTTTTGTAACGCCTTTAAATATGACCGTCCATAAGCCAGCGTTTTCAGACCGTCTTGGCGATGTTGCCTGTTTCTTGTATTCTCCGCCCAGTTGGTTCGGCCTAAGCAATTCTAAAGGAAAGGGCAGCAATGGAACTACTCTATTGTTTTCATTTTATGGAAACCCTGATACGGAAGGAGCGATTCATACCACATTCTACCCTCCTGGGAAGGACCCCAATGTTGTTAAATACGGCGTATATACCACAGATGTGGTTTCTCTTGTGGGCAGAACAGAGCTAGAATCTTGGATTGTTTCCGATTTAGAAGACAGATATGCCGCTAACACGCATACTATTATTCCTAATACTGTATCAACATTAAGCTACCAGATTAAAGATCATCAATATATCACGGACGATAGGTGGAACAGTGTCGGATTTTTGCCAATATATGGTCACACTCCAGAGGTTGAGACTACTTTCAGATCTGGCTACCAGAGTAAACTTATTCAATCTCGAGGAAATTACCATATAAGCAACTTTAAGATTTTCCCAGACGACTTTGCAATAATCAAGCTTCAGGAAAAAAAAGTAGTAACGCTTTTGAATGCAATCGGTTCTATGGGAGGTGTTATCAGTCTTGCTGTGGCCATTCAAGTATGGATTTTTGGATTCCGTCCAAATTCTCCCTGGGGAATCATTCATCGTTGGTCTGTTGGTCCCATGAAAACTTCTGTCAAAAAAGGCTTAATATCTCAATTTTATTCGCTTTATACACCTGTGCCGCTCGTATCTCATGTCAACCAGCGAGTCTCAGCGGTATCCCCAGCTATACAGAATTCTATTGACGAGAAAATTACCACAGCACCCTATCAAATAGAGAATGTAAAAGAACTGACCCAGAAACAAAGACTTGTTCAGATGGAAGAGCGTATGGAATTGATGGAGCAGCTTTTAAAATCTTATTATGTTGATGATGAAATTTTTCGAGAGCTCGACAGGGCCATTAACCAGAATTTTGTTAACAGCCCCGCGACAGACTTACCTTTGGAAGAATCTCGACGAGGTTCTACTGGTGTACGCCAAAGATTTTTGCCTAAAACAAATCCTTAGTTATTTACCTTTAATAACTAATTACCAGATCATTAATTTTTCTTACCTATTTATTCTCATATAATCATACATTACATATAATCTACTTAATACTGTAATATATACTAGTACGATCTAATTTTTTCTATAAAATGTAAATAAAAGTTGATATAGAAGTTGACAAACTATATTCGAATAATTAAGACGAAATTATATAACAGTAATGTAATATATATTTTTGCTCTGCTACAAAAATCGAGGCCTTATAGATATTTAGCTTACAAATTATCTAGAGACACTTGTTGCTCCTTTTGAAAGAAACCTTTCATTAATTATATATTCTACCATTATGGTATAAATGGGCAAATACTTTCTGTAGCTGAGATAGTAAAATAGATTCAAAGCTCAAAGGTGTTTAGATTTCATAGTATAACATATACAAGCTACCTTCTCTGTTTATCTATTTTTCGGAATATAATAGGGGAATACACTGGCTAAATTTTCGTATATAATAATACATTAGAGCATTGCTGTCAAAGTTCAATATTATGCGAATAGCAGAAAAAGCAAAATCTTATTACTACTGCCACAGGTGCTCTTCACGCATTATATTTACTACTCCGCAATTTTTTATAAGTTCTATACAGTTCGGTATATGTGACAGCCTTTACCCACACAGAAAGTCTGTTTTTTGAAACATAATTGTTAAAAAAGATATTTCGTTTAATTTTTGAAACAACGCTATAAAACTTAACTTAGCACTTAATATAACAACATCTGGTAGCTTTATTTTTTATGGCTATTACTATATAGAAAAATAGGAATAATAAGCTAAAAATATTTTTGTATTGAATATTACTTATTGAGAATTGGCTATACAAAATATTCAAAATACTTTAACGATCAAAGTATGAAATAAACCATACAGAGGAAAAAACTATTACAAATGAAAATCCAAGGCGTTTTTTTGCTAGTAAAAAAAGAACATTAGTATCCCACAGATTGTTGCTTTATATAAACCAGAGCAATATGTATTTTTTAATTCAAAACTGGAGTAAATACACTCCCAAAACTGAAATCACCGACAAAATCTTTGATTTCTACCCCCGAATAAACCATACATCAACTTCATTATGCTATATCTTCTCAAGAAGTTGACAAAATAAAACCAAACATTGTGTTGTTATAGAGAAATGTATATATATTATAGAATAAAAATAAAAATAAATGAGGTTTAATATACGGTATGATCACCACGAGCTTTTATGACTGCTTTAACTCTGTCAGGCATACTTGCCACAAGAGTTTGCAGAACTCCAGGGTCAAGCAACTCCCATTCCTGAAGAATACAGGCCTTCAGCTCTTGCACATTGTTAATAGAGGCCTTTCTCTCTTGAACCTTGGCCTTTAGGGCATGTCAGACATGCTCAATTGGGTTCAAATCTGGACTTTGCGACGGCCAGTAGTCAAATCGTTTAATCTCCCAACTGTTTTTCCACCACGTCGTGTAGGACCCAGTATGACAGCTAGCACCATCTTCTTGGAATGTGAACATGGTGTCATGTTCTTCATTCAATTGTTTGTACCAGGGATTGAAGTCCTTAGACAGACAATTGACGTATGCATCTTGGTCTACAGATCCTTCGATAAACGATAATGGCCCAATGCCACCAGCCCAGAAACAACCCCATACCATCACGGAACCTTTTCCATACTTTTCTGTTGTTAGTGTATGGCGTTCCTGGTGCCTCTCCCCTCGTTTACGAATTACGGATGGGTCAGAATCATTGCCTTTCACCATGAACCTCGACTCATCTGACCACACCACTCTGCTCCAGTCTTCGATGCTAAAACTGGCCCTGGCTCTAGCCCAACGCAACCGATTCTTTTTCTGCTCACGGGTTAACTTTGGTTTAGATACAGGGGTGTAAGAACCGAAGCCTTTTGCTCGTAGGTATCGGATAACTGTCTGTCTACAGACAATAACGCCAGCAGCTCCCAAATTTGCCTGGTGGTATCCATAACTCTCAAAAGGATTACGTCTCACACTCAAACAAAGACTTGTAACGTCTGTTACACTAAGTTTCTTTGGTCTCCCAGGTCTGGTCTTTGTCTTGGCTGTTCCAGTAGTCTCCCAGCGCTTTATTGTATCGAAAACTGTAGTTCTAGGAATGTTCATACGGTTTGCGATGCCAGTTGGAGTATGATCGGCTTTTGAGAGCCAAACAATGCCTCCACGCTCAAAATATGACAGCTCGCGTCTGGAGGGAGTAGTTTTAATTCTTTTATTACTTTTCGACATTGGTGGTTAAGTTTGAGGTAAAGGTGTGAGGAAGAGAAAGGTAAAGAATGTTATAAAAAAAGCAGCATGAAAAATGTGGTTCATCGATGATTTTTATTGTTGGAGTGTAGCTTTGTAGTTATAATACGTTAACTGTGCCTTTTCATATTTTCCATTAAATTCCATTGTGATTTATGTTTCACAAAACACCTGGTTTATCCGACTTTAATCTCCTATTTGAACATACCCTGACTGACTGGCGCGCTCAGAAACTGTCAATCTTTGCAGTGGCTCCCTGGGTGACAATAAATACTACGTCACTCGGACCCATCTTTTAAAAAAAATAACATACACCAAAAATTGTGTCTTTACCCCTATCCTCTGTATAAACGTTCAGTATGTCTGCCTACAAAGCCGCCGGTATCACGTACGTACTAATACACATACACACTACGCGATAAATATTTCTCCCCTTTATACGTTACTTAATCGCCTGCCTTAATTTCACAGTTACCTCCAGTACACCAACATCTGTGCTCGCGCTCTCCGCAACAGCTTGAACGAGAAGCTCCGTACTGCTGCCGCTCCTCTCAACCAGAACGGTCTCAAGTTCGCCAAGTGGGAAAACGGTCGTGCTTCCGAGCAGGCAAGTCTATTTCTCGAATTACTTCTTTTCAAAATCTAGCATGTTAACATTATACTCTATTATTTATTATAGAAATTCATTGTCAAGGCCAAGCAGTAAACAATGAATCCTGAATCCCATTAAAAAGAAGAAGGACTGGACTCAACTTTTTTTGTCTATCAATCATACATAATTGTTTTGAAAGATTATTTGCTTTGAAACAGATCTCAAGAATATCGGGTTTCCCTTTTTTTGTTATAAGACGAAATGTCTGTGTGGTTTGAATGATTTGGTGGTATATTGTGGGTATTTACTTGGTGAGGCCTATGAAAACAGTTTATTCGAGAAAATGAATGGCGTGTATGTATGAATTTATGCTGGGGTATTCTGGGATGGTGGTGATAGTGGTGGGGCTCATCAGCAATATAGAATTATGTATCCAAGACTGGCCACTGGTCAATCAAAGTATCATATATCGACAACGCATATACATCGTTCTTGGTCCTGTTTCTTTCATAAAACACTTTACAGTCTAGTGAATTACAGGGATGTTCAGTATCTCCAGACTCAATAGAATTGGATAGTACAGGTGGTAACTGTGAACAACTGTTGCATATCAATGATATGTTGTTCCATTTCTTTTGGGCTTCTTTTTGTCTTGAAATCAGTGTAAATATTGATTTAGAAGTTTGCTTCAAACAACTTGGGCATATGGCTATATATATAATATGTGTTTAGTATATTTCATAGTAGTATATATTTACTTACGTTGACTAGTGATATCTCGGCAAATAATACAGTGACTACTTGTGTAGTATTGATCTATTCTGTTGATTTTTCTTGCTTCGTTTCCGAAATAATGAGAAAATGACAAGGCCATTGCTTTCTGAGATCTAGGCATCTCATCATACCATCCCTTGATGTCTACACAATTTCAGTTTAAATTTATGGCTGTATATTTTTCGAAGTGATACTTACCTACACCTATCAAATTAAATACCCTGGAAAGAGGAGGGATAATTTGTTTTAGAATATAATATTCTGCATTCAAACGAAGGGAGCTAAACGGGCAAGACTTAGTAGTTAGTAAATCGGTTACAGCTGCTAGGTACTTACTTATCAGAAAGTAGTTCTTCTGGATGAACAACTTGTTCGTTTAATTTTGCATTGGGTCCATCACGGTATATAACAACATAAGGAACTCGGTGGCCATACTGAGGCTCTGCACGTGGATCTTGTTCCATTCTTTTGTAAGCCACTTGTGCTCCAGGAGGGAGACTTTGTTCGGTGTAGGTTCCGAGCCGGACTCCTTTAGCAATAATAAAGTCCTGTAAGCAAACACGATTGGATAAGATCTTGGTCCATTGGCGATACAGATAATCTTTAATTTGAGACATATCTTGGGTCTTAAAAAGCATTCTATAAAAGGTTAAAATATAGTGAACAACACAAAAAAGACTATATGTATAGGAAGTAATCTTACTTTAAGCTTGTCTTGAGTATTTTCTGAGTGGCCGCTGTGCCATCTCGCCTTACTGTCTCAATACCCTTTGCTTCAAACTCAGGTTCTAGAGTAGTAGGGAATTCGTATTTGGAGCCAACATATCGCTTCTTTGCTAGTAACACACATGGATGGTATACCTAAACCATAAAGTTTAGTTTATTTTTAATAAAATGCAATAGATCGAGCCAACTATTAATAAATCGTTACCTTTTCAAACTTTAACTTGATCGGTGCAGGATTCATTTTAGTAATTTGCTCCGAAATTTCGTTGCCAAGAGTAAAAGCTTCGCTACGAGTTTTTCCTGGAAAATGGATAAACACACTATCCGTATCTCCATAAACCACCTTGCCACCCCACGTTGGATGCTCATTTATAAATTTGATAGTCTGTTGTATGAAATGCAAATTAGGAAACCTTGATTCAATTAACGGGCAAATTGCTTACTCTTTCCATCGTCTCTCTTCCGGTCTGAACAATACTGTCAGCTATGTCCACGGCTGGCATTCGGCCAGAATAAGAAGCAGAAGTGTAACCATAAGTGACATTTGCAATAAGCTTTAGTGTCAACTGACGAATATCCAACATCCGCAAGAGTCCCTAACATACACAGAGAAGAACAAATGATTTATTTTAGTAAACACGAGCATATATAATCGTAGGTGTTAGTCTTGAAATAGACTACAGCTTAATCTTTGTGTAGCATTACGAAAATCTAGCAAGAAGCACACATATCATGTTGTTGCTTTCTGTGCAATCTTTTCTTGTACTAGTGTTACAAAAAATAATAATAAAAATAATCAAGGAATCGCAAATAAGAAAATCACTGAGGAACATAAAATACAAAGAGGTAAGGGCCATCAAGCAAAGCAAAAATATATAGAATATGGCTTCCACTAAGCTTTCAAGATATTTTCTTGAATTATGTTACCTTATCATCGACGTAGTCTTTCGCTGATCTTTTCACCATCACTCTTGTATTCAATATATCTTCCAGCATCTTTCCAAGTAAGCCTTTTCGAATAGAATGATCTACATACATCACGCCATTTGGAGATACTATTCAAACTCTCACATATATTAGTCACATATATTACATAAAATATAGAAGCCCATACCAATAATATTATCTTTCAAGGTCTCAAAAAGTTCCTTTTGAATATCTAGTTTACAAACACCAAATGCAGTGTCATCTCCTGGAGCTCGAACTCGCCCTAGACATGTGGAATAGCTATATACCACAAATATTATTAGACTCAGAAATATAACTAACAATAATAAGCTTTAAATATTACCAGTAATTGTATGCAATCATGATTGAAGGGTACAAGGATTGGAAATCCAAAACAACAACTGGGCTATTGTAGTATTGTGAATTAGGCTCTAATGTCAAAGGTAGACATTCAATCGCTCGCTGTTCTCCAACCTAGTGTACTCAGTAATAAAAAAAAAGCAATTGATTAGAATATGTTTTATTTACTTTTAAGTACACAACTTACTTGCTTTCTGCTCGGTGTGATTAGAACATAATTTTCTGGCTTGGCAATACGAAACATGATTGATTCGACTCTGAATTGAGATCCTCGCACCAGAACTGAATAAAAATCGATACCAAAAATACGCGCAGACTCTGACGTTCTTTTTATTATGTCAGCTACATCTAGCATATCAAGATTCATTTTGGCTCTGTCGGCGTAGTATCGATATAACCTGTGTTTGAGCACAGGCACGCACCGTTTATTCCATGTGGTCAACGTTTCATTAGAGTAGTAAGGGGTCCTAAAGTAGACATTAGATATTCATTGTTCATTATTATAGATTGATTGTATACAATATAAAATGGTTTCTTACCGATAACGCAGTAAATGATAAGCAATATTTTCAAAAGTATAGCTTGTAAGACTCATCTCTCCTTTCATTAGGCGCCAGACATTAATCATATGTCGTCCTACAACCCGAAAAACAGAAGCTTTCTTATAGCCCCAGCTGTCGCGGGCGATTATATCTGACTCTTGTTGAATCCGAGATAACTCGTTTACCAAATTCATTCCTAATAAATGTGTAAGATTTGTTAGTAAAAGGTTGAGAAAGTTAACTACAATCACAAAGATAGACATATATAGTTACCATTTGCTGCCGCACGCTCGATAAGATACCCCCATGAAGAATTGTTAAGCTCATACCCAACCAATATGTCAGGATCATACATCCGAATTTTATCAATGAGTGTGCAAAATATTGATAGTTCATTTTCAACATAATCGACTTCCATATCTAGTGTACAGATATACGTCAAGATTATGTGTTCTTCTTTAAGTGAAAGTCTCACTAGTCTTACAGATAAAAAACCTACCGTTAATACCAATCTTTGATACCGGAGTTGGATCGACAGTAATAATACCAGTAACGTAATTAGACTGGAGATTATCTGTGGTTGCTGCTCCATTGTCTGTTTGCAGAGCCCAAAACACGATATTCACTTCATCTTCTGTAGGATTTGGTAGCAATTTACCTCGGCTATTAACTAAAATAATATATTGTGTTAGTTTTTCTTTTCATTTCCGGACCCACTGAAAAGTAATACCATGGATTTCAAGACTAAAAAGGTTGACATGATCTCTTTCCTGAATTCTTTTAGTTTTTGGTTTTGTCACAACTGCTTTGAAAAGTGCAGAGCTTTCATTCAATGAATCCTCAGCCTAAAAAATCAATTTTTTTATCCAGAGAAAAATTAATAACACACTCCGGTAGAATATATGAATTTAATTATGTAAACGACTTGCCTGGGTCTCTTTAGCACGATAAGTATCTTTGTTGGCAGACTTGGCAAGATTTCTTTGCTTTAGCCAGGTCTCTACCTCACAAAGGCTTGGCGGCTGTATAGAAGGGGACCAAGAAGTGATATTAGACTGTCTCCAGTCCATAGTGTTCGTCGTATTCAGAAAGCATGTACTTGTATTCGCCAAAGGATCAAATTCTTTGAGATGTTGAATTGATTTAGAAGATAATTTGAATTCCTTTCCTGAAAAGATTTTTGGGCGAATTGGAACATCCTCTGGATTACTATAAAAAGGCTCCTGATATACTGCGTTTATGCTTGCAGAAATAAGAGGTGGTGGATAATTGTACTTGTACTCTTTGAAAGAGGGATCTTGCGACAACTCTGAGAATGTTCTCACAAACGTTTTGGGACAATCTGAAACAGGGTCAGATATGCTATGCGAGTCTCTACCCGATGGTTGCTGTATATACAAGTCCACTTGGCTATTAGCCGCCTGATCATTTGAATTATATGGCGATTGAGACACTGGCAGAACTTCTCTTGTAGCTTGCGATTCTTCTGTTTGCTGGGCCTCATTAGAGATGCATTGTATCTTATCTATCTCAGGTAAATTCAGAGCTTTATCAATGCCCGATAGTTGAGAGGATGAAGTAGAATCGTCTATAAGCGCTGTAGATGTTGAGCCAGGTGACTGTATGTAGTTTTCTCCACCTTCTTCTTGCTCAATCTTTTTAGAAATATTATATTGTTTTGATGACTCCCTAAGAAATTCTTGAAAAGCTGCTTCCACTTTAGGGTCTACAGGGATACGCACAGAGCGAACCCTTTTTGTGATCCTGTGAACATTATAATTATGATCTACACTCGGCATCTTTTTGTTTTTAAAAGTACGGAGTTTTGTCTTTTCCCATAATTTAGTATAGTTCGTTTCTTTCTGTTTAACATCTGAATCAGGTATTTCTGAAGTCCCATCATTCTGTGGAATACGCCACTTTTTGGTCTTAAAGAGGCTATTTTTTTTTTAAAAAAAAGAATTCAATTAGACGAGTACGCTAATTTTTAATTATATTTTGAGTTAATGGAGTACAACCTACTTTGCTTGTGAAGGTGGAAGCTGGCTTATATTCAGCTCGACAACCTGACTTGAACTGGGGCTTTCTACTGATGAAGCTTCATTGGAATACTCATATAAAGTAGTTGATTTGTGCTCTTCAATATTGGTTGGTGGTGACATGGTATCTGGTTCACATTCTTTTGAAGGTTCGTAAGCAATATCCACACGTCTGCTAATGTTGCTTTCGGGTGAATTTTCTACCTCATCAACCAATTTTAGAAATTCTTCATCAGAAATACCACCATCATACTCGTCAAACGATGACTGGTTTATGTTTTCTTCCATTTCAGCTAACTCTGCCATAGCAATAAGCTCATCTTCGTTTAACTCATCATCAATAAAAATATCCGATTCCATAAGCTCCCCAATTATCCCCTGATCTACTTCCAAATTTGTACTCTGGCTCAATTGGCTGTAGACAGAAGGTCCCTGCGAGATATTGTAGTAAGATACCTCCTGTGAAAAGGAAACTTTGGGATCTTTGATGACCTCCGTATCATTGTCTATGATAACCTCCGTCTCAATATCTTTTTGAGGGGGTACCCTATCGGCCAAACAAAAAGATTCGGGGAGGATATTTTGATCTTTTGGAATAAGGTTGTTCATCTGATAATATTCTTGGGGGTAAAATGCCTCGACTGCTTGAAATGTTGTCAAGATACCAGGAAAGCTTTTACAAGGTTCTGTAGACTCTTGAGAACCTTCCGAGACTCGCTTTATCATTTTCCGTAATCTCTCTTCTGAAGCCCAATATTCATGTGGCATTCTTTCTTCTGTTTGAGATAAAGGTGGTATAGGCTCAAGTATATTTCGCGAAGTTCTTCTACCTTCCTCGTCTAACCAAAGACCATTCAATGATTTTACAAGTGGCTCTTGAGTGGATTTTGACTTGGAAAGTTCCTCCAACATCTCACGCTCCTTTGATAAACTAGTGTGTATATCGCGTTCTTTTACTTGAAGGCGATTCCCAATAGACATAACTGTGGTGTCTAACTCAAGTTCACAATAGCTGGTGCGTTTGTGTGTATCCCACAGAAGATGCGAAGGTACGTTTTGTGGGGTATAGAGCATTTGTTCGGGGATGTCGATCTTAGCCGATGGGAAGGTTTTGTTTCCAGGGAGTTTATGTAACATTGGGAGTCTGAACCTTAGACTAAGCTGGATCATAGTTAACCATGCATTGTCGTTTGGCAGGACAGATATGGTAGGATGAAGATGGATTAGATTCATTCCGTACAAATTATAGTCCATTAGAAACTGTAACTCAAACGAAACATGCGCTTCGTGGACTTGGTATTCTGTGTTCATTATTGCCCCGCTTCGAAGGAGTTCGGTCATACGCTGTTTATCGGCAGGATTCAGAAGATGTACTTTTAAGTACGTTTGGTAACCAACATGGTAACCATAAAACGGAACACCTTTGACTAATACAACACCTGCCAAGTACTGGCCGTGCTCCATCATTTCAAAACTCTTCTCAGACACTCTCATTGCATGATTAAGGGAAGTGCCAAATTGGAAGATAGTTTGTTGAATATTCTCTGGGTCAGTCGATGGGAGTGTAAAAGGTACATAGAAATATGGATATGCCTAATTGACATGCTCGCAGTTAGAGCTCAAGCTCTACCCCCTCTTTTTGTCTTTGTAAACTGAAACTGAAAACAGAGTTCTATGGGGAATCTCCTTGTGGATCAAAAGCATGATTTTACCTGATGGACATGCAAACAAGTCTTTTGTCCTGCAGGCGTAGAGCCAAATATTCGAATGACAGGAACTTTATTGATTCGAGCTTGATCAAAAGGACAATAATTACGATCAAATGGCCCAGGCTCAGCAAGGTAATGATCAATGTTGACAATCCGAACAGAAATAAATGGTGGTTTATTCATTACAATCGATAAACTAAATCTACTGCGAAACTGTGCCTAAAGATGTACCCTGTGACTCGTTTAATCCTTTTTCAAATCGAAATCCAAACCTGCTCCTTCACGTACAGCTGAATTATAGTAAAAATATAGACGTTAATAAGCAATTGATAATAACGATAATAATAATAATAATAATAATAATTTTATAAAAGTCATACTTGCCTCCAACAATTCCAGTAATATCAATATCACCCCTTTTGTCGTGAGCAGACTTGACATTGTTGAGAAATGCTTCGGTAATGGGCAATTTAATTCCAGAGGCAATACCCATATTGTGAATATGAGTACCATCTTTTTTGGCACCAGTGAGGGAAAAGTGCACCTGATCATTATATGTTTTTTGAACCATTCGGGTAGTGTAGATGTTTAAAAGAGGGGAAGAAAACACGCTTCCGACCAGCTCTCCAACCTTGTCTTGGGGAATACCGGCAGCTTCGCCCAAAGTGAGAGCCTCTGCAAGCATTTCGCAAGAACTCGTAACAAGAAAGTTACCACATAGCTTGAGACGGATAGATTCAGCTGGGTCTTCACCAAGTTCAATTGCCTTTTTACCAATTGCAGGAATCAAGAGAGGCTTGACAATAGCTTGCTGTGCCTTTGGTCCGGCCATTAACACGACGAGATCAGCAGACTGGGCACGCTGGGGTGGGCCCATGATGGGACAAGCAAGATAGAAAACACCCGATGCGCGAGCCTTGGCTGCGAGTGAATCTACCAGAGCTGGTGCAACGGTAGATTGTTCCACGATGATAGCACCTTTTTTCAGACCGGCCTCCAGAAGACTTGTAACGGTCTGTTCGACTATTGCGTCGTTCAGCAGGCAAGTAAACACCACGTCGGCTATGGCGCATTCCGCGATTGAGCGTGCGACCCGACTCGGTACACTGGAAGCCAAAGATTCTGCGCGTCCAAGAGTTCGGTTATGAACTAAAAGACTAGGATATTTAAGGGTCTGTAGATGATTTGCAATGTGACCTGCCATGGGATAGCCCATGGCACCCAAACCGATGTAAGCACACTGAAGAGGCATAGGAAGAATAAGAAGCGTAAATTAATAAATGCAGGCTTGAGGCCATTTTTATAGACTCCAAAAAATAGTAACAACAATGACAACAAGACTACATGTTTTGTGTGTCCAATCAATATGTTACTCTTAGGTTGCGCGGTTTACATTTGCATGATGGGACAAGATAATGGCGGTGATGATTAAGATAATAATATAATAAAATATAATATAATAAAATATAATATGATATGATATGGTATGATATGATATGATATGATATAGTATAATATAGTAATAGTAATAGTAATAGTAATAGTAATAGTAATAGTAGTAATAATAGTAATAGTAGTAGTAGTAGTAGTAGTAGTAGTAGTAGTAATAGTAGTAATAATAATAAGAGTAATGATAAAATGATGGGGATATGTATAAGACCAATAAGTGTTATTATGCTGTATCAACAGTGCCGTAAAAAGGGAGACAATTGAACCAGCAATGCCTGTGGGATGCTGTACAGGGGGAGTAGACTATTAATTAAAGTGCTCATGAATGATGGGTAAGGGTTGGGTATAGACGAACAATAGTCGCAGTGGGCATATAAATAAGAAAAAGAAAGCGGGTGCATAGAGTTACAGTAATTTGGCATATAAAAGAGCTGGTAGATTTTGTGTGTTTAAATGACTCCAACGCGCGATGACTTCTTGCCTATCAGCTTTTTGAAGCTCTTCCACATACGTCCTACGGTTAAGGGTGCCTGGGTAGGTTGTGGTTGTACGGGCTCTGCTGTGACTTGCTTTGGCTTGACGGGTTCTTGTGGTCTTGGCGCTACAGAATTGTCACGTTTAAGAGTTGGGAAAAAGGACCGACGTGGTGCAGGTGTTGCTACAGCTTCGGGTAATGCGACAGACGGTTTAATTTGTGCTTCGGTTGGGGCGGGTACTGGTGCGGGAGATTCTTTCCGTGAAAAGAGTTTCTTGATCTCAGACTTGATCGTCTTCTTCTGCTTAGGGACTTGTACTTCGATGGGTCGATTTGCAGTGGGCGGGGTTGTCGGAACTTTTGGATAGTTGTGAGGTGTAGTAGGCAGAGGGGCAACGGAAGCCGTCTTTTTAGATGAACGTTCGTTGTCTGTGCGCCCGACCCAGAAATTTCTAGCAGCAAAAGCGGACGATCGTGAGACGGGTGGCTTTGAAGGTGTTGTTTGGGTTTGGGTTTGGGTTTGGGTTTGTGCTTGTGCTTGTGTTTGGGGTTTGGGGTTTGTCATCTTTTGCGAGGAGCGAAAATTGAAGAGATCTTTAAAGCGTCTGGAAGCAGAAGTAGAATTAGAAGATTGTGTAGTTGCGCTGCTGGAGAATCCTGGCTGAGATACAAAGGGTGTCTTTGAGGTGGCGTGGTGAACGTCCTGGTGAGGATAAGAGGGTGTAACAGGAGTCGTCTGGCGCTTGACAAATAGGTCGCGCAAAGTTTGAACAGTACCACGCTTGATCTCAAGGCGGGGGAGACGGTCTGGATGGGTGGTGCACTCATGTTCATTTGTAGATGGGATCTGGAAAAGCGAACGAAGCGAACGTACGGTGCCACGCTGAACTGAACTGAGAATTGAGGCCGATCTGCTTGATATCGAGGCTGTATCGATGCGAGAGTCATTGACTTCATAGTGAATCGATCCAAATGAGCTCTGGTGGTCGAATGGCGCACTGACAATGGTCGATGCTTTTCCGGACTTTATGGAGGGCAAGGCTCGGGAAGGAGTGATACGGGCCACATCGCGGGGATCGGCCTCTGCTACAGGCAGAAAGTGACCATCGTTGTGAAACGGGAAGGCGAGGGGTCGTGGGCAAGAATAAACGAGATCTGGATGACGAGGTGGTAAGGCAGCCTTTTTGGGTCTATTGAGCTTTTTTTTAGGAGAGGTAGCTGATGTGGTATCTGTGGCCAAACTGGATTCTGTTACGATGCTGAGAATTGAAGGAGGGCTGTCGATTGATGGACGACTGATGTGACCCTCTGTATGAGCCTCGCTTGTGGTTGGAGATGGAGTGCCGGATGCTGAAGAGGTGTAGCCACTGTCGACTCCAGATGTGTTTGAGGAGAGAGAGTGGTGGCTCTTGGAGTGGAGTCGCTTAGAACGCATACTTGCGTACTGCTCATGCCTAGAGCTAGAGGAATGAAAATACATTTGGCTATGTAGTGTCTAAAAAAAAGCAGAAAATATAAACAATGTAATAATAAAAATAATAATTCTATGAAGAAAGAGGATAAAAAAGAGAATTTCAAGGCTGAGTGGAATACAATAAGAAATACCAAAAAAAAAAATTCAAAAAAAAGGGGGACGACAAATGAAACCAGAAAAAGAGGTCCCGGACACCTTGTGTAATAGAATTGCTCTATAGTCGTACGAGTAACCTGTGTCCGCTCCAACTCAACTATAGAAAGTAAACCTCCTTGGTAAGAGATCTTCTCTGTGACCATTAATCTTTTTTTGGGCATCTGTAAAAACTACAAATCCTTAAAGAAGTCTGTTCCTCAATAGTCATTGTTTCAAAGAACCTTATTCTTCAAGAAGTTGTTTATTTTACATCTTGGCAGTTCAATTTGCACATAATATGATTAAAATATTATATTATACAGTACATATATACATATTAATACACACACACACACACATATATGTTTTTTTTTATCATATTTTATTGAGTCCTAATGAGGAGAGATCATGACTGTGACCCCGACTATGATACACACGTATAGCCATGTGTATTATTGCTTAATCCGTGTCCAAGCTATATGAAATATAAATTTTTTTATTTAAAATTGACACACGAAAAAAGGATGTCAGTCGAGCCTCTCATAGCCATGTTCAGGTGGGCCCAGAAGTGTTGCGAGGGTCAGGGAGAGAGCAATGACGAGACTAATGCACCAAGTTGCAGCACCCATGATAAAGGACATGTCATAGCGTGTACCAGCATAGAATATTGAGCTCGTGTTAACCAAATAGGCTACGACTGACATTGAGATGGCTGCAGGAATAGCTATTGGGACACAATAAGTACTTATTCCAACGTGGCGGCCGTATCAAAACGTGGCAACTTACCGTGAAGCACAAGCATTCTGGGAGAATAACCGATCATCAATGGAACATAATTAGCATATGTAGACAATAGAAACAAAGCATCTCTTATTGTTCTTCTTTACCCTGCCACGAGCTTCCATCCTCTCTCTCTCTTTCTGCGACTGCTACACATTGTCCCGAGAAGTGCCACCAACGTCAGTGCTCCAATCACAGCTGCTAATATCATTCCGGCCCCCGCTGCTTGCCTATAGAGTAAGAATAACCACGCGGCCGTAAATGGTTCAAGATCATACTTGGCCTTTTCAACATCGTACACTCACCAAAGCTGGCAAAATCCTTCTATCAACCACGTCAGCTTCCAAAGTATAAAGTCTATTTAAAAAACAAGAAAAACAAGAAAAAAAAAGAAAACTCTTGTACGCCTTACCTTCAGTACAATCTCCTTCCTCTTCTCTTGGAAATGGTCTACACTCGCCTGTAACACTACAATGACGTTATGATAAAAAATACTACAGCTCATATCATTATTTTTGTTTTGCCGCTTTACCTTTGACATAACTTGAATAGACCATAGTTTGTCTCGGAATACAATGGTTTAGGAACAACAAAGATCAACCTAAGTTAGTTGTTTTTTTTTCACCGAGAATAAGAAGAAAAAATAATGGCATATCAATCGCGATTTTGTGTGTGTATACATTATGATTATGATTAACAAGATTGATTCATAATAATCGCATTTCCTCACCATTTTGGAAGAAGTAATGCTGTTAGATTCAAGGCGTAACTACAGCAGAATAGAAAGAATATAACAACATAGCCCAAGAGTGACATGTTGAATTGGAATCTGGAATCTGGAAAGTGGGAACAGTAAACCCACACACGCACGCGCACACGCACAAAAAGAAAGCTGAGGGAAATAAGGGGATTATTGAACTAAAAGGGGGTCTGTCCCTTTTTAGCTTATATATATATATATATAATATTATTATTTTTTGGCTTGTTTGTTTGCTTGTTTGCTTGTTGTGCATAAGGTGGCTGGTAAAACGCTTTACGGTTTCATTCCCATTGTCCAAGTCTTTTATCTGCTATACTACTCTATACTACTTTACAATACTTTCTATAATAAATACTTGTATGCATTATTCTTCTACAACATAAAAGAAGTACTTGAGATTTTTTCATTAAAGAGAAAATTATAAATTTTATTAAGCAGAAATTATATAATGAAATTCCCCATTTTCATTGCTTCTCTCTTTAAAAAAATAGTAGTAATAAACAATAGGTCATCAACGCCTTTAATGAGCTTCTTGATACTAACCAAAGAAAAAAAATTAAAAAAAGATTAAAGTTTCTTAACCAGTGTAGTGGCTGGGATACCAAGAGCTTATCTTTACTAAGAAAAAATTTTCAAACAATTCCCATACATATATTAATTCTCCTTTAAGGGATCATTCTCCTAATGATTGATTATCATTTGCTGGCGTATTTGTATATAATTTTTGAAAAATTTCTAGTTGAGAGATTTATGCTGCAATACAAGATACGAGAGGTCGAGAAATATTGTTAAATTGCTTATATAAAGAGCAAACTGTGATTAATAGCTAGAGAATTTGCTATGCAAGACTCTTTACTCTAATGATGTCTTTAAATTTTTTCCTCAAGACTCACAAACTTGATCAGTACTTTGATAACTTTGAAAAAGCTGGAGCTACAGACGGAGACCTTGATCAACTCCTTCAATTCAATGACGGAGAACTAAACGAGTTCTTGAGTGCCGTTGGTGTCTTGCCTTTTCATGCGATCAAGTTAAAGAAATGTCTACGTGAACTAAAGACATCTCCAGACACAAACAATCAAACCGTTAAACTGCCCTCAGATACACCGATTTCCATTCAACCCAAAAATGATCACACATCTCTAGACACACCCGTAAGTAACTGTTTGAGATCACTTGAAGACCTAAACACATGTAATATTTATTATTGTTATTGTTGTTTAGCCTACATCTGTGGTTTCAGCTATCTCAACCCAGGATATTGCAATATCAAAAGATGACATTCTATCCCGTGCAATAATATTTGGAAAGAAGGGTATTCGTCCTATCACAGCCTATCAAGACGCCATTAATCAAGCAACAGCCAAACTGGCCCTAAACAATCCAACGTTGCTCCTGCACAAGGGATATCTGTTTGAACTTGCCAAAAAGAAACTCATAGAAGACGGGTACTCCTACAAGCGAGGCAAAAGTCGATCCAAGTATAGTACAGATATCAAAGCTCCTAAAATGCCCTGTAATCCACCTTTACAACTAATTCAAATCAATCACAAGCGTAAAGAGCATGCTGAACAAGCCTCAAAAGAGCGTGCAGAGCGCCTAAAAGATATCCAAGATATATTAAAGGCATTGTTATCGCAAGAACAGCACCAAAATGCACTATTACGATATGCATCTCATTGTAATAACCAGAAATCCCAAATGGTTGCTGAACATGAATTGGAATATTTGGCAAGTAGCCGACAAAGTCTAAAAAGGGAGATGAACAAACTCAAGGCACAAGAACGGAAACATCAATGGTACAAAAGACGTCAGGTATCCAGAAGCTTACCTGTGTCTAAAGGTGGTTTAATATCGCCTAATTCCTTACTTGAAAGCCACGATAAGATTCCGTACGATGAACACAGGAATGAAAAATGGACAGGCTCTTCTCCTTCCCTTTTTTCTTCTTCATCAGCAGCATCAGAATATCAAGTACCATTCGAAGATCATGTACCTAATCAAATTAAATTCCTAGGTTCTTGACTAGATACATTTACAGATAGTGGCTATTGTTTTATGTAATACTGAGCTTAACACAAAACAGAAGAGTAACACTGGAACTTAATTAGTATTTTCCTTTCATGAAACCATGTTGAACAGCCAATAGAATTAATTAAATATTACTTTATTTCACCAACTCATCCACCTCGTTCTTTCTGATCTTTATTTGTCCAGAACACTGTATGGTTTGTGTGCTTGTGCGTTTAATTGCAGCCATGTAGATTATGGTTATTATATGGGAAAATGATACTTGTATCATTGTAAAATAGAAATAAAGATTTCGGCACGGAAATGAATTCATAAATGAAAACAAATCTTGGTAAGCAGACTTTCAATTTGGTATGAAATGCATATGATTTCATGATATTCTGGTTTAATTTGTAGCTGTCATTATTGTCAATTATAGTGCTTTTGCCATAATTATCTGTAATCTTTGTAAGTCTCATTTACAAGATATTTCTTTGGGAAAAAAGCATGATACGACTGGTATTCTATTTTGTGCCTTTATCGCACTACTATTATTACCTCTTTAAAAGTATATAACATATATATATATTCAATACCACAAAATGGATATGTATATGAAGGAATGCAGATAATTGATTTAGTGAGTAGATGATTATGGGATTTTTGCGATTGTTTCTTTCTTTCTTTTTAGTTTGTGCGTAATAATGTGTGAAATGTATGAATAAATGAAAGATAATATAGATAAATAATAAATAATAAATACACTGTTTTTTTTTGCTCCTTATTCTCTCTTACTTATTCACTCCTTCTCTTTTTTTTGTTTTCTTCTTCTCAAAATGGCATGCTATTAGTTGGGTATTCAAAAATAAGAAGAAGGGAGGTGTCTACATCACAGTACAAGGTTGATTTTCCTTGTTACCGTCCTGTGTGTAGCGCAAGTAGTTTCCTCGACGACTATCTTCATATTGTTGTCGAGATCCAGAGTTGGTTTTGGCCAATCTCTCCTCTGCACCTGGGTGGCCTCGAATGGACGCTTTTTTATAATATGTAATTGCTCTCTCATGGTCTCTGGGAACACCGATTCCCATTTCATAATACCACCTAAGAAATTAAACCACAAACAAAAGCATCAGTAAAACATACACATCATATTTACCAGTAAAATTACCCTAGCATAAACATAGCATCTGCCAATCCTTTCTCTGCAGCACGTTGGCACCAGCTGAATGCCAAGTCTTCGTTTCTCGGGTTGGCTTGAAGCCAGCCAGATTCATCTAGCTCCAAGCGTGTCTTTTCATCTCGATCGTCAGGTCCATGACTTCCACGGTTGTACAATCGACTGAGTCCAAGCATAGCCTGCGGATTACCGTTTCTTGCGGCAGCTTCATAATTGGTTACACTCTTGGACAGATTTACTGGTACGCCATACATTCCATGCTCGTAGATGTAACCTAATCTACCTTGAGCCTCTGTATGTCCTGAGCGGGCAGCGCGTTCAAAATAGACGATGGCTGCATAAAGACCACCATAAGGTTCAACCAATTGCCTAAGATACGCATCCATTCATCATAATGAGAAACAGTATGATAAACACTAATTAACTTATATATATATATGTGTGTGTGTGATCTTACTGTGGGATGTCAACTTTAGGGTAAGTATTTGTGAGAATCAGTCCGAATAGATAGAGAGGTTCGGAATATTCATCAGATCCCATATCAATCACTCTTTGAAGTAGCTGGAGACCTTTCACAGTGTTTTGGCGTTGGTTGAGTTCGCCGTGAAGATTGATCTTTGCCATTTTCTAAAAAAAGAAAGATGATATAAAATAGCATTTATCGTAAGACAAATAATTGACGAATTAAATACAGCAAGTTAACTTACAAACATAGCTTCTGGCAAGTTCTTGTCAGCAGCGTCCTTAAAGTTATTGAATGCTTCAGAAAAATTGCGTTCTTTTTCATAATGTAGGGCAAGGGCATATATTGCTTCAGGAATGCCCTCTTTTGCTGCAATATTAAATAACCTAAATGTTTTTGAGGCACTTTTTTTGAGACCGTAGAGTGAACGATCGATCCAGACTGCTTGCATGTAAGCAGCCTCTCCTACTCCTTCTTTGGCCAGCCGCTTAACCCATCGAATGCCTTCTTCTTCAAGCAATTTCTTTTTGCGTCGACTAGTCTCATCTCCAAGCACAACCGTGCCACTGGATATTGATTGCCTTTGATCATAGTCTAGACTTGGTGCTACGCGTGCACTGGAATAGATGTCAGACTGGGAAGCTAAGCCAGGGCTGGTTGCACTCGAACTCGGTCGCGTATCCATACTGGTACGACCACCACCAACTTGGCTGCTCTTTCTCCGCCCTCCCGAAATACTTGAGGAAAGACCGAAGAGCGAGAGTGGTTTGAGAGAGTTTGATTTACTACTGTGATCGTATAGGCTGGCAATCTCGAGGAGGTATTTCGCGTAGCTGAGCTGTACCCCCGGGTCTCCTGTCTTGAGTGCCTGGTTTCTGTACAGTTTGATGGCATTTGGGTTGTTTGTAAGACTATACGAAGCTTTTGCATACTTTGATAGTTGATTTACACCTGTAAGAGCTGCCATATTGGTAGAAGTCTTTGCAAAGGCTGCGATTGGATTGGCAGGCTCTTGTACCTGAGAAACCATGACTTTTGTGTCAGGTCCATTGTGAACACCATTCTTTGGAATCTCTCTCTCGTCTGATTTATCATTTATATGAGAAGACTTTGTATGGATAGTAGACTCGTTCGAAAATGTGCTACTAACAACAGGCGTTGAGCTGCCCTGATACCAGCTCGGAAGGGTCCGCTCTTCCATACGAGCCATTGGATGCATGTTTGGTGCGGTGTTTACCATTACATTATCATGACTTGCATAGGCAGTGGGTGATACGGAGGATAACATGATGCCCTGTGAGTGTGATGTGCTTGTCACCAGTTTAAGGTGTGGTAGTGATGGTGATACGGCTTGAGGTGAATGGCATTGGTTTGATTTAATTGAAGAGGGTGGTTGGATAATGATGTTTGGGGTAAGTGAGCCATCTTCCTTTCCAAAAAGATGTAAAGGGAGCTCTATCGGCGGAAGTGTTTCTAATGGAGGGGTTTGAGGAGGACCTTCTTCGAGCGTCTTTGATTGGCGGCGGACGAGTGGCGGCGGAGGCATGGAAAGAAAGGAGGTGGTCGGTGACTGGTGATGTGAATGGCTGAATTGTGAATGGCTATCCATCGTTGGGTCATACTCTAGTTTTGCGTCTGCTGAGGTACCTTCCTCATGTGTGGGTAATACTGGTAATGAAATATGATCAGGGGTGGATGAATTGATGTGTGAATTGTTGGAGGGCTCAGGCTCTGTGCCTGTTGAGTCTGTTTTAACTTCGTCTTCATCTTCACTTGAATTGTCTGGGTCAGGGTTGATGACCCGAAGTGCCCAGCGATTAGCCTCTGGATTCAACATTCCAATGTCTGAGTCAAGTGTACCGATAGAAGATCTATTTGTGTGAGATATCTTTTTTTGGTGTCCTGACCAACTTTCTGCGGCAGGTAAGGCTGGTATGCCACTGATACTTGATAGGGTTGGCACTACACGGCTATTATTTTGTGCAGTAGGAGAAGTGTGGTTAAAGAATAGGGATGGTGAGGTTGCCTTTGCGAGGTTGTTGAGTATTTTCTGTCTGCGGCTAGAGGTGCTTGTTGTTTCTGTGGATGTGCTTGGTACTGGTTGTTGGGGTCTAAATGGAAACATTGTCGATCGTGATTGTGTTTCGCAAGCAATGCGCGACATTACTTCTCTAGGGAAAGAGAGTTATAAATAAGCAGTAGAGACAGATAAAAATGGATACAAAAAATCCAAGTGCAACTAAAAAGAAGGTTGTGGCTATTTCTAGCTGCCAGACAAACCATTCTGGGTACTACTGATTTTCCACAAGAACACTAGTTGGTCTTTATTGTCCACAATATAAAGGTACAATAGCTGGTAAAAAAAAATTAAAAAAAATACCAAGCCTATGGTGAGCTTATTACGTGTATATATATATATATGTGTGTGTGTGTGTGTATCTATTATAATGATAATTATAATGATATTTTAGCTAGACTTGTCAGCTTTGCTTACATATCCATAATACAAAGTAAAATCCTCCATGTGAGAAGGTCCCGACCCTATTTATGAACTTTGGTGCTGATTGGAGGATCAGGCTATGTCCGCTTTATAAGGTTAAGTGCCTGCCAGGTCAGCCACACCTTTTGTATTAATAAAATAAAATAAAGTGTTGCGATTCTATAGTATAATTTGGCAAGGAGATGTTTTTATTTTTCCCTGCCAAGAATCTCATGATAAATATCTATATCTATACTGCGGAGATTTTCCTTGGCTCTTGGTATTTTCTTTTTTTACTATTATTATCTTTATTCTTTTCGTTTCGTTTCTATTCTTTTTGGCTTTTGGCTTTTGGCTTTTGGCTTTTGGGATCAATTGAATGATAATTGATAGTAATGGATTTTCAAATGATCTAACTGAAAGCTACTCTATAGTTGTTACCTTAAAACTTTTGAAAACACATCCAAATTGCATCAAGTCACCTTTCGCTAAACAACCTCATCTAATAATCTATGATGCTTCTTTTATATGCTTATAAAAAACACACACACACACAAATCCCCGTCTTTACATGCAGTTAAAACCCAAACAGATGACATAAATACAAAGGTGGCAAAAGAACAAGAAGGAGAAGAGTTAAATGATACAATTTACACACTTGAACCAAATAACAAGGTTACGACCATAATTTAGTCATGGTGGTTACTTATGATACAAACCCGTTCTCTATTATCAGGATAAGTACCAGCAATTCTAAAGTATCGCAAATAAACGTTTTATAATGTTAGATTAGCATAAGTAATCACAGCATCTTTAAGAATTAAGCAAAGTATTCAGAGTTTGTGCATGTAAATTCACAATAGCGACCTTTATTAATTTCGATTGTGGAATACATTAAAATACGGATTTACCAATAAAGTACTGGTACTTGTAGTACTAATTTAAGGTATTGCAATGATGCCTTCATGACTTCAAGTTGGTACACATAAACTAAATCCAAGCACGGGCCTACTTTCCTGTAAAAAAAAACCTATTTTTTCAGAATAGCCGGTGCATCCTCAGTTGGTCTGACTATTCAGACCAAATTAAAGTATATATCTTTTTTATATTAAAAACTAAAGCACTTGTATCTATTGAACTCCAATTATGCCTATCATATTATAATATTATAATATTTTAAAGCCAAATGACTAGTTCACATGAAAATGAGATGGTGTATCTATACAGTTGATAAAGTCTTCATTTATCATTGTACTTTCCAGTCAACTCTTAATAATGACAAAGTCTTGTGAAAATGCTTTAGATGTTGGTATATTTAATATGAATATGTCTAGATCAGTGTACGCTAGTGAATATACATACAGAGGTAAAGGAGTCGTGAAACCAACAATAATGTGATATATAGTATTTGAAGTTTAGAAAAAATTATACTTTTGGAGATATTATATTTTTTGTGTAGGTTAAATCTGTCTACCCATAGGAACCAATTCAACGTACACAAACCCCTCTTTTTCCAACGATTGCTTGAGGCTCAAAAGATCTTGTTTTCTCGATTCTATATTTGACCCATTCCACATTCCAACAATTGCTCCACCACTTCCAGAAAATTTAGCGGCACAGTGGTTTTGTCGAGCAATATTGATCATTCTTAAGTTGACTTCTCCCACGACAGCATCGCCATAAATGCTCCGACGATTTTCAAAGTTGCAAGTCATTAGTTCTGCAAAACCTCGGTGGTCTCCATTTTTTAAGCTTTCTTGTGCCTTGTCTGTCAAAGTAGCAAATACTTGCATTCCTTCTATAATCTGTATTAAGCACGTAAGTATATACTTTTGTTCTTTGGGTAAGCCTCATAAAACATCAGCCGCACCTTGGAATCTCCAGCCAAGAATCTTTGCTTGACAGTACTGTGAACTTTCCCAGAGTCTTCAGGACTTGCAACATAAGCTAACCAGAGAGGAGGAAGTGTTGAATGATCCAGAATAGTGTACTTTCCATAACCATGTGTTTGCATGTGATCCTTTTCAAAGTCCATGCTTACCAGACCGCCATAAGCCTAAACAAATAAAGTTAAAAAAAAACAAAACCGCCACCCACAACATAATATATATAAAAAAAAGACATTATTCTTTAGTTCCCACCTGAATGACTCTATCTTGAAGACCTGCAGCAATACCAAGCTCTTCTGTTTCTACAGCCATAACAAGACTAGCCTGTAGCTCAATAGGGATCTGAATACTGGTGATCCGATAAAGCTTGAGAAGTGCTTTCCAGAAAGCGGTAATGATGGCAGATGACCCAGCAAGTCCAACTTGGCGAGGAATGTTTGTGTCGTACATGACAACGAATCCTTGAGATGTATCGATGGGTATATTGTTCTTTTTACAGTGGGTAAAAAGGACTTTGCAGCACGCAAGTAATAGTCTGTCACCGTGATCATACCCATCATTCTCACATACAGTAACTAAAGAGCTTAAATTGCTAAAGCTGCGAGGATCAGCCAACATATTGGTCATAAAAGTGATGTTCCCAAATCCAGGTTTAATAGGTGAGTTGGGAACCAGTACAACTTCTGACCAAAAGTTTGATATCAAGAGGGACATGGTCTTTCCTAATGTATACATACACATGCATTATAAAGTATTAGCACCACAATGTTTTAATTTGATTTAATTGCGTACCATAAAAACCATCACTGGGATTCCCCATCAGACCCACTCGAGCATAAGATCGAACAATAATTGGGTCCGTATTATATTTATCGTCTTTTAAGTACTTGTCCTTTATATTTTTATCAAAATACGAGGACCAGATGCTTTGGTAATCGTATAATGAAATGTTTGGATCCATAAAATCCAAAGCTGGCGAATAATCAATCTGGATATTGCTAGCAGACTTTTGTAAAAGAATAAACTCTTTGATTTCTTGTTCAAATCTTTTATTTGGCGTGTTGTTGTCAGTGCCTTTTTCTTGGTTATCACGAGTATGTTTTTCGATTATACCCAGAGTTTCGCGAGACAAACCAAATGCGACTGGATGTGACATAGAATCCTTTTGATTGTAACCGACCACAAAGTCGCCACTCTTATTAAGGAGGACTTTTGCTAAATCAGAGTGCATTTCATCATGGTAGAGAAATTCGGGTGCGATTATCACCACATCCCCATTAAGATCCTTAACTCTTTTAACGAGTGCGATATCAGCTAATGCACTAGTGCTAGAATATGCAAGTTAAATGAATAAAATGTCAAACCTAATAATTTTGTATATTATATTTTTACTTGAAGCCGGCATTGATTACATTTCCTTTGGAAAGTTCATGGTTACTTGCCCATCTCTCGTACTGCTTGTAACTAATAATACGACATGTTTCTGTCAACAAATAAATGCATAAAATAAAATAAAGTAACAAAAAAGTCTTACTTTGTTGCGTTTGATACAATATATATGTTATCGAACGTTATGCGTGCTTTTTCATACCACCAGTCAAGGGATGATTTCCCAGAAATTGGCAAAAGAGCCTTGGGAACACCTCGGAATAGAAGTAAGCTGGGCTCATATTGTGCCTGTCATGGAGTATGAGCACAATCGTTTTATAGTCAAAAGACACGGCTAAAAAAAAGACTTTCCTTGATTTCAATTTCCAATAAATTTGGTTCAAGACCGCTTGCAAGTATAATAAGCGATTTTGCCATGAATGTTGTCTGTTGATTAGGAATGCTTTTGAGACTGCAGTAGAAAGAAGGGAGGAAAGAAAGAAAAAAGAAGAGTTTATGATAAACGCCGGGTGTATTTTTTAAAGGCAGCAGAAATTCCCCGCACAGAACAAACCTGGAAAATCCTGAAAACCATTGCTAACTCTAAACTAAAGGCAGTATCTGCCAACCAAAGAAGAGAGAGAGAGAAAGAAAAACCCGCGTGGTGTAACAGTTGCACCTAATATATAGATAAAAGTCTTCAATCAAATACACGCACACTATTGGAAGATTAGATATTTACTCAATTGCCGTACGGCTTCCACTTTAAACATGTATTAGCTCGATATTTTATGCTCACTATAGGTTAAATGAGATGGTATGTAAAATCTCTTGAGATTTATAGCTTAGAGGTTATGACACTCGAAATCAAGCCTAAAAATATATCTCTAAGGTTCAAATAACATTACACATCTATACACATTAGCAGGTACGCTCGCTAAGCTTTAACAACAAGGTGTTGACTGCAGGAAATTTCCCGTCAAATCGCTATAACACCTAAATAAGGCAATACTGTATATCAGTCATTATTTCTAATCGATCATTCACTCCGCGAGCACCATAAGAGTGACTTGGTAATGAATTGTGTTTTTTTTGAGCGACTAAAAAATGCATTATACTCATCTAATCTGCATACAATTTATTCTGGACTGTAATGACATCATTACCATTAGCTTCATACTCTCAACAGCTAGTTAGCCTACTTACGGGTTTTGAGGTTAATTTATATTCCATACTCAATCAAGTTATATAAACTGAATCCAAATCTGCGTTAAATAATCTTGACTTCAGGAGAACTCTGATTCTTGGAAGAAATGCGTGAATAAGACAAAAACAAAACTTGCTCAGCATCGATTCACGAGTACTGATGAATATAATATTGACACACGCTATAAAAAGTGTGTGCATACTTACTATATATTTATTACTCTGGTCTTATGATTTATTTACTTTTACACATTTGTAATAAAGTATCCAAGAGAAATTCTCGATTAAAAATAGAGAACGATTAGGACAGCTTCTCGAGAAGTACAAAGCTGAGCTATTAGATGAATCTAGGCCAATTGGGTCGTGTATATCGAACGTAAGCGCCTTCATATTCATTACTTTTATCTACACAAACTTCATAGAAACTTATCCTAAGATTTGTAGCAAAGAATCTTAAAGTATGATATGCTAGCTCTCATCCTTGCTTGTTCTCCTTCTCTCGCTTACAATTATCAAGAGCCCTCCTCAATACCTCAGCCAGAAAAGAAAGAGTTGACTTGGGCAGATATAATAGCAGAAGATCCCTTGGAAGGGGATCATTGGGCACAGAATGAAGATTTATCCTCAGATGAACTTATAGAAGAATATGATTCGGACGAATTGAGAGATAAGGCTAAGGAATCCAAGAAAGTGGGTCATTCAGACTAGCTTCGCAATCAATGCTAATACCCTGACTAGCTTAAGCTTAAGCTTGGGCGTAGGCGAATTGATCCACCTGCATTAACAGCTGAAGAAGAGGACGCGTATTATGCAAGTCTCATAAAGATTGATGATAGAGCAGATCCTGATACTCTAGAAGATATGGAGTCATTGCAGTATTGGAGAGATGATTATTACTCGCCTATGGGTAATGCGATTAAAGATATGTTAAAAATAAACAAAAATAAGCTAAAATTATAATACAGAAATATCTGGAGTTTCTTCAATGCAAGATCCAAGCCAGTTAAGTAAGTATTATGCTTAACACAATTGGACTATCACCAACAGATTTGGGATCTATCAATAGGTGAATCCCTAAGTCACTATAACTACGGAGAATACTGCACAGAAAGCCTAGAGTATCTTGATGAGGCAGATATGGTTCGTGAGGTCTTGTTTCTCTTAAAAGGGTACAAAGGAGTTGTGTTTAAGGAAACATCCGAAAGAGAAGATGAACAGATATCTTCCGACAAGTTTTATGTAAGAACGCATATATTATAATTGAATGTAATACCAATACTTTCAGAAATAGGTTGATCCATCTTATACAGTTCGCCATCTCAGTCACCGATTGCTCACCACGTTTTTGGGAGAGTTCTGTGAAACTGGAAACTTGCTAGCAGATCTTCGTCAATGTATCTATAGGTAAATGAGGTTTCGATTAGCTGATATGTGTGTGACAATAAACTTAACATTCTCCTAGTATCTTGGAAAAGCCATCGAATATTTATGGTCAAACTTGCCAGGCATTCTCCACAGCAGTAATTAATGGATTGAACGAATTCGAAAATATCCTTTCTGATTTAGAAGCTAAATGTAGCTACATTGCTTATGGTAAGCTAACTTTTAACACTTATATTCAATATATGTAACATTTATATATATCTCTCTTATAGAAAAAGACCTGTCTATATCACTCCTTCAGATAAAACAGACATTAAGTGAGCCAATACAACGTTTCAAGACAATTCATAGCATCCTTTTTAATGGACCATTTAAAGGTATTTTCTCTAGTGTTTTAGGCAAAAATTAAATACTACGACTCATACTTGTATTGATAGATCAGTTTCCGGTGCCCAGGGAACTAGCAACATATTTAATCTCTACACTTTATGATGTTTCCATTCATTCGCAACTAGCTGGAAAAACGCATAGTCTTCATAGCTTTTCTTATCTCTTTCGCCAGACACTGGTACCATATGGTCAACTTATGGATGATTGGATTTTTTATGGTACATTAAGAGGCGATGTTGCCCGTGAATTTTTCGTTACAAGGTATGATACACAATACAAGTGCGTACAAAACAACTATTGACTCATATTTGAATTGTAGAATAATGAGCGTAAAAGAGACAAGTTTATCCTTTTGGTCAGAGGGATTTCGATTACATTTAGCTGATCAAGAACATACAAGTTTCTCTTGCCCACTTTTTGAAGAAAATATGTTGGCGCGAGTATTCTTCACGGGAAAGGCAGAGTGCTTTATATCTCGAATATTATCACGCAATGTAAGACTCTAGAATCAATACAAGTATGCTATTTTGTAGCAATAACCTTTTTTTTTACTATTTAACTATAGGAATGCTATGAGATGGAAGAACACACTTTTTTTGAGACGGCCCTTAATACAATATTACCTTTTAAACATGAGTTCTTTTTCAACACAACGAGTATAGTGGAAGAAGCTCCAGTGCCTACTAATGTTGATCCTTTTTCAAAAGCCGTATTTCCTCTCGCATTCGAACCATATTTTAAAAAGACTAGGGTAAAGCATCAAGATGTGGGCCAAGAGATTTCATCAGACCCGGCAGATGAAAAAGGTTCTCTCTTAGATAGGGACTTTGCTTATTGCTTGGAGACGTATATTGGATCGTCATACGAACAGTCCGCTGGCAGCTTGAATGTAATACTGCACAAAAATGGAAAAATGGACCAGCACCTGAAATGCATTGGATCAATCTATTTGATGCTGGAAGATAACATGATGGACATATTTTGCGAAGCTCTATTTCTTCAGGTACTATACTCTTGTTTTATGGTATATACTTATTGCTCGAGGAGAGTTTTCTTTAGATGGACCATAAGCAAGCATGGCATGACAAACGCAGTCTCAACAAAATATTTTCTGATGCAGTCAATGCAAGTGGGAGACAAGGCGCAAAGTCTACTCTTCTTTATATGAAAAAACCAGACAAAGAAGATGAGACATCGGTGTATCTTGACGACCAATCTTATTATCTCGGTTATATTGTATTCAATTACATGGTATACTAAGAACGTTATTGCTTAAATCATAACTTATTTACATATTTAATCGTATTAGATACCCTGGCCAATCAATAACTTTATACGGCAGGCTAGTCTAGCTGAATACAACAAGATTACAGGTTTGCTGCTAAGAATTAAACGCGCAAAGTATATTCTCGAGCAAAAAACACTGTTCCAAGGGAGATCAAGGGTTGAGGCTCTCACAAGCACAATGAGATTTTATGCATTAAGAATGCGTATGATGTGGTTTGTGAATGTCTTTTGGGGCTACATAATGACTACGGTAAATATATACTTAACAATAAGTACACTTGGTTAACCCCATATCCTCTAGATTCTTCATTCGGAAACCAGAAAGCTGCAAAATAATATTAGCTTAACTGCAGATGCAGATGAAATCACTTTGCTCCATGATCAATATGTTGGGAGGATTGTAGATCGATGTCTTTTGAACGATAAGGTAATTTTAGGGAAATTTATAATTATTTTTAACAAATGATTTTTGAAATTATAAAATTTAGTCAAAGCCTATCAAGAAAGCTATGGTTCATATACTGAGTTTGGTAGAAAGGCTTTTTATACTATCTGAAACTTATGTAAAAGCCCCTCTTGGAGAAGAGGATCCAAACAAAGAGACCTCTGCAAAAGCATTTGCAAATAAGATTGCTTTGGTGGAAAAGGATTTTAACAGAACCAATGAGTTTATTACTACCAGTTTAGGAATCCTTGGAAAGAAAGGCGGATTCTCTTGGTGTAAGTACACTTATATATATATATGCGCGTGTGTGTTTATTTCAAATAGTTTTAAACATTGTACAAAGATACTTATCCTATATTCATTTTGTATTATCTAAATAGTTGTTGAATTGGCTGCATCTCTTTCTGCCCAATAAGGAATGTTGTAACGCGTTGCTTTTGTATTGTGGTTTATAAAGAGTTGTTTAATACAATCAAATAAAAACACTGTTTGGGATATATTATATGTGTAAATAATTCGTGATACTATTTATAGAGAATAACGATACACATTTGTTTCACGCCGAACAAATCCCAGCTTTTGATACAACGAGTTGGCTGTCTCTCGTTCGGGTCTACTCGTTAGGTCCAAGGTCTTCGTGTGTAGCGATTGGGATATCTCAATGATCTTTTTCAGCAGAGCTTTTCCAACCCCTTTTCCGCGCCATAATTCGGTCACAATGACATCTTCAACATGAGCGCGTAATCCGGTCATGCAATGAGTGATGACAAGAGTAGCTGAACCAATGATCTTTTTGTCGTACATGTCTCGAGCAATTACGATGTGATTCAAAGGAGATTCGAGGGATCTTTTTACGTTAGCTTCGATAGCTGAGGGTGATAGCTGTTTGACAAGTTGAGTGATTTCATAAAGGTTGTCATCGATGTCTGAAGGCACGATGAGTTGGATAGTAAAGAGAGCCATAGTATAAGGAGCAAATAGGGATGAACTCCGCCTTCTTGTTTCGTTAGATGATCAAAGCTCAATAGGAGAATTCAAATTGTACACCAAAATATTTGGGTAAGTTAGTGTGTACTTTACACAGCATAGTATTTTTATTAAGGGTATTAAATTTGTACTGTTAAAGGAGTATTGATCCGATTGAACGATCAAGTTAAGCATACGCGCGTTATTTATAGGTATTGTCTTTTAGGTAAATGTGAATATAGCACTACATCAAATGGTGATATAACTCCTGTAAAGCCAAAAATCAAAAGATATATATGTATATATATATATATATATATATCAAAAAGGGGAAGTTGCAGGGTCGCATTTCATATTGACCTGCAGATACTTTGTTCCAGATCAAACTCATGTCTTAACCTTGCTCTGGACAACATTCTGGGTTACAAGGTCTTTGTTAGGTCAAACATTTTATTGTAAAACTCAAAATTCCTGCTTAGGGTACATGTCTCCTTTGGCTACCTAAATACAAGATATGTAAAAACCATAATAAGAGTGGCTATTAATGGATATAAATTTTTGGTATATTCCATTCTCCAATAATTGTTGGTATGCTTGAAACCCCAACAAAGAACAAATAGAAAGGGTACGAAAGTGCTTGTATTAGCAAACTTGTGGAAGGACACAGACACTTGTGTAGCCCTTGCATTAGGTTTGTTTGTTTGTTTGTTTGTTTCTTTTTTGAATTCTCACAATAGTAAAAACAATGAAAATGATGATTATACTTATTAAGAGGTCAAGTCATTGAGTTTGTTTCATAAAATTATATCAATTTAAAAAAGGGCTATTAAGATGATGAGAAGAATTAGATCAATATAGAGGCTTTAAAAAAATAGAAATGAGCCAAAAAGGTGATATTCAGCAGAGATTTGGTATATCTTCTAAGAACTGGAAAGTACATATGCAGCAAGTGATATCTCTTCTACACATAAATTTGGAACCTTTCATTTGTGGAAATTTATGTGCACACCTTTATGCATCTGCTATTTGGGCCTGTGCGAGTCTTGCTTCAAGACTGCGCAATGCTTCTTCCTTGCTCGAAAGCTCGGCTCTCTTCTCCTGGATTTCACGCTGAACCTTGAGTTCGATCTCACGAAGCTATAGTTTATAATTTGTGTTAGTATAGTAGATAAGGCGAGATAGATAAACAATACCTTTTCTTCTTCCTTTCTCAGTTGCTCCTCCTTGAGACGGACTCCCTGGCTTGCCATGTCGTCTACATTCATTGCAGCATCACTAGAATACAGAATAAGTAACCGCGATTTCTGATATGCATTAATTGGACTCACTCTTGGTCACCGCCACTGACTGTACGACTAAGCTTCTCGGTACGGTAATTCTCGTACAAGAAGTCGTGAGTAATTTCCTTGAGATCCTGCAAATGAGAGCTACACAGCCAGAGTTTATTAACATGAATCAAGTTGGGTAGGTTTTGTCAACTTACCTCAATAGTGCTGATCTCAGTCTTCCAAAGTCCGAGTGCTGGGGATTGTCAACTAAGAAAGACATCGTGAGTATTGTTACACAGACAACGTGGCTGATGTGTACCTTCAACGGCACCCCACGGGTATTGACGGCCACGCACCGTACGACCGTTCACAACGATCTCTTCGTCGCTGCCAATGATTGAAAAGGGTAGCAGAGCCTGAATCCAGGGGTGGATAAGTAAACATATATATATATCAAGGACTGCTTCGACGGGTTGATCCCATTACTTACTCTGAGTTCACTATTCTCTTCGATAGTGTCTTCGTCGTCTTCTTCCACATCGTATGGGAAATTGTAAATTGGAATGTTGTAATGTTCAATATCTTCCATAATCTATCACACGTGGTAAGCACGGTGTTCCACACGTCGGTCTGGCTAACCAAAATTGCTTACTCTTCGTTTAAAATCTTTTAGTTCTTGAGGTGTGAGGGAGTCAGCGCGACCAACGACAGGGATAACATTAACACGAGGACTAAGGCGTCTCATAAGCTCGATATCAATCTCACGAAGTCTTTTTTTAACAAAAAAAATAATGTCATTAATTGAGTGATTGATCGACTAATTAACCATTAACCTACGCATGGCCTGTGGGGGAAATAAAGTAAAGGAGGGCATGGATACGGTTGTCGCGGAAACGAGGGTTACGTTTAATTCGTGATTCTTCGGCGAGAATATCGTCATATTGTCTCTCAAGATAAGCAACAATCTCATGGAAACTAGATACAGAAAACGGTGCGAGATTGAGGAGATATGCAGGGAAGTATGTAGTATCTGTAGGTCTTGTTTGCTTACCATCGTTCGTTGTCAATGTTGTCACCAAATCCAGGGGTGTCAACAATGGTGAGGGATATTCTATCCGAAATTCAAGTAGGTGAGATTGCCGACCAACAAAGAGCACGAATAGATATATATGTATATGTATATGTATATGTATATATATGTATGCGTGTGTGTGTATAAAGTTGAAGATCCAAATCCACTCTCTCCTTCTCTCCCCCCTTGCATAGGCTCCTATCTACCGCTCTCTTTATTTTCTAAACACCCCCTTTGATGTTTTCCAAATAGATCTCGTTTTGCATTTTACCTGACACCATCTTCATCGAGCTCTACGAATTGAATTTAAGTGGTTAGTGTTTATTTCTTTGGGAGGGCTTTGTGTATATATAAAATATAATCTCACCAACAGATACTGGCTTTATGTTGATGCCTGCTTCAATATGGGCGTCTTCTGGACTGTCACAGACCTTTTTGGCCAAAACACCAGAATCGCAGAGAGTGTTGACAAAGGTGGTTCTACCGGTACCAGACGAGCCTAAAAAGAAAAAGAAAGAAAGAAAGAAAGAAAGAAAAATATAAGTTTGCTAAAAAGGATAAGCCTTGGTAGGCAGACGGGCAGGTGGATAGGTATGTAGGTATGTAGATAGGTCTGCTTTGCTCACCGACAACCATGAGAGTAAATTGGAATCCTTTTTTGACGTTCTTTCTGCGTCCGCCGAGTCTCTAAAAAAAGGAGATGAGATGATGATGAAGATGATGATGAAAAATGAGTAATTACGTGGGACATGTTGTGTAGTTTCTTGTAGAGAGGGAAGAAGAGGGAAGAAGAGGAAGTAAAAAGGTTAGGTTTAAATGAAAGGTTTATGCAAAGAGGGGGAGGAACGCTATGAAGCGCAAGAGGAGGGAAGAGGAGTGAATAAAAGGGGTGACGATGCGTGTGCTCTTCATAGCAATGCACGTACAATGTCATATCCTTTAGTGTGACACATATTCTGTTATGGTAACTGATCAGCACCTCTCGATAAAAAGGACAATCCTCACCCCCAAAAATCAACCCACTCAGGTTCCGATCCTTGTCTTCAGGCCATTTTTTAGGCGGGGTCATAAATCAAATATGAATTTATACAATAAAAATAAATCTGCCGTTTGATACAAGTTGATTAAAAAACAAACACACATACACATACATACACTTCATCAAAGGGCCAATTTAATCAAGCTTTGTTTACTTATATAGACCCTTGTAGCTCAAATTGACCAAAATAAAATCATTTTGATATCATAATAAATTTAAATAAAGAAGATTATATATAGATGTAAGTAAGCTAGAATATGCCACAAAGTGATAATGGTTCCTTGCCTAAATTTGATCATTTGTGATAGTTCTGTATCCAGAACGCGGCACACTCTAAAATAAAAGCCAGTTTATATATGATATTACATTTTATTTAAGTATGTAATATATATAATATAATTACTAGTGTCTAGGAACTCATTTTACAAGTAGGGTTGCCAAATTATGAGCAGCTGGGTATTCATTCTATATATTTTATTTTATACTTTATAGTCTTATTTCCATGCCGCAATATCCGCCAACTTTTCCTCAGATTCTCCTTTTGTGTGAGCATATTGGATCAATCTATCGACGGTTGCTTCTTCCAAATGTGGCTTCTTATCACCCAAAGAAGATCCAATTGTCTCCATCAGATCCAAAGCTATTTCCAAGCCTTGACTTGACCGGCAAAGGGCCTCGAGATACATTCGGACATGTTCACTAGTTGGCGTAAACCCAATTGTCTCCAAACTATGCCACACATGTGGTGCTTTGTATGCCTGCCCATTCTTAAGACAACTTTTCAATGCAACCGAAACCATATCGTTACCGATAGAAGAGACAGGAAGAAGATCAAATATTTCCAGCACTTGTTGACAATTGTCGACTTGACTGTAGGCATTCATTAGTGCACGATAAACAGCGATGGTAGGATCAAAGTAAATGTCCATGCGGATCAACTTATGAATTTGCTCGAGAACATATTCATCCTCGTATTTTCCGCATGCCTGGAGCATTGCAATATACGTATCTGCATTTGGCTTTATACTCAATTGGCGCATATCATTGAACAACGTCAAGGCAGTTAGCAGCAGTGGCTGAGATGTCCCGTCTATGTTGTAGAGTTCATCAGGGCCGTCTTCTACAGTGTATGCATAGCTATTCCCACTGCTGTCCGACTCTCTCGGGCTGGTGCTGACCGAATGGTGAGTAAGAGCATTGATTAAAGTGAGGTAGAGTGTGCTGTCAAGAACGACTGTCTTGGGAGTTGCAATTGATTCATCAGGCTCATGCCTGTCCCTGAGCTCGTAATAAATATCCATAGCCATCTGGTAGTTTCCATCATTTATGTACGCCAGCATAAGATATGTATAGGTAACCAAAGTAGGGCTATATTTATCGTTCTGAAAGAAGGCCTTGAACAGTCTCTGTGCCCGAGCAGCTTCTCCCTTTTGGGCCAGTGTCTCCAAAAGGGCGTTCAATTCTGCAGTGCTGTAAGTAGGAACGTTGGAAAACGAATCGTTCTCGAGCTTTCGGACGGCCTCAAAAATAGATTCTTCATTATCAGATTTAATAGGGGTTTTATCTTCTAAATGTGAATTGCTGATGTCATTTGTGCTATAACAGCGTGTCCAGAGAGGTTGTGCAAAGGATAGAGATCGTGTTGTAGGACACCATGCTGAGAGCCTATGTGTTGCGACTACTGAAATACATGGGCGACTGTTTAATCCGCTGCTTCTAAGAAAGAGACAGCTTGCACGCTTCAGTATAGAATGTTGTCCTGTCCTGGAAAGCATGCTGAAACAAGAATGACATTTGACATCACCGCCAGATGTTTTATTTCTTTGACAAAACTCGCCACTAAGATTTTGCTATATACACCACAAGCAAGATACTTTTATGCTTGTCATTTTATTTGACCAGTAAAAATACCGCTAATCCTAGGGGGACGACGTTTCCTGGTGGGGCACGACATTTTGATTCAACCGGACCACAAATTGTGATTTTCTTCCCGGCATGGAATATTATATCTGGTCCTTAAGAATCCATTCTTAGTATAATATTTAATACAAACCAGGATATAGAATGTTCGTATCAACGTTTTTTTTTGTGCTTTAAAAAAATAAAAATAAAAGAGTGGATGAGGACTACCTACCAGTTAGTGTCTTTAAGCTAATTCTGGTTTCTTTTATAGACAGACCCTGGTCCATTTTTTGAGAATGCGGATATATTGGGCAAAAAAAGAGAAAGACATCATATACATAGGAAGGCTAATAAATGGTAAAATATTCAACAAGATTGGATCACAAAGCCTGTAATTCAACAGTTCCTTATAATATTTTGCATAGCTAGCTATTGATATAGTGTATCTGTAACTAATTATTATTTTTTATGGCCAAGTCTAATTTTCTTACGCAAATGGCTATTTTGATACGAATATATTGCATGAATTTCAGGGCACACCATTTTGCTCTAAAGGATTAGAGAAAGACACCGAGCCCCGGACAGGTAGTCATAAGTAATAGAGAACCCGCTGTCGAGTGAAAATTTAGAATTTTCACTCACTTTTGCTTTACGCGGCGATTGAAATTCCAATGAAAAGATGTAAAATTTTACTGAGGGAGGCCATTTAGTGATGAAATGGAGTGAAAAATTGGGAGTTTTCTAGTTTTTCACTCCATTTCATCACCAAGTTTTTATTAAGAATTGAGCTTGTTTCTTTATCTTCAAACATAAACATAATATAGTCAAGAGTCGTCTCTATATATCTACTTAAGAGAATAAGTCTTGGAAAGCCAAGTTTATTAAGATATATCTCTCTTATGTTTGGCACAGTACTTATGTTTTCATCAACTGTGGTTGAGTTTTTCTTTTTTTTTGACTGGGCTTCACTAATAATTCTTTTTTAGCAGTCTTTGAAAATATCACATCCCAACGGGTTCTCTAATTAGTCCGATTAATCATAAACGTCGTGTCCCACCAGAAAACGTCGTCTCCGTAGGATTACTGTAAAAATACGTCACTGTAGTGTGGCTTGTTTTCAGGGGGTGGTAGGTTAAGGATGCAATTCATCAGAAACACTTCTGTCAAAGTTGAAGTAAACCTAACTGAGTCAGTACAGAGCGCTATTTTATTTTGTTATTAATTAATTAAAATATATAGAAAGATGAAAATACTAAAATTCTTCTTGATAGACATTCTAGCAGTTGAAAGAAGTTGTATCTAACAATATCATTATTTTTTGGGGACGTAGAAATCCACACTTGAACAGAGAATTATGAGGGCCCCGGAAAACTACTGAGAAGTATATTTATTGCCCTAAGCTTCACTTAATTAAATTATTTTAATTCTTCATGTTTTAGAAGAGGTGAAATAGAAAAAAAATGCACCAATTTTTAGAAAACAGCACAAGTGTATAGTTCCATAAAATATATTTCATTTTATTTACAGTAGCGCTCAATACTTTGAAGAAACTAACACATGTATTGTGATGTTTGATAGGGCATGGAAAATATATATATCAAAATGTCGAAATTCAAGTGTTTTTAAATACTCGAAAAACCATGTTGAGGTTTACTGTCATATCAACTAATTAGCGAAACATTCAATAATGTAAATATATACAAGAAATTCTACTGTATGTCATTGAATATTCTGTCTGGACATTCAAAACTTTCAATGCTGCAACCAAAAAGACGTTTGCTAATAGGATTTTTTAACAATACAAAATACTATAAAATATAATATAGTCTTTGTGTAGGCGAGTTGAATTCTGGGGCAATGAGACAAATGAAAGAACACAAATGTTTAAACTTTGTCAGTGCTTTTTGGATTTAAAGGGTATAAGATATTTCAGATGATACAATAATTAAACAAAGCTCAAATATAAACAGGCGGTACATCCAGAATTCACTTCAAGAGATTTGGAATTTTGGAGTAGGAATGATACCTTATAGACCCCGAAGAAAGTTATTTTATTGATTATCTGAGACAAAAATACAGAGAAGAAAGCGGAGGAAGTTCAGATACGTGTAGCATATGCTTCATTTTTTGTAAACATTTGTCTGCTATTTCTAAAGCACAGATTTCTTTTGAATATCAAAAATCAAAATATGACATTCATCTTTAGTAGCTTGCATCATAGATTTGTTTATTTTAAGATTTTGGTATAAAGAGAATAATTGATATCAATTATGGTCTTTTATACCTGGCACCAAGTCAATATGTTTGCTTTGTTTCAATACGACAAGAACTTTCTGTCGATATATTAGTTGTAATAAATTGTACTTTTTTGTAGAGGAGCAAATCCCGGGTAATTATCTTTGGATTTTTTTGCCCCTTTTTTGAACTTTTAGTCTGTCCTCATCAAATATTGGCAGAAATAGAAATGGAGACCCAGTGAATTTCCATGTTAAATATAATTAAGAAGAAAATCGTAAAACAAGGGTATAGTGTTTAGAATAAATTGAAGAAGTATAAAAATTAGAGCTATCAAAGGTAAAATTTCAGTGAGTGCATCATAAACCTAAGATGATGATGTAGAAAATTTGGCATGAGTACACTTGAAAAACAGGTAGGGCGTGATCAGGAAGATCAAGACAGAAGAGCACCCGATGAACGACCAATATTGGTGGGGTCAGGTAAAATAATTTTTTGTTTTGTTTTTCAAGCTGTTTTCCGCACATTCTGCTTGTGTAGGTACTGGAAAAAAATTGTGAGAAAGTATTTACATCAGAGGGGTAGATGTAGTAGGTAGATGGTAATCTGTTACAGTTGCTATGTTTTCTGTAAGTGATTTTTCATTTTTTTTTTAGAAACATTAAAAGCCAGACAGCTCCTCATTTTTTCTGGTATATTTTTATTTCTTATTTTTGATCTCATACTATGTTAAATATCATATGGCTATTATTTGTACACGTATGGTATTTTCTATCGAGGGCAACATGATGTGGTGCTTTTTATACGGCTTGAAAATGAGGAGTTATTAAGATAATAATAATAACAATAATAATAAAGAAGAATATATATATGTACATAAAGCAGTCTTGATCATTTTATTGAAGTTACCACTTTTGAATCCACGAAACATATATTTATATTCAAGCCGCATAATAGTTTAATGTAAATGTAAGATGCTTGAATTAGGGTGTACTCTCGAATAAACACATATAAAATACATACAATAGATATGTGTGCTTGAAAAAGGAAAAAGAGCGTTGAATGTACAAATTAGTAGCGTTTATTCTTTTAATTTTATGTCCTATTTATTATTTTACTAATACTCCTCAAAAGGCTTCCTTTACTAAACCCGTGCCAGTCATTACTGATTCTTAATGTGTATACTTAGTTTCTTGCTACGTATAGTACTCTCTAAAAGAGAAAAGAAAAAATATTAACAACAATAAATAAAGTATAAAAAAAAAGGTATAAAAAGAGGGCTTTTCTCGCATTATTATTGCTCTTTATCTTATTCTATTATGTCTCAAATACTCAGAAATACGCAATTATTCGAACCCGTTTCTTCAATAATTCCCGCAAATATACTAACAGCTAACTTGGTAGAAACCACAAGAGATGGTAAATTTTCTTTAGCTAAATTGTCTTATTTAAAAAAAATGACTTTTTTGGATATTTTTATAGACGATGAGCTAATGGAAGATGTTAACATTGAACAAAACTTTTTAAACATGAACATTCGAGATAATAATGAGTTTGATCAAAGGATTGGCGGGCTTGTAATACGTCCTATAAGCTATGCGTGTCCCCTGTGCGAATACACGACTGAGAAGTCGACCAACTTTTTAAGACATGGAATAAAGCACAAAAACAATTAGAACGAAATTTAAACCTTTCTGAAAGGTCGAATAAAGAATGAAATTAATTTTAAGTTTGAAATTTGTATCTGTTTTAATATGCATGTATAAGTCCAATATTTCTAACACTTGGCAACGGTTGAGTGTATGTTGTATACTTTGTCTAGTAAAGTTTTCTTTCTTTCTTTCTTACCTTTTTTTATAATATATATTAGTACCTCGTACATAGTTTATCCTCTCTTACAGCTAAACTTATTGTATTATTCTCTTTAAAAAACACTATAATAACTTGTCGAACATTCTTGACCGGGATAAACTTGAATGCATAAACCCATCCTAAATTTTGTCAAGTGTTTTTAGTTAGATAAAAAGAAACAATCTCTGTTACTGAGCACTTATTCAAGAGATTGGCTATTTCTATGATTATTTTATATTCTACACAGTAGTTTTGTGCGGCACTGGACTGCACTGGAGTGATTGTAAAGTATAAAAAGTTTGACTAGAGAGTTAATTATCATTTTGCTCCTATTAAAAACTCTGGCCAAAGCTATATTAGTTGCTCGTCCTATATGAATCCGATTAATAGGGGACAACTATTCGTGAATACTTTTCAGTAATGGAAAAAAAGTGAAAATTCATTCCAGCTGTTGAAATTCATTTACGATTAATTTAATTCTTACATAAAAAGAGGAATGCTGTAGTGGGTGTTGTGCTGTCGCAAAATAAAATCAAATTGCCATAATGTCCAAATAAAGAATTAGGACTTTTACGTCTTCAAGGCATTTTAAATATCGTATAGCTGGAGGAAAATTGTGGCAATTTTGGATCATTTTGCCATAGATTTTGTAGTAATTCAATAAAATTCTGTGGCAATTTAAAGAATTCTGTGGCAACTTCAAAATAGAAAGCAAATCTGCTGGAATACAAAAATTTAAACTAAGAGACATAAATTCGACAAATATACACCACACAAATCTGGAACAGCAAAAATATGGACGGAATTTTTATTTGTCTGCCAAATTAAGGGGACACTTTTGTCCAATTTACACTGTTTTCCAGTTTTCCAATTTTCCAGATTTAGGACAATATTTTTGAATGAGCTATACCAAAACCAAACCCCGTCGTGCCATAGTGAACTGAATGAACCACTTGACAAATCCCGAGAGCAGAAATTTGGGACAAAGTGTGAATTTGCCCACCAAATTAAGTGTACACTTTTGACCAATTTACTATGTTATCGGGATATCGGGCTATCGTGATTCAGGATTATATTTTTGAATGAATGCCTCATTAGAAAATACACCTTGTCTACCTTACCAAGGAACACAAGTATAATAAGACAGCTCTCAAGTGTAATATAGTAGTACCAAAAACATTATTAATAATATTTTTTAAAGACAAATGTAAGATCAAAATCAAAAAGAGACAAAAACATAAAGATAATATCAAAGTCAAATGAGATCAAAATTTATTGTTCAAATTTTTATAAGGGGAATATAAGTTAGGTTAAATTAAATTAAGTATACTAAGATATTCCAGGCCATGCTAGTCCAGTCGAGTCCAGTCGGTTCCAGTCAAGTCCAGTCGGTTTTTTTTTGGTCCATTTGATTTTTCTTTTGATCTTTTTTTTTGTCCGTTTTTTTTCTTCTTTTTTTTTTGTCCAGTCAATATAAGCTAAGAGTGATAGGAGGAGGAGGATTTTGGTATTGAAAAATAATAAAGGGGATAATTTGGACTTTTTGTTTTTTTCTTGTTTTTTTGATTCTTTTTTTGATTCTTTTTTTTTGTCCAGTCAATTTCACGGAATAGTAATAAGAGGATGATTTTGATATTGAAAAGAATAAAAAAGATAATTTGGACTTTTTTTTTTTTTTTTTTTTTTGTCCAAACACAGCACACATAGTAAAGGGGATAATTTGGACTTTTTGATTTTGATTTTTGATTTTGATTTTTTTTTTGATTTTTTTTTTACTTCTTTTTTTTTGTCCAGTCAGTTTCACATAATAGTAATAAGAGAAGGGGGTTTTGATATTGAAAAGAATAAGAGAAGGGGGTTTTGGTATTGCTCCTTTTGCTCTTTCTGTTTTTTTTTGAGCTTCTTTTTTTGAGCATTTTTTTTTGTTTTTTGTTTTTGATCAAAGACTTCATTTGCTTTGTATGTATATATGTAAAAAGGGATTTCATACCTTGTCTTAATCCAGAGTCTTGTTCCAGTTCGCAGCTTTGCTTCAATCCAGGTCCAGGTTCCAATGCAGTGTTCTTCCGGTTTGTTCATCTTTTTTTTTTTGCTTTTTTTGTTTGTTTTTTTTGCTTTTTTTTTTGCTTTTTTTTTTGCTTTTTTTTTTGCTTTTTTTTTTGCTTTTTTTTTTGCTTTTTTTTTGCTTTTTTTGTTTTTTTTTTTTGCTTTTTTTTTTTTTTTTTTTTTTGAGAGAGGAGGGCTTAGTATATGCCTGTGTGATTTTTGGACAGGACTTAGTATAGGCCTCAGGGTCGGATTTCTTTTGATCCTTTTGGAGTGGAGGACTTAATGTGCCTGATCATTTCTGATAGGTTTTGGTCTACGCCTCGGTTTTTGGATTTGATCCTTTAGGAGTGGAGGACTTAGTATATGCCCGTTTTTTTTTACAGGACTTAGTATAGGCCTCGGATTTAGTTTTTGGTTTTTGGTTTTTCTTTTGGAACTTGCTTTTGGAACTTTGCATTGGACCCCTTTTTGGAAATCGACTTGGCCTTGAGACTTGGAGGTACAACCCAGATTTTGGACTTTGATAGAAATGCGCCTCTACTTTTGTATGTATATATGTATGTATATAAGTGTGTATATGTATGTTTGTATGTCTATGACTATGGCTATGACTATGTGTATGTGTGTGTGTGTATGTGTGTGTGTGTGTGTATGTGTGTGTGTGTGTGTGTGTGTGTGTAAGAAAGAAATAGAAAAATAGAAATTGTGTGTGTTTGTGTGTGTGTGTGTGTGTTTGTGTGTGTATGTATTTGTCTACTTCTCTAATTGTGTACTTCTCTATTTGTTTGTATATGTTTGTGTGCTAGGACTAGTACTAGAACAGTACTTGGACAGTGTTTGGACATTTGGAAATTTGGACTTGGAAAAGACTTGGAAAAGACTTGGAATTGGACTTGGACTTGGACATAGCAATGTACCTTGGCTTGACTATTTTGGAGATTGTACTAGTGACTATGGGGCTTGATCTGAGATAGAGAGATAATTGTAAGCATATTTTTTCTCTGGTAAATATTGTTCTGGTTGTTTTTTTTCTGCTTTTTCTTTTTTTTGTATTTTTTTTTTCTTTTCATTTTCTTTTTATATTTTTTTTTCTTTGTACTTCTTTTCTTTTTTGACTATCTATCTTGATTTGGCTTTGAATCTTGACAGTGACCTTGAGGGTCTCTGAAAAACCTTTTTTTCTCTTGCGCGCATTTGGAGCCTGTATTGTAGCAATACAAAGAACAATTAGTCTATGTCTTGATATATTTCACCCTTTTCCCCGACACTTACATTAGCCTTTCTTGTGGGCCGGATTGATGTTTGCTCTGGCGCCTACTTTGGCCTTTCTTGCGGACCAATTTGTCCTTTTTTCTGGCACATACTTTGGCCTTTCTTGTGGGGCGGTTTGCCCTTTTCTTCTGGCACATACTTTGGCCTTTCTTGTGGGCTGGTTTGCCCTTTTCTTCTGGCACATACTTTGACCTTTCTTGTGGGCTGGTTTGCCCTTTTCTTCTGGCACATACTTTGGCCTTTCTTGTGGGCTGGTTTGCCCTTTCTCTGGTGCGCACTTGGAGCCTGCATTGTAACAATACAAAAACAATTAGATTATGTCTTGAGATAGTTTGGTCCTTTTCCCGACACTTACATTGGCCTGTCTTGTGGGCCAGATTGGTCTTTGCTCTGGCGCATACTTTGGCCTCTCTTATGGGCTGATGTGGCCTTTTTACAGGCGCCCATGTTGGGCTTCTGGTGAGCCTTATCGGCTTTCGACGAGGTGTCTTGAGGACACAACATAGCCGACAATTTTGCGGCAGAAATGGAACCATCGGGTTCCCCGGCAGAAGCAACAGGAAGCAACAGGAAGCAAATGTCCGACCAGTGGGATAAATGTCTCCTACCAGTGAGATAAATGGACCCGCCAGTGGAAGTAAAACAGGCGGCTGGCAACTGGCAACTGGCAACTGGCAACCGACGGCTATATGAAAAGGTCCACTGGCGAGAGATAACAGGTCCACTGGTAGGAGGAAAGGGCCTACCAGTGGGAAGCAACAAACCCACTGGCAGAAAAGTCCCACTGGCGGAAGCAACAGACTAACAAAAAAAGCAACAAGCAACAGTACCTTTCAAACAACATGGACCGCCGTGGAAGGCATCGGGAAGGAACAAGCAACGGGAGGGAACAAGCAACGGGAACTAACCCAAAAAAGATGGTACCAGCCGCGCCCACCAGAAGAGACGACAGAAAGCAACCAGTAATACACAGGAATACGGACAACCGGCTCACACGCTACACGCGCGCTTGTGGACTTGCTCGATAGACCATGGTTGACCCGTGGCTACTACTCCATCGGGCCCTTTTGAAAGAAAGAAACAAAAAGAGAGAGCGGTCGGTCGTAAGAGTCCAAAATCGGCTCAACAAGCTTAACAAAATAATATTGCCAAGGCTTTATGAACGTCTTTTGAACTCTTACAGTCGCCTACTCCACAGGCTTTGATTAATTAGTATTCAAAGCTGCATCGCACATAACGTAAAAAATCATATACTTATCTTAAAGTGATCTGGCTAGCCGTTCATAAGAAAAGAAGCATGGCTATCGGAAGACCCTCTTGGCTTCTGTGTATAAACGATGACCGGCCGGACATAAACCCATATATTACCAGAAGCTCTCCATCGTCTCCACCAGTAGACACGGCCAGTACAAAGAAAAAGGGAAAAAAGGAAAACCAAAAGACGCGAAAATTTTTCTCTAGTTATAAAAACAGAAATGGAGAGATGATGACGCCTCCCTCACTTTAGTCCAATAAAATTCATTGAAAGTATACATCAATCAAAAGATTGGGGGAGATAGGGGGAGGAGGATGGATGGATGCATCCTGTGTGGTGTTGGTCACGTTGATCATTTGTTTCCGTCACTACAAATACTTTTCAGAGAAAGTACCTGATTATAATATTGTATATACACAAGCTGAAAAATGAAAACAGAAAGCCTTTTTAAAATATAGCACTGGTCTTGCTTTCCAACTCTTACACTCAGTACCTATATGCTTACTTTTTGCAGTGTTATGTTGTAGTATCCTTTAAATGTATCTACTGTTTCATAAAGGCCAGGCCTTGAAAGGCGTTTTCGGAAAAATTAAGGCCGTCATGATATAAAAGATAGGGGGGAGATCATGCAAATAAACAGGCTAAGTCCAAACAAGGAAACCCAATATAGATAAATTCATACAGATATGTATCACACGTTTTATATTTTCTCTCACTCTCTTTGTTTCCTTTCAATGGTTACCAAGTTACTTATGAAGCTAATAAAGCAAGCACACCAAGGCAAGAGGTGTTTGGTAAAGAATACAAAACATACAAGACATAAAAAATGGCTATAGTTACTTGGCTTATTATTTATAAAAAAAATTGAATAATTTTGATAGTGTGCTTCTGTTAATCAAACAAGTCTAAGAGTACGCCTAATCGTAGCACTTTCACGTGAATTGATAAATCCCTTTATAAAAAATATATTTTTCTTAAGTTAAAGAGTGCTTTATACTGCTACTCTCGAATCGACTCTTTTACATATTCAGTATATAAAGACTCTCTATATCTCTTACTAGGCTTCTTTTATTTACCCTATATGTATTAGATTAATGTACTCTAAGCAATAGGCAGCACTATAGATTGTGTATTGAATAATGCAATTTATTTTTGTAATAAAAAAAAAAGAGATAAATATGCACTTTTAATAACAATATATATCATACATGTAGTATGACAATATTATCTGAAATCCTCAAGCCTCTTATAACTTACAAAATAAAATCTAAAGCCGAGTGCTTTAATATATTATGCCTTTTGCAAATGTAATTTTAAGCAGACACGCAAGTAATTTTTATTTTGTGCATGTATAAAAGGCAAGTGGTTACCTTTTGTTTATTTATTTTTAAAGAAAAGAGGTTGGATATAAAATTGAACAATGCTTTTGCGACAACACTTCATAGTTTTCTGCTAACAATATTAGCTCATAAATATTACTAGCTGTATGTTATTCGAGTAAAAACATTGTGACGATGAGTATTAGTCTCTTGGATCTCACGCGTGCAGATACCTGGGAATTCTAGTACAAAAATTATACAATAAAGAGTAAATAATAAGAGAGAAAGAAAAATATAACTACCACAAAGTATCGACTTGATTTGGGAGCACAAAGAAAGATGCATTGGTCAGTGTAGTTCTTATCCGTGATTATTGTTTTTTAAATGTGCCCAAGTAGGGCCAGTTTCTTATTTTTCCCATATTTTCCAATTAGGCACAGCAACGAAAGTTCAACCCAGAGCCAATTAAATAAAGTGTTGGTGTGGGTCGTTTTGAAGTGAACAGATAGAGGAGTTGGGACAGCTAGCTGGAGATGCTGTTGGCATATATGGGGTGACTATATTTCTATTTGTGGTTACTGAGGTATACGAATAAGATTTTAAAAGGGAACAATAGATACTGTGAGAGTGTTGTTTATTTAAGAAAGAAGATCATAGCTGTTTATACAGACATCCGGTTCCCTAATTTAAGATCTCCGTAGGTTAATGGTTGATTATCACTGAAGCAGTGTGAAGTGTACGAGTGCCTGGTGCGTGTTACATTCCTGAGATGTGATCCTGCCAGATTCATTATCAATTGTAGTATCCGTTCTGGATTGTGGAGTTTGTATTTCACTCAACTGTGGTGTGTATAACACAGTTACAAAGTGACCAACTGGATCTGACATGTAAATAAGGGTAATTTTATAAAGTAATAAAATTTCTTACAGGATACATAGATGTAAAGGCTAGTAAATAGATAACGTGATATACCTGATGGCTTAACAACCAGCGGAACTTTCGGTACTATTATATCTACTAATAAGATATGGCGGTGCACATAAGATTAAGATAAATCATTATAAGCAAGAAATAACACATGCAGAGAAGCGGTGAATACAAGAAGAAAGGCAAGCTTCTCTGATAAAATACGGAAAGACATATAATAATCCGAATGAATACGATTGAGACGGGCTGTGTTGGTTTGTGTAAAAAGTGATCCAAACGATTAATAGAAAAAAGGAATATATATCAATCTCCTCTAACAACTCCTTAGCCCTAATATTGGCAATTGGCAGCTTGTTCTCTCAAGAAAGATAAAAAGAAGATAGAAGTGATTTGTAAGGATGTTCTTTATTGCTTTCATCTTTCGATGTTTATAAAATTATTTTGAGAATAAATAAAATAGTATAATTAGTAAGATATTACTAAGCTATTACTAAGATGTTGGGATAAACTATGCTTCTTTGGATAATTAATAATAAATAAGAGATTGAAATAGAGATATATAGTTATCGTTGGGGTTCATTGTTACAATCCTTATGTTTTTCAATTGATTGCTGCACCAGTTGTAACAATCATGTTCTTCCCAAGGTCATGACTTAATTAATTGGCTTACATAATCGATACAGAAAGATTTAGAGATATGGGATATGTTTGGGCCAGTCGAAAATGTGAATATACACGCAACGTGGCACGATCAAGAGCATAGAAGTCTGGAATGAGGTCTACAGTAGGGTGCGATAAAGGATAATCATAGCAGCAAAGAGAAGAGAGAAAAGAGACTAGATCTTTGGCGCATACGGATTTGTGATTGGGGTCGAAATGAAGAGTTGCCAATTTGAAGAGTTTAAAAGTGAAAATATTATATTAAGTTACCAAAGCAGATATGAAGAAAGTGATAAGACTCTGGAGATAATATTTATAAACAACACTATTTTTTGTAGTCAAAATTGTAAGCAATAATTGACCATCGTTATAAATAAATATTGATTACTGCTGAGCCTGAGATCAAGACCAACGAAGAAATAATGTGCAATTAATAATTCCAGTTAAACAGATCTACTTTCACTCTAATTGCTAATACACAAATTATTTTACAAGTAGTTTGTTATTACTATATATTTTATCATAATATGTAATTCACAATCACACATCGTACATATACTATATAGTGCTATCTCAGCTACATATTTATCTTACTATAGTTATACTTTATTTAAATATTACACATTAGTTTACTTATAAATCAAAAACATTTTCTGAGTACTTAAGTCAAAAAATTCAGATATTAACAATAGTATAGATACTCTTTCTTGTTCAAAATCTCTAGCTGGTATGACTAGAGTGTCGACGTACCCATAGATATTTTCAGCAAAATAAAACTCCTTAAATATGTTTAGTAATAATAATTATTCGAAATATACTGAAATATAATTTAGAGAATGACACGGTGGATCTTATCCACCGGTGTTTCTTGTATTGCTCATCGCGATGAACTTCGAAGTAGTGACGTAGCTGTAGAAATAGCCCGAAGTAGTTAAATAGCTCTTTTTATTTGTTCCTTAATAAAATTGTCTTTCTACCCGTATTCATTTTCTTGTCACCGAGTTGGACATTTGCACCACATAACCAACCCACCATATGTCAAGAACATATAGATACCAGAAGCTGGTACTGTGTAAAAGAAATTGAATCGCATTAATTTTCTTCTCTTCTTTTGAAATAAAGCATCATATATAAACAGTCGTAAATCCTATCCTCTTTATTCTCTTCACTTTTCTCGAAACATAAAATTTAAACGGTTTTAGAATGAATAGTATAAATTTCTTCTATGAAATCCCCCCCCCCCCCCAAAAAAAAAGGAAAAGTTTACTTATAAGCAAAATAATTGTAAGCAGTATTCAGCCTGCTACAAGTGTGCAACGTTCAGAATAAAAGAAAGGCTTTTATTGGTCAGAGCATATAAAGAGTAGAGCACTTCTTTAAAAGAGTACTAGATCGGGTACAATATGGGATCCATAGACTTTCGAGAAAAAGAAAACCGGTTATGAAATGCTAAAAGAACTATAAGCTGAGTAGAATATTGCAAGCCCACAGAAATGAGGATAGCATCCAATGAAAAGCTTTTTTTTTATTTTTGAAAAGAGTGTTATTTATAAGATCAAATTCCAAGCTAATAGACCAGTCAGTAAATCCATAATAGAGACTCACAAATATGGACTTTACACAAGTTGATTGTGAATATCAAAGCCTTTAATTATTATAGTCGCATAAGTAAATAGGTTCTTGTTGTGATATACACACCACAATTGAGTGAAGAACAGACTCCACAACCAAACACTGGTTCCTTCTTGCTAATGGACCTGGTAAGTTAACAATCTCTGGAACTGTTATACACCAGGCACACGTACACTACACACTCAGACAGTGTAAACCAACCATTACACAACAGGGATTTGAATTACAGGGATTTTAATAGTAACTGTTGTAAACAATATTATTTTGTCTCTTTAATAAATAACACTCTCACAGTATCTACTTTTCCCATTATTGAGATACTAGCCCATAAATAATCCCGAATACCTCACTTTTGATTGTCAATTCTTTGTTTTTGTATAGCAATTTGGCAAGAAAGAGACTCTGTAAACTTTAATAATTTGTCAACTCTACAAAAAGAGTAAAATGCAAAATACTTCTATATACGGTTACAGCTTGCAAAGCAAAAAAAATATGATTGACTTCGGAACATAAACAGTAATGTTTCTTTATATATTAAAAAAACATGCTTTAAAGTATTTAAATAAAAGCTGTTAGTCGATAGTAATATAACTCCCAAGTATCTGCAAGCTTAAAATCCGAAAGACTAAAGCTCATTGTCACAACATTTTTATTCACGTAAGACACGGCTAGTAACATTTAGAATCACCAGTATTAATACAATATTTACAAATAACATATATTGTTAGCAGAAAATTATGAAGTGTTGTCGCAAAAGCATTGTTCAATTTTATATCCAACCTCTTTTCTTTAAAAATAAATAAACAAAAGGTAACCACTTGCCTTTTATACATGCACAAAATAAAAATTACTTGCGTGTCTGCTTAAAATTACATTTGCAAAAGGCATAATATATTAAAGCACTCGGCTTTAGATTTTATTTTGTAAGTTATAAGAGGCTTGAGGATTTCAGATAATATTGTCATACTACATGTATGATATATATTGTTATTAAAAGTGCATATTTATCTCTTTTTTTTTTATTACAAAAATAAATTGCATTATTCAATACACAATCTATAGTGCTGCCTATTGCTTAGAGTACATTAATCTAATACATATAGGGTAAATAAAAGAAGCCTAGTAAGAGATATAGAGAGTCTTTATATACTGAATATGTAAAAGAGTCGATTCGAGAGTAGCAGTATAAAGCACTCTTTAACTTAAGAAAAATATATTTTTTATAAAGGGATTTATCAATTCACGTGAAAGTGCTACGATTAGGCGTACTCTTAGACTTGTTTGATTAACAGAAGCACACTATCAAAATTATTCAATTTTTTTTATAAATAATAAGCCAAGTAACTATAGCCATTTTTTATGTCTTGTATGTTTTGTATTCTTTACCAAACACCTCTTGCCTTGGTGTGCTTGCTTTATTAGCTTCATAAGTAACTTGGTAACCATTGAAAGGAAACAAAGAGAGTGAGAGAAAATATAAAACGTGTGATACATATCTGTATGAATTTATCTATATTGGGTTTCCTTGTTTGGACTTAGCCTGTTTATTTGCATGATCTCCCCCCTATCTTTTATATCATGACGGCCTTAATTTTTCCGAAAACGCCTTTCAAGGCCTGGCCTTTATGAAACAGTAGATACATTTAAAGGATACTACAACATAACACTGCAAAAAGTAAGCATATAGGTACTGAGTGTAAGAGTTGGAAAGCAAGACCAGTGCTATATTTTAAAAAGGCTTTCTGTTTTCATTTTTCAGCTTGTGTATATACAATATTATAATCAGGTACTTTCTCTGAAAAGTATTTGTAGTGACGGAAACAAATGATCAACGTGACCAACACCACACAGGATGCATCCATCCATCCTCCTCCCCCTATCTCCCCCAATCTTTTGATTGATGTATACTTTCAATGAATTTTATTGGACTAAAGTGAGGGAGGCGTCATCATCTCTCCATTTCTGTTTTTATAACTAGAGAAAAATTTTCGCGTCTTTTGGTTTTCCTTTTTTCCCTTTTTCTTTGTACTGGCCGTGTCTACTGGTGGAGACGATGGAGAGCTTCTGGTAATATATGGGTTTATGTCCGGCCGGTCATCGTTTATACACAGAAGCCAAGAGGGTCTTCCGATAGCCATGCTTCTTTTCTTATGAACGGCTAGCCAGATCACTTTAAGATAAGTATATGATTTTTTACGTTATGTGCGATGCAGCTTTGAATACTAATTAATCAAAGCCTGTGGAGTAGGCGACTGTAAGAGTTCAAAAGACGTTCATAAAGCCTTGGCAATATTATTTTGTTAAGCTTGTTGAGCCGATTTTGGACTCTTACGACCGACCGCTCTCTCTTTTTGTTTCTTTCTTTCAAAAGGGCCCGATGGAGTAGTAGCCACGGGTCAACCATGGTCTATCGAGCAAGTCCACAAGCGCGCGTGTAGCGTGTGAGCCGGTTGTCCGTATTCCTGTGTATTACTGGTTGCTTTCTGTCGTCTCTTCTGGTGGGCGCGGCTGGTACCATCTTTTTTGGGTTAGTTCCCGTTGCTTGTTCCCTCCCGTTGCTTGTTCCTTCCCGATGCCTTCCACGGCGGTCCATGTTGTTTGAAAGGTACTGTTGCTTGTTGCTTTTTTTGTTAGTCTGTTGCTTCCGCCAGTGGGACTTTTCTGCCAGTGGGTTTGTTGCTTCCCACTGGTAGGCCCTTTCCTCCTACCAGTGGACCTGTTATCTCTCGCCAGTGGACCTTTTCATATAGCCGTCGGTTGCCAGTTGCCAGTTGCCAGTTGCCAGCCGCCTGTTTTACTTCCACTGGCGGGTCCATTTATCTCACTGGTAGGAGACATTTATCCCACTGGTCGGACATTTGCTTCCTGTTGCTTCCTGTTGCTTCTGCCGGGGAACCCGATGGTTCCATTTCTGCCGCAAAATTGTCGGCTATGTTGTGTCCTCAAGACACCTCGTCGAAAGCCGATAAGGCTCACCAGAAGCCCAACATGGGCGCCTGTAAAAAGGCCACATCAGCCCATAAGAGAGGCCAAAGTATGCGCCAGAGCAAAGACCAATCTGGCCCACAAGACAGGCCAATGTAAGTGTCGGGAAAAGGACCAAACTATCTCAAGACATAATCTAATTGTTTTTGTATTGTTACAATGCAGGCTCCAAGTGCGCACCAGAGAAAGGGCAAACCAGCCCACAAGAAAGGCCAAAGTATGTGCCAGAAGAAAAGGGCAAACCAGCCCACAAGAAAGGTCAAAGTATGTGCCAGAAGAAAAGGGCAAACCAGCCCACAAGAAAGGCCAAAGTATGTGCCAGAAGAAAAGGGCAAACCGCCCCACAAGAAAGGCCAAAGTATGTGCCAGAAAAAAGGACAAATTGGTCCGCAAGAAAGGCCAAAGTAGGCGCCAGAGCAAACATCAATCCGGCCCACAAGAAAGGCTAATGTAAGTGTCGGGGAAAAGGGTGAAATATATCAAGACATAGACTAATTGTTCTTTGTATTGCTACAATACAGGCTCCAAATGCGCGCAAGAGAAAAAAAGGTTTTTCAGAGACCCTCAAGGTCACTGTCAAGATTCAAAGCCAAATCAAGATAGATAGTCAAAAAAGAAAAGAAGTACAAAGAAAAAAAAATATAAAAAGAAAATGAAAAGAAAAAAAAAATACAAAAAAAAGAAAAAGCAGAAAAAAAACAACCAGAACAATATTTACCAGAGAAAAAATATGCTTACAATTATCTCTCTATCTCAGATCAAGCCCCATAGTCACTAGTACAATCTCCAAAATAGTCAAGCCAAGGTACATTGCTATGTCCAAGTCCAAGTCCAATTCCAAGTCTTTTCCAAGTCTTTTCCAAGTCCAAATTTCCAAATGTCCAAACACTGTCCAAGTACTGTTCTAGTACTAGTCCTAGCACACAAACATATACAAACAAATAGAGAAGTACACAATTAGAGAAGTAGACAAATACATACACACACAAACACACACACACACACACAAACACACACAATTTCTATTTTTCTATTTCTTTCTTACACACACACACACACACACACACACATACACACACACACACACATACACACACACACATACACATAGTCATAGCCATAGTCATAGACATACAAACATACATATACACACTTATATACATACATATATACATACAAAAGTAGAGGCGCATTTCTATCAAAGTCCAAAATCTGGGTTGTACCTCCAAGTCTCAAGGCCAAGTCGATTTCCAAAAAGGGGTCCAATGCAAAGTTCCAAAAGCAAGTTCCAAAAGAAAAACCAAAAACCAAAAACTAAATCCGAGGCCTATACTAAGTCCTGTAAAAAAAAACGGGCATATACTAAGTCCTCCACTCCTAAAGGATCAAATCCAAAAACCGAGGCGTAGACCAAAACCTATCAGAAATGATCAGGCACATTAAGTCCTCCACTCCAAAAGGATCAAAAGAAATCCGACCCTGAGGCCTATACTAAGTCCTGTCCAAAAATCACACAGGCATATACTAAGCCCTCCTCTCTCAAAAAAAAAAAAAAAAAAAAGCAAAAAAAAAAAACAAAAAAAGCAAAAAAAAAGCAAAAAAAAAAGCAAAAAAAAAAGCAAAAAAAAAAGCAAAAAAAAAAGCAAAAAAAACAAACAAAAAAAGCAAAAAAAAAAAGATGAACAAACCGGAAGAACACTGCATTGGAACCTGGACCTGGATTGAAGCAAAGCTGCGAACTGGAACAAGACTCTGGATTAAGACAAGGTATGAAATCCCTTTTTACATATATACATACAAAGCAAATGAAGTCTTTGATCAAAAACAAAAAACAAAAAAAAATGCTCAAAAAAAGAAGCTCAAAAAAAAACAGAAAGAGCAAAAGGAGCAATACCAAAACCCCCTTCTCTTATTCTTTTCAATATCAAAACCCCCTTCTCTTATTACTATTATGTGAAACTGACTGGACAAAAAAAAAGAAGTAAAAAAAAAATCAAAAAAAAAATCAAAATCAAAAATCAAAATCAAAAAGTCCAAATTATCCCCTTTACTATGTGTGCTGTGTTTGGACAAAAAAAAAAAAAAAAAAAAAAGTCCAAATTATCTTTTTTATTCTTTTCAATATCAAAATCATCCTCTTATTACTATTCCGTGAAATTGACTGGACAAAAAAAAAAGAATCAAAAAAAGAATCAAAAAAACAAGAAAAAAACAAAAAGTCCAAATTATCCCCTTTATTATTTTTCAATACCAAAATCCTCCTCCTCCTATCACTCTTAGCTTATATTGACTGGACAAAAAAAAAAGAAGAAAAAAAACGGACAAAAAAAAAGATCAAAAGAAAAATCAAATGGACCAAAAAAAAACCGACTGGACTTGACTGGAACCGACTGGACTCGACTGGACTAGCATGGCCTGGAATATCTTAGTATACTTAATTTAATTTAACCTAACTTATATTCCCCTTATAAAAATTTGAACAATAAATTTTGATCTCATTTGACTTTGATATTATCTTTATGTTTTTGTCTCTTTTTGATTTTGATCTTACATTTGTCTTTAAAAAATATTATTAATAATGTTTTTGGTACTACTATATTACACTTGAGAGCTGTCTTATTATACTTGTGTTCCTTGGTAAGGTAGACAAGGTGTATTTTCTAATGAGGCATTCATTCAAAAATATAATCCTGAATCACGATAGCCCGATATCCCGATAACATAGTAAATTGGTCAAAAGTGTACACTTAATTTGGTGGGCAAATAAAAATTCCGTCCATATTTTTGCTGTTCCAGATTTGTGTGGTGTATATTTGTCGAATTTATGTCTCTTAGTTTAAATTTTTGTATTCCAGCAGATTTGCTTTCTATTTTGAAGTTGCCACAGAATTCTTTAAATTGCCACAATTCCCCTCCAACTCTACGGTGTTTATAATATTTTGAGAACCTAAACATCCGACTTCTTTATTTGGACGTTATGGCAATTTGATTTGATTTTGCCACGGCACAACACCCACTCTATTAATAAAAAAAAGTCTATTTTTTCCTTTTATTATATGCGTTATTTCTTAAGTAGAGGTGTTGATACAAGTGATTATGAAAGAAATATAATACAAATCATAGTGTAAGAAAAAGAGAGAGATGAAGAAGATTAAGCAAAGATCACCATATTAGTTATCTGACCATTTGGCTAGCTCATTTCGAAAGGCACTGATGCGTTGTGTGAAGAACAAAAAGTAATCGAAATCAATTTCACTTTGGCTTGCCTGGATCAAACCCCAAAGACCCCAGAAAACGTGTGGTCCCATAAGCCATGTAGAGACTTCTCTTTCCAGATCTTCTGCACACAAGCTATTATCTTCCCCGGCGTCAATATAAGCCTTGCAGAACCTCAAACGCTCCTCAAGTGTAGGAAATCTGTCTGCTTGAAGTGAGGCTGGCTGATCAGAATGGTAGTCATACATCCATTCGCAAAAATGGTTTGCGATATCAAAGCCACGAGGGTTGTAACCTGAATATTCAAAGTCTACCACAACTAACTCTCCAGTCTTCTCCAGTTGAAGAATATTACCGTATTGTGTCTAGTAATTTACGCAGTTTACTTTATAAGCATATGCATTATTATACCTAAGTCAAGCAGATTCCCACTTACATCATTGTGCGCAAAAACAACAGGGCTTTGAACACGTTCTAAAATAGCCTTACACTGCAAAATTTCTTGCCCAAGCTGATCGAGGTTATAGGCATCCAAGATCTTACCCCAATCTGCGTTCTTATTTTTTAATGATGGTACCAATCCAAGAACAACACGATACCACTTGTCAATGTTGCACCACACTTCAAGTGTTTGGCTTTTCGAAGGAGGGTAGACATTGATAATATCATGAAGACGTCGAAGACAGATAGCGATCTGCTGTGAGATTATAGGTTGGTGGATTGCATCGCTGGTTAATGTGGTAGAATCCAAGTACTCTTCGAATCTGCCATTCTCAAACGTGCCAAGCAATGCTGGGCCAATCTTCAAATCTGAGAGACGTGCCAGCCAAAACAACTCCTTGGCACGATCAACGATCTGATCACAACCAATACCATACACTCTGAGCAGCATGCGTCTCTTATTTGGTGCATTTACAAAAAACACGGCACTGTAAAATAGATTCAAATATGTGAGCTTGGTCAATGGATCAAATCACGGTGATGAGTGTTGAAGGCCTACTTTGTGAGTGCACCACTAACACGATCTAGAGAGACTTTTTCAACATTATGTGCCCATTCTGGAAAAAGATTACGAATGATGTTGAGTACAGCGGCTGAAAGCTTTTCTCCTTTAAGGACACTGCGAATATAAGAATTAATATTTTGCAAGAGATATTAGATCAAGGGTTAATACTTGCGTGAGATCGATTAAAGAATTACAACTTGGGACATTGTCTTTTGTGGACTGGGTTGCGACCATACCACCATAGTTGTGGTAACCATTCGAAATATGTGACATACTGTTCTGCTGCAAGGTTTGGCGTAACACTGATATATATATATGTATATGTATATAAAAAAAGAATTCAAAAAATGCAGCTGTTCCGAATAAACACAACGTGAGCAAGAAGAGTAAGAGGAATGTCCGACAGAGGTGGGACAACAAGGGTAAAGAAGCGAGTATTGATCTTGTTTATTTGGTTCTCTTTTCACATAGGTACTCTGCATACACGTCTCTATTGTATCCAAAGTGAATGCCATCTTGTTTTGATAGATGATTTGAAGCAAGAGGTACTATGATAAGATATTACACGGTAAATATATGGTATCTTATTTACTATGATTTGCAGGTTGACTTACAAAACCAGAGCCACCATTGGTCTCCCATGACTTCGATCCAATTGGCAGACACACTCTGAAAGAATATATTACGTCCGGTAGTAGTAAATGTGTTGGGTGGCTTAACATCCTGGCCACCTTCCTTCTTTCGAGTATCTGTCCATTGTCGAAAGTTTATATTCTCGAGTGTAGTGCGGTTTATCATGGCCAGCCAAAGATGGGAGCAGGTGAATATGCCAATGAAGAACATAACAATACCAGAGCTAAACAAACAAGCAATCAAATGAAGAAAGTATCATAATTTAGTTTATAATTGAAAAAATACAAATACCAAACTTACATTATAAATATTGCTAGAGCTACACCATCAAAAGTAGACTACATAATATATATCAAGTATTATTATACATTGTCAACAGACAATATATTGAAAAATAAATTGTGCATCCGCTTACCATGCTGTTATACATAATAAAAGATGCCAATGTGGTTAAAAATATCCAAGTAGCCATTCCAGAGGTGTAGCAGATAAACTGAATAAAATATCGATAGTTCTCCAATCCTACGCATCCGTTTACCCTACAGATCCAGCTTAAATTACATACGACTTCGTACCTGATCAGAGGCTTACCATGGGCAATGGCTAAGAAAAATAAACAAATAATATACATATATGTATTTGTTAGATTATGCAACTATATAAAATAAAGACCGACTTACTGATCCATCTTTAGTACACATCTGTCACAGACTCTGCAGTGATGTGTTCTATCAGGCTTCCAAACTTGGCATATTTCACACCATTTTGGGCCACCTAGGATAGACTCGGGTACATTTGCGGTCTCCCCACCCCAGGATACTGGTGTTATTGCACTAGTATCGCTTTCTTGTTGAGAATCGTGATTAGACGAAGAATTTGCTGGAGCTGCTGATGGCTATACAGAGTAATTAAGTAAATATTAGATAATAATATACAAGTACCTGCATACACATACATACGCATACATATGGAGTGCATATATATTACACCCACACCCACACACCCAGACACTAAATCTTTTAAACTGTCTTTGAAAATATATATCAAGGATTAGGATACCTTTGGGTGACCAGGTGTATGGGATACAATACGGGCATACGAAGCTAGGAACATTATGAACCATAGGTGAAAAAAGACCAAGTAGACTATCGCCTGTGCTTTCTTCCCTATCCGTAACAAGACCACTATAGATAATACATAAGTATGATCAATCCATATCAAATATAACTAAGTAGGCTGTGATGTGACTTACGATTAACATGAATAAGGTAGCCGTAATATACAAACCCAGCTATTCCAAGAACCACCAAGATAGGCATCAAACCCCAGTCACGATGCTGACCTGGTTTTTTCCCTTTTGGAAGTGGAAGGGGATAGTCGGTAATGGCGGAAAAGAGAAAGATCGCTGGCCAGAATCGTGCATACAATGGGGAATCTGTGTGAAGACAGCAACAGGCATGAGTGTCCTTCTCATCGACTGTAGAATGACCAGTGTTAGAGCGAGAACATGGTCGGATAGGGTTGACAGAGCATCGATCTGGAGGTATATTAGACATAGAGGTATATATATATATATGTGTGTGTATGTGTGTTTGTGTGTGTGTAAGCGATAAAAAAAGGAGAGGGGGTCAAAAAGAGGTTCCTGATCGAATAAGTCGGCAGCAAGAAAGAAGAAAGAAAGGATGATTTCACCATGACAACGTTACAAGCGGACGTTTAACCAAAGTACAAATGTCAAATGCGCCGTATGCGGGCAGTGGATCCAAAAGGAAAATAAATAGAAAATATATACACATAGAATAAAATTCCAATTTCTTGGTTCGAAAGAATTCGTGTAAACCTCTTTGATCCAATATATATATGTGTGTGTTTTATTTATTATTACAATTATTGATAAGAAAAATGATAACAAATGTTCAGTTGCTAGTACGGCGCTGGATACCATAAATCGCATCGCTGTTGGCAGTAAATGTATGGTAATGGGAACCAAAAGTGACTATCCCATATAGTCAATGAACACTGGTTCGATTACTTGCGCTCCTCTTTCTTTATATTTCTCATTTTCTCATTTTTCTTCTTTTTCTATATGTCTTTTTGTCTCAACTTTAAGTTTCACTTCATGTCTATACCTGTTACTCGCTTAAGTTTGTCTGCTTCATTTTCATTAAATAAAGTACCCAAATGAGAGGCATCATTCAATAGTTGGTAAGCAACTCGAGCCTCTCTTGCGGTTTCTTCAGGACTGGCAGTACTCTGTAAACGAGTGTAGGATCAGTAAGCCTTTTTATTATAAGTAAATATAAATAGATCATGTTAATCAAGGAATTACATTGATCACTTTTCCATTGTCTACTGATGCAGAAAAAGACGACAGATGGCCTGGTAGGGAAGACAGAGCATCAAAATTGGCATCACTCATCTCACACGTCGTAAGATTCTATGCAGGACGCTCGGCTTTGGTCTTTAAATGGCCCCTATGCAGAATGATGACGTTGTCGCGAGTGTTTGATCTCCGCATTCAAAACATCCTCTTTCCTTTCACTTTTCACGTTCCAACACAAACATACTCTTTCATTAAATCATGGTATGAATCGCTCACTCATTAAGCCGGTTAATGTCTGATTTTTAAAAACCTAACACGATATTTGATTTGATAGGGTGCTGTCAGCCGTTATCCTTACCCAAAGCAAGTCTGGTAAGTCCCCAGTAAAACAAAATACACAATTCAAACCAGAAAATAACAAGCCGATATCGATATCGATATCAATATAAATATCAATAATAATATAATTATAATAATTAAAGGTCCCCCGCTGGTGGTTGGTGGGCACAGCCTAAGACATGGAAGTCCAACACTGCAATTGCTGCCCTTGGCATGATCGTTACCCTCGGTGCCGTCTGGAGTGTCTCTGCTGAGAAGGAGGTATGTTGTATAAATACAACAGTATTTGTGCATACATAATTACTGACTATTGTTTACAGAAACGCTACCAGCAACCTAAGCGTTGGATCCCTTCTATGCTGGCAAGTATCTTATATTTACTTTTTTAATTAATTGATAAGTCTGAGAATCTTCCGTAGCATACCAATTAACAAATATGTGCATCATTTTATTTATTAGTGGGCTAAACAGTACAGAAACCAAGATAACTAGGTGTGTGCATGTGTTTGCGTGTGTGTATGTTCCATCAATCTACATTATACTTCCTGGCAATAAAAGTGGTAACCCCAAAAAAAATAAAACCTCAATCAGAAAGCAAATGGATAGTGTATATTACCAAAGTGGATGAGCAAAGGAAGAAGAAGATGAAGAAAAGTGAAAAAGAGACCATATACTATTTATTAGCAGTTACGCTGTACTGCTATTTTCTCTGGCGCTATTTGAATGTAGCCCACTCTCCCCATTCGTCTTCTTCTTTGACGGGTTGCTTAGATGCCGTAGTAGAAGTATCGGCTACCTCCCACGTTGATGGCCAGTCGTCGTGTTGAGAGCTGGATGCGAAGTCACCAAAATCATCGCTGGCATTTGTTTCAAGGGGTGCAGCCAGGAAATCCCCGAATTCAAAATCAATTTTTGTTTCGGATGCTTTAGTGCCTGACTGCAAAGTACGGTTTTGTACAGCTTTATGTGTCATCACATTATAAGCAGTATTGTTTAAAGAGGTTTCTTTTTTGTGAATAATGGCGTTGTGGGTCGTTTGAAACGGCTGCATTGAAGGAACGGGATAAGAATGTTCAGTAGGCTGGGTTTGTTTAGTTGGTTGAATAAAATCGTTTGACCAGAAATCATCCATTAGTGATGGTTGATTTTTATTGATTTCCTGTGTTGTTCGGATTGGTTGGGTTGACTCAATTGCCCAAAAGTCGTCTACTGGTATAAGCGATTGAATGGGCATTGTTGATCGAGTCTCTGCTGGCGATTTTGATGGTTGAAGGGGTTTATTTGACCAAAAATCTTCCAGTGGTAAGATTGGTCGAGGAGGTTTAGTCGTCTCAGTCTGCACGGGTTTATCTGATAAGAATTGATCCATTGACTTGATTGAATTTATCTGGGTAGGTGAACCAACGAGTGAACCTCGATTACTTGTGTTATCCATGTGGACAGGGGAAAGGATGATGGATGAAGTAGGAGAGGTAGGATAAGTTTGCTTTGGACTAACAGATAAACTTGGAGAGTTCCAAAGTGACAAGAGTTCGGTTGGCATGGTGTGTCTGTGTTGGACATTTTTGTCTGGTTGCTCTTGAGTATTTTTTGAGGGCTTCATAGGAACCAGAGGAGTGAGAGATGAGAAGAATGGCCGAGTAGGGCTGTTGACAGGTACAGAATCAGTAAAGTCAAGGATGTCCATACTATTACTCTGAGGCCGATGAGGGTTCATGTTTGAGTGCGTCGCAACTTTAGATTGGTTAAGTTGAGAAAGAAACGAATTATCATCAGAAGATAGCCAGTCAGTCGCTATAGTACTAGACCGCTTGGGTGGAGTGTGTAGATTGCGTGAATTGTTTGAACCTAGATTAGATGCACTATTGCTTCTTCCGTGTGTTGATGCCGTAGATATAGATGATGCAGCTTTTATGTGCTGCCGATCAAAGCTTGCCTTGGGTGTACATGGTTGAGACAAGCAGCTCTGGTTTAAAGGATGTTGCTGAGGAAATGATAGTTGTGGGGAAGCCGGTGATTTTGGTAATGATGTCGTTGACAATCGGGGCAAAAGCTTGGAAAAAGAAAACCCAAAGCCTGCAGAAGACGGCTTTACAGAAGCTGGACTTTGGACTGGACTAGGAACCTAAAGTGATTATTAATAAATTATCCGTATAATAGCTCTTGCTGCTATATATTTACTTGATGAACAGGGGGATTAGCTGTAGAAGCTGAAAAGTATTTCTTCTCCTCAGTCGGTTCATCGGTTGTAATCCGAAGCATGGAAGGTATTACTGCTATTTCGGACTATATAAAATATACGTTTATGTTAATAAGTAATATTACATCATACCTTCCTTTCTGGCATACCTTTTCTCGCTTACAATGAAGTGCTTCAAGGTACATACTCTCGGTCTTAGAATTTGACCATTTGACTCTTGGGATACCAGTATCATTATCCATGCAATGTGTAACGGTTGTCCATGTTAATCGCGAATGTAATGATCTGTGATATCAAATATAGGTTTAATATTTAGACACTATTTAGCCATCTTTTAGGTAACATACTCATCAGCCTCCACTAAAACAAGATGCTTGATACTTTTTGGTGCATTCGCTGTGTAATTCTTCAGCTCTGGAATATCATTCATTGCATTTAATACAGGTTTCCACATTTCTACTGCTTCCTCTATGCTTATAAAAATAGGCCGATACTTTATCAGAATAAGTTAATAAATGCACTACTCATAATGAGACTTACAAATATGCTTTACTTACGTTGTAATGGTCAAAGTGAGCGAGCTCCTCAGGAGGTACATGTGTTTTTTGAGATGTACGTGCCCCGAGTGTTGTGTCTATCCTTAAGGCCGGAGGCTTATTTTCTGGAATTTTAAGCATATCATCAAAATTCTTAAAGTCTTCATCTTCTTTTGATGCTTCAAGCTCTTCGAAAGAATCAAAAGAATCAAAGTCGTTGAAATCATCGAAATCCTCAAAATCACCAAATGCGTCAAGCTCATCCACGTTTGTTTTCTCTGGCGTTTTGATACTTTTGTCAGTTAAAGAATGGCTTGAATGATCGGTTTCTTGGCTATTTTTGTCTATTATTATGTTTTCTAGACATAAACTTGTTTCATGTATTGAAGACCCTTCCAAAACGTCTGATGAAATATCTGGCAGATCTGGACTTTCTAATTTATCCAATTGAGATTCTTTGGGACTAGTTGTAAACGGTTGTACAGAAACATGCTCAGTTTCCGGGCAAGAAAAATTGTCAGAACTTTGTTTTCGATCAGTATCTTGGTACTCATAAATCTCGTTTGTAGCGTCTTCCTGTTGAATTTGTTCCAGAAAATCTGGCTCATGAATATCCTCATTTTGTGAGGCACCATCATGGTCTGTTGTGTCAATAAGATCCTCCGATTGTGTCGGGTTCTTTTCGCTTGTATCCAATACAATTGATCCAAATTTTGGGTCCACTTGTGAGTCCAATACCTCAGGCTCCTTTGAAATTGGTGGATTCTCTATAATCGTTTCAGGCATATCAAAAGAACTACTTATAGAGACTTGTTTATCGTCAGAGTAAACATCAAGCAAGTTATCGGACCCTGAATTTCCTATCCATGGGGTGGTGGGCTGTGCAGAGGCTGAGGCTGAGGATAGGCTAGTATGTGAATGCGAGGTGGTTAGACAAGGTTGCGGCACGGTCTTATCGGAAGAAGTGGCTGCCGGTTTTGGAGTAGGTTGAGAAGATCTTGGGGACGAGTTAAAAAAATCATTAAAGTCGTTCATGACCGGTGTAATCTTCTTTCCATTAGCTTTTGGCGAGCCATTCCATTTGGAGAATGACCCATCCTCGGTAATATCACCGCCAGAAGCAAATGATCTCCAATCATCCTGAAGTTGAATTGTCGACATGAAGCTCTATTTCTGCACATTAAAGAACAAAAGCCAACGAACTTCCCAAAATAGCTGTGTCGGGGCTACGTCATGAAGCCGTCCTCCCTCAGCGGGGCTCAGGCACTCCTTTCTTTTTACGGGAAAAAAAGGTGTAAAAATAGACTCTTTTTCTCTTTTTCTCTCTCTTTCTCTCTTTCTCCTTTTAGTCTTTGTCTTTTTCTCCTTTCTCTTGTCAAGATGGCAGCAACAACCTACCAAAGAGTAGGGGGGAACGGAGAACTCGGGAGCCTCCTGTTTAAGTACAAGCTCGCAAAAGCACTGACATTTGTTAGTCTGGTAGCTATTGTCTTGATGGCAATAGGATCTTTAGTTTATCCTGGTAACAATTCACTGCTTATCTATCCAGAAACATTCAACTAAAATATTTCTTAGGAGGATCCATCAAACAAGATTACGATGACTACACAAACAACCGATCTCCGGGATCTTCAAACCTCCCGACCGAAGAAGCTGTTGATTACGGAGGCATCAAGACTACTGGCAAATGTGAATTGCCAAGAAAAATTACCATTGCACCCAGTGGGGACGAAACATATAGCCCACCTCCGACTGATGCAAGCTTACTGAAAGCAATTAGCTTTGTTACCAAATCTGAATATGAAGATTACTGCCAGCAATGGGATCCCGCTACTGGATTCACTGATGCTGAACCTTACAACACTCGTGGCGAATGTGGAACTTGGCAAGAAAAATACACTGCACTTCATAAGCACAGATTGGAACAACTAGAGCTTATCAAATCTGGAGATTTACAAGGTTTTACAGACTCTGATAGACCAACCTACATCTCCTATGTTTGTAAAGAAGTTCCTGCTAATAGCAATCGCGGTTGTGGTGGACTGGCTGATCGTATGAGCGGTAAGTAAAAAAAAAGAAGGTAAATCTTTTTGCAAAGGTTACTCAAACACCGAATGACATTTTAGGCATGATCTCCACCTTTTTCTTTGCTCTCATTACGGATCGTGCCTATCTGGCTAATTGGGCTGAGGGAAATCCCATTCCCCTCGAGCTTCTGTTTGACAGACCTAATGTCGACTGGAGCTTCGACCCTAAGGAGATATCTAATCTGTTTACCGGGGAAAAAGATTCTTTGTTGGGTATGGAACAGGTCGATTTGCTCAATCAGAAATATCCCGGTATGGGTTCAATTATGTTCCGTGATGGACCTACACAGGACTTTAATGCGCTATGGAACGCTTCTGTAAGTGTTAATAGAGACCTTGGGAATCCGAAAGTTTATATTAAGTGTCCCCATATTTTTAGTATATTGAAGTCAGATCCAACCGAGGTTATATTGTTCGTACTTTCCAGATGTCAAGTGTCTACCCTGAGAGGCTAGAGAGTATTGGCTTGACTAAAGAAAACGCCTTTGGTTGCTTGGCTGACTACATGTTCCGCCCTACAGTCGGTAGCAGGCGGTTCCTCAATGCTTACAAGCAAATGTTTGAAATGAATAGCATTTTGAGTATTGGACTGCAGGTAAGAATTAATCAATGCAGCTGGCAAGAGAGAGAGAGAGAGAGATAACACGATAAATTAACTTTTTATCAAGATCCGTACAGATGATAATGCCTTAGCAAACCCTCAACACGATGATAACAGTCTTGAGAAATGGAACCACTTTATGATATGTGCCAACCAATTGGCTAGTGTTCACAAACAACCCCATCACAAGCGAGTAGTTTACTTCCTAGTTACAGACTCTCTGAAGTTACGTGACGAATTTGTGTCAATGAATGAAGACCCCGCTCTTGCTGAGAAATATATTGGCACAGGCCACAAAGACACTACTACGGTGATAAGCGGGCTACCAATTGAACATATTGAACCTGCTCAAATCGCAAAATATATTGATGTTGAAATCCCCAAAGAAATCAACCGCGCACGCATGACTCCTGGTGTAAGCAGTGCTTTGATGGAGAACTGGATGCTTGGTTATACAAACTATCGCGTGATTAGTCCTCAAGGCTACGGAAAGCTTGCTGCATTCCATTCTAAGTCAGACAACAGCACTGTCGCGATGCCAAGAGTAAGTTTGAGAATGTTAATGTATATCTATTTAGTAAATGTTTGTATACTAATACACTAGAAAATATATATAGTTCAGACAAAGGGATCGTGCACCAGATTGCACAAAGCCTGGCGCATTGGTTAAATATGACTGGCTCAGTACTCAATGGAGTCTGGGATAAAGAGATTATAATATCGATATATCTTTAATGTTACTCGTATATCTCTTTCGCTTATTTGCTTTCTTAACTGTATTTTTTTTACAGATACACACATACATACATTTTATATATAGACATGAACCAAATGATTTAATACGATTCTTGTAATAGCTTGTAAAATTATAAAGTACATGCATTGCATTGCGTTTTAATTGATTGAATATTTTTGAAAAACAAACAACCGAATAAACAAATAAAAAGAAAACATTTAGTAAATAATGAATAATATAACTGTATTTTTTACACAGAGAAGGCTGTAGCAGCTATGGCTAATTTTGTTTTAGATTTAGTAATAGACGGAAAGCTTCAAATAAAGAGTATATTAATGTACTTCCAGTCTTGTATCATATTGTCCTGGCCATCACATTTGTTTTTTATGTATATTGAGACATTCCCGCTACAATTTTCATATTTTATTTCATTTCTTAATAGAAAAGCATGTATTTTTACTCCAGGTTTCTGGTTAATTTGTTCATTATATATGTATATGGGTCCAGATCTTTATTCACGAGGATGGCATACTACTAACGGATATATAGTATACATACAACGGAAGATCCCCAATACGGAAGGTCGATCGTTATTTCGTCTCCAATTATATTGTGCGAATAATCCTCAACATCTAAATTACATAGCTCCGATAGTATATTGTAACCAAGGTAGCTGTCAATAGCTTTTATTTGTATGCCATAATTATCTTTGTACTCAACCGATCATAAAGTACACTATAGAATAATTGCTCAATATATTAATATATTCCGTTACTTTAACGAACACCAGCATATGTAGAAAGGTATAAATATAAAGTTAAGCTTTGAACTAAAAGAATTTTTAAGTATATAGAACACTTTAAATTATTTAAGCACACAAGGACACACATAATAGATGAAGAATTTGGTTGAATGTAAAAAGTACTAACATGAATTTTTGGATCCATCAATGACATGTCGCTATTCCAGGCGGAGCAGCTTAGTGTCTTACTCAGGGTATTTTGGCCATTCACATTCTAGAAAAGGAATGTGTGGCAAAAACAAAGAAAAATGAAAGGGTAAAATGAAGAGGGCCCTTGGTTATAAACAGCTACAGAGTGGCTTGTTTGTGGCTGGTATATATAATACACTCATATGATATCAAGTACATTCAACATGTGTAAGAATTGCTATCCTAAAGGTATATAAAAAATCCCATAAATTTATGCATTCATGTGGAAGACAAAAGCAAAATTATGAGCGGGATTTAAATACAACAATTCAAGTACTTCTTTACAAGAAATTATCAAATACTATAAAATATAGAGTTATATTTGTCATCTTTTTTTTATATATACCTCTGATATGAACAATTACTTTCACGTGTATTCTTACAAATAATAAAATTGAATACGCGGTGTTAGGAGGTTAATTTAAACCAAGTATAATCAAAACCTCAGTATTTAATACTTCAAAACACAACGACTGATTTGTCCCTGAACTATAATATATATATATATATATACAAGAGGTAGAATGTGTATAATGCAAGTATACTAAATATCAAGTAAAAATAATACGTTTACTATAATTAAGTTCTAGCATCTAGCATTATCTTAAAAAATATCAAATTTATTAAAAAAAATACAGTGTATTAAATTTCTATATATACACTATATAAATGAGAGGTGATATAAAAAAAACAATATAAGGTTTATAAATTCTGTTGTAGATATATGTAGTGTCAATATCCCTTAGTCTAGTTGGCTAGACTATCATTCCCTCTGACAGTAACTAAGCTAGTATTTGTGAACTTTTGCTAGGTGTATGTGTAATACAACTCTAAATCTACATACTAAAATATTCAGTTTAATATACAATCTGAATTATATGCGTATAAATATAGGTAAAAATAACCCTTCAACTGTTTTTTTTTGGAGAGATACTTGAGGACAAACAATAAAATAATATCACACAATATGATGCCAAATATTCGATGTAAAAGTGGGTATGAATATAACATTCTTACTGGAGAAAAATCGCTTTAATATACATTATCTGTTTATGTAGTCTCAAAACACTCATCTAAAAAAATACAGATAGTCTCAATTTTGAGTAAAAGTACTATAATACTTGATACAAGCTATTTTGAGCAGGCGTTTATTATATATACGTATACTTTAAATATTAATCGTATACCTTTCAAAGTAGTAAATCTACTTTGAAGAGTAAAGCTTCGGATTCCACTAAAATACGGCCACCAAAACTTTTATTCATTGAATCTTAGAAAAGTTACAGTAAATTTGTTTTCAAAAATATGCGTAATCAAATGAGTGTTTATTTGGTGTAATAAAAACAAGTTAAATAATATACGCGTGTATACTAACTAATTCGTCTTAATAATCACGAAATTTACATCTTACCGAGTAACAGATTTGAAAGTATTTTTATAGATATATTTTATATTTAATTCAAATACAATATTAACGATTTTTATTTTGATGACAGTTTCAGGTTAGACAAGGCAAAAATAATGTTAGATTTGTAATGCTTTTTATTTACAAAGATAACAAGTTCATACTCATAAAAAAAACATTATAAATATTCAAATAAATCCTAGTACCTTGTAGTCTTGAAATTTTTATCCTTAAAGCCGAGTTTTTTAGGCGACAATGTTTATTACGCTATTTATACACGTACATGATAAATAATGTCACATTGAATATAGTCTTCCATCTTTATGTGTGAGGGTTATTTGAAAATTAAATTGAAATATATATCTTGCTGAATATATTTGGTACAGATCTGAGCCTGTCACAGCTCCATACAAACAAAAAATATTTGGTACAGTGAGAACGGTAAATATTGTCACTTTGCCAAAAGTAATTGTCCCCAAAGTAAAATCGATTTGTCAACAAATAAAAAATTAAATGGTCTTTTACAGAAATATACTTGTCAATTGCAATATAAGTTTTCGATGAATATAGTGTTTCTTTAGACAATTAGAATATTTAGGATGAGGTTTTATTATAACAATCAATTTTTACTTGGGGACAATTACTTTTGGCAAAGTGTCATTTGTTTTTTTTTTTAGTAACGAACAATTAATTTTCGCAAACTGACAATATTTACCGTTCTCACTGTATTTCAAAAAATACCCAAAATAATATCAAAGTATTATAAGAACAATAAAAGAAAGGAAAATTGATTGAGAATGCAACTAAAAAAGTGTTTTTATAGCCTATCAGAATCTATACGCAAACACGAATTTTAAGATTTTTACTCTTTTTTTTGCTACTTTTTTTGTTAGCAGATGTGTGTACGTGTTTAAGCTCTACAGAACCACATTATCAAATTATCAAGGCATATTATAAGAAGCTATTTACACTTTTTTATTGCCACCTGATTATAATATTTACGAAAAGGTACCAACTTTTTCGTCTATAGTTAGAGAGGGTATTATTATGTCTCTTTTATAGACTTCTTAGAATCTTTTTCCATAATAAGGTCTTTTAGCCACTTTATCTCACGTTCAAGAGCAACTATACGATTTTGAAGCTTCTCTGCTGACTCTGTTTTTTCATCCAATGTTTTTTGGAGAAATTGCTCGCGTATCTTCTTCTTGACACGGAAGCGCGCACTAGCGGCCGTATTTCGGCGGCGCTTGTCGATCTTGTTTGGTTCCTGAGTTTCTTGACTTTGGTTTGAATCATCTTCAGAATTATTATTCGCTTCGTCTTCTTCATTAATATCAGTGCTAGAACTTGCACTGATACTAGGAAAGTGTGCAAGTGAGCTTTGAGTTGATAGCCCATCTTGCAAATATAAAATATTCATTGGGTTCTGTCTAATCTCTGTAGGAGAACAAGGTAAACTAGAGAAATGCTAATGAAAAATGGTAAATAATGGGTTTACCCATGTGCTTTACTTTATTTACCTCTGGCTGATTATGCATACTGTTTTCTGTGGTATAGTAAGGGTTTGCGAATTGAGGAGCTTGGGAGATATCATCTTGGGGTAAATGGCTCCTATCGAAACCTAACCTCGAATTGCTGATATATAATTCAGAGTCTGGTATAAATGGTATATTAGCGCGACTTCTAAGAGGCGCATCTATTGTGTGATTGAGTTGGAGAGACTCTATTGGAATATTTATTAGCATATTTTTCATGTGAAAAGTATCTGCTTAACGTTACCATTAGAACGCTCTCCAATAGGATCTCTTTGTATAAAATTTGGAGCATAAGGGCTCTGAATTATATCTGTTAATCTTTTTTTTAATGTTATTAAGAGGCTAGATATGCTTTTACTATCAAAAACAAACTACCAGAATGTGACTCTAACCTTATATTTTCATTATTTTCGTAGCTTTCCATATCATAGTTATTCTTATAAACAAATCGAGTGTTTGCGAATAATGAAAGCTCTTTCTGAAGCTCATTTTCTGAGATAGTGTGCGCCGATTCATTTTCGTTATTCAATGAACGAATATTACTGGTTTTCCAGGTCTCTTTTGATAGCATATTCCTTGAATAAGGTACAAATTTGGTATTTTAAAGGTATAAGGATGGACAAAGTCTTTGCAGAAAAAAAGGGAACAAATAAAGAAAGAAAGGAGTGTGAGGGCTACTCTTTTTTATTCAAAGGCGTCAAGTAAATTGATACAAGTGATAAAAATAAGCTATTGAACTTATGACAGTCTTGGTGTTTAGGCCGTGCAACGTCTACGCAAACCCAGTAAAAAAGACCCGATTTTGAACATCCATTGCATAATAATATAGTAATGTTATTGGATAGCCTTTCTGTACACTGTCTTACGCTTGCCCAACAGAGTGACTTTGACGACATGTCTACACACAGCTAAAAGAAGCGGCATCATAATCGGTCAGAAAATACGCTATAAATCACGCCATATACTACCAACCAGATGGCTCTCGAGATACAGCGTGCTTTACGTCGGAGTTCATTGGCTCAGTTTTCATGGCCTGGACAGAGGTTTGATCCCTTTATTTTTCACAAAATAGGATGCCAAGCCTCACCCTGAATAAAAGTTCTAAAAGTAGAAAACATAATTTCAAAGCGGTTTCTTTTCTTATTTTAAGACAAAGTTAAATAGTATCATATTAAACAAGTATATAGTATAATAAAGTGGCCTTTTTTGTTTTACAGACATTTGATAGATTGGTTTAGTCCAGGATAAGTTAAAAGATTTGATGACCATGGGGTCGTTTTGCAGTTATTCGAGGTTTCGATTTCTGATGATCAAAGTCAGGCTGTGGCCATTAAATCAGAGTTAAGATCAACAGGTAAGTCCTGTGAAGCATATGGTGATGCCATCGCCATAAGATGTCGCAATTCTCAGCAACCATGGAACAAAACTTTTTTTGTATTGACCATGGAACAAATAGTGGAGTTTATTAGGCAAGTATCACGAATCTAGTTGTGAGTGGAAGTATATCGGCATACATATCTTATACTTTGCGGTGCTACCCATTTTCATCTAATCTCAATCGATTAGGTAGTACCTGGAATAATCTTTTTTTGTGTAAAATAACTAAAACCGATAATATTGTTTAATGTTCTTAAACGAGCTCCACTAAAGCTTGTACGCACTTGCACACTATAATGTCAGATATTAACTTCAATACAATTAAAATTTATAAAACAAAATGCCATAAGTAGGAAACTTACCTTGATAATACCTATAAAAGTTTATTTTGAGTAATAAAAAAGTATCTAGCCGTCATAAACAAGTACTTATTGTATAGTCTTACTGTCAGAGTTATTCTTAAAAGTAAGTTATTAGCTTATACATCTTGAATGTCTTAAGATACATAGATATACAATCCATGTATCACATCGTACAATGGTTTTTTTTTTCAATTTATCCGCCTTTAAGTTATATATATATATAAATATATTTACTAATCCGATCATGTCTAATTGACAAAACCAAATAGGTTTAGCTTTCCTCAGCTCTTCCAACTCACGAGAAACGGGCAGCTTGATGTGTATATTATTTACAGATATGTCGCTGTCAGTTGGATTGAATATGCTCCTTCTCGTTAACATTCAATTAGAAAGTATTCTACAAGTATTAGGTTATATTACTATGTCAAATCTTATAAGCTTTTATTTATTTTAAAAAAGTCCCTAGTTTTATATATATAAAATGGCACTGGCCAACCACATAAAATTAAATAGGCGCTCATATACAAGTTTTGTACCTGGATAGATTCATGCACAGACTTCTAGAACACTGGCTTCAATACGTTTGCTTTGTGCCATATACAAATGTAAATAATCCTACCAACCTTGTATCCATAATATCAGTAGCACTAAGTACAAATTTAGGGCCTATTATTACACTTTTAGTAGTATTTACTAAATACTAATGCTCTACGATAGAGTTACCAGTAATATCGGTGTGGGAGATCAAAAATATTAACCAAAGATGAATCAAAGGCCAAAATTTTAAGCCATGTTATTGGATCATATTTTTTTTTAGAAAAAGTCAAAACGAGGATCTTTCAAAACGAGGATCGAGAGAGGCTAAAACAATTTTGATTGGCTACCCGTATTTCCTTGGTAATTGGATTGAGAATAAGATCATTCTTTAAGGAAGGGATGGTATTATGAGCACGTTTTTTTTTTATACATTTGAATTAAGATTGTTATTTTTGAAAAGCGGTACAGTCAGATACAGCTTAATTTGGTTAAATAAGTCTATTATGCTTTTCTGTTTTATATTTGATTAATATTTTCGATATGTCTACGCCAACTGTAGGAAAAAATAAATCTAAGAATAAGGGGCTTCTCAAGCACCCGCCAAGGTCCTAAATGTTGGCGGTGATTTCCATATACGGACTGGCGAGAGTTTCTTAAATTAGTAACCTTCGCCAACAAAATTGGCTAAATTAGGAAATCTTCGCTAATACTTATTTGGATTTCAACACCAACTTTTAGGTCTTTGGCGAGTGCTTGAGAAGGCCCTAAATTCGAGAGACTTGCAGCTTTGGCCCAAAATTCGGAACTTTGGAAGTCCACCACCGGCTTACTAAATTTAGGATTCTTTAAACTTATTTTAGTATATATTGAGGCTTCTATACTTTTTCCGGAAATTATTGGTCCAAAGATAGAAATCAGTTTGCCGCACCAATAAAAATTGATTTGGTGCAAAAATGGAATGCACCAAATGCATCAAAAAAGATGAATTAAGCATAGAAATGGTAGAGAATTGCACCAAAAATTTCTGGAGAGCGTATTCATTTTTTTTGCTTTTAATCCAGAAAGCCACTTTAAGTGAAAATCATGAACAGACACACACTTAATATTCATTCAAACTAGTTAAGCTAATGTATGGCTATTATTTTTAAGAGGGCACTATCAATTTCCTGCAAAGATAGATAAATCACGCATCATATCTGTGAGTGCTATTTATTAAAGAGAGCTAAATATTATTGCTTATAGCTGTTACTATTCAAATACCTGTTGCTTCATTGCTGGTTTACATGAACATTATGTGGAGCAGTTCTTGAGACTGTTAGTCGACTAGGGTCATTAGCAAATTAAAAAACATGATTTGGCTTTAGAGTTTGTAGACCATAGTTAAGACGTCTCAGTGTACATATATATATATATGTAATAATACTCTGGGTTATAATATAAAAGTATAATGAAACTTGTATACGTGAGACATAAGGCTATTTTCTATGCAAAAAGGCTTCAGTTTCAGGACTGCCATGTATTAAGACCACCTATATCATATACATAATAATAGAATAACATAATTATAAAGGTAAAGACATTAAACTTTCTATCCATATTTAGGCTTAAAGATCACAATAATTTATGTGTGTGCAAATGCCTTGTAATAATAAAGCTAGTATAATTTTGTTTGCAGAAACCCTTACATAAACTATATCGTTAGAACAAGGTAGTATGTAGAAAGGATCCAAAAACAAAAACACAAAGACAAGAGAAAGGCTAAATTTTGATGAGAGCCACACAAAATCAAGAACTGTACAAATTTTAGCAAATTTCAAAAGAAGTACAAAACCTTCACCATTCTTCAAAATATAGGTATATATATTAAAGTCAAAGGTCGATATAACAATATTTTTTGGAGGTTTTTAGTCCGTCCACTGATAATTATTATTATTTTTCGATATATTTATAATAATAATACATACATACAGCAACACATCACTAAATCAAACGTTAAATGTATTTTTGAAACATAATCATTTTTTAAAGGATGTTTGTTAATTAATTTTAAAACATGGTCCAAAAATCGTAATTTCTATATGAAAAAGAGACCTTTACATTTACCAGGGTACATATTAGTACAAAGAAAAAATATGGAGAAGCAGTTATAACGTTTGATATAACTAGAGATATTCTTCTGCTTCTCCTACTCTTAAAACTATATCGAGCGTGGATTGTACCAAATAAAATGCTTTTACAAAATACCTCGATATGTAATCAAGTCCAACATAATACTCGCTTATAAACCTTGTAAGACGAAACAATTTCTATAGTCATACGACACTTAGAATCCAATAAATATACCACAGACTTTACAGGTCGTATATACATATATATATAACTGCTGACAATAGGCATTCAAAAGAATCAAATTAAGAAGTCCTTATTGTGTCGTCAATGCATACTTCTTGAAGTATGGTCTGTGTGTACTTATTCCGTTATTTATTTAATTGATTGTACAATTAATCTAACTTAAGGAAAATTTTAAAAGTATTTATGCATAACATGAAGACGCTTGTATTTTTACACTTAAATAGCCCAAATAAGCTCTGTATGATAGTACTCTTGGATAATTATTAAAGGAAGAAGTAAAAACATACCTCATCCCCATGGTGACACAAGTATATCAAGCCACCGGGTTGGCCATTGACAGAAAAGGAAATTGCCATGAGAATCGTTTTCAATTCCCTTTGACAACCACGACCTTCTTTTACAATTATTGTACTCTTTGCTCTACATCATGGCATCTCTTAAAGTTCCACATGAGGTGTCTCCCGTACCTTCATTATCTGCATCGGTGCGCAAAACATCATCGGGCGATTTTATCTCCACTAGTTCTCTTCCCAGATCTCGCTCATCATCATTCGGTGGCTCTATTTATGCAGAAGCTATTCGCCGTCAGCGATCCGATACTTTTGTTCATTCACAACAACAAAAATACCGGAAAAGTCAATTCTACAAAAACGCCATCAAAGCAAAATCTGCTGCTTCTGCTGCTGCTGCTGCTGCCTCGTCTGCCTCATCAAACCTGAGCCATTCTACACGAATTTATTCTACTGAATCAGATTCCGAGTCAGAGTATGGAATAGGAGAGAATGAAGAAAGCAGTAACCATGATAATATTAGTGTAAACTCTGAAGAATCACAGCGTAACTTAGGACCCGGAGCCATAATAGAGGGCGTTCTGATCCGAAGAGCGGTCAGGCCTTATCTTCCGCAGCAACCTCGAGAAATGATTCCTGAGAAGCTCATGCCTGTAGAAACTAGAAAAGAATCTGAACTACAAAAATCCGAAAGCGAACTAGCAGATCAAGAATCTCAGCAATGGCAACCACCACCCTTCCGAGAATCACCAAAAAGTGCAACATTTGACAAGACAAGCTTGCCGAGTCCTTCTCTAGACAGAGCAGAATCACCTACTACACCCAACTCTAAGCATCCAAAAACCCTCTTTTCATCTACAAAGAAAAAAAGCACCCACAAAGACGACCATTTGCCCTCTAAGCCCCACTCGATCTTTCACTTCTCACTATTCAACCATAAGCATGAGCATACCAAGCAACCATTGTACGACGATGGCTCTCATGCTATATACCCCCCGCCTCCATCAACTGAGGACAAGGAAAACGAAGATTCTGTGTATGAACTCGATTTTCTATTTATTTCGTTTTCGCATATACATAATTTACGTTCTCATCTTTACCTGCCTATGCTGATAGAGACCGATATGGATTTAAAATAATCTCACAATGGATATCTTTCCAAGATTACAATTCTTTCGAGAAGATTTATCGACCTACACTAGATCGTCGTCTTTCCAAGTGGCAGCAGCTATTAGAAGAGAACGGGACAAAATTGCCCGAAAGAAGTCCGAAAGGTACATCTTCTATAGGCTTTAATTGTATCTGTAGCTAATACATTGATTGTTTTTTTGAGTAAGGAGATATGTCCGCAAGGGAATTCCTGCAGACTTGCGTGGTCGGGTAAGATACCAATAGTATCCTAAATACAGATCCAATACTTAACAAGAATTAAATAGGTCTGGTTTCATTACAGTGGAGCAGAGGCCAAGTTGGATTCTAATCTGGGGGTCTATGAACGCTTCCTAGCTAAAGCTAAAGAGCTTGGTAGTAGAAACGAGTTTGCAGATATTATTGAACGCGACTTGCATCGCACGTTTCCCGAAAACGTCCAATTCAGGACGTCTGTAGCTGATGGACAGCAGCTTGCGTCTACAGACAACGTGCCAGTTATCTCCGCTCTTCGCCGCGTGCTGCTAGCATTTTCGATCTATTGCCCGTCCGTTGGTTATTGTCAGTCTCTTAATTTCGTAGTTGGGATGTTACTGTTATTCATGAAAGAAGAAGAAGCATTTTGGACTTTGGTCACAATTGTTCAAAATATTCTTCCGGCTGGCGTCTACGATGTAACAATGGAAGGGTCCAACCTAGATCAAAATGTATTGATGATGCTCCTTTGGGAGAGAATGCCTCACTTATGGGGTACAATGTGTGACAAATCTTTCTGGGAGTCAGAGGCTGACGGTGTATCCATGCCGACTATTACACTTGTCACAAGCCATTGGTTCCTGACTTTATTCATCAATATTCTACCTACAGAGGTAAGTAAGCGTGAGAAGCTTTGGGTATATATTAATACCTAATTTTTAGACGCTACTTCGTGTGTGGGATTGCTTTTTCTAGTAAGTCCAAGAGAAATTTCTTTTTTACCTACAGTAATTAATATTGTCTTCCTTTTTTGTAGTGAGGGTGCTAATATTCTATTCAGAATAGCTTTGACGCTTTTCAAGATGAGTGAGCACATGGTAATGCCTCTTGGAGATTCCTTAGAAATATTCCAAGTTATACAGGTAATATATTTCACTATTTAATGAGCTAAATTCTCATTGAGTGCGTACTAATATTATATATACTCTTTTAGAATCTTCCCAAGAAAGCTTTAAATTGCCAAAACCTTCTTGAAGTAAGATACTTCGATTACACTAAAAGCTAAATTGCTTGTATTAATTTTCTTTACATGTTAATAGAATTGCTTCCGCCGTTATAGTTCCCTCACTGATATAACCAACGAAGATCTAGAGAGGCGACGTGAGCTGTGTCGAGAGAGCAGAAGGACAAGACGTCAGCAGACAGCTTCTGGGAAGAAGAATTCCTCAAGACAATTAGAAGAATCAAAGGCATTTATCTGGAAACAGAAAATATTGAACGGAAAGTCCCGCGCTGGCAATTAAGACACACCATATCAAAAAGCCTACAGATATCAAATCATAATTGTGGAAAACCTTCCACTACATATACACTAACTTATATAGATAGAACATTTACCTTACGTGCCCATCCCCCCATCTTTATAATTCAATAGAACTCACTAGCATAACCATATTTTAACCCTAATACCATACAACCAAATAATCAAGATAGAAATAATATTTTACATATTAACAAGGAAGTACCGTTGTAGATTTGATCAAACGATTCGACCGCCTTTTATTTTTATATATTCAATAGTTGATGTATTATTTATTGCCTTATATATATACCTGGAGATATATCTTTCATAATCTATAAATTATATCAGAAATAGTTAGTATCAATGGCGTTTGTAATTTGAATTATAGATACCTTTTTTTTTTTCCTTTTAGTAAATCGTCAGAAACTCAGGCACAGAAAACTATGAAGTAGCATCTATAGTAGAGAACCCGTTGGGATGTGATATTTTCAAAGACTGCTAAAAAAGAATTATTACTGAAACCCAGTCAAAAAAAAAAAGAAAAAACTCAACCACAGTTGATGAAAACATAAGTACTGTGACAAACATAAGAGAGATACATCTTAATAAACTTGGCTTTCCAAGACTTATTCTCTTAAGTAGATATATAGAGACGACTCTTGACTATATTGTTTTTATGTTCGAAGGTGGAAAAACAAACTCAATTCTTAATAAAGTCTTGGTGATGAAATGGCCTCCCTCAGTAAAATTTTACATCTTTTCATTGGAATTTAAATCGCCGAGTAAAGCAAAAGTGAGTGAAAATTCTAAACTTTCACTTGACAACGGGTTCTCTAGTTTTCTCAAGCCTACACTTTCATTAAAGCCTTTTGTATATTCTTTAAACAAACAAGCAAAAGACTTTTTATTTCTTTCAAGATGATTAAGCTTTCTTATAAAAATATTGCCACTTCTTTTTGGCGTAAACGTATATACATAATAAAATGAGGCTTTCCATTACATTCTTTTACATTCTATAACTAAGCTTCAACCTCTTTGGCACTAAGCTGCTAGAGAATTGTTTTGGGATTTAGCTCAAACTATGCCAGATTTAATCAATACGGATATAATATGCCATGTTTCTATTTAAAGCTGTGAAAAATAAAAGCCGCTTACATTATAGGTACAATGCATTGTAATGTCAATATTTATATAGATTGATAGATATTTTGAGTATTATAATTAATAGTAGATATAGAGTTATTTTGTATAGATAATATTGGTTTATATATAAATTTGTAGGATGTTTCATAAGATTAAAAAAAAAAGGTTGTACAGTTATGCGTCATGACTTCTCGAATACATTGTGTTTCTTGAGAGAAGGTAGCTTGTTTTTCCCACTTGAAGGAGGTGATATATGGTATAAAGGGAGTTCACTCTTTTTTTCTTGTCTCATCATTAACAATCCTCCAGCAGCTTCTCCTACATGTGCCGTACGCAAAAGTGTATTTTTGTGAGCCCTTGATTCGTTTTCCCCTTCTGACGATGCTATATGAATCTGGTTTGGCAATCTAAATGTGTCTTGCGATCCAAATCGAACTTTAACTTGCGGAGCATACTTCACCTTGCGAGAAAGGTCAAAAGCAGCTTCAGAAGTGATAGCTGTTGCACTTGAAGATACATCCTTTTTGAGATACGATTTGGTCGTAATATTAATTGCAGAATTATCCTTTGGTGTAGGGTGTTTGTTGGAAGATTGAGTTGATTGTGGACCAGTGCCGAAAGACAACACCCCATTTTCTGGTGATTTTGCCTGTGGATCATTTGGCGCTATCCTTCCATCTGTTAGTTCTCTCTTCGTATGCTCTTTATGGTCTCTTTGTCTTTTCGTTCCATTTTCTCTAATTTTCTGAAATACTGGTATGCTGTTGATAGGTGTATTGGATGCCGCTACTTCAAGTGATTGGATAGAGTTTATCAAATTCAATGCTGATGCGATGTACTTCTTCTTCAAAGGATAGTTCGACTGTTCACCATTTGCTTTATTTGGTTGGCTGGTATTGTTTGTCTGAATTCGATTTCGCATTTCTGTATTCTCACCAATGATAGTGCTTTCTTTCAGGGCTGCGTCTTCCGGGGCCTGTGGTATACTAATGGCCGTCTGAGGTTGCGTATTTGGTAGATAGGAAGACATATTCTCTCCAGTAATGAATGGATGCATTCGTGCCTCTTGTGGCATCAGTCGCTTTTCAGGGTCAATTTCGAGAATCTTCTTTAAGAAATCAATTAAAGCATGTCGCTTTATAATATCTATTTATCAGAAAAGATATTAGGGTAACTGATACATATGACAAGTTAAGTTTATCTTGCTACCTAATTGAATTTGCTCATCGCTCATGGTAGGGTTAGCACGGGAAACTCCCTTAAAATTTAGAATAAGGTCCTCCAATGTGTTATGAGGGAAATATTGCTTGCTATGCATTTCATTCTTTCTCTGTTCTTGAGTATACTGATCCCTGCTTTTTATTGTATACTCAAAACATCCGTTACCACGATCGTGTTTGTTAAAAAAACGAGAAGGATTTCTTGCTTTTCTTATCATTTTTGCCGATGGATACCCTAGCATCTCAGTTATTCTCGTCAGTTGATTGTATTCTGAACTCCCCGGAAATAGAGGTATCCCAAGAAAAAGTTCGGCAACGACACATCCTAGAGACCACATATCAATTGAGTATGTATATGGAATACCAAGCAGGACTTCTGGTGAACGGTAGAAGCGAGATTGTATATATGTATACATCTTGTTTGAATCGTGACATGCAGACCCAAAGTCGATTATTTTGATAGCTGGTGAATCGACTCTAATCCGCTCTTAGTCAATTTCTTCTGGTTCTACAATTTTGAAATCTTACCTTTTTAAGAGAATGTTTTCGGGTTTAAGATCACAATGTATAAGCTTGGCATGTTGAAGTAGTGTTAGTGTATCAAGTAACTGCGCGGTGATGACTCGTACAAGGTCAACAGATAGACCCTTGAACCCATTTTGCTTGATTAGTTCGTAGAGGTTTACAGACAAGAGCTCAAAAACAATACATAAATGGTTCTTATGAGTAAACGATTCCTCAAACTTGAGAATAGAATCCTGGTCGTCTGGGTTGATTCTTTGGCTTAGCTTTTAAATGTAAATTTACATTAATATAAGCATACATAAATATCTGTTTCTTGTTTACTTGCCTGTTTCAATATTTCTACCTCCATACTGCTTTGAGCTAGATATGCTGCTTTATTTTTTATCACTTTTACCGAAAATAGCTCCTTTGTTTTCAATTTCTCACACTTGACCACCTGTCCAAATGTGCCTTGTCCAAGCAAATCGATAATACGATACCTAAGTTGTGAAATTATTTATTAATCCCAGTTTGTTGTGTGCACCAAGTTTACTAACCCATGTTCTTGCCCTTCACCAAGAACATCTCCTACTCGTAGTATATAGTCGTTGTTCTCATTGTCGTAACCATCATTTTTGGCTGGCTTGCTAGGTCGAGTGAGAGCACGCTTTGGATTGCGGCGTGGATTGTATTGAAATTGTGCGTTTCGTAGTTCATACGTCTCTGCTAATCTTCTTGTCAGGGCATAAAGTGGGTTTGTCTATAATAAAAAGTTAAGGCACGACATTTTATACTTCTCTGCTACAGTCTAAATTTAATTAGACTTACACGCTTACGACTTTTGTTCTGGGATCCAGAACAACCAGCCAAAATTGTCTTTTGTAAAGGTTTCGTCCCACCCTGGACACCATCTTTTCTCACCGACGATGGCTCGACTACAGTCGAATAAAACGGAGAGTCCTTTCTATTACTCCTTGAGCGTTCTGTAGCTTCTGCTGAGCCCAGACTATCTACAGATGATGTGCTTTCTGCTGGAGAAGCAGTCTCAAGGGGAAGCCTCGGGTGTGCTGTTTTGGTCAGATGATGTGTACAAATTTGGTCTGACTTACACTCTGGGTCCCAATTGGTCTCGTAGCCGTACGCATATACTTCTTGACCAGATGGCACACTCTGAACTGATGTTTTTGTTTGGTTTTCTATGTTTCATTTCTAAAACTATCAGGGATATGCGATGGGTTTGTGACTAATGAATATATCTTAATATACCTTTAATATGGTTATCCTGAGTAGCAAATATTTTGGTAGGCATTGATTTTGACTTAAACGGATCAAAGGGAGAATTTAAAGAGACTTCAAGAGGCTCGACATAATGGAGGGGAGGGCTATTGGATAGGCATACAGAAGATAAGGCTGCCTGGTAATGACCTCTACGTTGAGGCTGTTTTTTATTCTGAGCACTCATTGAGCTGGAATGTTTGGATAAATAAAGTAGATAGAGAAGGGCATAAACAGTTCTGAAATAGGACAAGCGGTTGTATGAATTTTTTTCAAGCCAAATAGCCCATATGACCTCTCGGGGTTGGCTAAACGTCTTGTTATGGTTTGCCAAACTGGGTAGAAAACGATCGGCATTCATGCCTAGTGTTTGAACAGCGCTCTTAAAACAAGGCTGCTAAAAGCAACAAAGGACAAATTTCATAGTCATTCGGACGCGTCTTTATCTTACACCCCCAATGGCAAATGCTTATATGAAAAAGAAGAATACAAAAATGATTGGGGCATAAAAATAAAAATAAAGAGAATGTATACAGTCACTCTAACGCAAGTCATCTTGCTCCAAAGATTTCTTAATCTTTAGAAGAATTGCAGTCTTCCAGCTATCCAGCCTAGTAAGCTTATCAAAGTCATATACAACTTGAGTGAATTGTTCGACATCACCATTGTCTACACTGTCTGCTACACCCTAAAATACGACAATCATATAAGTAATCACCCCAATTTCCACAGGAAGATAACTTACCTTGAGTAGTTGGTATTCACGCGTTGTCTCAAATGACATATCCATACCACAATAACCATTGAGTGCCTGTCTTGTTCTCACCGTATCCTAATTTCCTTTCTCTTGTGAGCCAAACAGTTTCGTATTATAGCTATTACTTACACCTGTACATAAGTGGCACAAACCAGCCTTCAAAAAATACTCCTTGAGAGACCATTTAAGAAGTGCATCATCTACTGAATCTGCGGCGACCTTTTCAAATTTCTCGATTGCAACCTCATACATGCCCAAATCAGCAGCAATTTGTGCTACTTTAAGAAGCGCCTTGTTCGCAAGTCTTACGTATATAAATAAAGCCACCTCGGCATATCAGCATAATTCGATAATTAGCCGATAATAAACTTACGCTGGTGAGTCGTCAGCACTAAACAGTTCGGATGCCTTTATGTAGGATTCATATGCATTTTGAATATCATCGAGTTCTCCTTCATATAATTCTGCCATCTCTTGATAGTGTCGTGCAGCTGCTCTGAAGTTTCCACCTTCCTGATCTAATATAACAGCCTCTTTCAAAGCCCCAACGGCAGCTAATAATAACAGCGTGTCAAGAACCTTTCTTTTCACAAATGGAATGGTGTAGGATGGGGTTTCTTTCGTTTTGTGTGTGCATTTTTTTACCTGCTGGGTCTTGGCGTTTATAACACTTTGAAGCGTTTTCGTAAGCTCTTGAACTATCAAACTTAGCACCTCCTCCACGCTGAAACAGTTTGGCAGCTTCAATAAAGCAGTCTCCGGCCTGTGTCCCTAGAGTTATTGTGAGTTGAATAATGTCATGTAAAGAGAAGACGTCATTCACTCACACTGTTGAGCTAACTTGTACATGTTGCCTGCTTTTTCGTAAATCTCTGCGGCATCTTCATGTTTGTTGGAAGGATTAAAGAGAGACCATGAAGTGAGTTTTTTTTGTGCCTGAGCTACAAGCTCTTTGGCCTGTTGTTCGGATGAAGCCATGGTGTGAACTATCAAGCAACTCCTGGTTGAGAATAAAAATGAACATATAAAGCAGGTCACGACTATCACGTGCATTGCCGTCATAAGTGTGTTACAACATTATATATGTTCTGAAGCAGCTGTAGAGGTTGTTGATTTAAGTGACCTTGAGTGCAATAAGACTATTAAGATGTCCAACAGATTTATGTAATTATTTGGCTACTTGAAAATAAGTAAAAATATACCTCTTAATATTACTACTAGTAAAAGTGAAGAATGTATTTGCAAAAGAATAATAAGCAAAATAATCTGTGGTTATTAGGAACCACAAATCAAATATATATTGGTATTTTCCAATTGCATGTGGTTTTCAATCATTCCATGTATCAGAACGTATCGTTTTTATTAATTAGCTTTATTTTATTGAAACAAGTAAGTCAATTTGATCATTATAAAACTATCAGAATTAACTTCATGAGTTTGATACTGAATACCAAAAAAAAAACGTTCTGCATATCGGATGCTTAAAACGAAGTCTGCGTCATTTTCTGAGTCTTCCAGGCGCCAAGCGGTGTTTGTAGCGGTTACTTCAAAGTCTTTGTTTCTGCGCTCCCTTTGTACGCGAGGTTTTAAGGCTTCTCTTTGACAGGCACATTATGCGTCCTTTTCTGGCCTTAGTTTTTTCAGCCTGGGCATTCTTACCAGGAGTTCTTGCCCAAGTAAGCAGTGATCAGAACAACCAGCAAGCAGCAGTTCCACTTCGAACGCATTCTCTTTCTGTGCCTTTCATAGGTAAAAGAAAAACAATAATCCGTGACGCACAGCATCAGGCATCTCATCTGATTATTTTCCCTTTTTTAGATGATGACCTCCAGAATCGCTGGTTTGACTTTGGTGGAAACGCCATCGTAAACACGAATCACCACATTCGACTCACCGGAAATAGACCTTCCCAAGTTGGTTTCCTCTGGTCCCGACTGGTGAGTGTCTATAATAATTCCATCCCACACTAATTAAGCTCATCTATCCCAGCCCGTTACTGCTACAAACTTCGAGATTGAGTTTGAGTTTAATGTAGACGGTCCAACAGGTCATCTTTACGGTGATGGATTTGCATGTAAGTATCCACAATATATGTACCCACATATACTTGTATGTATTATGCACTGTAACCCTAATGGCTTATACTTTTTAGTGTGGCTCACCAAGCAGCGTACATCGACTGGTCCTGTGTTTGGTTCGGTGAATCAATTCGAAGGGCTAGGTGTCTTCTTTGATACTTATGATAATGAGCGTGCACATGTAATTATTTTACCATTACATCAATTGATAATTCGAAATACTTATACTTGAACGAATTAAAACAGAAACACACATTTCCTTATATTAGCAGCATGCTTGGTGATGGTATTAAATCTTATGATAACGACAAAGATGGAAGACCGACTGAATTGGGTGGTTGTGAGGTAAGAATCACTGCGGATAAAAGGCACATCGACTTAAATTTGATTGGATTTAGGCTGATTTCAGAGCGAGAGAAATTCCCACAAAGGCTCGATTGACTTACTATAAAGATAATTATCTTCAACTTGATGTGCAATGGAGAGAAGAAAATGTTTGGGAAGAATGTTTCAAGGTAAAAGGTTATAAATGATTGTGATCAAAATATGTATTTATGGCTGTTTGAATAGGTCCACGATGTTAAGCTTCCTGATCAGTTTTATCTCGGATTCACTGCCCACACTGGTGAATTAACAGGTATAATATTAGAATAATTATAAGCGTATCGCCGATACTAACATCCTTTATACAGATAACCACGACATTGTCTACGTAACCACAAAGACATTGATTCCCAAACCCAAGGAGTACATTCCAGTAAGTCGAATGATTTGCATTGGAAAAGGCAGAAATATGTACAAGTTAGGCTTTTTTATTAACTTTTGTCACTATAGGCCCCATCTTCTTCCAAGTCAAAGAAAAAGTCTGGTGGATTCTTTATGTTTATTTTGAAATTATTGGCTGCAGCAGGGCTTGTTGGTGTATTGTTTGTCGGCTACCGCATGTACGAGAAGAATAACAGTATGAAGCAATTCTGAATATTATATTGTACTTGACCATGATTATTTAATTCAATAAAAAAAAAATTATGTTTTCCAAGATGATGTGGGTGGTTTATGGATTTATACATGACAAACAGAAAATTCTGTCTTGCGAGGACGAGTAGCTATGAAAAGTGATTTAAATTTCAAATAGTCATATCAATAAAACTTACTCGATAATAGAACATGTTGTACAATACATGTTGTTACACAGTTCACATCTTTGAGAACAGTCTGCACAGAATCCCTTTTCACAAAATGTGCACTCATTGGCATGGCCTGGAGTACTACATCTATGACATGAGACTTTATTTTTTAGAGAGAACCCTGGGTCCTTTATATCTGTGTTGAATAGTGCATAAGAAGGCTCGTTGAAAGAATTTCTCTGATTTGGTCTTTGTGCCTGCATTAAGAGTTCGAATGTTTTTTTGGCTAAAAAAAAAGAATCACAAATGACAATTGCATGTCAAACAAAGATGCGCTGTAAATCAATGATTGCAAGCTTTACCATAATACCGATTAGCAGATTGATCCACTTTAAGTTTCTGCCGAAGAGAATTGACGAGCTCACTTTCGTCATGTCCCCGCTTTGACATTTTTTGTGTTTGGTAAAACAGATAATAAAGAGAACTGATTTGAGTTTTGCATAGGTGACTGTCGCTCTATCGGAGCCCACGACATTCAAGCACGCGTGCGACCCAAGTTGGATTAGCTTTCTTCACTTGTCTCAACTATGAATGGAAGAAGAGTAACAGTGACCTGTGAGTGTATATGCTAGATAAAATAGAGACTGCCCCGTCTCATACTCACAAAAGCATTTTCCTTGACTTCTACCCAGATTGTGATGAGTATGGGGTGTGGCCCTTAATTGCAGATGACCTTTCTTCCCGGCTACCCCTTAAGAATCTAAAATGGCAGCCGTCGAGCCAAAGAGGCCCAAGCTTAATCCACTCTCTCGAAGTGGATCTAAAGAGGTTTAGCTTTGATCAGACACCTCAACTCCTATCGACAATGCAAACAAATTACCTTAATCTGTATTTTGTTGCATGCGAAGTAAGAGATCATTCTAGCATTCATCTCAAAATTATATTACTTACATATCTATTATTCTTCAGGATAACGAAATTTATAAAAACAAGGTCAAAAAACAAATCAAACAATGGGTGGATTTTATTACGGGGAAAAAGAATCAAGAGTGGATGGTCGTCTATGTTGCTGGTCAAGATGCAAAAAAGACAAACAGTTACTTGGGACTTAAAACTACTGTATATGACAAGATACGAACTGATTTTAACCAAGGAAAGCAGGAAAGGTTGGTTGAATGTCAGCTACAAATAACTGCTGAACTGACCTTCCTTACTTTATCGATGGATATGCAGATGTTCCTATATTCGTATTCACGATCCAGATGGACCAGCTTCCGAGAACTGGGCAATATTTTTGGATAAAATGAAAGAATACATCCTATCGAGCTTTGATATGCATGTCCTTCAAACACAAGAAGATACCAGACGACTTGATATGCAGCGACATATGCCTGGCTGGAATTATTGTACTTTCTTTATACTGAAAGTAAGGCTTATATTCATAGCAGCCAAGAAATGCGGGCTAAGTATTTTATATATAATTATAACAGGAAGGTTTGGCCCAAGCCTTTGAAATTATGACGCTGTATGAAGACGCATTGATTCAGTATGATGAGCTCGAAGCATCATTTTTTCAAGTATTGAGAGGTTTGGACACACCTTAGTACATTATGTAGTATTAAGGATCTAATATACGAGAAATAATTAGACAAGGCCCTAGCGTGGTTTGGCCATTTTGGAGGAACGGACTTTGGAGATGACAGCGGCAATGTCTTGGATTTCAAGCGGAAAGATTACCGAGACCTTATCAACAAAAACAGCATTTCAGTGTTTGATTTCAGAAGTTATCTTTTTGCAAGACAGTGTCGTATGTTATTGAAGCTTCAAAGAGTGATTGAAGTATGCGGAAGAGCTCAGCTCTTTATCACAAATTTTATACCAGCCATTCGTGAAAATACAGTATGTAAAACACAAACAAAAATGATGTACAGATTGTAGAGAACCTATCATGTGATAAGTTATCTTATTTTGTCACTAGGATCAACTTGCGGATGATTTTCTAGAGTCGTGGGTATTTTCTGCATGTATGAATGTGGTGAATGAATGTGAGCCTCTGTGCCCTCAGCTGGCAGCTATGGATTCTGGATTTACCAAACCTTACAGTGCTGTAAAGTCGGATCTACTTTTGACTGCTCGAAGACAGGTAATATGACGGCCGAAAGTAATTGATTGTATTATTTCAATTTCTCATAATATTTACGTGGTTTTATAGCTGGATAAACTAGGTGTAAAGCACGGAAGTTTACCAAACACTATACCCTTCTCTATTTACCTTGACATTAAACCTACCTTAAAAAGTCCGTCCCAAGGAGATCTTTCGCCAAAGGGGACAATTACAAACCAGAATTTACTTGAAGCAATTAGTTCTGTAGAATCGTTTGACAAGATGTACATGGTAATTGCACGGAATTGCTATTTGTGCTAGTATACTGTATGCTTAAGTTAATTGTCGCAGGCTTTGAGCACAAGGGCAACCAAGGGCTATATAATCAGTAATAGATCAAAAGCAGCATTGAGTGTTCATGGAGATATTGCGGCTTTGAAATAGTAAGGATTTGTAATACGAAAATCTTGTGTTAAGAATAGTAATAGCTGATACATGTACCTATTAGCGTAAGAGGCAAATATGAAGAAGCTGTCGAAATATTTGAGCCTATGATCAAACAATTCGGGAGAGAAGATTGGGGATCTATTGAAAATAGCCTTTTGATCAAGTGTGCTGACTCGCAAAAACGGCTGGGGAAGATTAATCAATATCCTTTTATATATGAATACACCCAAACAGAATATTACATTAGATTTCAGCGGGTGTCCTTAACATAGGTCTTCTATCACATATGTAGAATCTGTTCTTGCTTTGTTAAAGAATGCGGATTACTTATCTCAAGAAGACGCAAATTTGTATATGGATGAACTACTTCGTGATGTGATAAATCTTGAGACAGGTAAGCCAAGTAAATTTCGCCACAGTTTGTATGGGGTATAAAAACATATCTTGATATTCATTAGATATTGCAAGACAATTCTCTCCGATGTTTTCCATTGCCGTTATATCAATTATTGACGATGACACCGTTAACAGCACAAGTGTTGAAATATGTATAAACTCTCACCTCCCAAAGGTAACAAGTAGCCTTGGAATGATTCTAATACTATTTTTCTAAAAACAACAACAACACCTTTTTTTTACAAAGAGTCTATACTTTGATAGTCTTCGGCTCTGTCTCGTAGGGAATTCTCCTGAACAGATATGGTTTACTATTGAAAATCAAACATTAAATCCAGGAAAGAATTCGTTTTACTTGACAAGTGATGTAAGTGGATATAGCTATATGCGAAATAAAGATGAGTATTTAAACTTATTAATGATACACAGACATCTACTTCCGGAAACTACGTTGTTGAGATGTGTGAGATGCGATTAGGAAAACTTATGTTCTATCATAATTTTATGCGGGCTGGGCAAAAGAAACGTGTTGTTCGACTAAACCATGATGTAAAGCAGCTCAGTGCAATTGTACAGCAACCAAATGAAGGTATTAAATACCAGCCGTGTATAAATTTAGACATTCTTTAACATTTTTTGTTTAGTTTGTCTTGGAGAGAGGCAGAAATTCTTGGTCTCGATTAAATCTGGACTTTCGACTATCACAAATGGAAGACTTTTGCTAGAACCGCAGACAGATGGATTAAAGATTTTGAGGGATGAAGAAGTGTGTGGATATATTCAGAATATCAAAGGTAAGTGAATACAGCAGATATTTTCGCTTATGCTGGTACGATGCATAACCCGATAGATTACTAACTCTTAATTTTGGTATTGTAGACAGAGAGGCTTCTCCCAAAAAACATGAGCTTGAGATACTTGATTCTGGGGAAATCGTATTACCTGATTGTGAAGCTGATCATGAGCTTGAAATCTATGTTGCCTATGAAGGACTCTACACCGAATACGAATATAGAGTATAAATTTGTCAAAGATATTTTAAGAGAACAGAGCTATGTATCTTATATTTTCTTCTTTACAGGTCAAAACTACAGTGTCATACACAACTGAAAATAAGGCACGCAAATTTATATCCGCCGATACCATTCATGTAATAGAACCATTGACTGTTACTGAGTCTAGCATCTTTAGAGAAACTTGGTAAGACTCCTTTGTTTTAAAAGAAATGTTTGTTTTTTTCCCTCGTTTAAAAACCCTGTCTTAATTCCAATTTTATACAAGTGTTTTTCTCAAGGTTGAACTTTCTTGCAATGGAAAATGGCCTGTGAGAATATTGGGATCTACTCTACGCCCTTCCAAAATATATGTTGTAGAAAGTCAACCCAAAGAAGAGCAATGGGATCTGGTATGTCCTAAGCATAAGAATATATGAGCTTTGCTTTTTCTGAACTTGCATCACTGGTAGACATTATTTCCCAAGCAGCTAGCCACATTTGTTTACAAGCTAGTGAAGCGAGATGTCTCGGACGAAGGTATGTCTCTTATTTTATTTTTTTGTTTTATTTTTAAAAAAAAAAAAAACTATACTAAAAACTGATAAAAATTCAGACCCTACACTCAAATCCAAAGTTCAGTTTAATGTCAAGTACCGCACAGTTAAGAATGGTAACTTAATTTGATAATTCGTGCACATTGGTAAATACTGATTTTTTTTTTTAAAAAAAAAGAGGTCGAAACAAGCGTTGAAGTAATGCTCAAGCGAAAGCTTGACGAGCACAAGCTAAGCCAGCATGCTACATATGTTTTTAGCAAAGTTCGCGAAAAGTTCTTGCAGTCTGTGGACTATGCCAGCTATGGGTTAACAGATGTTGTTCATTTGGATAACTTTGATGCTGAGCTCTGTGAATCTTTTTTACTTCACCGTGATTTGAAAACAAAAGTCGAACTTCTTGATTTGATCGAAGACTTTTTTGAGGTAAAGTTCAATTTAATACAATGTTCGTTAAATGCTTACTGGATAAATATATGCGGTGGTGTATGTTTTTCTGCAGGAGCATGAGGCTATTACAGTACACACAATTAAAGAACAGACACCAAGTGCCACTATCCATGGCGTATCATTCTTGTTGGATGTGCCTATATCCAAGGTATATGGGACTATACTAGATCGTAGCTCAAAGTTAATCTCTGTGGTTTATCTTAGATCCTTCATACGGTAGAGCTTGCTCTCTCAGTAGAAAAAGACTTGCTTGTTTCTGAGGCTTGTCCATGTGTGTTACGTATCAAGCAATCAATGTATTGGTCTGCAGAGTCTGATGATAGCAAGCCTTTTGAAGACTTCTTCTACGATATTGATGTGGATTACGACAACTGGTTACTTTCGGGAAAACGTCGCCTTCGATTTACATCAAAAGTAAGCATCGTATATTAGTAGCTGTATTCTTAATTTACAATATAAATTTCTAACCATTTCTCTATATGTAGCCTGGAGAGGTTGCTGAGTTTTCTATTAGTCTTGTACCCCTTAAAACTGGAAACTTGCTTTTACCTTCTGTTCGTGTATCAGCCGTGTCATCCAATGTTTTCTCTGCGACAGTTTACGTGAACAGTGCTCAGCAGATCCTTGTGAAGCCAAAGTCCACCACAGCTACATTCTTTATTGAACAACAGCAACGCTTCCTTCAGCCGCAGATGTTACCGACGTTTGCCAGTAATCCTGAACGCCCAGCATTATCTCCAGATATCTCTTCTGCTAACGGTCGAAGTGGATTAAGAGAGATAGTAGGAGAGGCGACTTAATATGAATATTTTCCTCAAGTTTAATTATTATATTTTATTTTTGAATTAAAGCATACAAGTATGCAATTTGACTTATTTTTCTATTTATTTTTATTAATCACTACGACAAATAGGGGCGGTTTTTTGTATTTGTGACTTTGTTTTTGGCCTATAATAATTAAAAAATCACCAAAAATCCAATTTGAAACTAGAAAATCTCTGTTTTTTGAAAAGATTGACAAAAAGCAGATTGACCATCTAAAATTAAATCTCCTGATAGACAAAAGTACATTTTAACTACAGACTTTACATTTTTAGTAAATGTAGATTGCAATTGATGACTATTAAAAGTCAGAGGTAAAAGAGAGAAAAATATCTAAACTTTTTGCTGGGAGGATAAAATATGTTAAGACAATTTGAAAAAAAATAATGTATTACAAGAAAAAAAAATTATAAGTCTGCAAGAGAACCAAGTGACAGTTTTGGGCCGCGGTTAAGCTCTGGCCACACTACATATGTTGTTGCTGCTGTTGTTATTGTGTTTATAGTCGTGTCCGACTTCACCAAACCAACTAATTCTTTGACATCTGCCAGGTGAACTACCATTGGCTTCATTTGCCCATTGTTGATGACTGGTATACTATTTACCAAACGAACTGCATAAACATTGACAAGGACAAGCGGCCACCTCTTGTTGTTGAGCTTGTGCTCAAAGAAAACGACGACCTTCCCAAAGAAATCCTTGTAGACTGGAGAGTAGCTTTACCCAATGTTGCGGTTCTCATCAACCTGAACCTGAAGTCTGACGTTATGTGCCTCTCTTACACAATTATGGTCGAGTGCAGAGTCAATAACACAACCATTTACAAATGCCTTACGGCTTGTTTTAATGGCTGCTCCAATCATACTACACTCTTCCCCCTTTGATTCGTAGAACTTTTGAAGAAGCTCTGGAAGACAAGAAATGCCTCCAAAACTATCAACAATCGTTCTGTTCCTCAAAGGCCCCCAGAACTCAATGTCAGAATCAGTACCAACATTACTACCTTCTCGGTCAATTGGCCAACCAGCAGAGGGATCGTCATACTGAAGGAGAGTTGTTGCTGTTACTGTTGCTGTTGTCGTTATTGAATTTTCAACTCTCATCTGTCGAATCTGTGTCAAGCCAAGCATGATGTTGCCAGCGTTGATTCCAATTGCCGAATTACTCTTTATTGCTCGCGAGTATTCCCCAATCGTCCTCTCGACAGATCGTGCACTATACGCTCTGGGGGGACCATACGCTTCTATCATTGCGGGATAGTGCTGCAGGAGGTGCTGGTTGATCGTAAAGACCTTGAGCTGGACCTCTCCTTTAGCTAGCGAGGCTTCCAGATACGCATTCCATGCGACGAGATTTCTAAAAAAAAAAGATAAGTTAACACAAGTTATAAAATAATAATATTAATTATAATTAAAGCTTACGTTTTGATCAAGGTTTTCTCCTCTGCTGATAACTCCCAGCTCATGAGTAGGTTGCATGTCTGCACCAGGTCAAGCAATGCCTTACGGGCAGCTTGGTCACGGACACGCTCTGCCACAAGCGTGGGGATAACAAACAAGATGAAGTCAGCCCAGTCCACAGCCCGGAAGTACCCTGATCTTGTTGCGATGTTGATCCATGCACCGTGGAAAGATGTCGGAATACTTCTTCTGGTTGACACCATGGCAGTACCAATTTCTTTCTGAGCAGCAAGGGAGAGAGAGAGAGGATGATCTTTTCCATACTTGCCACACACGAGCCCCCAGACCTGTTTGCCAATGCCGTGGCAAATGCCGTGCATTTCATCCAATGCAAAGAAGAACGGACCAGAGAAGGAATCCAGTAAGGAGAAGGGAGATTGGCCAGTTAACCCTTTTTTGCTGGATGAGGCCACCTCATCAAAGTGCTTGAAACTTTCCGGTGTGCGCATGGTGATGGCAGATGACATTCGGAAATATTGGCCATGGCCAGGAGATTGACCCACAACGTGGCAGATGCGGCAGCCATCCTTACTCATATGGCCCACATGACAAGCCATCTTTCCCAGAACTGGGATGTCGCCAGTTGTCATTAGTACATGGACTTTTGCACTAATATCTCCAGATGGTGTCTTCACAACCATTCCACCGGCTTGGAGAATCCGAAGTTCTTTCAGAACAGGCTCCAGGAATGACCAGAAGTCGGCGGGTGCTTTGGGACCAGGGATGATCGCGACTTGGATCATACGGCTGCGCTCGTAGCGGATCATTGGGGGAAGGTTGAGGTTGGTAACGTGGACAATGGTTACCGAACCCGGAACACTATGGGGAGCAAACCCATCAACAGACAGCGAAATGGCGATGTCGTTTTCACCCGAGAAAAGATGCTTCTTTGACTGGTATGCCTGTCCGTCAAAGACATCGGAAATGCTGCCATCAGCCTTTTGCGTATGATGGTGGCGATACAACATCTCTTTTCTGGTGCGGTCGTTGGCCAAAGCAACTGCAAGCTGTCTACCCAGAGGAAGCTGTATCATTGTGCTGGCAGGAATTGGATTCTCACCAGCGATGTGATCGAACAATGATTTGCAATAAACATGCAAACATGCTTAAGAGGGTTGGTATAGATTTCACCAGATGCCATCAAAATTGGGCATCCATTGCAAGAGTCAGTCATCTCTGGAAAGACCGTCAAAGGAGGCAATTGTAAGTAACTATCCACTGCAGTGTAAAGTAGTATATTTAATATTGGAAGTATATGATGTATTTGACTGTTTATAACCAATAAAAATGATGTATAAAATGTAATGTCTATCATAACAGCCAATAAAAGTGATATATAAAATGTAATTGTGTAGTGTAATAACCAATAAAAACGATAAATAAAAAATATATCCATTTGAGAAACCAATAAAAATGTATTTTTATAAAATACACTACAGTGCAATTATGTCTTATCCAATAAAAACAATGATTAAGCAAGAAATATTTAAAAGAATCTAAATTAAAAGAACAATGAATTAGTAGTAACCAATGGCATATAATATTTCAACTATACTTAAAGAAGTTTTGTCCAATTGAAAGACAAATATTAGCAAAAGAAAAGGTTATCAATATATTAATAGAATCTTAAAACTACCGGTAAGCGGAGATGTATTAAAATGCACATGAACTCAGGGTTGGAAAAAAGGGGGGAGGACACAAAACGCGCCCTGGCTTCCCCTCCGGAACCACCTGTGAAACCACCTCTAAAACTCCTATTTTTTTTGGCGTAGTGTAATATATATATATTTTTTTGAGGTGTATATGTAAGAAGGAAAACTAAAGGTAGAGCTAAGTAGCAAGAGAACAGGCAAGGTCATCAAGAGATTTTTCAGCCTTAAATATGGCAACCAAGCGGGAAGCGGTAGATAGGACGGTGGAAGATACAAAAGGTGTATTGTCGAACACCGTGGACCAATGATGTCGCCAGATCGCCAGAAGGGCACAGCTAAAGAGAGAGGCGGCGTGAATATCAGAGGGGCGGGTATAGGGGAAAGACAGGTTGTAAAATGCATCATGGAGTATAGGAAGAGTAGGATGAGATCCAAAGACATCTTGCCAGAATGTAGACCAAACGTCAATTTTGAGGGGGCAGGAGAAGAGGAAATGGTCGGGTGTGTCTGTAGAGGCTTCACAAATGGGGCAAGAGTCGGTGGGGAAGGGGCCAGGAAGTATGCGATGCAACAGAGAGCGGGATGACAATTTGTGGTGCAGACCTCGGTACCAGATGTTGCGGACATGGTGGTGTATAGGAAGGTTCCAAAAGATTCGCCATTGTGAGCTGGACAGTGTAGACGACAGGGGAGGAGAAACAGAAGAGGAACAAAGAGAACGATACATACGAGGTTTCAGCTTGGACCACGGTATTCCAGGTAAAAGGCCGCAAACAAAAGGGCTAGCATTGATTGATGAACCTGAACGGGAAGGAATGGAAGGGTAATTGAGCTGAAGGATATGAGAAGGGAGGAAAGCGCGAACAAGGAAAGGTTGTAGCAAGATGTCGCGAGAGTCAACTCTCTTGAAAAACTTGCGCAATATGAGCGGGTTGCGTGGGAAATCAGCCGGCGCTCGACGGCAGAGAACGTCGAAAGAAGGGTCAACAAGAAAGGCATCTTCAACGCGGAGGTGTTGCCAGGAGGGAGGGAAGGAGGTAGTGCTTGTGGCTGGTAGGCATACTGAGCGGAGGGGAAGTGCTAAACACGTAGCAATGTTGGGGGCAAGGGAGGAGAAGTCGTGCGAGAGCCTATCAATAGCAGAGAATATGTTGCGGAAGCAACCTGCAAGGCCAGTCAGATCGGGGGGGGGGGGGGGGGGGGGGGGGGGCGAAGATCGTGGAAGAGAAGTGTCAATCGGGGGTCGGTGCCAGACGTATGATAACGTAAGAGAAAGGACAGTCAAGGAGGAACTAAGCCAGAGGTGGAGTGAGGAGAGAGACAGAGAGGACGTAACCAACGCAGCTGAAAAGCACCTTGTTGTATAGAAGGATCTAATACTCCAAGGCCGCCAGAACGAAGAGGGAGACAAAGAGTGGACAGCTTAATGGGAGGAAACATTCGGTGCTGCAAGAACTGACCCATGGCCGACTTCACTTTATCGAGAAACGACACAGGAACAGAGATCACGCGTAGGACATGCCAGAGACGGGAGAGAATGAGAGTATTGAGAACGGTGGCACGCCCCCGGATCGATAAGGATCGAGTGAGGTGTATGGCGCAGGAAGATTGTATGGTTGTTAACAATGAGGAACAAAAGGCATCGCGTTGGGCAATCGAACTGACAAGAGGGAAGCCAAGGTAGCGGAGGGAGTCAGGACAGGAACGGTCGTGCCAGGATGTTATTTGGTGGGCCTGTAGGAACGTGATCCAGTGAGGAAGTGGTTGTCCCGAAAGCGATATGGCCTCCGTCTTGGCCATGTTGATCTTGGCATTGGAGGCCCGAGAGTAAGTGGCAAGATGTGTGTGGAGGCGTGTGAAACATTCGGGTGTGGAGAGGAAAACAATGACATCGTCCGCATATGCAAGACATTTGACTGGAGGGGGGGCTGGAAGGATTGGCGAGATAGGTGGGAGAAACCCAGAAAATTTAGGGTCATGTTGGAGGCGGCGTAGAAGAGGCTCAAAGGCGAGATTGAAGAGAACGGGGGACAGAGGATCGCCCTGTCGGAGACCGCGGTGCTGAACAAGTTCTCGGGAGATATGACCGTTCACATTGACTCGTATTCGAGTAGAGAAGAATAGGTTGCAAATACAATCGACGAGAGAGGAAGGAAAACGGAAATGGCGCAGGACTTGTCGCAGGTGCGAGGGGTGTACACGATCGTAAGCCTTTTCTTGATCCAAGAGCAAGCCAATACTGGTGGATTGAGTGAGCCGGGCCTGTTCCATAATGGTCTTGACGAGCATGCCATTGTCAGCAATGAACCTTCCCCTCACAAACCCGGTTTGATATTGAGACACAATTGAGCTGGCAGCAGGAATCATACGGGCATTGAGTAGTCGAGTAAAGACCTTTGCATCAGTGTTAATCAAGGCAATAGGTCGCCAGTTCTTCAAAGATGTAAGGTCTCCTTTCTTCGGTAGCAAGGAGAGACAAGTAGATTGCCAAGAGGCAGGAAAAACTCCAGTGGTGAGAGCGTCATTGTAAAGCTTTTCCAAGATATGAGCACACGCGGGATGGTCAAAAAGGAGACGAAGGATTTCATAGGGTATCCCGTCGGGACCGGGACTGCTGGCGGAAGGAGACCGCTGCGCACCTTCTCGTATGTCTACGATGGAAAAGGAGGAAGTGAGTTTGTTTACAAGAGCGTCAGAGAGAACAATATGAGTCGGAAGATTATGTAGAAGGTCGTCTACAGCGGTTTGCTCAATGTCATCGGGGGAATACAAATCTTCATAAAATGCAGCCGCGGAATCGGTCATGATAGAAGGCTGTGTCGAAAGGACGTTGGTGAAGGGGTGGCGTAGGCCAGAGATCGTCTTACGGACTTGTCGTGTTTCAATCGTACGTTTCAAGTAACCGGCAGAGGTCTCACCCTGTTCCCGCCAGTGTTTTCCAGCGCGCAATGCCTGTGTTTCTACCTTTTCGTGTTGTATGTCCTGAATCTGTCGTTCCACAAAAGGAAGCTGGAAGTTAATGGAGGGGTTGAGTCGGTACTTTTGTATCAGGTGCGCGCGCTTGCTCTGCAACTGGGCTTCTATCGTAGTGAGGTTGCGGCGAAGGCGACGGCAATAAGAGCGGATAAAATGGATGACATCGGTTTTGAGACTATCCCACTGTTCTTGAACAGATAGAGATGTTGGTAGAGAGTGGACGAGGGAATGAATGTGAGAGTCAAGCTGGAGACAGAAATGCTGGTTGTAGGACAGACGTGGGTTGGCACGCCATAGGCCTTTCCCCAAGACAGTGCCTGAATCAAAGAGAAAAGATGCGGAAACTAGGAAATGGTCTGACCATTGCGGATGAATATAATCCACGGAAGACAAAATGCGGTGGGAAAATATATCGGAAGAGGAGAATATATAGTCCAAGGTGGAGGACGTTGTGCCGCGATGGAAGGTAGGCATAGGGGTAGAATCAGGCATAGTGACGCAGTCAAAGAGGTGGTCAGAGAGGAATTGGAGCCACGTATGAGGTGCAAGTCGGGGCCGAGGTGAACGAGTGTGATAGGAGTGATTAAAATCTCCCAGCAGGATGAAGCGTGAAGGATGAGTGGGCAATAATAAAGAGTTAGCAAGCAGGGCAGATAGGAATTTATACCGCTGTCCAACTGTAGCTGGGGCATATACCACACAGATCTGAAAAGGAGAAAAATTATTGTTGGCATGCTCAACTGTAGCAGATATACATCGGCCACAGACAGAGGTTAAAGGGTTGACAATAGAAATCATAGGAGTTAGGCACACTAAACCACAATGTTGGGACCAAACTGAGGAAGTAGTCCTAAACTGCATATTGAATGTGTTCTGTATATCCATAGAGGAAGCATGAGTTTCTTGCAGGGCGAGTATATCGACATGCTGAGAGCGTAGGTGGCGTATAAATAATGAGCGTAAGGTGGGGTTGGCCAATTTGGCCAGGCCTCGACAGTTTATCGTGGAGATTTTAATCATAAAGTAAGAGCTGGATTTGGAGGATCTTGTCCACCATCATTTTCACCATCCATGGGATCATCTTCCATTTGAGCGAAATACTTGGCGACCTCATCGATGTCATCGTCGCTGTAGTATTCCTCATCGTCGCTTTTCTTCGTCTCTTCGTTACCAAGTTCGCCATCACTGGTCTTAACCGATTGGACGTTGTCATCCATGCCAGTACTAGCCGCTGCTTCTATCAGGAAGTCAGGATGGTTGGCGGGAAGAACACCCGGAATGGCGCCCGGGGCCGCGCGTGGTCTAGAAAGGGATTCAGTAGCCAATGGAGGTAGGGGTATGTTCTGTGGGGCGTGCTGTGAGCCGTAGATTGTTTCAGAGGGTAGAAGACCATGATACATCTGAGCGGCTGGGGGTGCAGGGGCATGGGTTGGGGAGCGAGCAGTTTTGCGAGGGCGTTTTGATTCGGCTTCCTCGTTTCGTGGGCATTGATGGGCAAGGTGACCAACCTTACCACAGCGGAAGCAGGTGCGGGTTTCTTTGGGTCGCTTGGTGCAAGCTTCTTTCTCGTGACCCATCTCTTTACAGAAAGTACAATGAGTACCCATACGTGCCCAAGTGGCAAGGAAAGTTGTAGTTTCATTATACTTGATCTCATGTTCCAAGTGACGCAGATGAAGATCAGGATTAGGTGGGCGTAGCATATGGATGGTGCCTGTGCCGTCGGGGTAGTTATATTTCAAATTCAAGGATATTTCCTGAACCTGTCCGTATATAGCAAGGCAGCGGCGAAGATTCTCGGCAAGTTCATCAAAATCCGCATATCCGTGAAGAGGAAGTCGAGACACACGTAAGCGCAAGAGCTTAAACGTCGGAGGAATGGCAGGAGAAGCGAAGACAGTACGTCCATTAAAAGGAAAGCCAACTTGGCATGCGCGCGAGCATGCTTCTTGGTCTACTAGATGGAATTCGAAGGAGGTGCGGGAAGTACGAGAGGCATATGTGAGGCCGCGGCCAACACCCAATGGGAAAGCGGTGTTAAGAGCCTCAAAGAACAAAGGACGGAGGGGGTTTCCCTCAGTAGGGACCTCGTAGAAAACAGAAAATGGAGAGGAGCCTTCTTTCCATATGCGTGGAGCGCCATTACCAGCGATGGAGCCGATGATGCGAGATGTACAAGAATTGTCTACAGACTTAACAGCCGCAGCTACGTAAGATGGAGACAATGGTGGTGAGCCAGTTGGTGTAGATGGAGTGTTGAGTGATGGCGTGGGTGAGCCAGGAGGTGGTGAGGGGTCCCTTGGTAGGGGTGGCGGAGTCTTAGCGGGAAGAGCCATGCGTAGTGTAATATAAATATCTTTTCTTTAATATTAACATAATTCAGTCACTTAGCTATATATATATATGCTTCTAGATAGCTTATATGTAATTTAGCCAAAGAAAAATGAAATAAACTTTGAATCAAAGTAATTCTTTTTTTTTTGATAATTTATGAGTGAATAATGTAACTTGATGATTAAAGATTATTTGACTCCAGGCTCATGGCTACTCCCGGCGATTAAATGACTTGAGCATATTTTACACAGGAACACAATAGTACAGGAGCATCTACATCTTTGTGAGTAACGTTAATCTCAAACACTTTTCTGTAAGACAGTCGGTTTAGCCAATCAAGCTAGAAAGATTTTATATAAAAGAAGAAAAAAGCTATGTGTCATTTTTCGAGAAATCAACTATAAAATCTATGTATTCTTTATTGAAGAATTCGATTCTTCAATTAACGTTCCGGACTAATTTACATTAAGTCGCATGTATCCAATAAATAATAAAGAACAGATTAACACGCATATAAATCAAGATGTAACTACTACAGATATTCTTACAAAATGATTAGTTCTAAAATTTTATTGTGTATACTGAGTCAGCTAAATACTCCATATATTTATATTGAATTGGTACTTATTATTTTAAAAAGGCATTGTCCTTTAGTATTCAAGATGCTATCGAGTTGCACAAGAACATTTTCTTTTTCTGCAGACTTTATATTACGGAGAAATATGATAGCTATATCCTAAGTAGTATAGAGTTATACACACCTGATTATGATCTGGCAGAAGATTTCATTAACAATTACTTAATGTAACTTACATTGACCCTCAATCTTCTATATTTATTGATATAATTATATAGATAGTTCAATATAGCATATACACCTATCAAAAGCTACAGAAAACTTGAAGCTTGTGCTGCTTAAAAATCAAGAAATGATCTTTGGATTTATATTACAACAATTATTTGCACGCTTTACGTGAAAGGATGGCGCGACCGTCCGTTTTTTGCGTTTGAGAAACAAATGTCCGTAATCTGACCAATAAAATTAAAACTGTTAGGTAAGACAAATGATGCCACCCGTCCTTTTAATGCTGCCATATATATTATACAGCCAGCTTTTTGGGTTGGATTGCACAATAGGAAAATAATATGGCGTAAAAAAAAAAAGAAAAAAAAAATCAATTTTACCGAGAAAAATAAAATTTCTTACTTTATAGTTCGAATAACTAAACTTTGAAATTAGGGTATCGCAGTAGTACAATGATAAGTCCATTACTGTACGAATCTCGCGTTTCATAAGCTTTTTGCATCATCGATTGTTCTGTATGTCGACATTTCTCACTTGACTGTTATCATACATGTACATAGGAATTATATTTTTGACAGAGCTACTATATATATATCCAGGTTCCTCAACCCTGAATACTTAACATCCTCTTGCCCTTTTCTTTATTCATTTATTTATTTCAAAAAATATTTGTCGATTCACATAATGAGTACTCCAAACCTAAATGAAAAGGTTTACCTTTCAGATAGTAAAAAGACCGACCACATCGAAGATAAACAAGATGGTTCTGAAATATCTTCTATTGATGAAGAAGATGCACTGGCCAACTACGATCATTCATTCGAATGGACCGATAAAGAAGAAGATGCCGTAAGACGCAAGATTGATCTTCGCTTGATGTCTTTTGTGCTGCTCATGACATTTGTATTAAACATGGACAGAACCAATATCTGTAAGAATATTTTTTCTTTTAATATATATACATACATATATATATATGTTATATACTTATACTTATAACATTTTACTAGCCAACGCAATATCCGATAATCTCGCTGCAGACCTCGGCTTTACAAATGACGGTGTCAATACTGCCACTCTAGTTTATTCGTTTGTTTTCACTCTCTTCACTCTTCCCTCGACTCCCATGGCCAAGAAATTGGGTGCTCACATCTGGATCCCATTTCTCATGTCATCCTGGGCAATTGTCACTTGGGCACATACTTTCATTTACGTAAGTACCCTTTAAAATGTAATTGTATATCATTACTAAACTTTATTTACAGGATTTCAAAGGCTTTATGTGTATTCGTGTTTTTATTGCTGTGACTGAAGCTGGTTTTATCCCTGCCTGTCTACTCTACTTATCCTTATGGTACAAAACTACCGAGCTTGCCACAAGATTGTCTTGGTTCTGGGGTATTCAGGCTTTTGCTTCAGCCTTCTCGGGACTCATTTCATCTGGAATTTTTAAAATGCATGGAATTGCTGGTCTCGAAGGTTGGAAATGGTTGTTTTTGCTGGATGGTATTGGAACTCAAATCGTCGGCTTTGTTGCCTTGTAAGTATACTTTTATAAGCACAGAAAGGAAGATATACTAATTTAATCTATAGCTTCTACTTGCCCGGATCTCCTTACAAAACAGCCGGTCTGTTGCGTGGAAAGGGTTGGTTTGACGAGCGTCAAGCAAAGATTGCATATACTCGCATTGTACGTGACGACTTGACAAAGAAAGAGCATAATAAGACTTTGAAGCTTGAGGACGTTAAGCTGGTTGTTGTTGATACTAAGATCTGGACACATTTGTTGATTACTTTCACTGTGTATGTATATACTATTATGGCTGCCTTTATCATTTATACTTATTTCTATTTATCTTATAGAATTATGACAACCACACCTATCCAGGGCTATCTTCCTACTATGATCAAACAGTCAGGATTCAATGTTACAGAAGCTAACCTTCTTTCGGCTCCTTCGTACCTCATTGGTCTCGTTATCTCTATCTTTATTGCAAGAAGCTCTGATAAGCGGGGAAATGTCGCACTTCACGCTCTAATTGGAACTGTTTGGAGTTTAACCGGATTCTTATTATTAGCCTTGCTACCTGATGGAACTGGACGCTGGAGTTTATATGGTGCAGCCTTGTTCACAGCATCAGCGCCCTCTGCCCACGGAATGGAAATTGCTTGGATGGCTTCTAACATCGCGCCCCTTGGAAAACGCTCATTTGCTCTTGGCTGTGTTATTGGAGCTGCTAACATCTGCGGTGTCCCTGGTTCCCAAATCTACAGAGTCGCTGATTCCCCTCGTTACCATCATGGTAACTTTATTAACAGTGGTGTCCATATCGCAAATATTATTCTTTTGATCGTTCAACGTACTCGGTATGCCTGGTTAAATCGCACACGCGCTAGAAAGTGGGACAGCATGACCATTGAAGAACGAAAAATCTACAACAAGACTACAAAGGATATTGGAAGCAATCGCCTTGACTTCAAATTCAGATTGTAGGATTATATTACCTAATTTACCCCACTGCAACTATAGCAGTCCTCTTATTACCCGCTCATATTTGCGGGAAGCTGTAAAAAGAAATAACCCCCCTACCGCATCTAATATTACGAATCCATTGTATACTATTTAACTATCATTACCCAAAATTAAAAATTAAAAATTAAGCTATTATTGGCATCTTATCATCGCATATAAACAGCTTCGATGGTTTTCAATTGTGTTATTTTGTAAGGGAAAATGTAACAAACATTGTATTGTTGGTTTCAAATAAGGAAGAAAAGGAAGAAGGCTCTATGAATAATACTCTTTCTTTACTATGGTGTAAGCGGACCTAACTACAAATGATTCTTTAGTGCTTTTAACAATCAACAGGCTTTGAAAAGAGTAAGTGGCTAAATATCAACGATTACATTGATAAATATAACTGTGTCTTGTTTAGATGGCCGTTTAGATTGATTTTGACCAGCTTGAATAAAATGTAGTAGGCTTTCAAAGCAGAGATGGTGTAGATTTGTACCAATTTTCAACCATTCTAAAAAGAGCCTTGAACTTTTACACTGAAATTGATTTTCCTCGCTGCTAATTTAATTTGTCTTCTTTTTTACTAAACATATGTCTTATATAATATATAAATTCGGTGATTTTAAGATTATCAGATTTATAGTGAACAGAATTCGTAGGATTTTCGCTAACAATTTCTATAGATTATTACTTGTTTTAACAAAGAATGGACAAAGAATAAAAAAAAACAATTCAAAACGCAAAGAGCAACTTATAATTATATACTTTATATCACAGTCTGCAATCTAACAGCTGCAGATGATTTCTTTAAAACATTTTGTAATATTCATCAAATCAATCGCAAGAATGCATTACAATACAGTATTTCTCCAGTTATCAATGCTTGACATTTCGATGTAGCAGCATTTTAATCACCACCTAATGATACTCTCTATTTATGCAATATACACCCGAGGTTTAAAATAGACAAAACTTACGATCACAGGCTGTAGAACAACTTGAATATTGATCCTTTACTGCTTCCATATTTTTCCATCCTGAGCACTATGCTACATGCAAGTTTTTACTAGGAAAATGCATCAGCGAATGTTGGGAATATCCTAGAGAACGTTTACGAATAATTTAGAACTCCAGGGGATATCGGTAAACTTGAGAAACAAGGTTTTTAAAGTGTGGGATACACACTACAGACTCCACAATCCAGAACAGATGCTGTAATTACTAATAAACTTAACATGAGCCCATCCCAGGAGCGTAACACACACCAGACAGCCGACACTTGTAACCTTCACACTGCTACAGGTACAGCCAATTATTAGTTAATATATGTATCATAAATTAGGGAGCAGATTATCTATATAAATGGCTATGACCTTTTATCTTAAATAAATAGCACTCTCACAATAAATAATGTTTTTTAGAGTATTAGTTTACCTCACAGATATCAGCGAGACAGTACGATAAAACTCTGGGGAACAGTCAAAACAGATGGTGTTGAGATCTTAATCCTAAAACATATTCACGATACTATCCAAGAATCAACTTATAGGAGGGCTACTATCGCTAACACAGAGGACACATTCATCATAGGTGCTTTCTCATCAGAGCAGCAAGAAATAATCAGTGACCATTTTATCTTTGTCGACTCCGGAAGATACTTGTCATACTGCATGTGTGAAGACTTTACTGTGGCCGGGCCAAGAGGCTATTGGTACACATCCAGTCAACAAAGAGTTGAGCCTAAACGTGGCAAGTTCTTTTAGTTTATTTTTTGCATCTCAAATCCCAACACAAATTATTTTGCTGCCAAACAAGTCTTTTTGGAGAGATCAAAACGAGTCAATAACAGTTGGTGTGGACAGACTAAAAGTTCAAAAAAAGGGCAAGAAAAGGGTAAAACAAGTCCATCTTGAACTTAGCCAATCAGCTTTAATTATGACTGTCCACACCTTTTTTTTAAAAAAAGTTCAAAATTAGTTCAAAATACATATTAGGTAATGCTATGCTCATAATGCTGTCACTGTCAGTAAGCATAGTCAATGCTTCATATTCAAATATATCAACATAAAGAAGTCTGTTTTGTTGTGGATAAAGACGAATTTGTTTATATTATCCAATTACAACTCTTCAGAATCTTTCACTGCTTGAATCTGTATCTGCATATCGTCAAAGCATACGTATGCAAACGATATCCCCTGTCTCTAAAAGTCCTCCCCATCAATACAAGAACTCTTAACAATTCTCATCAATAAAAATCATTCTTCTTGAGCTCAAACCTCTCTCCATCTCATAATCTAATTATCTACACCACTTTTTTTACAAATCCATTTATTACAGGTATAACATTTTAGCCAAAATAGCTTGTCAGTATATATTACTCATAAAGTTATAAATAATAATCAATACTCATCTACCTTCATTTTAACTCCATCCTTTTCGTCTTTTTTTTTATAAAAAAAATTATCTTCTTGTATCGCCTGTACCTTACATTAAACTATTGTAATAAAAGTATGTCCACCCCCAGCGCTATTGAGTTCGTTTCTCATCAGGAAGATGACAATCAGTCACATTCCTGGATGAAGCCAGATGGTGGTAAAGATGGGTTGTCATCGATTGATCGGCTGCAGTACTTTCTGCTGAAAGACGACGCAGACAATCTGAGGAAGTACCTTGGTGGCTTCAAGAACGGGAAGAAGGTCAAGGTCAGCAAGACCAGAGTGATCAACGACTGCTGCCAGTATTTTGACAAGCAGGGTGTGAAGCGCACCAGCTCTCAAATAAAAAGCAAGCTGACGTATTTGATAACCAAGCAATATCCTATTGCATTCAAAGCCTGAGAAGACAGCACAATGAGAATTAGCGAAGAAGAAATGTCTCAACGTGAAAAAGATGAACTTGAAGGTATGAATATTGTTACGTATAAGTTAAAACAAACATCTAAACAATTTAAATTATTTTTTATAAGTATATCTTAATGATATATGCCCAAACTTCACGCAGATGAGAAAAGTACTTGGTGAAAGTAAGGCAAAGTCACCTGCTGTATGTAATACAACAACGCCCTTGGACTTAAACAAAGCCCAAGACATGAGCAAGGATGAAGACGGTGAAGACGGTGAAAATGATGGAGGTGACGAAGCCAGTGAGAGCAGCAAAAGCTGCAAAGACCAAGAAGAACAGGGAGCTGATGTCAGCAATGAGATCAGTTCTCAGAGAGAGGCCATTGTCCAAAGCAATAGTGAAAGCAGCACCTCCGAGCACTCTGACGCCAGTGCGTACAGTGGCAAAAAACGCCCTAAATTCTTTGGCAAGATTGTGAAGAACACGGCAAAAAGATCAGTCAAGAGCATAGAGGATATTGGGCATGGTATAAAAGAGTTCAATGATGCCCGGATATCGCTCTTAGAATCAAAGTACGAGGAAGAGCTCAAGAACCAGAAGGAGAAGCTGCAAAAAGAGCTTCAATGCGAGCAGCGGGTAAAAGGAGTGATCCTTATGGCAAAAACATTTGACTGGTCTGAGGAGAAGACTAAGAATGAATTAGAAGAGGTGTATAATCAATACCTTAATTAATAAATTGTATTTCTTCTATTTATACTATGCGTTTAATTTTTATATATATTTATATACAAATTCTCAGAACTAATGTTATTTTATTTAAAAAAATGTAAAGGCATGTAGACTATATAAAAATACTATCATTAAAGCAGGCAAAATTGATCTTCTACTTACGTCTTCAAAATAGTTTGATAATAAAATATTAAAGAAAGAGAAGAACATAAATAATGACAAAATATCTATTTAATTACAGCTGTCAAATGCCGAAAAGTGAGATCTATCTAATAGATATAAAAGCTAATACTTCTGTTTTTTTTAATGTATTTAGAATGATCAAAGTTTATTTTCTTTATTCAAGAAGATTTATTCTTCTCTTTTGACATAACAACACGTTGTGTCTGGATCCACCTTGTATTTCCGTCTATATTCTGGGATCCATCTACTACACCAGACTCCTCTGAATATCCTGTCTTCCGCAGGCGTTCAACTTCAGCTTTCTCTCTATCTTCCCATCGACGCTTGGCTTCCTGAGACCATTTGTCGTCATCTTGACACATCAGGAAATTGTTCAAGGCTACGCAAACCCGAATCCATGCGTTAACCTTTACAACGTCTTCCTTTCTTTTTATCCTTACAGGGATTGATTTGAGAGAGTAGAATCTCTCTTTTAAGATTCCAAATGCATGCTCAATTTTTACTCGCATGCTCGAGATCTTGGTGTTGAACTCTTGGTCTGCTAACGAGAGTTCACTGTTTCTTGGCTTCTTTTTGATTGGAACAATATAGTTCGTAGCCTTGTACCCCGCGTCTGCCAACACATACTCGTCATCAGAAAAGAATCGCTCTGGGAATTTTCCAAGCTCACACTCAGACAAAGTACGCATATCATGCGAACTTCCAAAGAAACCGGTTGACATGTATCGGATTATGCGTCTATGATCACACACTGCGACACTGTTTACACAGTAAGCGGATCTGCGACCGAAAAACTGCTCTGGCTTCCACGATGGTGCTTTTGCCAGCTTAAATAAGCATCCATCAAGAAATCCAACAAGGTTTGGAAATCCTAATGAATATTCATTTGCTCGTTTTATCTCTGCTTTCTCAGATTCGGTTGGCCAATAAACGAACTTGTGCTCTAAAGAGAGAATTACTTTGAAGAATCTGGCTGTTATATTCTCGATAGAGCCCTCTATTTGTTTTTATTGTAGGAAACAGGTGAATAAATTTGCTTTTGTATATGTGGGTAAACAGTCGTAGACTATTATCCTGAGTTACTTACTTCCTATTCCAGAACGTCTTGCCAAACGGCCACTTGACGAAGAATTACCATTTGATCCTAATCGGTCAAGAACAATGGAAATCTGTAGTCTAACATCGATCGAGTAAAATCCTGACAATTGTTGGTAAAGCTCGTGGTTTTTTACAAGATCATACAGCTTATAAAAAGAGCTCTTGCTCATTCGAAACTCTTCCAGGAAGCCGCTTTCATCCAAGGCAAGCAGAAAATTCAATCTTTCTTTTTGAGTTACAAGTTTCTTGGTCTTGTTTTGCCCTTTGAAAAAATAGCGTCCTTTGCTGATTTTGTCTTGGACCTTCGTAACCATCAATTTCTCCTGTTGTAGCTTTAATTTGCATATGCTTGCAAAATCTTTGTACGTGTCATGATCTTCCTCACAAGCAATGACATTAGAGTCGGACAACATCTTGATCATCTTCTTCAACGTGTGTTGAGTGATAGCTGCAGATGCATCCAAAGTTGATTTTGCGAGTATATTTATTGGAGTATGCGGCATTTTTTTAAGATAATAAGTAAAAGAGTAATATATTTCTCACTTTTATACACGCTAGTATTTAATTATACCAAGTATATATGCTTTAAATTGTCGTTTGCTATTTAAGTGTAATGCAACTAGAAGGGATGCATGATATTATCATGCAAGTAGTATCAGACGAAAACTGGCCAATCATAGCCGTTAATTAATTTTGCCCTTTTTTTGCCCTTTTTTTGAACCTTCAAAAAAAGGGCAAAAAAAGGGCAAAATTAATTAAAACTCTCATCCAATAAAATGGCCTAAATTTTTGCCCTTTTTTTGAACTTTTTTTGAACTTTTAGTCTGTCCACACCAAGTATTTACATTTACTTTTATCTTTTATCTTTTGGTCAAATCAACAAGTTTCTCAGTCCTCGATTTTTTGTGCGAATACCAAAAGTCAGACCAGTAGCCATCCTTTTTTTTATCCTGCAAACTTCGCCTCCCCTCTTATATAAAGCAACCACAGACCAATGAACGCTTAACAAGCAATAATCTCGCCGGCTTTGGTCCAGATTGTGTCTTGATCATGGGAAACTGGCCTGCACCCCACATCATATACAATGAACTAATTAAAAGTGCAGAAATGAGACATCTACTTCATAAACATGAACTCGATTTTTGGTGTATTGATATGCTTGGTGCACCCAAACCATGCCATTTGAAAGTTCAATCAAGTACCCAACTCTCCCTATATCGCTGTTCGCATACGTAAACATCAAATTTAGGTTACCATAGTCTTCTAAGGTAAATATTACCACCAGATTTCACTTTTTTTTTTAAAAAAAAATTGTTAAGAGCATCTTCAGCAGTGATATAACTCTTTAATTTATCTAAAGTTAAACACACCACTTTTCACTAAAGAAAAGGTCAATTTACATTTTTCTTTAAATAAACTTTGAGGGCGTTTTCATCAATAAATTTTATTTTGTTAAATTTAACTAAGATATAAAAGGGACTATCTTTTTTTATTTAGAGTGAAATTAATTGAACTGCTGGGAGGACCAATTTTAGCTAAATATTTAAATTTAACATAAAAGTGGAGATAAAGTGGACTGCTGAAGATGCTCTAATATTCTTAGGAATCATTTTAGAGGACAGGGTTTTGTTACACTTTGAATATCATTTGTGGAGTTGATACTTTGCTGCTGTCTCGAGCCTCAGACATATACCTAATTAGTTGAGATATTATGACCCTATTAATATATTTACTTGTGCTATTCAAATTGGAGATACTATAAGACCAAGAGAAAATATTCCGGGAGAGGGGGAGGGGCTTCTGGTGAGAAGAAGAGTATTTTTTCTTCTGCCTTGGTTATCGCCAGTTATTGCCATGATACTCTTTCGGTAAGAGATTGTATTTTTTGAATGATCCATTTAATTGGTTTTATTACTATTGCTACACTGCGTAAAGGGGTAAGAAAAGGTGCTTTGTATTGATTGCAAAAAAATATCGTGAGACAAGAGTTGTATATTGAAAATATGTCTTTGACTTTTAAACTACAATAGCAAAGAAATAATAAGAAGTAAAATTAATATATATATATATAAAGGAGGAAAATTATAGCCTAATTAAAATTCAACCTTAAAACAACCCTTAAACTCCTAAAAAAAGAGAGGCATAAAAATCTCTTACTAAAGTTATATATATATTTTTGTAAGAAAGAAACGTAGTGTATATTCTCTTTAAAGATATTTAGTCGTAAATAAATTCACTATAAATAGTTTTCTTGACACTTTGTGAGTAGAAATCAAAGTTTCTCTTGGCGAAGTTCGGTCTACAAAAGAAACTCTTGTTTTTGCTTGGTAAAGTAGAATAAATGAATAAATGAATAAATGAATATATAATATGAGCTCAGATTAGTATTATACATGTATACATATTGAAAGCACACATTATAATAAATTATTATTATAAGCTCCTTCTGGTTAATTCAGAAAGTCGAAATATTATTACTCTAATTAATACTATTAATAAACGCACAGTCTATAAAATGGTGTTGAATCTAGATTCAGAATCTCATAGACTCTTTCTTGTTCAGTAGTATTGTGCAAGTCAGTAATGATAGTCAATATCTTTAATATATATATAAGCTTTATTTTGATATTTATTAGCATCAAATAATTTATTTTGTACCCATATATACTGCTGTCTAATGTGAATTTATCGTGTGCATGTATGTTCTTTTTTTTTAAAAAAAAATAAATAAATACATACATACATAAAGCTGGTACTACAATACATATGTTTCACAACTCTTCTGAATATGTGAAATGTCAGTGTAAAGACTGAATTATATTTGGCTTGGTCAGAAGGCGTACTTTTGTTATTAGTTAATTTTACCAGAATTCTATATTATGTGCCAAGGACTCTTAAATTATGTATGGTATTGATTCTATATATACATACATACATGTACACACAGATCAAAAGACTGGAGCTGTAGATCATACTCTTGATCCTTGAACCAAATCATCGAAATAAAACCAAAATAGGATGGCAAAACGGAAGATTGCCAATACATGTGGGCAATTCTTCGCATTTCTTTATAAAGAATAATCAAAATGAGATCGAAATTAAGTTTTCATAATACATGGTATAAGTCAATGAATAATATGCAAGAAGTAGATAGAATAATAAGGAATACTAAAGGAAATAAAGTGCTTTAACAAACAGCATCAGCAACACAACAACAACACAAGCCAGCAAAGAATCCCTTGCAGCATCCACCACCATTAAGTCTGTTTGAAATTAATATACAATGGTCAGTATACCCGAGAAAAAGACATCCCCTATTCACTTTAAAATATTACCTTAACATGGAGAAGAAACTGGAATCTATAAAATATACATATGTTATTACTTTTGTTCCAAGAATTAAATATATATATATATGATACTAACCATCTTCCTTGGCTAATTCTTCAGCTGAATTTTTTCCAATAGTCTCTTTATTTTCTGTGGTGCTCATGGCTTGAGGAGCAGAGTATGTTTCGATAGTTGGCATGGAAACGTTATTTGTGGGTTGACTGACAAACGTGGACAATAAAAGGTTAATAAATGCAATACAAATTCTCAATTATTATTAAGATATTCACCTCATTATTGTTTAGGTTTTGTTTGAGTTGAGTTGGATCAAGTGTATATAAAATCAAAAGAGCAAAGTATGCAAGGTATCAAGTAGTACTTTCTTTTTAAAAATAAAATAAAATAAAAACCGGAAAGCTGGTGGTTTATAAAGACAAGAAAAGCCCAGTTGATGTTTATGACGTAAGAACAATTTGGCCAAGATTTTCTAGCATTTGAAGCTCAACAAGAGCACCACTTTTCTGTACTTTATAAAATCATGTTACCAGGCACAAACATTTATTTCCAACTTAGTAACCAGCGTCATCGCTCTAAACATAAAAAGAAGGTGCTTTAATCGTCATTACAGGCCTTATCTTGTACAGCTATACTTCTCTAAAGGAGTATATTTACCTTTATATTTTATTTATTTTTACTTTTGTTTTTATATGACCAGAAGTTCCTATTTAGGTGGAGCATTTGAAGAATCGTTGAACCTCAAAATAGATGTTTGTCACCTAGTTTATTAATAAATATACAATACCAATAAAGCAAGAGCTTCTTTAAGAGAAATAAAAACGAAGAAGTATTAAGTAACATATATACTTTGATCGATTTTTGAGAAATATATTCAGGGCAGGTTAACATGCATAAAACGAATTTCTAAGAGCAATAAATAAAATACGATTCCACAGCTCATAAAATGTATATAAAAAAATATAAATCTTAATTTTATTTTGTTCTGGCAGTAACAATAGTATAAAGGCTTTTATTCTGGGCTACATATCTCTGGAAGAAATATAAAGTCTATAATTAAGGACACAATGGATTGTAGATGATTTATTTTAAGCCCCCCCCCCCCCCCCTTTTTTTTTTCAAAAAAAAACTATGTATGTATGTATGTGAAGCCAAGATCGGGTGGGCTTATAAAATCATAGTTGTTGAAAGAGAGCATTAAATACTAGCAAAATGTTGTTTAAATATTTCTTAAAAAAGTCTTCATTTATCTGGCAGTAAATGAGCCTCTTGCAAAATACTCCTGTTTTTGTGAGAAAATGACAATTGCTGCAGCACTTTATATTCTTACAAATAATCTTGTATTGATTAATATCACACTAGTTTTTTTTTTGTTTCAAAGGACGTATAATAAAATGCATCATATGTAGCACATATTATTCGGTAAGGGTGGTCAGGAAGCTTACAGTTGCTCTGCATACAAACCGCCACAAAGTTCATTGTATGTTTCTTTATTTTTTGGATGGTTTGAAAGAGTTATTTGTGCTCACACACACACGTGTGTGTGCCAAGTTATTATATACTTTATATTACTCCGTGCTTTTTAAATAATGAATTTATCCAATTCCCTTGTTGTGTATTTATGGTCAAGAATAAATGTGGTTAATTTACAACCACCTAGGTAAATTTACAGCATTTTGTATTTATAAAGACGAGGAGCTTTAATTCCCCCTCCCCTTCCCTTGGATGAGGAAACTCAGCACCTTGTCCTTCAAGAGGGTGGGGGTGTTCGCCCTATGCTAAGCCATATGTAACTCTTCCCTACTGTTTATTTTGTACAACACACAATCACCAACTAGTATACGATTTTGCATTTTTATTTTAATGGGATATAGAATATAAATTAGAGCTCAAGCCGATCAATAAATAAATAAAAAAATATTAAAGTTATGCTTTTTGGATGAGTCAAAATTGAAAATCAGATATTAGGAAAACTAAATTTTAGATAGGAGCTGCGGGATTATAATACAAAATTACTAAATATGTAAGTATTTAAGGCGGGAGACAACTCAAGGAGAGTATGACCAATATAAAAAAAATAAAAGGGACAGAAAATGAGCTATTGGGGGATATACCACTGTAGGAAATAGTAGCATTTAAAGCTCCCGATGTGCAACAAAGTTGCGTATTGGCAACTTTCTTCTAGGCCAATAACATGCCAGACCTTAACCTATCAACCATACTTTTTGGCAAATACTATTTATGAGATTTCAGATTATGTCAAATATGATTTATGAAATCTCAGGTTATCTTTGCATCTGATCCAATCAAATATTCCAAGTATGGCAGATCTATACCTTTTTTTAGGTATCTCTATTATAATTGGTTCAACAAATGCATAATATTTTTATATTGAAATTCTATGGTTTTTATTGATCAGAAGAATAGAATAAATATGTAAAGAAGAGGTGCTGATTTGTATGATATTTAGCAAGAGTTTAAGCTATAAATTCGATATTATATATATATATGTGTGTGCGTGTCTATATATATAGCTACGTGCTACTTTCTACCTTTTCTTATCTAAAAAAATAGTTATTCTTTAAATACTATGATATTGATGAAGACATGTATATTCCTTAATTGATTTTTTTTATCAAAGATTATACACATTTTCCGTGTTGACGTTGCTACGTCTGATTCTTATTTTGAAAAATCAAGACAGATTCACTGTGATTCTCTAAATCAATTATTTCTAATGAGCATGCAAGTAATCTTGACAACTAAGCTGTACATGATATAAATCTCTTTCTGTCACCTCTGCTAAATTTACTTTATTTTATCAATACTAGCCTTGATAACTATTCGGCGTGTTTCTTTTAGACGTCTTTTACATTTTAGGCTTTTATAGAGAAAATAAAGAGAAATAAAAAAACTTTACAGAATAAAAATAATAATATTGCATTAAAAAGCAAAGTCATTACTTTTTGGTGGCAAAGGCTTGTTAAAGTTTAGATTAAAGATATAAGTAACATTGTAGGCCATGTTTGTCTCTTTACCCAATTTTGCAGCCTGTATGCAGTCCAACGTACAACCTTTCTCTTAAATGGCTTTTTGGATTAAAAACAAAAACAATGATAATTGAATATCACCCTAAGATTAGTACATGCTAAACGTGCCAAAGTTACAAGCCCTTCGAATCAATCATATTAGTGTTTTTCTACAGTGTATTATATTTGGAAATAACTTTATATCAGTATTATTATCTATACCAATGAGACTTGAACTGCTTAGAGTATTTCTCGGGATCTTTATAGACAGTGCTATGAAATAGGATGTAACCCGGGTTCAGGAGGGGGGTTTATTACTGAATGATAAGCTATCAGATTTGAACAATTCCATCGTCTTTAATTCTTGTACTGGGTTGAAGAAGTTGAGTAAATGTGTTTTGCAGACTGCAAAAACAAAGTCGGGTAAGAAGTGGGATATATATAAAGGAGAGGAAAATTGATGTTTAATTAAAATTCCAATATAAAGCACATTTTTAACGAAAAACTTGCAGAAATTCACTAAAATCGCCTTTTTTTCTTTAGAGTAACATCCTACTACAAAAATTATTGCTTTTGGTAATGGCAGCTTTTTGTTAAATGTGAGAGGGAAGAGACCAGAATAAAAAAATGATAATAGTGTGAACTTGTACCAAATTCTCATCAAACCCACACCCTCTATCTCTTCCTTTTCTTTGGTGATATCTAATTTCACCATGTCTTTTTTATATGATGACAAAAACATCGGATATCCAATGGAACAATCACTAAACTTCTCTAATCAAGAACATATTACTGAAACTATTAAAGTTCAAGCATATCATTTTTTTTGTTAAGATCATTCCTACTCATACCAAAGTTTATATATAAAGGCCTTGTACTAAAATGTATTCTTACAAAGTAAATCCAGTTAGAGACATCTATTTATACGGAATTTACTCGCTTATTTTTGCTTGGGAATTTTATAAAAAAAAAGGGTATATATAAATGAAATCAAGATTCGACCAACCATTTTACAGGTTGCATTGTGTGCATTGTCCCGCTCTCCTATTTAAATCTTTCAACGGGATCTTCCCTAAAATATCTAGCTTGAAGTCGGTTTCAGGTGGGCACGAATTATCCTTTTGGTTGACTTCAGAGTGATGCCATATTTATCAAATGCCTATCACTGGACGTCGCACATTTTCGTATATAAATATTGGTGGAGGAAATTTTACCACCCTGTAATTGTCTTTTAACCATGTCTATTAATCGCACATCTGCCTTATTTAATACCGTACGCAAGAACACTAATGTTCTTCGACGCGATGTGCAACCTCATGGTATGTTTTTCCATCCATGACCCAACATAATTGACTTACATTTTCTCTAATAGAGGCCAATAGACTGCAACGCAGTGGACCCAACAACCTTGCCATAGTTGGGATAATCGCTGCCCTTGGTGGAGCATACATATTTTACGAATCACGCCAAGTCGATAAAGGTGAGTTGACAAACAGCTTAATTGAATGCAACCTGCATACAAAAATTGATTGGGGACTTTGTTTTTATTCTTAGTTAAAGAAGATATTGCTACTCAATCACTTAAAGAGCCCAAGAAAAATGTAGCAGGAGGTGGAGGAGCTGAAATCAAGCGCTAAGACCATGTTACAGTCCAAAAGTCGAAGAATCGCCTTATAATCCATTCTTCATTTGTGTATATATTATGTATATGTATATATTCGTATATTTATCTTTATGTAACATATAGCAGAACAATTAGCAATATGATGAAATAAAATATATATATATGTATATATAAAAAAAGCATGCCTATTTTATGTGTATAAAAATAGATGCTTGTAATTCTTGCTTTTTTTTTGTATACTTTTCGTTTCTAATGAACACTTGGAGAATTTCCAATACTACTTTCCGAGGGACGTGGTCCAGGATCTCCCATACCCCACACCCACCGAATACGACCACTCTTTCCATAAATATACTCAAATCGATGGTTGATCATCAATTCAACAATAATCCAGCAGTTGGAGATGAAGAACAAAAGACTTGAGACCCAAATAGAAAAGAACGTATTTTGACCAAGGAACTCAAGCCGATAAGCAAAGTGGAGCCAAAGACCCTATCAATGTACAACAGTTTGAATAAATCAGTGATTTAATGCGGACAAATTATCGGGCTCTAACATACCTGACTTGCTACCCACGCCAATAAAAGACCCAAACCTTTCCATCTTAAACTAAGGCTGGTCGACGGCAAGATAAGTGGGATCAAACATATATACCACATAAAGTACTACGATAAGAGTTAGTAAGTTTCAGTTGAATAATAGGAAAAGTCAAAGACGGCAATAACAGCAACAGCAGTAGCAACATCAGTATTACCTGAGAAGTACAGACTTTGTTAAAAGTAACAAACACAAATGTTTGCAAGAAGCATGCAAAAAAAACATCCTTCGCAAATGCTATTCCAACAGCAGCCACCAATGACATTTGAGGCAGGAATGTCAATACACTCAAAAGTTTTCCCGCGACAGGAGAATCAAATGCAAGATACATTTGATAGAACCATATTGAGAAGTTATGGCGATGATCTTTTCGGGTTATATGGTACAAATAAGTGTTCTCCATAAAATCCTCGCCATAGCTGAATCAATCAATAAAACAATTGATAAACAAATTATGATAAACTATATTGGACCGGAGGACAAGACTTACAGTTGATACATAGCCCACGTTATCACTAAAAACACCCCTCCGCTGACAAGACCAAATAGAATCCTAGTAGGTGACAAGAAGAGGACAAGCTCGTACATTGCCGTTCGATATATATCGAATAATTTACTCTTGATGCTTTCAATAGATAATTGTTTTTGTTGGTCAGTCTTATGAACAATTGGTCCTCTTCCAGGTTCGTTAATCTCCAGGCGTGAAGGATCATTTTTCAGGTACATGCGCAATAGAAAGAAACGAGATCTTCTGTAGGACCAGATGATTTGTGGCCAATCCACTGGGTCTCCGTATCGTTCGTCCAGTAGAAACAAGAGAGGTATGACATATATAATTGGGTATATCTTAAAGTGAACAGCCAGACCAAACGCCACGCAGCCAGCATAGAAACGACGAGTCATAATCAAGTACAGGGATCCCAGTACCATAACAGCCAAGAGGGATTCAGCATTACCGCGTGTTGATATATTTGCTACCATTGGATTAAGTAACCAAAGGGAATCTAACCATAGTGCCTTTTGAGAGGGCATTCCTCGAAGGACGAGAATACGATGAATTAGATATCCCACCATCAGGTCGGCAGCAACAAATACGCATTTTCCAAATGACTGAAAAAGGTAGATGTTTGGTGTCATGAAGATGGCAAGGAGTGGTGTGTAGCGATAGGTCTCACGATCGTAAGGCGATGCTCCCAAGGTAACATAACGAGCGGCATCAGTAAAAACAATGTAATCAATGTCTGTATATTTTACAGTAAGATTGGCATCCTGCCATTCTCCATAGAATAGAAGAACCACACGAAGCAGGAGGGCAGTCGCACACAAAGTCGTGAATGTGAACCAGGTCATGGTGGAAGCCTAAAGGAAAGGACGGCAACCATGAAAATCAAATAAATTATAGAAGTCAGCTTTTTCTGCTTAACAGGAGCGCGCCTTTCTTTCCGTCCTCTTTTTCTTTTGCTTTGAGAACAACAGTCTTTAGAATTCTTTCAATTGCTCACAAGAAGTATTTTAGAAAGTACAAGTTCTTTATTAGAGTCTTAAGATACACTGTTGATATATGTAGAATTAATATAACTAGTTAAATAAGCTTTTTCCGTCCAATGCCGTCTTGATTTTTTTTCCTGTCGATTTTCACCCTAACATATACATATATATGTGTGCATATTATATATATATATGAAGAGTGGGTAGAACTATAATCAGAAGAACAGTGCAACAGTAGTAGACTGTCCCACACAGCTTTTGGCGTGAGCCTGCACAAATGATAATAGAAAATAATGAAATAAAGTATATATTTATATTAAGAAAAATGTCTGCATAAAGTCAATTGTAAGTTTAAAAACCAAGGCTGTACTGGCTGCACAATCAGCCCCCTTTTCTTTAGTTGTCATTTCCTGTCTTGTGCAGTACACATTTTTATTTGTATTTCTGTGTGTGTGTGTGGCCACAATTTCTCTACGTCATCATATATCACGTGCTTTATATTCCTTGCCCGTTTCTACTCGACGTCACATGAAAGCCACTATTTCAAATCCCGAGTTGTTTATCCTCCACAAGAAAATCAATACTCGGTTTTGACAAGCATAAGCCATGGCCAGCCGTCTCTGCACTGCAGTCAAAGTATTCTCGCCAAACGCACCAGCATCCCGTGCGTTCTCTGCTTCGGCTGCCATTTTGGCTGGCCGTCAAGTGGGTCGTCAGAGAAAACCCGACAAGAAATTCGATGTAGATCACATGGAGAAATTCAATTTCGATGATCAGACAACGATTGGACATGACCTCTTTGAAAATATTAGAGAGGTCCGAAAGTACCTGAGAATGACAAACTACGAACTTCCCAAATTGAGTGGTTAGTTGGTCCTTGGTAAACCAGCAAGTGAAAAACTGACGCTCCTGGTTAGTGTTCGCCAAACCCTTTGTCCCTCCCACCAGTGGCCAAATCTTAAAGTTTAAGTCGCACACCTATTTGGGTGAAGGTCACCCTGTTGAACGCAAAGCTGTGCTCAATGTCAAGGTTTCTGATCTCAAGTTGACTGAACAACAAAGACATACACTTTTGTTGTTGAGTGGTCCACGATACCATGTGGATACCGACGAATTGATCTTTTCGAGCGAGAAGTTCCCTAACAGAAAACAGAACAAGAAATACTTGAGCGACATTCTTGACAAGCTTATCGAAGAGACAAAGGTAAAAAAAAAAGAATGGGAAAACCAAAAGAAACAAAAGGCAACATAAGGAGTAGAAATAAGTATTGAACAAGTGTAAATGTCATTTGGGATCTGACATAATATGTTGGCTTTGCGCTTTTGATATTTGGGTTTTATTAGAAGGCCGGCGATGCTTTTGCTGATGTTCCTCTCAACTTACGGGAACCCAAGAAGAGACTTGAATTCCCCAAGGAATGGGCTCGTCCTGCCAAAGCTGAGGCACAATAAAGAAAAGAAAATTCGACAAGATGATCCTTTGGATCTGTATAGACGCCTATGTTTTATTTTATTTTATTTTACCTTATTTCTTATTTATTCTTTATTTCATCTAAAAGAGAAAAGATTGTATATTACATTCCATCCAACGTCAACGACAACAAAATACATGAAAATTGATTGTAAAGGGAAGGGTTTTATTCAATTGAAAAAAGAAAAAAGGATTATTGAAGGAGGAGTTAGTAAAGATATATCTTTAAGTGATAATCTTAACAGGGATTCTGGAGAGTAGAAAGTGGAATGTTGCTCTTGAGAGTATTGTTTGCGTTGAGAATACCCCAATGGGCCTCTACTCCAGAGCGGTAAGGCTCATCTTTGGCAGAAAACCAAAGAATATCGATATTTCTTTTCTTAGCCTCACAGAGAACAGCGGCAAGGTACCTATTATCAAATAATTTAATAAATCTTGTTGTTCGATTGATAAGCTGTAAGTAGATTATAAAGAGGCTTACGTCTTTTGATTTTCAGGGGATGGAACAGCATCACCAAAGTTATCACCGGCTGATGGCCATCCTGTTTCAGATATTTTGACGGGCTTTCCTTGAGCAATGGTTACCACATGGTCATAGTGGTTCATTAAGGTAGATGCTCCATCTTGAACAGAAACACCTTCCCAGTAACTATAATTAAAATGTGAGCTGTAAATTCTTTTTCTCTACTGGATAAATAATAAGCGCAGTAATGATCTCATTTGAACTTACGGGAAAGCATTCCTTAACAAAAATGAATCGATACATTCAAGTTAGCAAATGCGAATTGATAAATATCATTAGCACACTTACATCATAACGAAGTCAAGTTCCTGGACGACATCAGGAGGGAGCTCATAGTACACATCGGCAGTAGTTACCTTGACCCCCTTTGGGCCAATGGTATCCTTAACTTTCTTGATATAATTGGCCAAAGAAGCAGAATCGGTGTCGTTACGATAAAGTACCTCTGATCCGACAATGATGGCATCCACATTGCTGAAGCCATACTTTGAAGCAATATTATCGAGAGCCTTCATCTCATTGTCAAAAGTGTCTGGGCGGTCAACCCACATACCAAGATAGAGCTGCATTCCCAGCTCTTGAGTGGCCTGAAGAGCAAGCTCGGCTACATTAAGAGTAAAGCAAAATTGGCTGTATTAGACTTTTGTATTTATTAATTAAATGAGCTTAACTTTACCTTGGTTACAAACTGATAATGAGAAGATACGAATACGGTTTGTGTACGGTTTTAAGGCAGTAAGATCTTTTTTGACGTCTTCTAGAGTAGGGCAACTGTCTTGATTGATGCCATAATTTAGTCCATAAAAGTACTCAGCTTTTGCTAGAGTGGCTAGTAAAAGACTTGCTAGAATAAGACAAATTCCTTTCATATTTAAAGAGAAAGACAATATAGAATAATAAAATTCAAGGATCAACAACGAGGCTTTAAATAAGGAATTGTTTGTCGTATTCGGGTCTAACACAAGTTGACACTACCGATATTATATGTCAGCATCGCATAATTGCCAAGCTACCATTTACCTTGGCAGATTCTTTTCTGGCTTCAAAGATTGAGCAAGTTTCATAAAAAAGAGACCTTTCTTTCGGAGACAAACCAAAGCATTCTTTTTTTTTTAAAAAAAATAACTATGACATGAGCTTGTAGAATATAACAAAAGGGCAGCCTTTTGACAAACTCTATGCACTCTCATGCTTAAATTAAATAAAATATATCCCTTTTGATTATCCTCAATAGCACATACACACATAAATATCTATATATATACATTCGTGCTTTTGTGCATTTGTGCATTTGTATAAACTACACAAATGCACATATATATATACCCGAATTTAAAAATTTCTTCAATGTTTCAAAACAACAATAATTCACCCACACAAATGGCGTTATATTTAAGAGCTAAAAAGAAAACAAAAAAAAAAGTCCAATTTCGGGAATAAAATATTGAGCCAAATAAAAGTAATTAAATACTTGGAAATTAATTTATGAAACAATATTTTTCCATGTGTATAAAATACAATTTTATAGACTTTTACTGAGTATTAATTACCGATTAATTCTGTCAAACTTAAATGACTGGGATGTTAAGATACAGTTCCTGTCTGTTGTCGATTGTGGCATTGTCATCAGTGGTCCCTTAGGTATCCTATTTGGGTAGGTGGACTTAGTGACGAGACGTTCTCTTTAAAAGCGTCGCATCGGAACTGGCTTCACGGTGCGACAGTGAGAAGATGTTTCCAGTGACGTAGACCAGTCCTTGTTTACTGACAGATGAACAGTGAACCAGATCAATCGAGGCACATTTTCCATCAGGATGTTTGCCTCATTAAGAAGAGCTATTGCTGCACGAGGTCTTACTCGAAGTCATTCGAATCTGCTTGAGTACAACACCGTATTCCCCCTCGATAACGACGATGATTTACAGAGCTTAAAAAGTCTGGTTGAGTATTATGGCCGGTTACTACTCACGGTCACCAGAGGCGAATGTAAGAAATCACGCGCGTACATTGTCAAAAGTTGATCAATGCTAACTGATCATCAATCAGCTACGGACGATGGAAGTGATAGCCAATCTACTACTGATAGTGAACGCATGGAAGAATCAAACAGAAGAAGTGGCTGGGTTGAAGATGTTCGTCCTCCCGGTCATGACTATTGTGTAGTTGGAGAACCTGGAGTCATTTACGATCACCCATCGGTAAGACACTATCCTGCCCAGGGCTATTAAACAGAAGGGTTAAATTCACAAACAGCTAAAGGATTTTTTTCTTAGTTCAGCCTGTGTATGGCTATTGAAATGCCACTGTGTACTTGGAGTGAGGACAGTTTATCGACCCCAAGCTCAACTCCTAGAAGACGGCGAAGATCAACCAAGAGTAGCAAAATAAAAGGTATATTGATTTAAACAGCTATTTAATAATAATTTTCCTTTCGCTAATATTTTTTAATTGATATTTGTTAGGAGGTTACAGTGATGCCTCGGTATCACCTTTGGCACTTCCTTTGCCGCTGTCTTTAGAGACAAATTCAGTATACTCGGTTGATGACAGCTCGGCCACAAATTCTCTTTAAATGGTTTTCTCAAATATTCTCATTGTAAACTCAACTACTATTCTTGTATGATGATAAAAAATATGGCAAGTGTTCCTCACACAATAACCAAAGAAATAGTATGGCTTATTTATTGTTAACTCTCAATTAGACTCTTTGCACTATATAGCTTTATTGAACTCTTGGGCAGTTGCTAGATCCCCATCTCCTTTTGTGTGCCTGTCTGATATATATATATATATAACTAATATAAAGGCTCATTCGAACCTATTTATTAGCATTTATGTTTTCTTCTTCTTCATATTTATTCTTTATTCATTATTTGCTTATCATTTCATTATTTTCTCTTAAAAAAGTTACTGTACCCAATAAACAAGTTGTATGGACTTCTTTACAGTCTTGACTCCAATGTCTACGTCATTAAAGCCTACCCAAATCACATGATCCATCGCACGGATTGACTTGCACAAACGGATGAATTGTATTGTTTTTTCAGTTGGCGAACCTTGTTCATCATGTACATTAGCAATTGGGACGAATTCCAAAAGGCAGCCGAGGAGCTCTACGCCGGTTGTCCAGAAAACGTATGAGGCTATCCATTTTATTTTTTTCTTAAAAATGTGCACACGCCAAGCACCTTTCTCTACTTCTATATATATCTTTCTATCAAACAAAAATGAATATTTAATAAGTAACGAACGATACACGCACGACCGTCTCATTCTCTATTCTCATAGACGCGCTATGTAACTCATTTCCGCCGTACAGATGGTGAACTTATACTCAAGGTTACCGATGACCGATCCGTAAGTATTTAAATAAATAAGAAAAGGTTTGCCGGAAAACCAAACCTGATGATGCAAATGGTTTTCATCTGGATGTAGGTGATTAAGTTCAAAACCAACCAAGCATCGGATTTGAAAAGGTTTATTCAGCTTAACCATAACCTTATGGTCCAGATGCAGAATAAGCCCAGTGTAGGTAAGGAACTATATTTAAACGGTAGTTTTAAATGGTTTTATTCACAAGGCACTGAAAAAAAAACGTCAACAGAAGAGGTACCAGTCCCAGTGGTTGTACCTGCAATTACTTCCTCAGGTCCACAAATACCCACAGTTGCAACAGCAAGTGCAGGATCAAAAGGAAAGAAGGGCAAAAAGAGAAAGTAGTCTTGGTAATATAGAATCGAATGTGCGTGTTGGCGCATGTATGTGTATAGGTTACTTCTTTATCACCGAGTTTTTAATAATAAACGGAGTACATATGTTTCTTAATACGCTTGGGAATCGTTGGGAACATCAAAAAGGCTTTTTTCTTATTGCTTTTTGTTTTGTTTTTCAAAAAATTCAAAAATACACACACAGACATAATATATTTATATGTAGATATATACTTGACAGATCTAAGAAATATATAACTTTATATATTTTGAAATGATTTTTATTTTTATGGGGTTGGACAATTACTGTCTGCTTACTGCTGGTAAGACCAGACGTTCTTGAGGACTAAAGGAGAAAAACAAAGAAAATTAGTACCAAACTCCCCGTGTTATACACATAATTTTATAACATCTTTATTCAAAGGATTAAAACACTTACAACCATCCTGGGTGGCGAGACGGTTCAAGGAATCATCAGCCTCGGCGTTCTTGCGGACAAATCCACAGAGAGCGTAGGTGGAGAAGGCCTTGGTGGAGCGACCCTCAGCGTTGACCTCAGCAACGTTGAGCTGGATGGAGGCGTGATCCTTGGCAGTGATGAGACGGTTGGTGGCAGAGCTGTATAGATTGTTAAGGTTAGATGGATTGAAACGCGTCCAGTTCAAGGGTTTATTTTGTTAATGGATTTTGAATAGGGTAGGATAGGTAATTTCATTCGGCCTGGTTTTTTTATATTATCTATAGAACTCACCACTTGCGGGGGACGTAGAGGTCGACGAATTTGCCTTCAGAGTTTTCCATGGTTGATATGCCTCAAGTGTAGTGCGAAAGAGAAGGAGACCCTGTCTGGGCCAAAATGATACAAAATATTTTCTCGGTTACTAAGCCACTGTTTGACCTTGAATCCTTTTTTGTTCAATGTCCGATCACCCAGCCATTTTGGTCAGGACAGAATCCCATCCGATCCGTTGAGGTAACATGAAAGATGAGATCCTGTACCACCTTACTGGGGTTGTGTGATTTTATTATATATGTGCGTGTGTGCGTATGCGTGTATGTGTGCTTGTATTTGGCTTATAAGAAATAAAACTCGGTACATTTATTATTAATTAACATTATTTAAATTTATTTATTTATTAATTTGTACATCAACAAGAAAGGAAAAGGAAAATAAAAAACAGAGTGAGGGTGGGTGATTAGATTTTGAAATGGAAGATGACAGGCATAGCCTTTTTTTGATTGTTCTTGTGTATAGGTCTATTATTTAAAGTATCTTTACTGGGGGTCTGAGACGACACCCACTTGGGCAGGACGCAGTACACGACCCTTAATGCTATAACCCTTCTTCTGCACAGAGAAAACTGTACCGGCTTCCTTGTCAGGCATAGGGGCTTGGAAAAGAGCCTGGTGTCTGTTAGGGTCAAAAGTCTCTCCCTCGGGGTTTTCCTGCTCTACACCATGACGCTTAAGTGTCTTAAGAAGTTCGGTCTCGGTCATCGAAACACCCTTATAGAGGTTAGAGAGTTGATCCAGAACACGTTCGACATCGTGGATCACTTCCTTGCTTGGCTTCTCATTCTTCTCACGCAGCTCGAGTGGTACAGCAGAAAGTGCCATACCAAGGATATCGACCGTGTCAAGAAGATCCTTGGCAAATTTCTGGATCGCAAACTCCTTAGAGCTTAAGACCTCTTTACGACTACGCTCACGGATATTTTCTTGGTCTGCAAGACAGCGCAAGTAGGCATCCTAGTCCAAGCCGTACACCCCGTCAATACACTTCAAGCTAGAGCTGACCTACTAGTTACCTGCAACTCGGCAATCTTCTTGACTTTTTCAGCCAATTGCTTTGTCAGGTCGTCTTTGACATTATCTTCTTCAGATTTCTCAGCAGCAGGCTTTTCCTCTTCCTTGGGCTTTTCGGTGTTCTCAGTTGCATATAAACGGCGCATGGCCAAGGGAGAAGCTCGGCCGAGTACGACAGACTGACGGACGGAGGCTGTGGCAGCCTGGCGGATGGTAGCGAGAGAAAACATGTGGGAAGGAAGGAGTAGAAATTCCCTCGACTGTTTTTTCAGGTTCTTTAGGTTGCAAGGTTGGGCGTGGGCGTGACTTTTGCCTTTGGCATTCTCCCCCTGGACTCCGCTTCGTAAGTTGCGTCACGAACCGAGTGACACTCAACCTCGGGCTTACCTTTTTGTCAGGGCTCTGGGGGAAGGAAGTATAATTATATAAAAAGGGTGAGTTTATTAGGGGTATTTTTATTTATTTATTTATTTATTTATTTGGTGTAAAGACTATATGTATATATATAGATAAATATATATACATATATATACATATATATACCTTAGCGAGCTTAAAAAAGCCTTTGATTAGTTTGTACTTGTCTATTGGTGTCTCTTGCGTCACAAAGATATTAAGAGTACACGGACATTCAAGGCATACACGTGATTCGTTCTTTTTGTTCTTTTGTTTAGCCTTGTTGGTGGTTGTGTGGAAAGAAGGAAATTTAGTGTTAGTTTTTTTCTATTGTAAAAAATACAATATAGAGTTATACTGCGCGACTATAAAAAATAAAATAAAAATCAAATATAAAATAAAATAAAAATCAAATAAAATAAAAATGGAACAAAATAATAAGTCTAGCGTCTTGCTTTCCTTCACGCTCCAAAACGTCTTGAATTGCCGCATTCGACCCAACCTTTAAACGACCCTATTACGCGGCAATTTGTCCATCGTCCCACTCAACCACAGGCGGCATCCAATATAGAGACGCATCACCAATGACATTAACTAGTGAAGAAGTCAACATCATCGTCTACAGATACCTACAAGAGTCTGGTTAGTCGCCCTCATCAAATCTATCCAAGAGATTTTATACATCTTTCGCGTAGTGAGGCCACAGCTCACACGCTCGCCTCTATTATATACATATACACACAATCTATATACATTTATATATTTGTGTATATATAAATGTGTGTGAAAACACTCTTCTGTACTCTCTCTATTATATGTATATGTACATATATATATATATATATATGTATATGTATATATATCCTCTCTTCCTGACGATACCTCATCCTTAGGTTTTCGACATTCATCATTCGCATTTCAATATGAAAGTCAAGTTCAAAAGTCAGCTTATCGTGATGTCGAGATTCAACAAGGCATGCTCATCAACATTATTCACAAAGGCCTCCAATTTATGGAGATTGAAACACACATGAATGAGGTCAGTCGCACACTTCATAATGACCCGCTCTGGCTGACCGTCCGTAGGATGGCGAATTGATGGAGTGTAATGCTCCATTTTCACTTTTGAAACAACACCAATGCGACTTAACAGGAAAGGTTTATAATGAGTCCGCAGATGAGGCACAATCTAGTAATGCCTCACCGAGCGGTAAACGACAGCGAAAAGAAGAAAAAAAGGCTCAGAAAGAACGCGAAAAACGAGCACGCAAAGACTTGGATGAAGTTATGGGAACAGTAGATTCGACAGCAACATCGACAGCAACCACAGGAACAGTACCATTACCCGGTCTGGCTGGACCCGACAGTGCCTCAAATGCCAATGGCCACACAATCAAGGAAGAGTCGGATAGTAAGTTGGAAAGTGTGAAGCAGACCTCTGCAGGAGACCTCATGACATCGTAAACCATAAACACACGTATTAGCAATTATGACCGACGCCACAAATCCAGCGCACGACTCGCCCACCTCAGAAACAAAACCACATTCTGTTATCGACCCGAAGGATGTGGTTGTACTTGAGGGGCACGAAAACGAAGTGTTCTCGTGTTCATGGAATCCCGTCGTTCCTAACTTGCTGGCATCAGGGTAAATTTCTCGACTGAATGAGTAAACACACGCATATTTATATTGCGTGTGCGTGTGCGTGCGTGCATGTCTACATTTGGTCAATGACTAAGCTTATACATACAGCTCTGGGGACGCAACAGCAAGGCTCTGGCAAGTGCCTGAAGACAAAGGAAAGGTGGCCGAGCCAATTGTGCTGGACCATCTTCCAAACCACAACAATAACAAGGACGTGACAACGTTGGACTGGAATGTGAGTAAAAACAAAGGCTCGAGTACAGGCTAAACATGGTTTTTGGTTAAAATGGTTAATGGCAACTTTTTTTTGTCATGCAACAGCCATCGGGCACATTCTTGGCTACAGGCTCTTATGATGGGCAAGCTCGTATCTGGACACAGACAGGTGAATACAGCAACTCAATTGAGACAAATTTCGTGTGATGTATTTTATTTTCCTTTTAGCTATTGTTGATCATTTTCTTCACTCTCTCAGGCCAGCTACGACTTGTAATGGCTCAGCACCATGGACCAATCTTCTCGTTAAAATGGAATCGTAAAGGAGACCTTGTATTGAGTGGAAGTGCAGATACAACAACAATTGTATGGAATCCAGAAACAGGCGACATGAAACAGCAGTTTAATTTACACACCCGTAAGGCGCACTTGATCCAAAAACTCGGCAATCTTATCTCAACCTTGTACTGTAGTAGCTATCTTGGATGTGGACTGGATGGACAATACGACATTTGCATCCTGTTCTTCCGACAAGACTATTTATGTGTGTCGAGTTGGCTCAACGACCGCACTTAGAAAGTGGGTGGGGCATGAGGTAAAAGGGATTGGATACGAGGCATATAGAGAGAAACAATTAGAGAAAAGTAAACCGTTATTTCGAGATATTTAGGATGAGGTGAATGCAGTGCGCTGGGACCCAACTGGCCAATACCTTGCTTCTTGCTCTGATGACATGACAACAAAGATATGGTCTCTCTCATCAGAACATCCAATTCAGGTCATCAAAGGACATCGATTGCAGATTTATACCTTGCAGTGGGCACCATATCTTCCTTCAAAGGATGAAAGTGCGCCACGGATACTAGCCACAGCTAGCTTTGATGCCACTGTTCGTCTGTGGGATGCTCTTAGTGGGACTTGTCTCCACGTCCTCGAAAATCACACAGAGGCTGTTTACTCTATTTCCTTTAGTCCAGATGCACGTTTGTTGGCTACTGGTAGCTTTGACGAGGTCCTGAATGTCTGGTATGCAAAGGACGGTACATTGCAAAAGACATTCAAGGCCAATGGAGGTATATTCGAGGTCCATTTCAATAAGAATGGTGATAAATTGGCAGCATGTACATCTAACAAACAGGCAAGTAATTTATTTTTATAAAAAAAAAACGACAAAAATAATAATAATTGTATGCTATTCTCTTAAATGATTAACACGCTCTCATTTCTGTAGGTCGTTATATTGGACATGAAACCATAATTTGACAATCTCCCTAAAAAAATCCTCGTCTCTCTTCACTCTTCTCTTCTACCACTTCCCCCTTTGTGATCCTTCTAACAATGACATATATTGCACACAACAAAATGAAAAAAACCATATCATTTATCAGACCTATTGTACACTGCCATTTACAGCTCCCTTTATTTTTATTTTTGTCAATGTGTTTTCTTTTATCAGCTTAAGCTTTTGCTTTATTACGAATCAGTGAAGGGAAAATACACTAGAGTTTATTTATTTGTTTGTTTGTTTTTGTTTGTTTGGTGTATACTGTTTCTGTATATATATGGCTGTGTGTGTATGTATTTAAACGGCAACAACAGTAAGCTCAGCCTGGACAGGACGGCGTTCTTGCAGGATCTCCTGAGTCGATCTTGAGGTTGAGCTCAATGGGCCAAATATCCATGATTCGAGATCTTGTTGAGTTTGTCTGGGCTGAATTCTATTGAATGTGGATGAGTGTCTTGAGACAAATAAAATCAATCAAAAGAATTATCCACTTACGCCATAGATCCCTTGAAGCGATAATCTGTACCTGTGGCAACAAAGAATCGTGGTTGCCACACTAATGACTGTTTTTGACGTTTGGTAGTCTCCACACGCTGGCTATCTTCAATCCATTGTTTCTCATCACGTGCCAAATCCATATCATTGGCTTTGATGGCTGCAGTTACCTTTGCCCAAAGTCTAAAAAAGATATGTATGTATATATTACAAATTACTTAACAAAAAAAGAAATGTTTGGATAAATGTTGTTCAATATACCTTCTTGACTCATTAAGATCTTGCTGTTCCTCTGGATCAACTCGTTTTGGAACAGGCTTGCTGGCTGTTTGAACATGAAAAAAAGAGATTGGAGAAGATGGCTTTTTGGCTTTGTGGATGAAGATATGACTGTTCCACGCGCCCGAAAGTTCGTATAGTACTTGGCTGGTCGATTCGCGTTTGATTTTTCCAGAAATTAGATTGGCTTGCCCTGAAAATACACCCTGAATAGAATGTTTTCCGGGGCTGATGAGTCCACTTTGAAAATAAACCAGAAAAACCCTTTAAGTGTTTTTAGCTTACCTTTGCCTTAAAGTCGATTTCGCACACCAAATCATTGGCTTCGCATCGGATTATTGCACGGTCTCCGAGTTCCATAGTCATCTTTCCGACTATCCAAGCGCAAAAAAAAACAAGTAAATAAATATTAAGGTATAAGCACATTCATCATTTACTCGGATACACATAAGAACGTGGTACTTGCATAAAATTCCACGAGCATAAACATTTGGACTGGTGATGTGGTATTCTTCCGAGAAGCGTGTAAAATGAATACGTGAATACCCTTGCATTATAGATGCGGCACTGTTACCAAGGAAGCGTGCTTTTGGATGAATTTCTCCTTCGATGTGGATCCCGTTATCTGGACTTCCAAAGTAATAGGCCGAAATAGGTGGGTGATGGGATATTTGCTCGGCCACATAGTACGCTTTCGTTTGGTCTCTAAACTGCCATTGGCAACGGAAGAACTCGCCAAGAACAGGGTTATAGGGCTTCTTAACCCCCTATTAGATACAATAGTGTCAGACCAAAAAGAAAAAGAAAAACAACAACAAAAAAGGGGAGAGGAAAGGATCCAATGTTTGCTGCTATCATTTTCATTATTTCTTGTGTACTTGCCTTTGGTTTCACATGCCAGCCTGACATAAAGTACCGTACAATTTCAACAAAACGATCGACGGGATCTATTGTCTTACTTGCTCTGGTGGAAACACAATTTTAAAAAATTACAAAAGTCAATGAATGGGCGTACAAGGAAACTTTGATCAACTCACTCTAATAGAATATCAGGGTGTGCCATGAAATCAGTAATTTTTTCCAGCATACTCCGGGGTTCGAGAATAAATGTAGGCAAGGCCACTCTTGATAGGTCCATGTCCTTTCTCAACTGACTGATAATTCCCACAATAATATTTCTAGAATTCTCTTCAAGAACCTCTGTATCATGAGAGTCGTCTTCGACAATTGTTTTACGGAACATTGCTTATGAATATGAAAGAGGGAAAGAAAGAGATAAGGAGAAGGAAAGGTAACAGGCACTTGTTTATAAGGGACTTGGAATGACATATTAAAAGGAGGATATAATGGTATGATTGAAAAATATGGTTCATGGTATACTCCTTTTTAAACCTTTGTTTAAAAGGGGAATCTTCTTCGATCAGAAGAAGTGACAGACGCGTTGTGTGATAGAAGCGGGGGTTGATCTGGACAAGAAAGTAGATATAGTGTTTCCACCAAGGGCTAATTTCACGTGACCGCATCGGGTCCTACACATAGCCCGGACTCGCGATAGACACTCCTTCCTTCTTTCACATTGACCAGGTACGGCCGTGCCCTGCATCCATCCGTCTACTGGATATCATTATTCAATCCATCGCCTAACCTTTTATTCATATATTCTCGATGGATGTATTTATTATTCCTTTAGGCCATCATGGTTGCTTTGAATTTGCCCGCTGACGTATTGGCCAGCGCCGACGGCTCTCCCAAGCTCTTCAACAAGTGGTCCTACGAGGACATCGAGGTTAAGGATATCTCCCTCCAGGACTACATCTCCGTCCGCCAGCATGTCTACTTGCCCCACACTGCCGGTCGCTTTGCTGCCAAGCGTTTCCGTAAGGCCCAGGTATGTTCCATTTTTAAACATAGAAACCATAAATAAAAACAGGAAAATTGAAGAAAAAAGAATCTAATTGGAATTTTTAATAGTGCCCTATCGTCGAGCGTTTGACCAACTCGCTCATGATGCACGGTCGCAACAACGGCAAGAAGCTGTTGGCTGCCCGCATTGTTCAGCACGCTTTCGAGATTGTCCACCTTTTGACTGACCAGAACCCCATCCAGATCCTTGTTGATGCTATCATCAACACCGGACCCCGCGAAGATTCCACTCGCATTGGTTCCCAGGGTACTGTCCGTCGTCAGGCCGTCGATGTCTCCCCCCTCCGTCGTGTCAACCAGTCTATCTCCTTGTTGACCACCGGTACTCGTGAGGCTGCTTTCCGCAATGTCAAGACCATTGCCGAATGTCTCGCTGATGAGTTGATCAACGCTGCTAAGGGTTCCTCTAACTCTTATGCCATCAAGAAGAAGGATGAGCTTGAGCGTGTTGCCAAGTCTAACCGTTAAGAGCATTCTCTTTGGTCATATATGCTGCAATTCTTCTTCTTTTTGGAGGTACTTTAGAGTTCAATAAAAGAGAAAAAGACTTTTTATACATATGAAATTGGAATTGAAATTGAGAAATGGGAAATGAATGAAATGGAAAGTGGTTTTCTTTTATAATAAAAAAGGGCAAGTAGAAGAGGAATATATTATACTATTTTATGAGCGATAGTCTGCATTGATGGATACATATTCGTAACTCAGGTCGCATGTCCAGAATTTGGCGTCACTCTGGCCATCATTAAGATCAACCTCGATGATCAAATCCTCCATCTTAAGAATCTCGGATGCACGTGCCTCATTAACAACCTCTGGTTCACCTTCAACCATAAGACGAAGAGTTTCTGTACCGTCTGTAGGGACAAAGTTGACGCTAACCTTGCTGGGATCAATCTTGACTCCACTGTGTCCCAAACTAGCACAGATACGACCCCAGTTAGCATCCTGTCCAAAAAGAGCTGTCTTGACCAGCATAGATGTAGAGATGTGAGAAGCAGCCTTCTTTGCATTTTCGAAAGAGTCGGCACCCTAAAAAACGGTAATATGTTAATATCCGAGAGTACAATAAAAAAGGAAAGAAAATCGAAAAGTATTCCATACCTTGACGTGGATAGTGACAAACTTGGTAGCACCCTCACCATCTCTGACTACCAACTGAGCCAACTCGGCAGCAAAACTTGTCAATTGATCCCTAAATACGATATAATCTTCATTTTCTTCTTCGATCTTGACGTCGCTTGCACCGTTTGCAAGAACAGAAATTGTGTCGTTGGTGCTCATGTCACCGTCGATACTGATGGCGTTGAAACTACGGTCGACAGCATAGGTGAGTGCCTTTTGGAGTAAGGCAGGAGTGACGTGGGCATCAGTAACAACAAAACCAAGAAGAGTGGCCATATTGGGATGAATCATTCCTGCACCCTTGGCAATACCAGCCATCTTGAAAGATTTCCCGTCTTTCAAAGAAAATTGTCCCGAACGAAGCTTGGGGAAAGTATCTGTGGTCATAAAGGCTTCTGCTGCAAGTGCCCATCCCTCTTCGTGGGTATTGGACAGTACTTTGGCTGCATCTGCTATACCCTTCTCAATCTTCTCGATTGGCAACTGTTGTCCGATAACACCGGTGGACATGGTCAACGCACTCAAAGGCTTGTTCACCAAAGCATCAACTGCTGAGCGCATACGTTTGGCATTGATAATACCCTGTGCACCTGTCACAGCATTTGCACAGCCAGAATTGGTGATAACGCCGTAAATACCAGAAGGGTTCTCTTCCAAAGTAGCCTTGCTCACTAATACAGGTGCAGCTTTGAATGCATTGGTTGTAAACACAGCAGCAGCAGAACATGGAAGGTCGGATAGTACCAGCGCAAGATCCTTGTTTTTGTTCTTCTTCACACCGCAAAAGATACCGGTAGCCTTGAAACCATCGGGATATACACCTTTGGTCGCAATAAATGACTGCTTGCGAGGGGATAGATGTTCATATCCAGAAATCAATCTACGCTGCACAGCAGAGAAATTTGTAGAAAGGCGAATACGACTGGCTTGGAACATTTGGTGAGAAAGAAAAGTGAGAAGAAAAAAAAAGTCTTCTTGGGTTGGGAGTTACTCCTACCCTCCCCCCCACTCATTGACTCTAAAATTTGTTATCCAAGAGCCATGCCGCATGAGTCATTTGTGACTTGCTCACTCATACCTGAATTATGTCCCACTATAAATGGCAGCTGCGGTAACCCATGCGAAACGTATGGATTTCAAAATAATCTATAACATTATTAATTGTCTCTAAAGTGAAGTATATATGTATATGTATATTTCTTCTTTCGATCAATGCTTGGAATATATTCCCTCTTTTTAACTCATCAGTATACTTGTAACTTTCATTATGAAATAAACGAAGAGAATTGAAGTATTTTTGATTTGAATGATTCAATATTGATAAATGTATCACTTGTTAATAAATAATGGTAATCGAGCTATACAAGTAAGATTATTGATATTCAACACAGGCCTAAAAGTTGTTATTTGACATGTTGCGCGGAATTCTAAGTCTCAGGCTCAATGGAACAGTAAAGACGTGGGGTCTAATACCCTCAATATAATGATTATCACATACCTAAAATAAAATACCGCATTAAATTTCACTCATCAGCTCCAATAGGCCCAAAAGTGATTTGGTTAACCATAAATAACTGTAAGTAGTCCAATTATGTTTGCTGATAGTTTGATCAGTTCATTTGGAGTGTGCCTACAGTATTTAAATTTTCCAGTGTCAAAAGGATGGGGAGATGATTATTATAAACAGCACAACTGCAAAAAAAAAGTGTGTGTGTATAATGAAAAGAGATGTAGCACTATTTGTACCAAAACGTATAATAGCCTATCTGATCTTATTTGAAAACTGACTTTAAGCCAATGGATGATCATCATTCTGATCCTGGATACCATACACAATTGGTGTATTAACCTCATCTTCCTTGCGTCTGAAAAGAGCAGACCAATACTTGGTATTGTGCGTATCTGGGAATAATACTCCTCCGCCATCCACCAAATCATGGTCCTTCATGGGATCAAACAGATCGTTCAAGAAGCGGTCCTTTTCTGTGTTAAAGTAGTCCCAAATGCATTGTGTTTTTTGTTGGACAAGATGGGCCGAGCGTTGCGCTTCACAATTAAACAAGAAGTTGCCAAACTGACACGAATAGAGATGGTAATGCAGCTCTATCAACATCGCCTCATTGAATTCAAACCTGGTTGGAAACTGCTGCATGAGCTGATAGAGACAATCAAGGAACTGGTGGAAGACTGGACTGGTCTCTCGTTGGTAGTAATTGGATTTATAGAACTTGTTCTGCATGTCCTTGATTGTATTGGTAGCTGCATTACCGCCTGTGTGCGCCAGATTTACAAAGCATTTCTCGTTTGAAAGGTGCCCCGATCGATCAGCAAATTTGTGTCCAAAGGATACCCATTCTTTCTCTACCAGTACTTGGAATCCTTCAAACGTACGATAAAAAGGATCGAGACAAATCTCACTGATGGCTACCAATTGGGCTGTTCGATCCCACCCATCCGAACAATGTACCAAGACATGAGAGTTGTATACATGCACACTCTTTACGATAGACAACGCTCCGTCTAGGACAGTACTGATGTGCTTGAGCCAATTTGACCTTTGGAGTGCAACTCGGTTGACCTGTCCACCATTGTCAATCCCCTGCATAGCTAAATGATATATATATATATATAAGATGCATTTCTACAAACATATATCTTTAAATACTTTTAACTCACCATCCACCATCTTTGTTAGACTGTCTCGCATAACATGGATATTCTCAATTGCAACATAAATCTTCTTACAGTTCCGATAATTTTCCATATTCTCTGTCCCTGCTCCTCTTGCCACATTTCCCATTGCATTTGCCATTGGACGTGCATCTACAATCATGTTTACCGCCGTGGAACCATAAAGAGTCTGTCCACTTGGTACTACAGGTACATTAGACGCAAAAATTGCTTCGATCAGCTTTTCATCCTGAATAGACCGGGCTTGCTTGAACCCAACCATCGGCTGGCTGCTTCGAGTAATAGTCGCCTATTATTATTATTATTATTATATAAAAAGAAATGAGAACTTATTTTATTAGCCGTAATAGATGGTTTTTTTTAAAAAAAAAAAACTTTGTCCTTTCTCTTTCTACTTTTTAACTTTGGTTTTATTTCCATTCCTCACCATATTGCTCCAATGCAGGTATGATAACACCGGAATTCTGGCCTTGCTTCGGTATTTAGCTGCATAGTTGAGAGTAGCGTCGGTAATCTTTGTTGGGACAACTAAGAACCGTGGATATGTCGGAGAATACTATAATAATCATAAGCATTCATTTCAAAGCCAAAACATCAATAACTTACTTTATAATCTCTGTTAAGGGTTGATATACGCCAGTTTCCTGTCTTTTCGCCAACACCCATACGAGAATACTCTCTTGCTGTGTCATAAACACTCCATCCTGATGTTGATGTGTACGGTGTAATGGGTCTGAATCTGAAGGCAAGAAGCTTCTCAGTCGAGTCTATAAATGGATTCCAATCAAAAGAACTCTCGATCAGTCAAGTGAGCCAAAAAGTATTTCTCCATTTTGATATGTATATATATATAAAACTTTACCGACACACGTGTATTTCTGTATATAATCATAAACATATTGCGCCTCTCCGTCCTTAAGCATCGCTAGAGTTACGATAACAAAATCACGGCATCGGATATGAAGTGGATATCTTCCTGTTTGAAGAGAAGGCGGCCTCCGCTCGACAGTGTGGATCATTGGATAAGGAATCTGTGAGAGGACAGCCGAGACTTAATATAAAAACCTCATCAAAGATGCCAGAAATGAATGAATGTCCTGTCTAGTCTCCTAGTCTTCTCTTATACCCCTTCTTTCTTACCCACAGCTCCTCATTGTCGTTATATCTGTATATAAGGCATTGCAAGTTCAAATGAACTGTTCCTGTAAAGACTTGTTGTCCTGTTTCTAACTGTACATCCTCAACCTAGATAATGATGTGATTTAGGGACAAATGTTTGATCGATATAATTAGGAGTTCATTCGTACCTTGGCGGCCAGTAATTCGTCGGTATTCATCTTGTATTCTCCAGGTGTATTCGTCGATAGTGTGTGTGGGGTGAGTGTGCTACGTGACGGTGTGGCGGCCAATGGTACTCTAGTTTATATCCGGGGTAGACAAAATATGGATGGATTCCGAAACCTGCACAAGATACTCGTCAACGAGACACCAAGAATCAATGACTGTTCGTTATATTCCAACTTGGCACTTTCACACCGAGACTTGCAATATGGATTGGTCACGTGTAATCCAATAAGAGAAGTTGGAGACAGAGACAAATATATATATATAGTTATCTTTATATGCGTATTCTACTTTTTGCTCTTTATTAAATAAATGATACCTTGCCTAAATTGCTCTTTGTTGTTTTTGTTGTTGTTGTTTAGTTTCTTCCTGTTACCAAGAGTTGTAGAAATGAAACAATAAATGTATACTTGAATATATAAATATAGTTATCGTCACGCGGAATCCACAGAAGCGTATTACAATTATGATAGTTATACTTTTTACATTTAAAAATTAAATAAATTCGTGTGATGTTCATCAAATATGTGGACTCTTTTTGCTGTAAAACCTATCAAAATATCCAAACAGTTCAAAGCCAAAACAAACAAGAGCATTGTCTTGGGAAATTGCTTTTGCTTGGGGGGACTTTTTTTATTCTAAAGAGTAAATTGCAAGGGCACCCGCTTCTGCCTTTCCGACGCCTGCCGCAGCCAGACGGACATCTCCTACATCAAAGGACTCGACCCAGTTCAGCTTAACAAACCCATTATCTAATTGGAATGTTTGTCCGAGGGTAGGGCTTTGCTCTCCTTCCAACTCTGACCACTCCCAAAGGGCAAGTGACCCGTTTGCAGATCCAGACACAAGTTTGGTTCGAGTAGATGGAAGGAATGTTCTACAACAATAGTAATCAGTCAGATAAAATTAGATCCACATGGCCAAGTTTTAGTAGTAAGAAAAACAATAGACTCACAGACTATTAACCATTGATTTGTGGCCATTTTCTAGTCGGGTAATGGTTGGTACGCCGTTTTTTAATCTTTTCTTTGTATTGCAAGAAATTAACTGAACAGTAGAGTCTCCAAGACCAGCTGCTATAATTTGGCCGTCCTTGGAAACCGCAAGAGAGTAAACAAACGGAGGATTGAACATCTGTGCAGCAGTAGGTTCACTGGGATCTATGGTTATAAAGCCGGTTGTTTAAACACAGTGGAGTAACATTGATATTGATAATGTATTTCTTACTCATATCAAAAGTCTCTGTGATCATGCCACGCGAAAAGTCCCATTGAAACACTTTACTATCCAAACCTCCAGACCAGACTATTCCATTTTGATAAGGTATTCCTAGTCAGTCCCACAGATCACATTCATCCATACAAACTTCACCTTGCCATGGTTTCTTGGGTCTAAACTTGACTGCCATAGCAATCTACAAATAGTATTTTATAACCATTAAACTATATTTTAACGTTCAGTTTTTTCTTCAGCTTGCTAAACATACCGAATTATGCTTCTTGGAGAATGATTTGTGAATTTTGTGGGTTGACAGATCCACTGTATTAAAAAGTTAGATTTTTTTCTTGGTCTTAAATATTATATCCTTCACTTGCCTACATTAATATAACCATCATCATCAGCCGTTGCCAAAAATGTATTTTTTTCGTTGACATCGATCTGTAATCATGCACAACAAACAATCCATATTAGTCAATTCACACAGACCACACAAGTGAATAAACACACAAACAAAACAATTGCGCACTTACTGCATTGATCTCATCTGCACTAAAATTATATTCACGAGCAGGTTCTGCCAAAATCATATCTGTGTTTCTCAAATCAAAGGTGTACACCTTTGTTCCTGAAGATAGATAGATATATGGACAGCTTGATTGTGGAGCAAATGAAATGCTAGAGACCTATCATATGAAACAAACAAGCAAACGACCAAACAAACAGATAAATTTCTTTTCAAAACTTTATTTGAACATTCACGATCAAACCTACAGGACTATTCAGATTCTGAATTCCTTTTACAACACGCGAAGAACGAAGATCCCAAATACGACAAGTATTGTCCTCTATATAGTATACTACTACATGAGCACGATTGTGGTAGATCAATATTGAATGATCAGGCTAGTAATGACATGCCTGAGCCAGACGCTAATAAGTGCTCTCCTAAGAAGGATTGTTTTGCATATTTGAGACAAATGACAGGTGCTTTATGACCATCGAGTTTAACAATTGGTGTCAATGGTATTGTGCTCATTGTCAAATTAAATCTAACAAAATGAACACGAAAGCTTCAATTAGGAGACAACTAAGCAAATTATTCGGGAAACCAATCTGGGGTATTTGATATCCATTTGTATGTGTATATGTGTGCTTGTGAAAATATTCTTTAGGCATCACTTTAAAGAATATATATATTTCATATATTTTAAAACATGACATTAGGTATCTTTAGACCTATGCTTCCAAGACTTTGGATAATCATATATATCGCTCAGCACAAGGGTATGAGGGCTTAATAGCAACCATAAACTCTTTTTAGATATTTAATATATCAAAAATTATATTTAATTTTCAATAGAGTATGCAAATATATTTGTCACTACATAACCTTTTTGTTTAAGAGGCTATCTTATGCTATACTAAAGTGATTGTTACTTCAATACCTCTCCCGTAAAAATAAATGTAAAATATGGTTTTGTTAATTACGTCCCATCAGATTAGTTCAACACACCCAATTTAATTCAAATAGCAAGAAAATTGGGAGCTTTTGTTAAGCTATCTTGAGATCTTACTTTAGTTTGCCACTTAGTTCTTATCAATCATTTCAAAAGCAAAAATATTTTATTGTTTCAATTCAGATATTTATCCATTTTATTAGTATTATTATTATTACTATTACTATAGGTCACGAAAGAAGTCACAGTTATAATCCATTGTCCTTATTTTTTGTGTATATTTACAAGACCCCTACTGAGGTATGAAATAGCTATTATCCAAACAATGAAAAGATATTAACTAGCAAGTTTACAAGTTCAATCTCGTTTAACTCGAGAAAACTCTCAGGAGAGATATCTCGACTTCGGGTTCTCTCTCTTGCTCGGTAACTCGAAGCCCCTCAATTGAGCTGTCCTTCTATTGACCTCTATGGATGTTAAGAAGTGATATGAAGTCCTATATACTAGTTATGTTATCCTCTGATACTTTTTACCCCAATATATGCATGTATTTTCTATAAAATGGGAGTTGAACATATGGAAGCAGCAAATAGCTATCATAACCGCGACTTAAGGTATTACTTATCCCTTGCAACAACTAAGAGGTCTGAAGGGGACTATTAAATTTCTGGGAATATCTGTAATGGACATATCACAGAAGGTATTATGCTACAACTAAATATTAAAAACATTACATATCTTAGTATTCGTGCCCAGCTATAGAGAAATGTGAAAGAATATAGAAAAATTCTACCAGTACCTGGTACGTTGTTTGGTAAATGCATTACTATAGAATTGTCACCTTATACTGCTGGAAAGTAGGAGAGATGTGTAGCCCAGCCCCAAAGATCTAAACAACAACAACAACAACAACAACAACAACAGGAAAGACTTTTCTTTGCTGCTAGTCCCTTTAGTCTCCAATGAGAAGTCGTGGAGGGGCTTGCGTCCAAGGAGACCTCATTGGTATGTGTACCAAAAAAAAAAAGACCCAAGAGTTTTCTCTTACGAACAAAGAATAATGAACAGACTAACAAACCAACAAACTTTAAAGCTTGAATATGACTTAGCACAAAACCAAATGCTCTATTTTAACCTTTTTATTATTAATTTATACGATATTCAAGGAATTTCTCGTTTATTGTATATATATGTATATTCAAGTGACGGAGCATTGTGCATGCATGTAATGAACTAGTGGGATCTGGCAAGTTTTTCCATCCTAACAATAAAAGACAAGAGGGAGGAGAGTTTTCAGTGACATCACAGGGATTAAGAGAAGAAAAGGAACCAGTAAGCAAAGGTAGCTGTTGAGCTTAAAAGAAGACCTGGTGGAGTATATGATGATGTAAAAGAGGGTCTGAGAAAAGAATGTTCATGTATTGTTCTGGTTTTAACAGACAGTAGGGCCAACTGAGCTTTTTAACAGTGATATATATGTATGTATATATATATAATATTCACCTTACCCTGGATTGGTTTGTAAGTGGGCCTTATAGACAGTCAAGAAGACAGACATCTGAAAGTTGAATTAGCCTAAAAGAACAGAAGTGATGACATATAATATACTTAAAATTTATGAGAACAAATGATAAAGACAGGCTCTCCCGGACTGATTTATAAGAACGATGTTTTTCATTAGCAGATATATCAATAATAGATTTATATGGAGCATATTATTGTACACAGCTACTTGAAAATATAGTACTGTTAAACATGATTGAGTATATAGGCTTAGTTTATAAGCTACTTGATGATAAAAAGACGAAAGGTTCCAGTCTTAAGACATGTTACAGTTGAATCATGATTTTGATAAGTAATAAGCCTAATGATTGTAAGAGCTTATAATATCTAGCTTTCTATTTTGTTTATTGGATCATATTGATATGAATTTGTATTTAAGTTATAATAATCACGATAGGTTTATTCAAGTAAGCTCTCTTTTCTCTCTTTTAGTAATACATGCGTATGCCTTTGAGTTCAGTCATGCCATATTTCCTAATACATGCCGTCTATGATATTATCATAAACTTCTTGTAGAGTCTCAAGCAGATTTATTAAATATTTTTCTCTTTCTATAACTCTGTGCAATTCAAAAAAAAAACCTTGTCTTTATATTTTATTAAAATCCTTTTAGTCGGCTTTAAATCCGGACTTTGCACAGGGCAACTTGCCCAAGCTGACATTATTCCCATGTATGTACTCCTTGTAAAGGTTGCTTACATGTTACCTGTCATTATATTGAAATATATGTATACGTGTACATATATAATATACTCCAGCCTTTATAGAGAATATTCCCATTTTAGTGAACTTTTTAGAAACATAGATGCATATAAAGTGTCCAGTAACTGGTGTCACAATTTAGTAGACTCCTAGAGTTTATGTAATACCTTCCATTGTTTTCTTCTTATTCTTATTCTTATTCTTTAAGCAAAAGCTTGCGTGATTTGAAATGGGTTATTGGCTTTAACCTGGTTTACAAGATACTTTTGTGTAAATTATACTATTGTTACTTTTTTTTCTTAGAAAAAAAAATAAAGAAACCCAAAAAGCTTGTTGTCGTACTAGGTAAATTCTACCAGTGTACAGAAATAAAGAATTCAATCGGTTGGAATGCGATTGAAAAATATGCTGACCATAAGAAATTGTTTACAAAATTTTCTTATCGAATTTCAATCCAATAAAAAAAATGAATATATAGATGCTTGTATTTTCATATATATATATATAGTCTTTTTTTTATTTCTTGATCGTGTACCTTTTCACCCCTGCATTATATAAGAAAGCTTGGTTTTATTTTGTGGGTTGAACTTTGATTTATTTGTTGATCACCTTCCACGCTTCCACAATGGTATTAGGATATTTGCTGCAATATTTAGCGGGGAAATTTATTGTTTCCCTTTTCTGTTCTGTTCTTAAGACATGGAAATATATTACCAAAGTTTGATTCTATTAAATCAACCCTGTAGTTTGAGCCTATTTGGATCTTCAAAATCTCAAAAGGTTTCTTCTATTATAACACACACACACATATATATAGAAAGAGAGAGGAGATATAGAGATAGAGATGTATAGAGAAAATAAATGGGGGTAATAGGTAATATCATCGTATTTTATCAGCGGGATTAATACCGGGGGCATGCCATTAGAGTAAGTTTGAAAAAAAAGGAGGGTGATGTATAGTGTAAAGAAGATGAACCCTCAAAAGTTTAGATGCTCTGAGAGTGAATAAAAGTACTGTTCGCCACAAGGTGGGAAAAGCAGGAAAAAAAATATATAAAAAAAAGCTGTATAATGTTTGTGTGTCTGTTGTGTGTTCTTTTTTTTTGGCGTTGGGATTTGGTGTTTCTTTCTCTTGACTTCTGGGTTAATTGCACAAACCGCACGTCAGTTTGGATAAGAGGCCTTGTTTACGACGAGGTTCGGAAGCATCCTGGTTGACGGGTTGGGATATTGCTGGTGTTTCTTGAGCAGAAACCATTGCTGGTGTGCCCTGGGTACCGTTCAATTGGCGCTTGTTGTTTTCAATTACCTTTTTGGCGGGTGTAGGAAGACCCTGGCGACTAGCTTGGCGTTTGGATAATGTCTAAATAATAAAAATAAAAATATGCACTTATCAGATCCACGAATATAAAACATATATAAAAGTGTGTGGATATAATATAATGTATGATGTTGTGTAATTTACCTCCCAGCCTTTGCCATTGTTGAGCGTCATCCAATCGTATACACCGTCTTCGACTTCGCCAGATTTTTTGATAACCTTTGAAAACAATTCACGCAAAAATTCATAATCAGGAGCTTCGTCGAAACCAAGTTTGCGGACGTATTGGAGATAGATTCCGAACTCCTCTAGAGAAAAGAAAAGTAACAATCATTTTGTGAGCCATTATATTATCATTATAAAATAAGATTTATTGTTTGTCCTACCTGGATACCCTTCACAGAGATCTCTGATTACTGTGCTCTGTTTCTTTTCGCCGATCTTCTCGTATTTCTGCTTGTTAGTAGCTGCTCTTAACCCCTGCCAAGGTAATGAACCACGCAAGAAGTACATAAACACATGGCCGAGTGCCTCGAGGTCATCACGGCGTGATTGCTCTACAAGATTGGTTCAGTTGAAAAAAAGAAAAGAAAGAAAAAAGAATTTTAATAATCATAATCATAATCATAATCATAAAAACAATAAAAATCATAATAATAATAAAACTTCCGAAGTCAAAATTCAGGTATTCATTACCTCTTCCCAAATGGGTGTTGATACTCATGTAACGCGCGGTTCCGGACAGACTTTTGCGCTCACGATAGGGAATATGTTGCTTCGTTCTAGGATCTCTATAGAGTTTGGCCATGCCAAAGTCCACAATAAAAACTTCGTTGGCCGATTCTGTCCCAGGCTTTCCGATCAAGAAATTGTCAGGCTTAATATCGCGGTAAATTAAGTTCTTTTCGTGAATAGATTCGACACGGTTTAACTATATTTCATAAGTAAAATAAGTAAGTATATAAAAATATATATAAAACGATCAATCAAATCAAATCAAATCGAATCAAATCAAATCAATTAATCGATTAATCAATTAATCGATTAATAAACCGTTCAATTCGTTTCCTAGTCTACTGGAAATAAGAAAGACAATCAAGCAAAAAAAAGGACTTGCCATCTGTTGAGCGAGCATAGCGACAGTCTTTGGAGTGAATTTGCGACCACAGACATCGAACATATCTTCCAGACTGGGGCCAAGCAAATCGATGACAAGAATGTTGTGAAGGCCTTCCTGGCCAAAGTAATAGGCTGTTGGTATTCCAGCTAAAATAAAATAAAGAAGAAAAAATAGAAATATATATTATATTATTAATATAAAATTTGATGTTTAATGGTAATAATTGTGTGTAGAGAGAGAAAGAAAAACTTGAGGCTTACGAGTGCCAGCCATGATCTTGTAGGTACGGTACTCATCGCGTAGTTGAGGGGCATCGCTTTTTCTAGGTTCAAATTTAATAGCCACCTGTTGGTTATTGAGGAGGTTTGTGCCTATAATAAAAATAAAGAATGAAAGAATAAAAGAAAGGGAACAATCATGATAATGATAATGATAATGATAATGGTGATATTCATAAATAGGTAAAGATTAAGAGAAATTAACAAAATGTTTATAGATGATGGCGTCATTATTCATTTACCTTCATAAATAATTCCAAAGCTGCCTTCGCCAATCTTTCGGCCGACTCGGTAATGAACGCCGACGACGTTGTGGGAGGAGGATGGATTGGTTGCTGGTGCTGATGGTTGACTATTTCCGGCCATGACAGATGAATGGAGACTAAGATTCCAGACGGAGATGGATGAGCAAGTTGTGTGATTATTATTATAATTATGAAATATATAAAATAAAGGAAAAAAAACTGGGAGCAAATAAAATGCTAGGGTGGGTTATTGGAGTGTGAAAATGAACCAAGGTTGCAGATAGTTTTGCTTGTTATTTTTTGGTATAATTTATATAATTTGCAATTATATAATATATAAATAGATATGTATACATATACATTTACATGTACATATACACATACATATCCATATACACATTTGTATACATTTGTATATATTTATATACATTTATATACATTTATATACATTTATATACATTTATATACATTTATATACATTTATACACATTTATATACATATATATTATTCATCGAAAAAAGGGGTTCTTTTTACATATATATATGTATATATACATCTTTGCTTTAACCTCTTGTTCTTCAAAGGAGAGCGATTGGGTACTTGGTGGACGTATAATTGGCTTTGGAATACACACCTTTTTTTGGATTTTTTTTTTACGAAGGAAGGGAATGGGATAGGAGGAACGGCAGCGGTTAGTAAAGGATTGTAAAGGATTGTAAAGAGGGAAAGAGCAACAAAAGAATAATTGGTGTTCAGATATATAAATTCAATGGTCAGCAATTGAAGCAATGGAACTAATGGGAAAATAATTCACGGGTGTACCCTGGATCCCGACCCTTTAACCTCCTCTCTCCCTCTCTCCCTCTACCACTCTACCCCCCCTCCTCTTCCCCTCTCCCTCTCCCTTTTTCTTTTTTCCTTTTTTTTTCTTTCTTCCTCCTCTTCTTCTCTTAAAGCCTCTATTTGTTCCAAAATAATCTCTATATCTGCCTCTGATTTCTATCTGACATTTGAAACATATATACATCTTGAGAGTATTTAAAGATCTTGTTTAGCTACAGTCATAACCACCCATTATTTAGCATAGTAATTGACAATCACTAATATCTGTAATCGCAAATCAATAATATAAAAATACATTTTTACATACAATTAAAAAAAAAGACATCAAACAATAAGTTGCAAACTAACGCATGGTCTTACCAAGAAGTCCCTCTTTTGATACTTGTGGCCATGCAAATCCTTACCATTTACGGAGTTGATCTCTTCACTGCTCGGTATAGTGGCGTGCGCAATTTCCAGTACAGAAGCCCACCCACATGCACAGAGCCTATTTTATTTTACTACATGTAGCCATCAATTCTTTGTTCTTGAGTACAGTCAACTTATTTGTATCCAGTCCTCTTTCTGTTTGCTTATTCTAAACTTCCCTTGTTATTTAATACCCGATTTCCTCGGTAAAAGATAAAGAATTACATGTATAGATGTATCTTGATGAATAGATATATAAATATATTAGCTATAATAGACTTCCAGTATATAACCATTGTACATTCTTAATATCACTATCAGCATCATTCGCTTCCCTGGACTGAACTACCCGCCCATCTTTTTCTAATTTCGTCAGGTGAAGTGACACTGTATACTCCATCATCATATCTCCTTCAAAACCATAAATTGCCTGCACTAGATCTCCAATTGTCCAACTCTGTTTCTTGGTATCTGAGTGCATGATGCGTACAATTTGGTCTTCGCGTTGTTTGCGAACATTGATATATTCCTTTATCTTTGCCGGTCCATTCTCAATCATAGTTCCATGTCCAGGATAGAGTCTTTTGGGCACCAGTGCCTCCATCTTTTTCAAACTTGCCATATACTCTGACAGGTCTGAAAATATCACACTACCGTGGCCAAGTATACAATCGGCCGTAAAGATGCTTTGCTCTTCTTCAAACCAAAAGGCACAGTGATCATTAGCGTGGCCAGGCGTGTGTAGGACATGGAGGGTGGTATTTGGATCGACCTTGATTATCTGGTTGTCCTCCAGAGGCGTGAGTTTGACTAATGACCAAGGAAATGAACCCATAAAACTGGTTTCGTCTTTGCCGCCAGGTGGGAGCGGGAATTTGTGGACGTTAGGCTTGGAAAGTGGGGAAGTCAGGATCTGCTCAACTCCGCCCCAGTGGTCCGAATGGCAGTGTGATAAGTAGATGTCCGAGATAAAACAATCCTCGGAGATTGTTTTGAGTGATTGGATTAAGAGGGGCAGGTATTCAGGTCTACCTGCACCACAATCGATCAAAACCTTGCGTGCCCCACGTCCAACCAAATAAGTATTTGTACCTATTTTTGTGTGTGTATGTGTTTTTGGTCAGCCACATGGAAGGCATTAATGAAGGACTACTTTGTGAACATTTTCTTTTTGTCTTTATATATATGTATATATAATTTAATAATAAAATGGCACCTTGGAGAGTCCATCTACCGGGATTCAACCCCATTACTCGCCACACTCTATCCGAAAGACGGGCAAATTCAGGCAATGGCGGAAGACGAGACATGAGTAAGAGAAAGAAAGAAAGAAGATTAAAATAAAAAGCTAAGTGGCAAAATCATAGGCTCTTAATTCTAGGTGCTTACTAGCGTGGGACAAAATGTTAGGTGTAGATCCGTTCTTGGGTATTAATGATTACGTTACATCTTTCCTAATTCTCTCACAGAACTCCTATGTTTCTTCTTTTCATATACACATTTACTCGATTGTTTAACAGATGTTATTGTAATTATTTTATATGAATGATATTACTGTCTTTTATGTATATATCGAAATAAGAAACAAGAGAATGAGGATCAGGGACTATATTATTTTAGATGAAAAAGGGGAATTGCAAGATGAAAAGGTGACCGAGGATTTGGGATTTGGTTTAAGCTGTTTTTTCTGTACTGGGTTCCATTGAAGAGACAGGCAAACCCTTTCTCTTCTTGAGGATATTGCTGATAAAGAACTCACCAGCCTTGTAGCTTGATCGCACAAGAGGTCCACTGGCAACATACTTGAATCCCATGGCCATGCCCTGAGTCTCCCAATGCTTGAATTTCTCGGGTGTCACATATTCATGGACTTTCATGTGTCGCTTAGTAGGTCGCATATACTGTCCCAAGGTAACACAGTCTACGTCTGCCTTTCTCAATTCCTTTAGGGTCTCCAAAACTTCGTCGTCTGTCTCACCACAACCCAGCATGATGGATGTTTTTGTGATCATGTCTGGTTTGACAGCCTTTACGTGCTTCAATACACTCAGTGACTGACGGAAACCAGCCCGACGATCACGTACATATGGTGTCAAGGCTTCAACGGTCTCAATGTTGTGTGCATACACATCAAGACCAGACAATGCCACAGTCTTGACACAATCAAGAGATCCACCAAAGTCACCAGTCAGGCATTCGACAAGAATATGAGGAGCCCTTTAATTAACAAACAAACGAACGAACGAACAAAAGAAATACTCGAATTAATATATATATATATATGTATTGTTGTATACTCTCGATTACACTTACTTGAGTTTGATTTTAGAAATAGTCTCTGCGAAATGGCTTGATCCACCATCAGGCATATCGTCACGATCAACACTTGTCAGGACTACATAATCAAGACCCCATCTCTTGATAGCCTCGGCAGTGTGTTCAGGTTCATGAGGATCAAGTGGCTTGGGAGCACGATTGGTCTTGACTGAGCAGAAACGACATCCACGAGTACACTCATCACCCATCAACATAATAGTAGCAGTGGCAGTCTGATGTTCTCCGCCTAGTATAAATACAGACACATAGACACTTCTTTAGAAACACTCAACTTCTTCACCCCAAAATATATGAATTTAACTTACCTCCCCAGCAGTCACCGATGTTGGGGCATCTAGCCTCTTCACAAACTGTGTGTAGTTTAAGACCACGAAGATCTTTCTTGATCTTGCCAAAATTTTGGCCAGCGGGAATGTCTGTCTTGAGCCATGAAGGAAGACGAGGCTGTTTACTAAAGAGATAACCAAAAAATAAAAAATAAAAAAATAAATGCTAAATTAACTGACCCGGATCGGTATTACAATGCACCCAACAAATCCGGAGAATACCGCCTGCCTTTTCTCTCTCTCTCCCACTCTCTCTTTATCTCTATACATAAGTTTGTATTCTGTGAACACCATTTACTTACAGTTTAGTGGTCTTGACTTTTGTTCCAACAACTGTCTCTCTGAGCTCCAATGCCTCTTCAGCAGTAAGTTTTTGATTCAGACCGGGGTTGATGAATTCATCGAGCGAAGCAGAAGCTTCTTCTGCAGCCAATCTTGATTTCAGCTGTGACAGTCTTGAGCCAGAACTGGTAGAGTCATTGACAGTAGAAGCATGGTGGCGCACTTGATTCTGTAATATCAATAATAGGCGATGAAATCATTAGAAATTATCCATATTCTTTTGTCTATTTTTTCTTCTCTCCTTTATTTAATTATTATTATTTTTTTCGCACGGTTCATCTTTTAAACATTCCGAGATATCGAGGTGCAATTTGTTCGTACACACGCATACACACACACAATAATACCAACAAACCAACCCATAAATCATCTCTTTATCTTTCTTCTTATTGTTGTTGTGTGTGTGTATGTGTTGGTGTTTTTTTTTTCTTAGGAGAGAAACTGCAAGTGAAATGACTTGGATGCTCACCATTACGCCGGCAGAGACTCGAACGGGCATGGTCACAAAAGAGGGCTTTGTGGTGAGTGCAAGGGTACGGGCAAACATATTTTGTATCTCTCTCGGGTTAAACAGGGAAGAAGGGTAGAGTACAAGAGGGAATAAACATCAACCAACATATATATGATAATGAACCTATTGATGGAGGATCTTGTGACTGTCGCTCCACTCTGCCAGAAAAAGATGTCTTTTTTTTTTTTAAAACCAAGAAGAAAAAAAAGTTGAGAATCGCGCACCTATTTTATATATATATTTTATATATATTTTTTATATTTTCTACCTGACCATTTGAAGTGTCACTCCAAGCCCAGACAATACGCACACACTTACTTGTCTACATACACATATACATACATATACACATATATACACATACACACACATACACACACACATATATATATATATATATATATATATATACATCAAACGCATTAAGAAGAACCATCAATAATATACACGCACTTCTACACACGAACACCAAATCTACATCTACAATGTCCAACAAACTGTTTGAGCAATTATATGAAAACTCCAAGCTTCTTGTTAAACCACCTTCCGACAGAACTCTACCATTGATTGAGCGTGGATTATCACAGATTCATATTGAATCAGAACAGATCGCAGAAAGAGTAGCAAACAAAAAAATTGATCCGAAAGTATCATCAGAAGCGTATGTTGGCAACCCAAAAAAAAAATGCTAAAAATGAATTGGGTTAATTAATAAATAGTTTGATAGTCATTACTTCTTAGCACATCACGGCATTAATAGCCAAAAGGCAACACAGTCAATCGAGACTCTTGATACGTCAAAGACATTTACACCTGAAATTAACTACAATGATACCAATGTTGAGGTTGGTTGATTAATATACTGGATTCCATAAATCCTATACTCTTTTTTTTTTATTAAATTATACATACACTTCCCTCCCCCAAAACACCCATCCTCAAACGTACATTTTTACTAACCTACAGAGATATATATATATATATATACATACATACATACATACATATACACACAGGACTTTTTGAGACGAGAACAAGAGAAGATACGCAAGCGCGTTCTGGAAGAGCTTGGGAAAGCATAAAGTTGATTAATGTATACTTGGTTCTCAAAAGAAAGTTTGTTCCGCTTTTTTTTTCCTTTTTTTTTTACATTTTGTTTTCAAAGACGTTCTTTATAAATCCATAATAAATAAACCACAATTCTTTTTTTAAAGAAGTCCATTCAATGATATTGTAGAGCCAGATTGAGGATAAGATTATAGATAATATAATATGATATTTTATTATTTCTCTTATTTTCAAGTTATTATTATCATTAATTTGGTCAAAATACATGCTGGTTTATATGTCTGGATAGCAAAAGGAAATGATTTCGGTTGACCACATCAGAAGAATTTTGTGCAATCATCATATTGTTCGATCAATTGAATGAATGAATGAATCAAATTTTAGGAGCAACTTTATAATTTATTTATTTTTAAAAAGAAAAGTACTCTGAACCAAACATATGCCGTTTGCCCTGAACATTTCGATTGGGGATATGCATAACCTTTCAAGAACTTTAAATGTGACGCATAAGATCATATGATGGCATTGAAGCATATTTACTCTCCAGTCAAGATTATCGATGGATCATTTCAAGCATAAAAATTCATTTGATTTTTATTTATTTATTTATTTGCAATCAATTAGGCTAGTGCTTGATTAAAATATCATTCTTGTGAGAGTAAAGATACTAAAATTATGCTTAAATTCTGCCAGGGTTTACAATAAATATATATATATATATATTATCTATCTAAACTAGGTTTATTTCTGTAGATCTTGAATACTGTCTGTTCTTGATCTTGGTTAATCTCACGCATAGACTGTTTTTTGTAAAGATTCAAGATATGTGCTATAGTAAAGAACAATCTTATGCTGCTTATGCTTTTAAATGGTGAGAAACATTTAGATAAGAGCTAAACTTTTGTGCACACACGCGTATAGGCACAAATTCAGGAATATGTCAACAGTTTTGGGAAACAATGAAAATATTAATCCCAAATATGGTACTATTTCCAAGACCTGATACATGTACATCTCGAGGGTTTGTATACTATACGGTTTTGTTGAATGGGTCATTGCAGCATATCGATTAATAAATAAGTAAATAAATAATAAATAAAAGCGGTAAAGTATGTGATCATCTCTGTAACATCCCCCCTAAAAAAAGAAGCGATTTTATATGCATTTACCTGCATTGCCTCTCATCATATAGACTTTCTTTTGTTTTTTGTTTTTCTGCAGTTTATTCTGTGACAAAGGCTAATCGGCAGATGAAGAATGTTATGAGGTGAGTTTTATCGTTGTAGGTCTAGTCTATCAGATGAAGTTGAACAAAGTTGGGGTCCCAGGCATTTAAAATCGATATAGCGGAGGACCCTGGAAACACTTTGGGATTCTTTTTTAACAATAATACTTATTATTATTATTATTATTCCCACTCTTTAATATTTTATTGAGGTTTGCTCACCTGCCTATTGCTGTTGTACTATAATCTACTGTGTGTTACTGACACTCACCCACTCCTTCAGAAGAGTAAGGGGGGAGAGTAACACATTAGGTAAAATTAATAAAAAACTATAAACACTTGACAAATGATCTGATTTGTTTGTTGGTATTAAGTCACAAAAAAATAAAATAAAAAGTGGGGGAATAAGCGGGGGTGGGGAAGTTTAATGCCAAAAAAAACTTTATATATGATACAGATGATCCATAGTTTTCTTTTTGAACATTTGAATTTCTCTAGTCAGGGCAAGACAGAAGAGGTAGGTTCAAAGCTTCATTATAAATTAATTAATTAATTAAATAAATAAACAAATAGACATTTATCATTGATTTGCTTGTATAATTTCTTTATATAATTGTTGCAGAATATTACTTTTTTTTTATGTTTATTTATATCGGTTCCTGTTGTATTCTTGCTAGTGATTTAAAATAGTAAAACAACAGCAACAATAAAAAATGCCCACGTTTTGTAATTGTGGAGTAGAAATTGATGGACACAAAAAGCTGTTCTTCCCTGGGTCTAAAAAAATAGTAATAATAGAAAATGTGATTTATATGTTGTATTGGTTAATCTAAAAACAATCAATATCCCGCTTGGCTTTGTATAAAAGAAAGGCTCGTGCACTGAATTAAAAAAAGTATGACGATTATGACGGTTATGATGAATGGAATTCATTGACTCAGACTCTAGCCCATACTTGACTTCCAAATGGCTAATGGAGTTGATAAGAGATCAGTTAGTTTTAGCGTATGTGGCTTGTATCAACAATACTAACACAGATTAAATAATGATTTATTTATTTTTTAGTTTCAAATATAAAGTATGTATAACAAAGCAAGCAAAAACAAATCAAATGTTTTACAAGTCTTCTCTTGGCATATAAAGCATGCTTGGAAGTGAGACTTCTGAGTTGTATTCTGAAAAATAATAAGAATAATAATAATATTGGTACAAATGGAGGCACTGAATTAAAATGGTAATAAAGTATCTATCTGGCGAAAGAAGTTGGTGGTTGTGGTGGTGGTAGTGGGGGGAGCAGAGGGGTTTTTTTTTTCACTAACTGAATCGCCTTTTTCCGGCATGTGACAGTGCTCTCATAAAGGGTAAATCCGGAGACTAAATAGGAATTTTTTGTATGTAAAGCTTTGTTGATAAGGTGTTCTTATTTTATATTTTATATATTTATATATTTATACTATTACTATTTGTTGTTATGGATACAAACCCTGATAGAATATGCTATCAAGAATAATATATAGAGAAGAAAATAAAAGAAAAAGATAAGCTAAAACGAAATAAAATAATAATATTATTCTTGTTTCCAAGGTGATTTTTATTTTAAAAATCATAATAACGAGTTTCCATGGTAGCTTTCTTATGCCCTAGTGTATCTCAATAGCAAATAACAACGGCTGATTATTGCCATGCGCCACACATATCCAAGTGGCGATGAGGCCGGAAGGATCGGCTTCTTCTAACGAATCAAGATTTATTTATGAACACATAAATAAACTAGAATAGAATTTGATTTTTGGAAGACGGGGGGTGTAGAGAATCTTTAGAGGTTTTGTAGACTGGCTATTGGATACTGATTTATTTATTTCATTATAACACTTCCGATCTCGTCGTTCGGAGTCTGACCCTCTGTATATTTTATTTTTATTTTTATTTTTATTTTTTATTTTATTAAAGATATGTCTATATAAAGGCTTGGTAGTCTTGAGTTCAATTCTCTAAAATATTACACTCTTCTTCCAACATGACTCACTTCCCTACCGACCTCGACCCTCTCTTCCTTAGGGAACATCATCTCAGTCTCACCAGACAACAGTCAAATTCTTCAGATTCCTCAAATTCCTCAAATTCTACCATGAACAGTCATTACAAAGAAGATGATCATGATACAATGTCAGATCATCCCATCCCTCGCATGCCTACTCTTCGTCAATTCTTCAAATCCGCGACTGCTACAGATCACTCTAGTCGAACAAAGACAGAGAACCTCAATAGACTTGTATCATTTTATTTGTAAATCATCATCATTTTGCTTTCCTAAACCAAACCACACACTTGATAATAATCCCTCTTCCTCCAAGCATTTTTCTCATGTAAATAAACCTCAACCCACCCACACGCATCACAATACGCATCACACATTTTACTATGTTCTACTATACTATTAAATATTATATATATATATTATATTATTGTCTTTACACAAAAAATACTCATTTTATTATATATAAATAATGATATTAAATACTTTACACATATACATTTCTATAATTACAAATACTATTTATCAACTTTCTATTGATACCCGTTCATCATCATAATTTGCTCAGAAGCTAGTCTACCTGATGACTGCAGAACAATATGATGTACAATCCTTTCAAGCATATCTGCTAGTCTAATATTTTGGCCATTACTCTTTTCTTCCTCAAGCCCAACCATACTAAGCATATTTCTAGCTAACTTATTAGCCATACGATGCTCTCGTTTCAACTACAAAATAATAATAATAATAATAATAATAATAATAATAATATAAGCAATTAAGATATATATAATATACATATATAAAAGAAAATAATAGTCCAACCTTGTCAATCTCATGTTCAGTCAGTTTTTGTACTTTGACTAGTCTGGACACCTGAGCTCTGTATATTTCACCTTGCTCCTGATCTTGGTATTCCTTTTGCTTCATGACTTCCAAAAGAGCCTGACACTGACGCCGTTTGTCAATCTCATTTCCAAGACGTCCCTTGATCACCTCAATCTGGCCTTGCAATCGATTTACTCTAGACTCCTTTTCGTCTTGGATTTCGCTCATCTTATTTTCCCAGTGCTTCTGGTTAGACAGAGAATCAATAGACATCAAGGACTGGAGATCTGCCATCTTGTCCTTCCACGAATGTTCTAATTCTCTGGTCACATTCTGGTGCTCTCGCTTCAATTGTCGTTTGAGATCATCTAATGCAGCCTGATGTTCAATTTTCCACACTTCTTTTTCGTTATCAAATTGTTCTCTAAGCTCTCTCAGGGTTTCTGTATGCTCAGAGTTGAGATTCTGTATTTGCGCTTCGTGCTTCATAGCTGTCATCCGGCTCTCATACACCAGTAATTCCTTGACTCGTTCTACTTCATCCCCCATAGTCTCATGTATTCTCGATGTCTTCTTTTGGTGCTTTTGTTTCATCAGCACAAGTTTGCTGGTCAGCGAAGTGATCTGTGCTTCTTGACTGGCCAGTTTTTGATGTGCTTGGTACAGTTTGTCCTGAAGTCTTTCAGGCTCATCATCTTCATGGTCAATTTCTGTCGAACTGTGTCGGTAATTAAATTGTGCGTGTTCTGCTAAACTCAGCTGTTGCTTGTAGTGGGATGCTTTCGTTGCCCACTCTTCCTTTTCCTGTTCTCTATTGGATCTTTCTTTGGCCAGTTCGGATCTCAGTTGCTCCATTTCCAAAAGCTCACTTTGACCTCCCACAACTGCTTGGCTTAGCTGAGAGTTCTCGGCGTCTTTAGCCGTAAGTCGTTCCTGTAGACTTGCCAAGCGTTTTTCGTGTTTGTTTTGTTCAGCTTCAAGAGTCTTGTCATACTGTTCCCGGAGATCCCGAACTTCTTCTTCATGATCGTGCTGTTCTTTTTCTAATTGTCTTTGAAGGTCTTCAATCTATATACACACACACATACACACACATATATATATACTTAATATTATACAATTTACATAGCAGGATCTTAAGTTTGAATTTACTTGGACCAAAAGTCGGTTTTCTGTGTCTTCCAGGCGTCGCTCTAGGAGAGTTTCTTTCATTTTGACTTCTCGTATTAACTATTATTATTTTTAAAATAGTAGAAATAATGATATATATATATCGGAACCATTCCATTTAATTCAAGGTACGTTTTGTTGAGTAACCCAAGATAGACCTTACACTAGCTGTATTTTTTTCGTAAATAATTTGGTCCTGTTCGACCTTTCTTTCCAGAACTTCCATGCGTTCGCGATATTCTCGACATTCAATAAGAACCTTTTTGTTTTTGTTTTTGGTGTAAAATATATTGAACAAAAATAAATAAGTAACGTTTTAATGTAATATAAAATATAAAATAATATTCGGTCAACCTACTGTTGCTCGTTCGACCTCCCAGTCATGAACAGGCTCCGAAGGCCCAAGAGTCATACTCCTTTTATTATTGTTTGTCACTTGTAGCATATGAATAATAGACGTTGGGAAAAGAGAGAAAAGAAAAAGAAGAATTAAAAAAGTAACCTGCGTCTTATTTTATGAATAGCCAAAGTGTCGTACCAAGTGTGACGTTGCACTGACACTTGTATTTTTTTTTATTGTTAAGGATGTACAGGATATGATGCCAATATACATCAGGGTTGGGTAGCTAGCCCCATATTAACTCTAACAAATAATTAAAAAAAATATACCTCCATACAAGACTTAGAAACAAAGTGAAAAAAGGAAACACTGTATGAGTGGGATTTTTTAAAATATGAGATAAAATTGCAGGAAACTTGTTGAATTATATTTATATATGAGTTTTGAAGGAAGATGCGCTATAGTAAGAGAGAGAGAGAGAGAGAGAGAGAGAGAGAGAGAGAGAAATGATGCATTGAAGACGACCAACAAATACAATAAAAATAATTCATCTTTTTAACCCTTTCTTTTTTCGGGGGTTTAAGGGTTGTTTTAAGGTTGATTTTTTTTAATTAAGCACTACTTTTCTATCTTCTTCTTCTTGTTTATATGTTTCAATTGTATTATTATTTCTTTCAAATTTGTTTACTATCGTTAGGCAGGTTTGTGCAAATTAATTCTTTTTCTTTACTTTGCTTTCACTTAACCAAATATAGACACAGAGAATTTTTATCACAGGTGCTCAGGGAGTAGATTGCTCGAACGACACAAATACCTCAAACGACCAATTTTGGAAATGGTACGGATTTTACGAATATAGACAACAAGATACTCTAATGAGCCGGTGTCTTAGTAAAGCCTATACTCAGGAGAATTAAACTTTAAAGAACATACTAAATGAAATATACTTTATTTTGGTTGTATTATATAACTTTCAACGCAGATTTTAGTAAACTAAAGCCCTATAGATATCATATTTTGACTAAAAAAAAAGATATACCAGCTTACAAAAGAAATAGCAATAAAATACAAAAAAAATACGCTTCTCACACATAGTGCTGATGACAAGCGAAATCAAATGCCCTATATGATCATCAAAGATACTTTGCCTTTGATAAAATTACAGGCATATTTGTTGTGGACTTTAAGAAGCATGTGCCTTATTCAGGCTCGAAACCCTTTAAAATAAATCAATCGAGATGTTTGTGTAGTTCAAGCAATGGCTTTTGTGAGCACCTCTGATAAATTAAATAGTGTTGATGTTGACTTATAACTTGCATATTTTTTTATTTTACTTTGAATGTTTCCCGTTATTTTATGTTATTAATTTCTTTTTCAATTATATTACTATTAGTATTTTAATCTTGTTCACTGAACGGAACAGATATATAACTTAATGTAGAAACATAAATTATGCTGGTAAAGGAATTACCAAGCAAAGCATTGACCATTTTCTGCAGAAAGCTCGCTCTACCACCCAAGTTATCATTCGAAGGAGTTTTTCGCGCATAACCTACTATTTTGTAGCTATTGCGCTTCAAATATCTAAGCGACTTTTGACAATTGATAAATAGTTGCGAATTGCATCTAGTAGATAATATACAAAGAGAAATATTAGCCATATATATTAACCATATTGATTTTTAACCTTAGAAAAGTATATATCATTCATGACATAAAGTTCTCTTTCTCAAGTTTTTTTTTCTATTTTCTTTTGCGTTTAAGAATGCCAGCCTATTGTTTGAGCATCATATTGCCAACGACTGTGCTGTTCGTTCGTCAAAAACCGATGTATGTTTAGTGACCATATCGAATATGCTTTTTTTGAAGATAGTAGTATTTTATAGTAAACCTCAATAATATCTGGGTCTTTATCACAGTACACATTGTTTATAAATTGAGCTACTTGTATTCCAGTTTCTAAAGGTAAAAGTTATCTTCATAATTTAATTTTTTTTATTCATTTTAACTTACAGAATTCGTATCTTTTTCTTTTGCTTTTTTCTATCTATCTTGATATTTGGTTAAGCAGTACTCATAGGACTTCAAGTATTTACAATTGAGTGAAATATAGACTCCACAACTAAACTCTAGTTCCTTCTTGCTATTGAACCTGTCAAGCTAACAATATTTGGAACCATTACCCGCCAGGCACACGTACACCACACACTTATACAGTGTAAAACAGTGTAAGTAGGAGTATGTCATTTGTTAGACTAGTTGAAAGCAAGTTGACTAGAGGTGTAATCACTTTCTGTTTAAAAAGAATTATTAATAAAGTTCAATTATTGTTGTATATTTACTATACTCATCAGAGAGGATATCATAGAAAATCCAAGACTAGTGAAATTATATATAAAAGAAACTTTATACCTAACATTGGAATATATTCCTATGGCCCGACTACATTAAGATTGAAAGCTATCAGCGTACAAGAAGTAGCTACAGTATTTTGACCCTTGACTGCTGATATTTTCTGTAATTGTAAGATATAGTTCACATAGTCCAAGTATAAAAGAAACAAAGGTGATTTTGTTTGTGGAGTTTTTTTTTAATAGAAAAATAATTACACTTGATAAGCCCTCTTGGTTAATTATTTATGCTTGTTGTCTTGCTATTCTAATCAACCCAGTCATATTGTAGCATTTTCTCGCCGGACACCTCCTAGGTTCATATGGCCGTTCCATTTCCCAATATGTAGCAGTAATACATACATATATATATATACTTTCAATCAGTGTAAACGCCATACAAAGAAAATCAGCCAAGCTCTTGAAGATTGGTTGTTTGTCACACGAACTTAATATCAGTTACTTTATCACAACAGAAATTGTAATCATCTGCGCTTAGATTTACTTTCATGTAGAGAGCCACATTGCTGTAAACCCATCACGTCTTTATTTAAAGAAAAGGTTAGGAAAGGCTAGTTTATTTTACATAAGTCTAGAGTATTATGTATACTATGTGCATATATACTTTCGCCTACCTTTCTATCTTATGACTTTCGAAATCGAATACTGTATAAACGTAGCCTTTTTAAAGAATCGAGAGTTATAAGCGTTGACCATATCCACAAAAAAAACAATAGCCAAAAAGAAAAAGAAAAAGATTGTTGTAGATGGTATTATAGTCTATACATTTATTATTATTACAATTATTTTTGTTGCTGTTGTTGCTATGCGGATGAATGTTATGCACCTTTAATATTAAACCTTCCAGTTGTTGACCATATGTAAAAGGTCTTGGATCTGGAGTCGTTTCTTTACTCTCAATCGTATTGTTCCATAGGTTCGCCTTCTTCACCTTCTTCTGCTTCCTCTTCCTCAACTTCGTCATCATCTCGTGGCAGCGTAGTTATGATAATATTGAGCATATTTTCCAGATCGTCTTCAGAGAATCGCTCTTCGCACTCTTCAATGATCTAGAATATCCAACACCAACAAAAAAAGGACTTTTCCGTTTGCAAACTTGATCGATATATACATACATACATATATATTTTTTAAAAAAAATTACCAAGTAAATCTCAACTGCGCTCTTGGGTCTCAAATTAAGAATCTGAAGCCTTTCTGCCCGAGTAAGTTTAAAAGGTTTAAGAGCATCCAAAAAATCCTTTAGTTGAGCAGGTGTTTGAGTACTGCAGGGAGAGGTCTTCAAATATTCGGTCACCTAATTTGATATTAATAATTAATACCAGAAAGAAAAAGAATTTTTAGCATGCGTGTTGTCTGTGTATATGTGCGTGCATATATTTTGTACATGTCTACATGTCTGCAAGTGTGCATATTCTTACTTCAAATTGAATGGTGCGTAAATTTTCAGGATATTCAATCGAGGCATCATTCCGTTGGAGTTCTATTTGTATATTCTGGCGTTCATCTAATAGTGCCATGACTTCATAATTGCTCAGCAGAGCAGCACACGCATTCGTGATCTTCATTGATGACACTCAAGACATTGACAGTTTATTTTTCTTGTTCTTGTTCTTGCATTTGGTCAGCCGAAAACAAGTCACAATAACACTGTACTGATACGTAATCACATGAGTTTTTTTTCTCTTTATAATAATAATAAACCCCCCTTTCCTCTCAATAGCTTATAAGATAGGTTATATATTTATATGCAAAGGTGGTAAGAATATGCTGTGATAAAGATTAGTGGGTTAAATTGTAAGCTTATAAATGGAATTAAAGTATCAAAAAAAAGGATAAAAAGCAAATTGGGAGGTAATTTGAAACGCTAATCTTAGGGGACCGATATTTTCTGATGGGAGCCAACGTTTCGATCTTACCAAACCACCTAAATATGAATATATTGTACCTTTTTTTTATAATAGACAAAACTTATATATAGAAATTAATAAACTCCCATAAGGCTTTGTAGGATCTTAACTGTATTTTTTTTTCTATTTTGTTAATTATTGAATACTTTTTTTTTCTTCTATTGAAAAAACCTTCTACGATTAGACCTTTTACTTTTCTACAATTTTTTTTTAAAAGTGCAACCAAGAAAAGGCACTTTTGTTCCAGCCAATAATAGTCATTTCTGAGTTTTATACCTCATTGTATAAAATGTGTGGAGTTACACGGACAACTTTATTGTACTTTTTATGGAACCGGGTTTACAATCCAATATATGTCCTCTTCAAAAATTGTCTTCATAAAAGAAAGGTACACTCACACTGCTCAAAGTCCAATAATTATACCTGTTTTCTAATGATACATATGTAATATAATGGAGCTACTTTAATACAGGTCAAGATAATGTCTTTAGTTAAGTAGAGATAAAAGCACTATATTGAGTACACCATTTTATACTTACAGTTTCACACTACTAGTGTACGTCCTGTAATATATATATATATATTCATATATATGTGTGTGCAATAAAATAGCTACATATCATACTACTGTAAAAAGGTATACCCTTACAAGAAACGTCCTCCCTGATACTGAAAACATCGTACATTACTAATAAGTTGCGTGTCCGTAAGATCGCTAGATGGCTACACTATTTTAGCAACATTGATTTTTTGGGGATAAACAATTTATTATCGGATATTTAACAAAGCCTTATTTAAGTGGTGAATATAGTGATATTACCTCTTTTATACACTTCTTTACAAATACCGTCATTCTGAAAGCTATCGATATCTCGCTCAATATTCAGTTCTCACTTATAAGAAAAGTACCAATCGAGCTGAATTATATTTCTACACAGCTTTACTTAGTAGCTTAGAAAGAGAAAAAATCTCTCTTTTTTCAAATGTTCACCAGAGCAAAAGTGGGTATCGAAAATGGACATTTGGTGTAAATAGCCCGAGTTTCAGTGCTTAATGGTTTTTAAGAGTGAAAATATTATCTTATTTCGTCAATATCTAGTCAATCCAAATCAAAAAGCATTATAAATGTGGATCGCAATATGTCTTAGCAGATTACTTAAAGATAGAAAGAGTATTGACTTTACGAATCTTGATCGATAATCCATTTTATATATATATTCTTGCTATTTGGATCAAAATAGTCATTTTTGGTAAGCAAACCTTGATCCCAATGATGAATTCAGTACTCTTCAAAACATACTTGTCTGTCAAAAGAAAATAAACATGACTACATATATAGTAGATGGGATATTAAAAAACATTACGATATTTTTATGGAGAGTAAACTCATTGAATTAATAATACCCATTACTTGCTTTACATAGCCAGAGACTTTTATAATAAGGAAACTTCAAAATTCCGCCACCTACCCCATCATGATAATTTAGATGATACCAGGGAACATCAAGTTCCTTTGTGATGGTTAGTTTATAACGAGCAAGCCATACCGGGCTTTTGGGGCTTCTATCAGTGTTTTCCTTTTCCAGCTATTCTGTTTGCGATCTTTATGCAAGTACCAAAAAAAAGATCCCCAAAGCTATATATAACAGTAGCATATTTTGGATCCATGGTTATTTTTACTTTATATATATATTATAAACACTATGTTAATTGATTACAAATACCCATGGTATTGGAAAACAATTGTCTCCAGCAATCCCAGTTATATTTGCCTATATTTTTATACTTACATCTTCTTCAATGACGAGGACTACTTGGGTTGATCCTGGAGTAAATATATATGTATATATTAAGCTACAACAAGAAGCTTGTAAAAGCAAAAGCAAAAAAAAAACATTGATAAATTATTGATAAATCTGAACTTATATTCTATAATGCTATTGTATATTATCCCTCGAAATCTTGACAAGATGCCACTAATTGCCAGCTCAATTAATGAAAATTCTGGTATTCCTCCCGATCCTTTACAGTGTATGACACCACCAATTAAAATCGTAATGATAAAAGGTAAGCAAGTAGAACTCAACTATTGCCAGACCTGCTTAATCTATAGGCCTCCACGTTCAAGCCATTGCCGAGACTGTGAAAATTGTGTTGGGAAGTGCATTTTGTAAATATTAAATCATTATTTTTTTGTTGTTGTTGCTTCTCCTTTCTTAATATGATGCTTATACATACATATATGTTTGTATGTGTTTGTGGAGATGCTTAAAATAGTATTATTATTATTTTAGAGCTTTACGATCATCATTGTATCTGGCTCAACAACTGTATCGGAAAAAGAAACTATCGCACATTTTTGTATTCATTGTAACAGGAGCATTTCTTTCTCTCTCTGTCTTTGCATTTTCACTTGCGCACCTTATGCTTCTGTACTTTAATGACCCTGAACAACCGGAATTTAAGATACTTGCCAAATATGCTCCTGTCAGTTTGCTGCTTACTATTTTCTCATTTTTGCTTATATTCCCTATTGGCTATCTTACCGAATTTCATTATTATATTATTTGTGCAGGAGTAACCACCCACGAAAAGGTAAAGTGTATAAAGATAAGGTATTTATTTATTTAAAAGGAACAGTGCTCAAGACAAACGGGTACTAAACAATATTATTGTATTATTATTATTTGAAATCTAGTTGAAACTTAATTCATGCTGTTTGTCACCCAAGGTCAAAGAGGTATATATATACATGTATACATAATCAATGATTCTTTTTTTAATATGTACAATGTATATATATATAGTTACATGGCAGACAAAAGTTCGTTACACACCCACTTCCTCTCCAAACTATAAGCATGACAACTTATTTAGCTGACAATAGATACAGTACCATTAGCCCAACACTTTAATGTCCTAGACTTTCTTGAACACATAATTTTTTTTCTTGTTCTTCTTTCATTTCACTTCATTTTATTATATCTCATCTCATTGTAATTGTTTTTTTCTTGTTGTTTTTTGTTCTTTATTTAACTCATTATTTCTATCCATTCATTTATTCATTTCTTAGATATCAAAACATCAAAACATCGTTTAAATGGTTCATTTTACTTTATTTTGTTTGTAAATATCGAAAATAATATATACATATACATACACATACATCATTTAAGTCATAAGACTGAAAGAGCGTGCGTAATTAAAGTCGAATTGGGATAAGGTTTTCGTTTTCACGGACTGGAAATAACCATCGATAACATCATTTTGTTTAAAGAAAAAGAATAAACTTGGCGCAAGAAATTTTCAAGGCTTGTGAGGTCAAATGATCTATAAATATTGAGCTATTTTTGTTTAAAGTATCCAATTGAACAAGAAAAATATCTGGAAAACTATCGTTTATCCACCCCTTTTTTAATAAAAAGTAAAAGTAAAAATATTGGGATTATAAATTAAACCTAGAGCTCTAAATCATAGATAGTACAAAACAAAGTCAAAATGATTGTTATTTTTTTCAAAAAAAAAAAAAAGAAAGAACACAGACACACCAAACTGCAACACTGCGTGAAATCCAATGATTTAATTTTCATTTGTCGACCGTTTTTTTTTTACTACTTTTGCTACTTTATTTGTAGCATATAGAAACTAGGCAGTTTAGTACGATTTTTTATGAAGTAAGCTTCTAATTCCGAAGTGAAAATTTTGATTTCTTGATTATACGACATTAGGAGAATAAAAATATTTAAACAACACCACATTTTTTTTGTGGACAAAAACTGCTAGCCTCACAAAAATGCCACACTACCAGGTGTTTTTAAATTACTAAAAACATCTTAGACCGTTTGAGTTCCAAAAATGCCCTGCAGTCTGCCAGAAATACTTGACAGTCGAAAAAAAAACTTGACATTTGAAATTCAAATTAATTTTTTTATTTTTATTTTTGCTTTTTTACAAGTTTTCAATTAGTCTTTGATTTTTTATTATTATTCGATAACAAGTAATTGACCCTCTTATTCCAATTATAGTTTTACTTGAATATTACACTGCGTTGCAATTGAGGTATTCGGGATTGATTTTGGGCTAGTATCTCAATATTAGAAAAAATAGATACTGTGAGAGTGTTATTTATTTAAGAAAATTAAAATAATATTCGAGGTACCTGGAACTTATTTTGGACTAGTATCTTAATATTAGAAAAAGTTGATACTTTGAGAGTGTTATTTATTAAAGAGACAAAATAATATGTTTATATATATCAATCGATAAAGACTTTCTTTTTCTTACTATTCAATTTGCCTATCTTAACATTTGTACCTCCGCTGTGCCACGTCTGGAACTCAAAATCCACCCGGGCACACATAAATTCTCCGGACACACATAAATTCTCCGGACACACATAAATCTACCCACACACACATAAATCCGCCCCGACACACACACACAAATCTTTTTTGTGATAAATTCATAGACCTATATAAAGAATAAATTAATAAATAATTAGCATACTTTTTGAAAACAGAGCTCCCCGCCTCCCCTCAAGTTTTATTTAACTATTCACTATGAAAAGTATAGCTACCATAAATTATAATCAATGTGTAAAAATAAGTTGAGCAGTTTATTGAATGGATAGTAGACTTTAAGTGATGTGGTTGTAAAATTATAAGATTTGGAGAGAATTTAAAGGTAGAGTCTAAATCACGTACTTATATTTCAACTTTTTAAATATATAGATACTTGTATACGTATGGCTTAAAATTGCTTTGAGACATTTTTGGATTTATTCCCAAGCAGCTGTTGCGTCCCTTCCATGTCTACTTGTACAAACAAGAGAAAAATACTTTCTTATACATTGAACAAAAAACGCACAGACCACTCTAGAGTAACCTCCAAACCGCCGTTATAGAAACTTGTACTCCACCTTTAAAGTTATTGCTATACCGATCAAGACCAAATCCTTTATTACTTCATTACTTCTTTACTTTACTTTGCAAAGTCGTCTTTATAAGTACTTTGATTAAATATTATTAGCTGTTCTTTCTGCCGTAGAAAAGTTACACAAAGCAAGTAAAAAATATATACAGCTATATCACGTTTCCTCTGACATGGACATCTAAGACTGACAAAAAGCGCAGTCCTAAACTTTAATCGCAGATGAAAAAATTTTCTGTTACTTATAGACCCCCTCCAACGCGTGTCGTTTGTTTTCTCCTTGAGCAACAACAGTCCCGGTTTCATAGTGAGGCGTCTCTTGCGACCGTTGCAGGGAGATTCTTCCATGCTACAAGCATCGGAAAGTGAAAGTTGTTACTCGCCAGCTCAGTTAATTCTGAGAAGTCGTGGGGCATGGTCTCTTTTCATTTTTGGAAGGACTACTGTGTACATCGCATCGCCAATGTGGAATCATGATGCTGGGGGGAGGGAGGTCTAACCTGTGGTGAGATGTGCTGGCTCTTCACTGCTAACCTGACTGAACTCTTTAACGGCTGACGGTGAAGCTACTGGTAGTCGAATGAGCTGGACCTTATCACCTAGTGGTAAGTTCTCTGGCAAGTTCGCACCCACATTACTCGGTGACGAGATGTGGGGCTGGATGAACGGGTGCTTTCCGTTGGTTTGCCACCATTCCAGCACCTCCTTCGCTACCAAGTCAGGTTTACGACCTGAAGGAGATTGAGCCGCGTAATGCGGGGACAAAGAACTTGGTGTCATGCTTTTTATTCTTTTACTCATGTAAAAGAACATTAAGTGAAATTCAATCAAATAGAATAGTTTCTTTATGTATATATATATATGTATATCTTTAAATAAATAAATAAAGTTTTTTTTAACTAGTATCGTCTCCAATAAAAAAAACACGCTTTTAAACTTTTTTTTTTTACTTGATTGAAGATGTCAATGTTGTAATTAGGAGGACTCATTTATAAGAAAGAATTAATTTTGTCAAACAAATCTGAAAAGAAATAAAATACTATTTGTATATTTTAAAGTGGTGTCAATAACCGTGTCTAACTTTAGAGGCTGTTATTGTCTATAGAGTATATAAGGATAAAGTCAGAATAATCTTTGAGAATGCCAATGCCGTGAATTGTGTATTATTGAATTTGACTAATCCGATGAAAGCTGTGAATGGCACGCATTGTATCGAGAGAAAAGGAAAAAAATAAATAAATAAAGAGGAATGAGATGAGAAGTAATAAATAGATATGTGTTTGCAAGAGACAGAAAAGACACAATGTAGATTGAATACACAAGTAAGGTTCTCATTGTATTTACACAAACTGTGTGCAAAGAAAGTTCAATTTGGTTGAATTTATGAAACAATAATCCTTATATATAAGCTTTTTTTCTTACTTTGAGTATCTGAATGCCTGGCACCCTCCATTAGTTATTGCATACACATATGCGCAATTATATTCACTATTCAAAAGATGATTTGAATTTGAATAAGAATATTGAGCAATTATTGATATGTTACATAATACATTCTTCAATATTCTGTATAAAGATAATTCCTCAAAAAATGTCCAGGTAGCTTTTTATATTCTAGCCCTTGAAGATGAGCTGTCAGATAGTAGGGTATATTAAGTAACAAAGTATAAATATTATAAAGGGATACATTTTCATATTGAATTTCATGTACTGAAGTGGCATTTTGGTATATGTTGCTTATTACAGCCAATTCATTGATATAGTGTGTCTGTATGTTGGTTTTTTGTTTTGCTTTGTTTAGGTGCAAGGGCTCAAAAAGATACTATACTATCGGTTTCACTGATATATTAAGGAGGAAGTTTTTTTCAATTTTATTTTTATTTTAACATATTCTCAAAGAAAACACTGCACCCTATCATAATTCAAAGCTGGCAAAAAGACTAAAGCTAAAAATAATAGTAATAGTAGTAACTCAAAACATTCAATTAATGATGTGGGTACCGAATAACCCTGATCATAATTCCATTAAAAGTCAATGCGTTCTATTTGGGCTGTGTTAAAGTAAATAAAGCACCCAGTTTCAAAGAAGCAAAAGAAGGAAATCAAACAGACAAAGCCTTGGTGAATTACATATTGTTCTCTATTTAAAAGTGTTCAAAAGGCCTTGCTATTTGGAGCCAGCTAATACTCTTAATAATGAGAGAGAGAAGACGGTATATCCATAATATTCAATGTGATCATTTTGTTCCCATAACAAGCTTGTAAAACAAGGAAACAAATACAGGCACAATTACTTTATATGTCTCATGAATTTGTGCACAACGCATGTCAAATACAGTCCTGTGATTGGACAAACTCAAATTCTTGTCCCCATTAAAAATGTTAAAAAAGAAAAAAAAGATGGATTAGTTATGTACAAAACATTTACTCTTTCTATATCTATAGCTACAGCTATTTTGTACTTGTATTTGCATATATGTAAAAGATGTTAATATATATATAAAGAAATACAAAATGACATGACATAGTATGATATGAAATAACATGGGGACCATTAGGGTAACCATTATAATTATATATAAAATAAAATAAGAAAGATGCTCAAACCAATCGAGATATAGAGAGATTAGAAGAAGTTCAATATATTTGAATAAGTAGAAATCGCAGTAGTGATTTCTAGGGTTAATAATCAACTTCTGCTTCTTCTCTCTTTCTAATAAACTTGTGTATTTTTAACACTGAGACTTAAAACGAAATAAAAAGAAAACACATGTGTCAAAAAGCCAAGATTACGTTCACCGTATTCCCGATGGCCGGCATAAAATAAAATAGAAACTCAAGGAAGCTCTTGTCCTACAATAACAAGCAAGAATAAAAATAAAAATAAAAATATATACAACCAACTAAGTCGATCCCATATTTTTTTTTCTAACCAGACACCCGTTGTATACTTATCCATGGCGTACAATTCAAAGAAGTTTTTTCTTGATGAGTTTAGATTTATTTATTTAATTTATTAATTAATTCACCCGTTCATCAATTAATTCATTAATAAAAAAAATGATTGGTTTAATAAAGGTTTAAAAGAATCCTTACCTCAAAGAGAGTGAGAAACTCGAAGAAAATACAAAAAGAAAAAAGCTTTAAAACCAAAAGTACATAGGATAGGTAATTACTTTTCTTTTTTTTTTTTTCTTTTTTTTTTGCTTTTGAAACATTTGAATTGAAATGCTTCCCGTTATTATAATATATTACTATTATTGCTGTTTTGAATCTTAACCTTTTCTTCAGTTAATTAAGCGTTGATAACACCACTTTATCTTAATCTTAATCTTTATCTTTCTATCTATTTATCTTTCAATTTTTTTTTATATGTTTCTAGTGCAAGTAGAGTGGTCTTATTATCCGAGAACTCGGACTTGAATTAGTGTCTCCAAATTAGGAAATATTGGCAAAGAAAAGGAAGAATTGGGCAAAAATGGAGGAAATAACCAACCAGAAAATAGAAGAAGAATATGGCAAGAAAATAGAGAGTCTGGCACTGTTCGTGAGCTCGTGTGCGTGTGTTTATGTTTATGTTTAGAGTGTGCGGGTGTGTACCCGTTTCAGATAGAATAAAATGTTTCTTTTTAACACACATAAAAGAAACTCCTATGAATCGCTGATAATACTTTTAGTGTAGAATTCTCTAGATCATTACTGATTTAAGCTCTAGAAGAGGTGTATTTGTTATCGCTTATATATGAAAGAGGAGTAATTCTTCTAGAGCCTTGTGCCAATAGTATTCTTTTTTCTTACCTTTTTATTGTCGAGTATTGAATCCCCTCTATTCAATTATTTTCTCTCTTTCTCTCTCTCTTTCAATTGCTTTGTCTCTGTCTCTCTCTTCTTTTTTTTGTGTGTGTGGCTAAATAATCCATTTTCGTTCTCACGGAACAACTCTGTCTGACGTCACGCGTGATCTATTTAAAACCAGAATAGCTTGGGGTTCTGAATTAGGCGGTTATTGCTGGAAAAAGGATTTCTGAAGCCAATTGATTGTCAGGACAAGTCAGGTTGTGCCTCTTTGTGTCTATAACATATACATACAAATTCTAGTAATATTTTGGTATAACTTGTGAGCTCGTGAGTCACGGTGTAGATATACTGATGGAATTGTGAATTATACATTGAGAACTACAAGAATATAATATAAGAATATCTACGTTGAAAAGTATATGCATAGAACAGCTCATGTGCGCGTAATACCAATAGGCATTTAAACGTATAAATTTCACTTTCATTTATTAAATAGGCGGGGATTTAGTTTCGATGTAAATCCAAGTAAAACTCTTGGGCCCTATTTTAATTAAGGTTTTTTTTTTTTGGATTTTTGGTATAAAATCACAGAAAATCATTCGCTTGTGTTCCCACTTCTACTCTCTTCTTCTTCACTTACATATACACACAAAACACTTATCAAAAAATAAATCAGATCAAATGTGCAAACCCTCTGCCCAAACCCCTGTTAGACAGGTTCTCCCCACTAATGTAAAGCCTGTTCACTATGATTTGTCTCTGAAGCCAAATCTCAAAACATTTGTATTCCATGGTCGTGTCAAAGTGGAGTAAGTTTTTCCAATAAGTTGAAGTAAAAAGAGAAGAATGGGCATGTTTTTCTTCTTCTTCTTTTATATTGGCCTAATTGCGTACTAAACACGTAATATGTAGCTTGGAAATCAAAGAAGACTCTACAACCATTGTTCTCAATACCCACGATATCAAGATCCATTCTGCAACACTTGCTTCATCCCACCTTAAGACAGAGTCCACGTAAGCTTACTAAACAAGTTTCCCAGCTCATCCAAACCTCAGGCTACAGTACCAATACTCATACGGATGTTATTGTTATTAGTCAGACTGCAACTGAAATTACTTATGATGAAAAGAGGGATCTTGCTACACTGACTTTCCAAGAGTCTGTCAAGGCCAACACAACAGCGGTCTTGGATATTGTGTTTGAGGGTGTATTGAATGACCAGATGGCCGGTTTCTATCGTTCGTCGTACAAGGACGACAATGGTGAAGTTCAGTACCTTGCAACAACCCAGTTTGAAGCTACTGATGCCAGACGCGCCTTCCCATGCTGGGATGAGGTAAATCAAACTTTTATTTTGTTTTTCACACAAAACTTTATCAGTCGTCTTTAAAGAGCCAAAACAATCAATTAATCAAAGGAAATGAATCACTAACATCAAACCAAACCAAATCAAATCAAATTATCTTTTGATACAATTACACACAAACGTATATTTGTATCGGTCTGTTAGCCTTCTCTCAAGGCCACATTTGATGTCACACTTATCGTCCCTGATCACTTGACCGCCCTATCCAACATGAACGTTCTGTCCGAAAAACCTTATCACGAAGTAGGCAAGGGAACCGAGGTTGGTAAGCTTGAGGGCAAGCATGAAGGCAAAGAAGTTGGCCCAATTACACTCAAGGAAGTCAAGTACGCCACCACTCCTTTGATGAGCACATACCTCTTGGCATTTGTGGTCGGTCCATTTGAGTATATCGAAGCTTTCACCTCTGGCGAACATAATGGCCAGCCCATCCGCTCCCGTGTCTACGCCTTACCTGGCTCGGTTGAACAGGGTCGCCATGCACTCAATGTCTGTGTTTTGGCTCTGGAGTACTTTGCAAAGGTGTTTGGTGAAGCCTATCCTCTTCCCAAGGTCGACATGGTTGCTATTCCTGATTTTGAGGCCGGCGCCATGGAGAACTGGGGTCTCATCACTTACCGTACCGTTGCTCTTTTGTATGACGAAAAGTCGTCGTCTATTGTCTTTAAGAAAAGCACTGCCTACACTGTCTGTCACGAACTCGCTCATCAGTGGTTCGGTAACTTGGTAAGTGCCTCTTGATGAAATATATATATATATGTGTGTGTGTGTGTTTTCGGTTCTTTGGGTTTTGTTGAAACTAAATATATCTTACTATATATGTAGGTTACAATGGAGTGGTGGGATCACTTGTGGTTGAATGAAGGTTTTGCTACTTGGGTCGGATGGTTGGCCGTTGACAACATCTTCCCTGACTGGGATGTGTGGACCTCATTTGTCAATGAAGATATGCCCAGAGCTTTGAATCTCGATGCTCTGCGATCCTCCCACCCAATCGAAGTTGCCGTCAACGATCCCGCAGAGATTCACCAGATCTTCGATGCCATTTCTTACTACAAGGGTGCCAGTGTCATTCGTATGTTGAGCTCATGGCTTGGTGTCGAGACATTCTTGGCTGGTGTTAGACGTTACCTCCACCGTCACAAGTTGAGCAATGCATCCACAAATGATCTCTGGACTGCCCTCAGTGAAGAAGCTGGTGTGGATGTGTCTAACTTTATGACCTTGTGGACCAAGCGCGTTGGCGTAAGTAACCATTATCAATACAAATGTAGACGTCAATTTAGACGTATATATAGATGCAGATACATAAGTACATGCATATATCCATGCATGCTTGCATGCATGCATGTACATGTATGCGTGTTTATACATATATAGCCGTTTCCTTCTTCAATCTATTAATCCGTTCATAAATTTTCTTTTCATTTAACTAACTAACCTTCCTATTTATATTTTAGTATCCTGTACTGAAGGTTCACCAGGACGATCCTTCGTCTTTCCAGGTCACCCAAACTCGTTACTTGTCTACTGGTGATCTCAAGGAAGAAGAAGACGAAACTGTCTGGTGGGCACCTTTGGGAGTCCTTACCCCCGAAAAGATCGAAAGCTGGACCTTGACCGAGAAGACCCAGAACTTTGACTTGACCTCCGAGACCTTGTTCAAGCTCAATGCTAACCAGACCGCAGTTTACCGGGTTAACTACCCCATTGACATCATCCGCAAGTTTGCCGATGAAATCAAGAAAGAAAACAGCGGCCTTTTGCACAACACATCCGACCGTGTTGGTCTTTTGGCTGATTCCGGTAACCTGTGTGTCAGTGGTGAACAGACCACGGCTGCCTTCCTTGAATTGGCTGAAGCATTTGAGAACGAGACTGATTACTTGTAAGTATTTCTTTACATGTATACTTTTTTTTAAAAAAAACACACGCGCACGCACGCACTCCAGCATACGGATTATACTTACATATCATTTTTATTTGTTTACAAATTTATATAGTGTCTGGTCTCAGTTGAGCACTCACCTCGGAAACATTCTGTCTACATGGTACGGTCAGCCCCCTGCTATCCGAGACGCCATCAAGGGTCTGCGCCGCAGCCTGTTTGCCCCTGTTGCCCACCGCCTCGGCTGGGAATTTGCTGCTACTGACGACTACCTGACCAACATCCTGCGTGTGCTTGCTATTTCGAATGCTGGCCTATCCAAAGACGCTGCCACAATCGACGAGGCCAAGCGCCGATTCTGGCTGTGCGCTGGTGGCGATACCGAGGCTCTGCATCCCAACCTGCGTGGCCCGGTCTACAACATTGTCTTGCGTGCTGCCAAGGACGAAGAAGAAGAGATCCGCCTCTGGGACGAGATCCACAAGATCTACCATGACCAGACCATCCCAACCGACCAGCGCCTGATTGCCCTGAGTGCGCTTGGTGGAGCCAAGAGCCCGACTCTTATCGACCGCTACTTGCAGATGAGCCTGGACGAGAACGAAGTCCGTGGCCAGGACTCCATTTACGTCTTTAGATCACTCTCGACAAACCCCGAAGCCCGCGATCTGTTCTGGGACTTTTTCTCGCAGAATTACGACATGCTGCACGCAAAGTTTGCAAAGTCGCTTTCCTTGTTTGGCTCGGCTGTCCGCTCGTCCGTCAGTGGATTCACTTGCTTGGACAAGATTGCAGAAATCGAGGCCTTTTTTGCCGAAAAGGATACTCGTGAATATGCCCGTCCTCTTCAGCAGGCCATCGAAGGTGCCAAGGTGAATGGCAAGTGGGTCCAGCGTGATCATGAGTCGGTTGCCGCATGGGTCGAGAAGAACTCTGGTCGCTTTGCTTAAAAACATCAAGAAATAATAAGAACCAAATGAACCTCAAAGAAGGTTGAAAGAAACCAAACAGAGCAACAAGCAAGCAAGCAAACAAACAAACAAAAAATGAGAAAAAAAAATGTTGTAAAGTCAAAAAAGCAACCATTGTATATAGAATTGTAAAGAAAACAAAAACACACACACACAGGTACCCACATACAAGAATATAAAGAAGAAACATCTTACTGGTAGTGTAGTTGTTTTGGATAAAAGAAAAATAAACCTCTCATTATTATACAAAAATAAAGAAAGAAAGAAAGAAAGAAAGAATCGAGCTATATAGAGCTAATTTTGACATGAGTGAAAATGAAGAAGCATTGAGTAACGCATATGTTTAAGTTTCAAGATGAAATTATTATATATAAATATTTTTTTAATTAATTATAAATGAGATGCATTTGTGATTCTTTGTTTGGTCTTATTTATATATGTATATATTTGAGGGGGGTGTTTGTATCGAGTCGGAGGCTCTCTAATGTCTTCCTCATTAATTAGTAGTAGAGGTAGAAGTAGTGGCAGGAGTGGGTGTAGTAGCAGCAGCAGGAGTAGTATTGGTAGCAAAACGAATCAACATATCACGGACGTTTGTGTACACCTTGCTGACCAGAAGAGGAACCTTACTGCTGGCTGTTGGTGGCAGCAAGACACGATTGAGGTTGCTGGCCAGATCACTAAATGACATGCGAGTGTATGTCGAAAGGTGATACCGCGATCGAAGGAACTGAGCAAATAAGAAGATGGGCAGAAAGCGCAGGCTAAAGACACCCAACAACAGGCGACCCATTACACCCACTACCTCAACCTGAGCAACAAAGCGCATGGCCGGGCCGTAGTTGGTGTCTGTCCAGGTCTTGATCTGTTGTTGCGTCTTGGTCTGCCAGGGTTCAGCGCCAGTCTGGGATCCACTTGCATTACTACTGCTACCAGTCTGATGAGGCTGCTTATGCTGTTGCTGTTCAGCTAGCAAGACTGGTAAGAGAGTTGTGCGAAGATATCCAAGCACATGAAAGGCAGAGAATGTAACAAAAGGAATCAAGGTGACTAGTTTTTTTTTTTTTAAAAAAAAAAAAAGGTTTGTGTGTGTGTTAGTATGAAAAAAGACAGAGCAAACATTATGTAATAATTGTATAATTACCAGCCATTGGAGGTTGTGAAAGCCATAATAAAGACAGTACGAGGTAGTATGTGTTCTCGTCTGTCGATAATCTTCTTCCATAATCAGCCGTTAACTTTGGTGACTACAAAATAATATGTGTACACATCAAATGTATGTTAGATCAAATCAAATTGGATAACTGGATTGGATCAGTTTATTGTATTTCGAATAAGCATAATAAGCATAAACTCATAAATAAAAAGTATTTCAACTTACACCATAAGTTTTGTAAAGAACGACGGCATAGGACACAAGCGCACCTGCATAAGCAAGTGTATATGCAAAAATGCTCGATCGAAAGATAATAAGTGAAAGGACATAGAACACAGAGCCAAACAAGGTGAGGACGTGACCAATGAACCAAGCAAACTGTAGCGTCTATTTTTGTTGTTTGATAAATAAAATATTATTTAGAGCACAATTACAAAAAGCAATGAGACATTTATGACATTTAGTCTTTTTTTTTTTCTAGTAAAAAAAAAACACTCTCATTCTTCCCAATAAAGTGATTACTCTGTCTATTTATATATAGAAATAAAAAAGTACCTTGAATAGATCAGCTAGACTTGGTGTAGTTGTGGATGCCATTGTTAAATGAGGTTAATCAAATTTTGATCGAAAGGCAAGGACAAGAAACAGCCGAGATAAAACCGAAGAAATATTATTATATATATATATTACTGTATGTGTGTTCACAAAAAAGTAAAAGAAAAAAAAAAAGTATAGTATAGTACAGTATAGTTTGAATGGATTATAACGCGACGTCATCAAAGGGGTTTATGCAAGGTCAGTGGTGATGGTAAAGTTTAAACTGAACTCTCTCTCTCTCTCTCTTTCTCTCTTTATATATATACACCTCTTTAAATTCCACATATACATAATTTTGTATATATACAGATATATAGGTAGATTAATATGTTGATATGAACTCTGTTCTTTCTGATATAATATAATTTAATATAGACAGGATTGAATATTCACTTGTTCTTTGTGAGACAATATTTTTTGGATTTAGGAATAAATGGTTGCATATACAATAATGGTTATGTTTAAATGTCAAAGAATACGAAACGAAATGAAATGAAACAAAACAGAACAAAACGATTCAAATACAAACGATGGTGGTTTCTGTCAGCGATTCTTATTGTAGTATTTGTTTATTTGTTTGTTTTTCTTAAACACGACCATAGGCTTTGAACAAAATAAAACATCTTGGGTTTCAATTGGTCTCTGTTGAAATTGATTATTATTCTTATAGTCATACTGTTAATGATGATGACAATGATAATAATAATGACACTTGTGGTGGTGATAGTGATGATTGTAATTATGGGGTTTAAATACTGAAAGATTATATTTTGTATATCTTTTTATTATTATTTATGGTAATAAAGCGCGTTGATTTCTTTTTGGTTTATTCTTCTTTACATTTATATATGTATATGTATATGTATATGTATATGTATATGTATGTATGTGTTTGTAATTGATTATCAAATTTATAGCTTGTTCTATTTTGAAAAGTAACTGCTTGCAGGAGTAGGGTATTTTGTGTTAATATTGCTTAATATTGTACAGGGTACGGAGAATCTTGTGATCTTTTAAATATACCTACCTTGATAATCTAATGGGCGGATCCAATCTCTTTAATTCTTTCTCTCTTTCTTTATACCTCTCTTTCTGTGTACGAATGTTTTGCAAAATGTAGTACCCCCCCCCCAAAAGTGGCTGGAGTGTGAGACAAGAAAGAACGCAAAAAGGTTTAGTGAAACCATTGAGATGTCAAGAATTGAAAGGACACAAAAAGACAAATATACACACAGTTCATCACCAGCAATATCTATAAGTTATTATATATGTATTTGTAGCTAGATACAGACAGAGATATATAGGTATTCGAGTTGCAACGTTAAGGAGAAGATGATTATTTCCACCCGATAAACAGAACCATAGACATGTAGTGTGAAATACAATAAAAACTAAAAAGAAAGATGTCTTAAAAACACAGAGAAAAGCTGTATAAAAACACGACCAGCTAACCAAGACCTAAAGAAGTACGCCATAATCAAAGTAATTCTCACACACACACATATATATATGTAAGGGTGCCTTTTATTTTCAATTTCTCTTTCTTTAGTATGAAAAGAGAAAGAACCGATTTTCAATATTGTGATGTATTGATCGACGTTTATGCTGTTAATGAAGCATGAAGATCGAAAGCCTCCTACCTTTTTTTTCACCCTTCTTTTGTGTTTGTTTATAATCTATCTTACATAAGATTCTAGCAATTTATATAATGAGCCTTTCAAATATCAAACTAAATTATGAACACACGCATATACATACACATATACATATATTGTCAGGAACCAAAAACCAAATTGAATACTTTCTTTTCCTTTTAATTATCATTTGGTTAATTAGCTCTAGTATACATTTAGTGAATTTTATGGTAATAATATATACACATACTACTGGTGTGGCTAATACTAGTATTAATTATAAAGGGTTAATGATTGTGGCGAGTGTGTACACAAGAAAGGAAAAATGTATGTATGTATACATATAGTAACGATAATTTGTTTCAATTTGATCACTTTTCTTTTCTTTCTTCTCTTTACTTCTTCTTCTGCTTCTTCTGCTTCTGCTTCTTCTTGCCTATATTTAGCTTGGGATGCGTGTGGCGCAATAAGTAAATATAACACAGTTAATATTTGAGGGTTATTGTTGTTGTTTTTTTCTTTCTTTTTAGTTAGTTACCTGTATGCATATGTGCTTATCAAGAGGTACATACATGCATAGATACATACATATTTTGAAAAATAATGAAACAAAACATGAAAGTATCATTAGTCTGGACAATACAGAAAATCCGCATTTAATAATATAGTGTTTATTTTGTGATTCAATTACAAGTGTATTAAATAGTATCCTGTGTGTAAGATGTGCATTGCAAAAATGGCCAATAATTCTTTTAATACACATAATAAAATAGAGGAATGATAAGCAGTATACAAGTAAAAGAGAGAAAGAGGGATTTTTGTAAGATGTTAATATATATACATATATGACATCAACCTTTCTGTATTAGACATACATACCTACATAGATATTGTTTATTTATTTATTTATTTATGTACAGTACAAGTGTGAGAATAAGAATCAGTACAAATCAATAGTGACTTGACCACACATGTGCAACACTCACACATGCATATGTACATCTTTACCTACATACATACATAAAAAATATAACTTTAATAACCTTTTATGTCTCTAATGTCTAATTTGGATTTATATGTATTTCATTTCATTTAATTTAATTATTATTATTTATTATGTATTATGTACATATTAAGGGAATAATATATATATTTCCTCTTTTTTTGTATATATTCATATATGGAATTATGTAGATATATAAAATATCAAGCCAAAATAACAATTATAATTAATTAATTAAATAAATAATAGACATAAGCTGAACTTTTCCCCCCAACTCTTCCCTCTTTCTTCCCTCTTTCTCTTTACCTCTCTGCTTCTCTTCTTTCTCTACGTATCTTTTGTATATTTTACTTATAAAATATATATATATATATATATCTTATATTTGCCTTTATTTGATTTGACTTGATTTTATCTTATATCTTTTACATATTATATAATTTATATATAGATATAGATAAATAGATATATATTTCATTTAAAGTTTATATTTTTTATATTTTATGTTTTAGTGATTTATTTATTTATTTATTTATTTATTTATTTGTTTGTTTCTCTTTATTTTATTTATTTATTTTATTTTTTATTTATTTATTTTTTATATGCCCTATTGGCCACTCTTTATATAAAAGCCTAAAAAAACAACCAACCTCTCTCTACCTCCACTTCTACCTCCTTCTTTATAAGCAAATCTTCTCTCTCTCTTTCTCAACTTCTTCTTTAGCTTCTTATTTAACGTCTCCTAAGAAATAATAATAATAATAATACTACTAGAATGTCTCAACTTCTCTGGGATGCCCATCACGACCCTACAACCACTCACTTACCAATGAAGCAAGACCAACCAGACTGTTCATTGGCTGACCAAACATCAACACATACAAAAGAACAACAACAGCATCTTTCAGCAAATGGACAACAATTCACAATGGCAGATAAAGCTGTCCTTCAACTGTTGACCAAACTTGATGAGGTACGGTCAGCAGCCAATTTTCTTTTATTTCATTTCATTTCATTTCATTTCATTTCTTTGTTTCTTTATTCTTTATGTAGTTAATAAAATAAGAATAAGAATAATAGTAATAGTAGTAAAATTACACACATTCTTATAATGAATTGAATTAAATTGAATTGGATTGAATTGAATTAAACTGAACTGAACTGAACTGAACTGAACTGAATTGAATTGAATTGAATTGAATTGAATTGAATTGAAAAATGGAATCAAATGGAATCGAATTGAATTAAATCGAATCAAATGGAATCGAATTGAACACCCAAATCTTTGCCATTGCTTGTTCTGCTCCTTCTATTATATACATGTTTTATTTCTTCTTATTCTTTACATTAGGGTGCTCAAACTATTGCGAATCTGCGGGGTATCCTAACCCTCAAGACAGCAGAGTTGAATGAATTGATGGCACAACTTGAAATAACAAATCAAGTTGTTTACGATGTCGAATGCACAACGGCTCAGATTGAGACTATGCTAAAGGAGATGGGCATTGCTGACGATCTTAAACCACATTCACGTGAAACTATCTTGATGAATGCAGAAGCCAGTCTTGATTCAGCCATAAAATCAGCGAATAGTCTTTACGCTTCTTCTGCTTCTGCTTCTATCGCTGGCACTGGTGGTGCTAGTATTGATCAGGATGGAAACGTCAATAATTTTTATCGATTTTCAACCGGAAGACGACCGTCACTTGCCAGTAACCACAGTACACACAGTAGTAATAGTGGAATCGAGGCAGAAAAGAGAGAACGCACCAACGTAAGCCTTGTTTGTTAATATTATTTGATGTTACATGCATATACTGCACAAAAAAAACTTATATGTATCTTATATCGCTTATATAAAATTAGTATGCACCAAAATATGCTACCAAAATACGCTACAAGCCAGATACAAAACATATATTACGACAACTTAACGACCTCATATTTCAACTTGAATTGGATTCCGGCAAATTTTTTGAAGCTGTTGGCACCACAAGTAAGTACTCCTTTTATACTCACACCCACGCCTGCACATATACCTACTCCTACACCAACACCAACCCACCCAATATATATATATATATAAAGTTTACAGGAGATGGGCTATATTTCAACAACAACAACAAAATAATAATAATAATAATAATAATAATATATATATATATATACATATACATATACAATTCATCACTGTCCAATAAAATCAATCAAATAAAAGAAAGAAAGAAATAAAGAGAATAATATTGAAATATTTTGTGTGATTCATATTATTGCCTAATAAATTCAATATATTTATATTTATTGTTGTTTTGTAGCTGATGTTCAAGTGCTTCAAAAGGTTCTTATAGACTTGGGAATTGCCAAGACAATTGCCCTGTCTGCCAAGAGCCATCTCAAACGAAGGACAATCCTGTTACGTAGCGGACGGAGACGCAATACCGAACAAATTAGACTGGTGAGAGACGCACACATACATATATACATACATACATAATTATAGTTATAATCATTTAAATCAAGTAAAATGTATGTATATATATATTGATTAACAATATTTCTATAATTATATAATATATATAAATGGTTTGTTTAGCTCGGAGAAAAAATCAGAGAAAGCGAGGCTTTGTGGAAAGCACATGCAAAGGACACGCCTCTATTAGTAGATGGCAAGGATATCATTGCCATTCTAGACAGAGAAGATGACCTCCTGGCAAAAAACGTGAGTGATAGTCATAGTAGCAATAGTAGCACTAGTAGCAGTGAGAAGAAGTATTGGTTATTAGCTTTAAATATAAAGGTAGTAAAAGTCATGGTGAACTTTCATTTTCTGTCTATGTGTCTCAAGGTTTACAAAAAAAAAAAAACGACCAAAAATTCTAATGATTTTCTCCTTGTTCAAATTTATTTATTTTAATATCCACACACACACACACATAAATATATAAATATATATATATAAATCTCCTGACTTGTACAACAACCAACCAACCAACCAACAACAAAAAATGATAATAACTACACAGCTACCAGTACACCCAGATCGTGTACCATTTGATATTCAGGGCAAACAATCGCCTCCACCTACTTCTCCAAGTAATTCACGTACAATCAGAAACAGTCTGTCTCAAACAGAAATGGCACTGATGTCTCGTCCCGGACGTCCCGGACACAGTCGGACACCTTCCTTGCATGGTTCCACATCCACAACTGACACGAGTATGCTACCTGTGCCTGTATCAACTACCACAGTTGCGACTGCCGTGCCAATGAATGTGGCCCGTTCATCACCGCCTCCTCCTTTACCACCAGTTCCAGCTGTACTGAGTGTTACGATTATGTCTAACAACAATAATAACAATTCTATGCTCAAATCATCTACACCAACCACACCAACAGCTGCAACAACACCGACATCAACATCAACATCAACTATAGGATTCTCGAATGCTGTATCTCCAGCAATGTTCCCACTTCCAAAGAAAGTGCCAATTTCACATCGACACTCAGCCAATGCTCGGCCCGGACCTTTGGTTAAGGTGGCCACGAGCACACCTCGTGTTCGCACAAACTCCCTCACAATCAAGACCAAGGACTCCCAAAAGCAAGCACAATCTTCTACGAATACGTCTTCTACTCCAACAGCCAATTATAACAATAGTAACAATAGTAACAACAGCAACAATAATGCTTATGGCTTATCAGCAGCAGCAACAACAGGAGGAAATATGAACTCAGCAGGAAATTATTCGAATATCAAATCTTCAAAGCTTGCTATTGCCAGTAGACCAGGTTTAATGTCACAATACTCACAGCAATCACCACTGCAGTCGAGTATTGGCTCAGGATCAGGACCAGGATTAGGATCAGGATCAGGATCGACAATAACAGCAACAGCAGGAACAGGAACAGGAATAGGAATAGGAACAGGAACATTATCATTATCCTCATCAACAACAACAGGACCTGCTCCTATTGATAGTACTGCCTCTACAGCCCTGAAGAAGACAGGAAAGGCAGGACAACGAGGACCTGGTTCTACATTACGACTGAGAAGCATGCTTGCCAGACGAAATCAGCCTCAGGCCAAACTCAATGACAATGATGCCTAACAAGGAAAGACAATACAATACAACACAACACAATAAAAAATATAGATTGAGGAGAGAAATATGTAATCATATAATTTGTTTATGAATGTGGATATGATTGGTGTGCTTGGTATATAGATGTAATGAAGTGAGCGTGGGTGTTATTTTGTGTGTAATGAATTAGGCTGGCATTCAATTTTTTTTTTTTTTGGTATCTTTATTTTATTTCTTTCTTGGTTTCTTTTCTTTCTTCCTCTTATTATTATTTTTCATTTTTTTTGAATTTCTCCCCCATCCCACCCCTTTTACTTTCCTTTACTCCCCTCCTTTCCTTTCCTTACCTTACTTCACCTTACCTTACTTTCCCTTACCTTCCTCTCCTCTCCTTCCCTTCAATTTTCCTCCTTCTCCCCTTAACTCAGCAAGTCTCTGTCTATAGGCAAACCACTCATTTAACGCCTACAAACCCTTTCCACAACTCTTTCTATCTCATTCAGGATACCGCAACAGCAATTTAAATCCAAATCCAAATCCAAATCAACAGAACAGAAAGAAACACTTGAAATATATCTATTATATTTATTATTATCATATCAGCAATCTATATATATACAAATGTAAGAATTTACAGCACAGTACACTACAGAATAGCTGCACTACACTACACTACACTACACTACACTGCACTACACTATAATACACTTCAATTCAATTAAAATAAAATTAAAAAAATGAACAAATGAATAAACGAATGAGTGAATAAAGAAGTATATATATATATATTATATAAAATTTAATAAATAGAGATTGCAGATTAGAAATATTACAAATATAGAAAGAGGACCAAAAAAAAAAAGAAAAAGAATAAAAAAATAAACCAAAAAAATCATCACATAACTTGGGTCGTGTGGTTCTATATATTTCATTTTTACATTTCATAAAGAACCACCCGGCCCTATTTATTACCCTCTTATATATATTATTGTCATTATTTCATTCTCTTTTCTCTTTCTCTCTTTTCCTTCCTTCCTTCTTTCTATATTTCTTACTCACTCACTCAATCACTTACTAACCAATATCTATCTCTATCTCTATTCATCTTTGCGCACATATACATACCTCTTTACCTCTCTATCTCTCTCTTCCTGTGACAATAAACCAACAGTAACATTATCAATATTTTTAAAAAAATGCGAAAATCCTGTTCAGAAACTGCAACAACCACCAACAAAAGCACAACCCACTCCACACCAGTCTCTACCAAACGACGATCGATTGGCTCATTTCCAATCAAACAATCAAATGAACAGCAACAACAACAGCAGCAGCAGCAGCAGCAACAGCAACAGCAACAGCAACAACAATACAAGGTGAGAAAGAGAAAGAAACCCAAAAGAAAATCATATAATTAATTCACAGTCATTTACTGATTTCAAATGATAAACCACATCCCACCATCCTCTTCTGCCAATGTCTTTCTTCAATCACTAATAGAAACCACCGGTCATTTGGCGATCACCTGGTCATTGCGAAATACCAAATATTCTTGGAAATGCCTATCTCCAACCCTTTTGCGTAGAACCGCCAAAGAAGCCTGTCCAGACAGGACCGATGCGTGTAATAATGATAGCTAAATCTACATATAAAGAAATAAAAGAACAAAAAAAAAGTCACTCTCAAATATGTTCATTTATCTTTATTTTCTCACCTTGTAAATGCAATTATTAATTCTATCTATCTATCTATCTATCTATCTATATAGCCACCATGGTACCCTGCGTGCGCCACCCCACACTGGACACCTGCACCTCCTGCGCCTTTGACGATGCCTGACGAGTCTGCATTTGAAAAACGCCTTCAGAAAGCCATACCAAAGATCAACCTGGTAAATGCACCAAAGGCACGTTATTTTGGCTCAAAAGAAATCGGAACTGGGTAAGCATAAAGAATAATTTATGTACATATTAAAATGAATTAAAAGATAAATTCTTTTTTTTTGTTAATATATTATTCTTGATTATTGATTCTTATCCCCTTACTGTATTTTATCTTATATATATTTAACAACCCAAAAAAAAGTGTTAATGGGTCAGTCGTTCAAGTACTGGTGAAAAGCGCAAATAATGGTCTCAGACTTGCCTTGAAGAGATGTAAACTTGACCACGATCGCGAATACCGTGCTGCACTTGTTCGAGAATTAAAGATCATGGCCACCGGGCATAACAACTTAATCAAATTAAGAGAAGCTGCAGTCTTCAAAAGCGAAGTCTGGATGGCAATGGATTTAATGCGGTGTAGCGTGTTTGCTGTTCTGTGTGTCCGTGGTCTACCAGAAGAATATGCTGTGTATATCGTTCAAGAGGTAAAGAATATATAAAATATTATGAATGAATGAATCTATTACTTACTTGTGTATATTAATATTATACTATACTATACTATCCTGTATGTGTATGTGTATGTGTATGTACATGTACATGTACATGCGTGCGTGCGTGCGTGTCTGTGCTTGTGTTTATGCATATAACCTATCTGTCTATTTGTCTGTCTGTGTGTCTGTGTGTATGCGCGTGTGCTTTTGTTTTGTTTTGTAGACTTTAAATGCACTCATGTTCCTCCACGCCAAAGGATTTATACATCGTGATGTAAAGTGTGAGAATTTATTGATAGGACCCAACGGAGAGGTTAAACTAGGTAAGCTGATCTTTTTACAAGTGGAATGATGTGTATATCTATATCTATATCTGTCTGTATATGTGCAATTCTTTTTATATTCCTTTTTTGGAAACCTTTTTTTTAAAAAAAAAGTATTATAAATTTTATGCACACGTTCATTTATGTATATGTTATATGTATAAATGTACTTGTTCATTTCTCACTACTGATTGACTGACTGACCTGCTCAATTTTTTCTTAATTTTTTTGTATTATAGCTGACTTTGGTCTTGCCACGAGTAGTAAGCATGTGAATAGAGAAAGACTTGGAACAGCAAAGGTAAATTACTGAATAGGAAACAAAACACATCTATTTCAATTCACCTCAATCTAATCTAATCTGATATTATTATTATTAAAAGTGGATGGCACCTGAAGTGATTCGTGAACAGCCTTATGGTGAAAAGGTTGATCTGTGGTCATTAGGAATCACTCTGATAGAAATGATGGATCGCGTACCACCTCACTACGCTCTCAAGAAAGACGAGGCTGTATTTGAAAAGATTCTTGAAGAAGCCAGCCCAACATTTACCTACAGTTACCCAAGTGTATATTGCAATGGCCTTGTAGCATGGTTACTTGAAGAGAATCCTGATAATCGTCCATCTGCTAAAGATGCCGCAACCGTAAGTCAACAAAGCTTACCAGTAATTTAATTTAATGTAGTCTAGTTTAATTTGATCTAAATCTAATGCAATTCAATTCAATCTGATTTGATCCAAGTTAAATCTATCGTTTCAATTGGTTCAGTTGATTCAATTGATTGAATGAATTATTAATCAAACAAACTTGATAATCTATTTAATTAAATCGCTCTTTAATTAATTTATTCTGCTTTATTGTTCTTGTTATTTACAACGTTGTTTTAATATAGGAAATTGATGCTCACATCTCACAAGATCTGTTAAAGACAACAAATGCACAAGGTTTGGCCGCCTTTGTCACCAAAACGATGTAAAACAAACAAAAATGAACGAACGAAATGAAACAAAATGAAACGAAGTAAAGTAAAAGTAAAGTAAGATGCAATTGAAAAAGAAAGAAAACATTTTACACACGTATCAATTCTTACTTCTTTATCTTACTTTATTTTATTTTGTTTCATTTCTGTTTGATTTTGCTCTGTTTTATTCTCTTTATTTAAATGGCATCCAAACTCACTCCAGCTCTCCCTTTACAATACACTAAACTACACTAAACTACACTAAATTACACTAAATTACACTAAATTACACTACACACTTTACACAACACATTATTTTACTAGTTTTCTTTCTATTGCTTTTTTTTTTAGACCTTTTCCTTCTTTCTTTCTACTTCCTCTTCTTCTTTATATATATATAAGAAAAAGAAAAGAAAGGAAGTCTTGTTTCCTTTTATTTCCTATTTACCCCATATATCCCACCATCATATATATATATATAAACATTGTGTTTCAATTCTGTTTCAATTTATATATTTGCTATTCTTTACACAATAATAATATCAGTATCAGCATCAGTATCAGTAGCACCATCAATAGCAACATACATATTATTATTAACACTCTTAATGTTTTATTGATTTTTTGATTAATTATTTGATCGACAAAGTAATCAAGTTAATAACATTTTCATGTTTCTATGATACATCAACATTGGATTCTCTCCACTTCTGGTCGTAGTCATTTCAATCTCTCCGTATCTCTCACAAAAGTTGCGGTGTGTCAGGATTCTTACACTCTTTTGATTCCCTGCCCTGGATCCACGGCAGACCAAGAGATAGATTTCTCGCAACAATTCGAAATTGGTCGGAAAAAAGATGTCAAACCAGCCTGGCTGGACCAAGTAGGTCGAACAGGGAACGGTCGAGCCGCGGTATTTGGTCTGCACAGCTGGACCGTCAACACCTTCGATTGGGTCCGGAACAGACGCAAAATCGGACAAAACAAGACGGTGGTGAGGAAAGTATTGTTTCAAGATGTCAAGAAATAAAAACAGCTTTGTTGGGATATACTCGGGTGCAGTCATGTTGGGTGCAATCGGCAAAGATCCTAAGAACCTGTGCCATACCCGGCTAGACAGTACCGGGCTACGGTAGTGGGTTTGCTTGCGCATCCCAAGATACTGGGCAATAACAGGGTCGTTTCCGACCGGCTCGTACATTTCAGTATAATCCCCTTGGTCGTCAATGCTAACCAATGCTTGGAAAGGCTCCATAGTCTCCAGATCATACCGGATCAAATCATGAGCAAAGTTGTCCTAACACAACAAAAACAAAAACAAAATTTCATTATTTTGGAATATTTAACAAGCCAAATATACATACAATAACTTCCATTCCTAAAAAGAAACACTGTTCAGGAACATATGTATCCCAGTCAAAGATACTCTTGTTACTAATCTTTACACACGCGTGCTTGTCTTTCGCTTCTTGGATATCCTGTCTCTCGGACTGTATTTGGGCAAGCTTGGTGGATGTCTCGATAATATTGTACTGCGTGCGTTTGTAGACAGATGGTTCGTGCTCCTTTATGTAGTCTAGTATGTTCATCATCAGAGTGCCATTACCTGCGCCGATTTCGTAAATAATGAGGTCCTTATGAGGGTACAGATTAAGCTTGTACTCGGACACCATGTATTTTGCAATAGCATGACCATACCACGGCTATATATATATATATATAGAATAATGATAGTCACGGTGATCATGGTGATCATGGTAATCGTAGTTGTAGAGTATATATATATATATATAAGTATAAATATAATTATTTTAAGCAATTTGAATTAAACTACAAGTAAATTATTCAATTCAAGTATTCAAGTATTCAAGTATTCAAGTATTCAAGTAATATATTACAAGCAAAGCCAAGAAAAGCACGGCAAAGCAACAGTGTAAAAATCTTAATATGCATTACCTTGAATAATTCAGTAGGAGAGTGCCACACCTGCCTGGATCTTATTCCATTCACCTCATCAGGTTCGTTTTCCATCCTTATGTACATCTTTCCAAGGATATTCATAAATTCTCGGTGATCGCGCATTGAAAGGAAATCAAAGTTCACTTCTGGAGAGAAAAGAGCAGCCTGTTTTGAGAAATATCCATAGTTTGGATGGTGCAATGAATTGTCAATGAAATCTCGGACAAGCATCTTTGTACGTGTGGGTTCATTTGGCAGACTAGAAGCATCGTTTGCTGTACTCCGAATAAACTTGGCATGTTCCTTGTCATTGTGCCGGCTAAAAAAAGGGGTAAAGAAGCCCGGGCGTTGTTGATGGTGTTCATGTTGATTTTGAGCAGAAGGATGTGTACGCGTAAAGGACTTTGAGGATTTTGTTGTCAGACAACGGGCCGCAGAATGTGGTTGCCGACAGTATTGATTGTATCCAAGTCTGATTACTTTGATGCTTTTGTGATGTGAGAAACGAATGAAACTAGGTTGGCCATTAGTAAATCGTTGAAGGAATGGCATCAAAATAAAAAAATAAAAAATAAAATAAAAAAAGATACAAAAAAAAGAATATATATATAGATAGATGTATGTATGTAAAAAGGTAATTTGAGTTTAGTGGTTGAACTTGAATCTATAGTATAACTTGGTTACAAATAGTCTACCAAAATCACAGTAACAAAGAAATGCAACAGTTGTTTATTATTTCCATTTTCATTCACCATATTAATATTTTCATTGTTGTTCTAACTGTTCTAACTGTTCTAACTGTTCTAACTGTTCTAACTGTTCTGTTCTAACTGCTGTAATTTTTGTAATTGTTGTAACTCGTAGCTTAGACAAACATATGTGGATCTTTTGGCCCTTTTTAAAAAATACTAAATGATACAAGGTTGTGAACACCGAGTATTGGATTTGCTGACGTGATATGAAATGTCTGAAAATGGGTTTTTTTTTTTTTTTTAATAATTCTGTGAGAATACTTTTGATTTCTTCTTCTTCTTTTTCTTCTTCTTCTTTCTTGCCTGTATATTAATTACATATACGTGTGTACATAATATGGTAACGTTATTTTCTTAAAATTGTTTCAATGCAAATAATGGACAGGATACTAATTTCAGTATTGATATTATTATTGGTCAAAGATCAAAGTTGGAGATACTGTAAGAAATAGATATATGGCAGATATTTCTTTTATATATGTATAAAGACGGCAGAGAAATCTCTTCTCTCTCTTGAATAGTATCCGTTTTAACTAAATTTCTAATAATTTAATACTTTTCTTTTGGTTGGCTGTAAATAAATGCAATAATAGATTCCCGATGGAGTCCTTCAGTATGTTCCTTTTGACCCAAAGGAAGAACTGGCAGCCTGTCCTCGGTAATCTCAATATAAATATAATTAAACATACACATACACATGTACAATATATGTATATATTGAAGCTAAACAATATATGTATATATATATATATATCTATGTATATAACAGACCTCTCGCTTTCAAGGTCCATGAAAAACTCAAGGGTAAAAAGGTTGTTCTGTTTGCCATCCCAGGTAACTAATAAAATTGACCCATCTCTTTTTTTTTCTTAATATATATAATATAATATAATGTAATGTAAAGCAATGTAAACAAAATCATAATAACGATTATCTATAAAGGTCCATTTACGCCTGCTTGTTCAGAAGAGCATGTGCCTGGATTTCTGAATGCACACGATGCTCTAAAGTCAAAGGGTGTTAGTGAAATTGTATGCCTTTCGGTAGCAGATGGGTTTGTCATGAATGCGTTTGGAAAGGTCAGTCAGACAAAGGACAAGATTATTATGGCAGGAGATGGCAGTGCTGTATTCAGTCAAGCTCTTGGCTTAACTCAGGATCTGTCCAAGAACGGAATGGGTACTCGATCAAAGAGGTTTGCTATCGTTGTAGACGACCTGGTGGTCAAGTACATCGGGGTTGAGACCAAGCCTGGCGTTACCTCTTCTGGTGCAGAAGCAGTGCTAGCAAAGCTGTAATAGTCACAACAATAAAAACAATGAGTGTAAAAGAAAATAGAAGGAAAGATAGAGATAGAGATAAATATATATCAAAATATACAAAATATATTCGATGGGCGATATATATATATATATATCAAGAGAAATATCTTCGCCGTTCAAAACTATTTGGGTGTTTTGGTATATTTATGGTTTATAGACCCATGCTGTTCTTTAGAATATACCTTGTAAACAAAAGAAGAAGAAGTATTACTTTTGGTGATTATTCAAATGCAAAATTTTGCTTGTTATTCCTTCATGCTGTTCGCCGTTACTTTTGTTTCAAAATAATAATAATGAAATCTATAATAAAGCCATAAATCGGTTACTTGGGTGGGATCCAGACATTAAGAAATCAATTATGCGATATGACTGTACCTCTGTAGAGCAAAAATATAAACTGAAAATTAAATTATCTCATCGAGTGTACTGATCAATCATGTGTAATCGATTATTCAAAATAGTAAAGAATATTATTGAAATTATGGTAGATGTTTTATCTGGTTACTATTACTATTACTATTACTATTACTATTACTATTACTATTGTTGCCTATACATATACATTTATTCCTCTTGACCAAACTCTATATATTTCTTATCTGTTGGTCGAAAAAATATAATTAAAGCAGAGGGCAGAATTTCTATTACTATTTACTAATGGAGAGATACATATATTTGACGAAGAAGAAGAAGTTCTTGTTGTGGTCATGTATTATTAATACATCTGCCTGTGCCTATTGTTGTCTATATATATATATATATAGATTCGTATACTTGTTTACATTATACACACATATTTTCTAACAGAAATATTTTCATGCAGATGAGCATATATGAATCCATATGTACATTTGTTTATTTTTTAGTATCATTATCATTACCAATGCTGATTCTAATATTAATAACAACTAAAAACAGTGTTTCCAGATCAAGCAGAATTGGCACAATACCCAACTACATCGCTCTTTTTTTCAGCAGCCGGCTCTTCTGACTCTTGATACCCACACATGGTTGTGAATCCAAATGAAAATGTTGCAAACAGAACCAGGGCAACCTCAGTCAACAATATTGCTATAATACAATATTTTAGTGCGTGTGTGGCATGAGTAGTGGCGCAGGTAGACCATCCCCACAATGCAACAGATGATGGTGATAATGATAATGATGACGATAACAACGATGACGGTGACAAAGACGACGATGATGAAGATGGTGAATATGATAATAATCCAGCCGGGCGAGAAACACAGAGATCAGGCCAGAACCAATACTCATCCAGTGAGCCTGACAAAGCAAACGATGTCTTTCGGTCAAACAAAATACAAAACATCCAGCTCATCGACAATCCAAGTGGCATCAGTAGTTGACATATCAGTTCAGCTGATGCTCGCCACACATCACCTCCTGCTCCTGCTCCTGTTCCTGTTATTGATTTTGATCCGGGTTCTCTATGACTAGCACGAGGCGCAGGTTGGAAGTGGTGTCCGAGTAAGAGAAAGAGTGGACAGAAGATTGATGCCTGTGTGGCAACTAGGGTTGCAATAACTCGTCTGTCCTGAACCATCTCAACTGCCCACACCTGATGCGAATTTTCGAGTGTTCCGTACATAAATGTGTTTTCATTGCCAAGGATAGAGAATATGGGAATAGATACGGAGCTGTAGAGTCCAAGGGTAATCAAGATAACAAAGATGGATATAAAGAGCACAGACGCGCGAGTCCAAAAGATGAGTCCGTGAAGAAAAGAACTAGTATAAGTCCCCATGGTTGTTTTCCTGAAAGTGAAAGAAGAACAAAGTTATGAATCTATAGGCAAATTTATATAAATCAGACAAAATATACCTATAGATGTACCTGTACCTGTACATCTACATAAATATAGATACATATATTAACTAGACATTCTACACAATTTAGCATTGATTATTATTATCTTTATTACTCGGGACAAGAATGTCAGACTCACTATTGCAATGTCCCTGCATTCCCCAAAAAGGAAACTCGAGGCGGTTCAATTATCCCCTTGGTCAGCAATCACAAAAGCATTCCTGTCCTTTTAATAATAATAATATTATTTTCTTGACTTAATATATTCTCCTCTTGTTCCTTTCTTCCCTTTTCACGGCATTTATCTTGCTCTTGATGCGAAATCGACCCCCAAAATCAAATATACACACACACACACACACATACAGTCTATATCAACAAGAAAGATTCATAATTTATATACATTTTCAACCCAAAAAAAAAGTATAAAATAGATAGGATACGCTATATCTCCCCTTTTTCTTTCTCTAATATAAATAAATAAATAGATAGATATATAAAAAGGTACAAAATATAGGGCTGTTAATTCAAGGTACTATCTATTTATTCAATGTCCTGACCAGCCACGACTGTACACCTTTCTTTCTTTCTTTCTTTTTCTACCCTTGAAAATGAAACCATTATTGGTGATCAGAACCACACAAAACTACGTAAACCACAGCCTCCTTTTATTCCTTTGGTTTCTCCTTTCAAAGCTCTAATCTACAAGGAATACAGTCATTTCTTATCATATAAAGTTGAATTCAGACTTTGGCTTCTATTTGTATTGCTATTTTACATTATAAGATCAAGTTACATATTTACAAGCTACAATATTTGTATGTATGTATTAGTTGGGTTTATTAAGTTTATATACAAGCAAGAGAGTCATAAAACCAAAGATAAAGACAGAAAGAAATAGAGAGATAAATGAAAATAAAATGGTAAAATAGTACAGAGCTTTTCTTTCTATTTTATTCCTTTTTATTTCTTCTTTTTCTTCTTGCTTTTTTTTACCTCATTGTTATCATTATCATTATCATTATTCATTTTTCATTATTAATTATTATTATTTTACTTTAATTGATCGAGTCTTGCCGCACAAAGCTTCAATAATTCGTCCACCTTCTTACCAATGTTTGCCACATCTTTTGCTACTGCCTGCCAATGCTCACCATGGTGAGGTTCGGCAGCCACACATCTCTTCACAACGATCTCCCGATGTTCCTAAAGAAAGTCATGGAACATATACATTGATTAGCTAAGAATCCTTACACAATCAAATCACACACTATATATATATTTACCTCTGTGCCATGTTGCAACTCAAAATTGTACCACCAAGCAAATGAATCTCCCTGATCAGGATCAATCTGAACTGCCTTTTGGAACCAGTTTCGTGCTTTCTCAATCTTACGCTCTGTCCAGAAAAGGCGCGCGACGGTTGTGACAATAATGGGGTCGTGTTCACATTTCTTAAGACCATCGACACTTCGAGCCTTTCTCTGTGGCCGTGCCTCCAAAAAGATAACCTCTGTCCAGAGAGCACCGGAAGAGGGGCACTCCTGCAGTGCCTTGGCTGCCATTGCCTTTGCTGCGACTGTGTTGTTGGCGCGAGTTTCGATCCTAATGGCCTGAACCCACAACTCGGATGTTTTTGGGTTGATGTATCTGGCCTTCTCGAGAGTTGCGCGTGCCTTTGTAACCATACCCATCTTTTCTTCTAATTGAGCCAGAAGGATCCAGAGAGTGATACTTTTTGGACAGCTCTTCACAGCCTTGTTGTATGTCTCTCTGGCCTTGGCAGGCTGTCCGAGTGCAGTGTCCTCTACTTGGCCCTTGATCATCCAGAACTTGTCGAACGTGGGGTATTTTTTGAGACCTTCATCAATAAGTGCCAAGCACTCATCAAAGTTCTTCATCTGGCGCTCAAGCATAGCAGACTTCATCCAAACACGCTCTGTGCCTGACTGACTTCTGGCCATCTCCAAAAGCTTTCGTGCGTTCTTGTACTCCTGGCTCTCACTCTCGACCTTTACGGCAGCGAGCCAGATCTGCTCACTGTTGGGATTGGCACGGAAAGCCTCTTCGAGAATATTACGTGCTCCCTGAATGTCACCAGCCAGCCACTTCTCCTTGGCACCCATCAACCAAAGAACCTCTGCCTGAGGACAGTAGCGAACAGCTCTCTGCAAAAGCTCCTCCAGACTCTCTGGTGTTCCATGACTCTTTTCGAGGAAAGCAGCCTGTCTCCAGATCGACTTTTTTCCAGGAAACACCTTGAGAGCATATGCGTAAATGGCCCGCGCAGTCTCAATCGATCCATGTGCCATACAGGACTCGGCATCTTCCATCCAAGTTGACTTGCGGTCTTCATCCTCAATTCCCAGAGCAACTGTTGCTCTCACTATAGACTGGCACGTCGCTACCGATCCGTTCTTTTCACAGGTCTCGGCTTCCTTCAGCCACTGATCACGATCCAAGACTGAGCCGGTTTGTGACAATGTGTAAACCGCACGTGTGATAATTCGATCGATAATTTCCGGATTGCCACGTTCTTCTTCCAGGCGGGCAGCAGCAATCCAGATCTCATGACTGGTAGGAATAGTCGTTCGAGCCACATTGAGAACCTTTTTAGCATTTGCATAAGATTCCAATCGAGCCAGTGCTAGCCACAGATCCACACTCATCGGGACCAACTCAACAGCACGCGACAAAAGGACCTTTGCATCATCTGGATTTTCTTCCATATTAACCGCCGCACGCCATAACTTTACAGAATTCGGGATGAATTCAAGAGCACGGCGGAGAACTCTCTTTTGTGCCTTTTGGTCAGTCTCGAGGTCGACTGCCTTTAACCAAATCTTGACAGATTGAGGAAGGTGACGGACAGCATTGGCCAAGATAATCTTTGCATTTTCAGTAGTCTATCCCGAAAATCATTGTTATTTTTTTTTAAAGAAAAAAATCAATCCATCAATTAATAATTATCCTTCATAACACACTCACACTCACGCCTATATCTAAATCTAAATCTACACTTCCATTTCCATTTCCATATATGTATATTTTTATATGCACTTACATTTAAGCGAGCTGCTTCTAACCAGACATCTTCATTCTTTGGGCATTGTTCACAACCTCTTGCAATTACACTTCTGGCCTGAACAGCTCTTCCGGCTACTTCTTCTACACGCGCAGCAGCAATCCAACCGGGTGCGTGCATGGGGTTGGTGGTAATTACAGAGTTTAACAAAAGACGAGCCTTTTTGATGTCACCAATCTCAGTAGTTGACTTGACCACGACACTATTGAGATCAGTGAGATATCCCTTTGGATCAATCGTAGTCTGGCCAGAGACTGAGTCCGACACCTGATCCAACTTCAGACCAAGCACTTTGTCTCTTGCTTGACCAATCTCCTTGAAGTTGGTCATCATCTCATTGTCTAGAGTGCTAGAAGCAATGCCTCCCAGCTTCTGCTCTGCTTCGTCAAGGGTTGTTTCATATTGTGTTCTGTCTCGCGCAGCAGCAAGAATGGTGTCTGGCAAGGGTGTGAAACGCTCTGGCATTTTGTTACGTCTTCTGTTCTTTCCAACCAAGTCACCTACTTCCGGAATCGCAGCCCATTCCGCCTCATTGATCGTCGTCAGTTGGCGTTTGAGATCAGCAAACTGCTGCGAAATCTTGGGTCGTTCCAGACGATAGCGCGCCAGTTCCTCACGTTCTCTCGCTTCTCTGCGTACCCTTCGTCTTTCATCCATCTTTTCATCAATCATCCCCCAGACTCTGTCAGCTTCCTCATCATCTTCTTCGTAAGGCGCCTTTGAGAACAAGCCAATTTCGTTGTCTGGATCTTGGAAACGTTCGTCATCCTCGTCTTCTCCTTCCTTTCCAGGTGCATGTTTGACATCTCTATTGATTGATTGTTAATAAATTTTATATACACGTGTATGTGAATTTTTATATATATATATATAAGATTGTCTAATTTATTTGCATTATTCATTTTAATCTTGGAGATACATTACGATCCAATGTCACCTGTTTCTCTTGCAGGACCAATGTCAGATCGCGTGGTGAAACCAGTTGCACCACGTCCTAAACCAGCGACATAGTTGGGTGGAGCTGGCTTTCCAACAAAATCTTTAATGGCTCCAAACATGATGTTGTACTTTAATCTATTTTATTTTATTTTATTATTTATTTATTCTATTTTATTTTATTTTATTTTGATGTGTCGCCCTTTTTTTGGTCATCTCTTCGCTTTAAAATTCTGTGATTATAAAGGTCGAGGTATTGACTTTTTCGGTAGATTAAGTATTTACGTCATCTAATTGCGGGCATTTAAGATGATTTTTTCTTTCTCTTTTTTTTTTAAAAAAAAAATCCCCCTTCGATGTTTCCATGGCAATTAAAGTGCTGCAATCTTGTACATCGTAACACGACATTAAATGAAGGCACTTTTTCGTGTCTTCTAGAAAAGGAAATGAAGTAGATTGTCACCAAGCCTCTTTGTCATTATTGATTTCTTTTGAATGTATAGATTAAAATGATATTTTTTTTAAAAAGATCTCTTTTCTTCTTTTAAAAAAAATAAAGAGAAATCTAGTAGCTGATATAGTTATAGCTATACGTTCTAGGTAAACTTACTCTCAGTAAAAATAATAGCAGGATAAAACCCACAATTACTTTATATTTATACAGATCTTTTTTAGTGTTTGATTTTTTTCTTTGGGTCGATTTAGCTTGATTTGATTCACTTCTTATTCGTAATTACTATTAATGGGAATAAAAGATATATATTATTTTTGTAAGAGCACAGTTTTATAGATAAATGAAACAAGTTGACCACCAAATTCATATATGAGAGTACAGAATCTGGGTTCGCCCACGCCACTTCAAAAAAACGTGTTTTCTTGTACAGTGCTTTGTGTTTGAAAAGTACAAAAATCAGGGAGATAAAATAAATAATAAAATAAAAAAAAAGAGTCGCTTTACTACTTCTTACTATGAGCTATGCTATTTTTTTTCTATCGTTGCACTCCTACCTCTATTGATCTTCTATGTGATCGACCAGAATTAATCGAACCAAAAACTCAGTCAAATCAAACAGGAGTATCTATTAAATCACTGTATCATTCGGAGCAACCTCCTGATGGTATCGTGTGGGTAGATGGATAAGACGTGCCCTTTGGCGATATTGACGTGGTTACGAAAGAGATTGAACAACTAATATTATATGAAATATACCATACAAAATCAATGAGTTAGAGCTTAAGGGGTTTGCTTTTTATGGACTGAAAAGTAAAGACCTTTCTACAGGTAGAATAAAAGCATTATTGACAAGAATGCCATTTTTTTTAAAAAAAAGCATTACTTTACATTGGCGTTGAAATATTGTTGGATTTAAGGTGGATATTAGGATGCTTGTGGACCCTGCAGATGTAGAATTAACTTATGTGTAGCAAGACCAGACTTGTCTTTTCCAGTAATGCTAAATACTCATATTCTAGCCAAAAACTGGCCCGTAAAGATAAAGAAACGCAACGTAATATCGATAACATATTCAACAATGACAGAAATGTTGGTTGCTAGATAGAGTGCATTCTAATAGAAAATTCAGGCCTGGTTATATAAAAAGTTGACATCCAACGTCGGAATAGATATCGCTGATTTAAATAGAAAAGTGTTTATTAGAAAAAATCAGTATCAGTAGACGTTCACCTAGTTGCTGTTGACTGATAAAGGTCAGTCAGTTATAAGTTTATTTCTTTATTGCTTATACTAATATGTGCTTTTAAATTGCAAACCTTTAGCTTATTCTGGTATAAGACTTACAAGTTCAAATTGGAACAACTATGAAAAACATGCAAGCGGGGATGTAATTAAATATTGCCCGATGGTCTTATTTTGAACTACTTAAATTTGCCACCTTTTTGTTCAAAAATGAGCACAATTTTGAAGGAGAAACTAATTGTTTAACCCATTTTTGAGCAGTGAAAAACAGTGTTCTGTATATACAGACACTATTTGTACTATAGACATATTCTCTATATTTATATTTTGTTCAAGAATCGTATTTTAGAAGTGGATTTTCGGTAATCTAATACTTACAAGGTAAATCCTGGTAATCGACAAATGTAATAATGTGAAAGTTTGTACTGTCCTACACCTTCTCTAATATATTGTCTTTTTTTTTGAAATAAGAAATACTGTTTATCAGTATAAATAGATTCGGATAATCACAAAAAGACTGGTTGACCACAACTAGGTAAACGCTTATAGAATTTTTATGGTGGGTAACCACTTGGTAAAGTACGCTATAAATACTTGGAAATTAAAACGACTATTAGCTTACATTTCGTAGGAGTGTGAAATGTATATGAGTTAGCGCCTGGGCTTTTATAAAAAAGGTACACTTTACTTGTGCTCCTGAACAATTTTCTGACCTTGGATCTTTGGATTTTGAATAGAATAATAATGATGAGAATCATCGTGTATATATACTCTTTAAGCTTATATAACTATATACCAATACCCTTTTAATCAATTACACATAAAAATATACACATACTCCTATATATCAATATACATATACAAACAAGCACACAAGCACACAGGCACACAGGCACACAAGTACGAAAGTACGAAAGTACGCACAGGAACAGGAACAGGCTCAGGCACACATACACATATATATACACATGTAGGTATGTATGTAATTATGTACTTATGAATTATTACTAGTTCTTATTGCATAGTGCATAGTGCATAGTACATATAACAACAATATACATATATTTCATTTCTATTCATTTTAAAATCATGAACCTTCAAAAATAGGTTCTCTAAGAAAGGAAATCGAGCCACCGTCGTACAAATCTGTTGTTGTAACACTAGAAAAATCTGTCGTGGTGATTTCACTTTTAAATTATCATCATTTTGGATTCAATTTTTATAGTTGTAGATTTTTCTTTTTTTCTTCTCTCCTTTTATTTATTTATTTATTTATTTATTTATTTATACTTTTCTATACTATAATCTATTATATATATTATATTGTATATATATATATTCTTAATACATACGACTTTGCTCACTACTAACTATTACAATCACAATCACAATCACAGTTACAATCAAAGGTACAATTACAATCACAATCACAATCACAATCACAATCACATTCATAATTACAATTAGAATAATATATTTACTATTTCTATTCCTATTCCTATTCCTATTACTATTACAGTTACTATTACTATTACCACAACTATACAACCACAACCAGAACCACAACTACGATCTGACTCTCTTTCTCTCCTATCTTTCTTTCTTTTTTTTTTTCCTTTTTTGCACCACACTCAAAAAAATATTATTATTACTCACTACTACTACTACTACTACTACTACTACTTATTAATCTTCCCCAACCCTTTATATATATATATATATATATATATATATATATATTTATTTACTTTTTGCTTTCATTATATATGAGACCATCAAACAGGTACCGTTGTCTACTTTGTATATAAAATATATACCTTATTACTATTGCTATTCTTTGACAGAAGACAACACTCTTTGTTCCTAACAAAAATAAGCATCACTTTTTTCCCTTTCTATCTTTTATTTATTTTACTTCTTTGTCCAGCCACAGTTAGATCCCAATGTCAAGAAATTTACTCATCAACACCCAACTCGAGCGCTTTCATGGTTCCCGTCCTCATTGGCAACCATCGCCAGGAACAACTCCTATTAGCGAGGAAAACGGTTCTCCAGCAACAATAGCAAAAAATCGGCCAGTCAGTACGCTCTATGAAGAAGAAGAAGAAGAAGAGGACGAAGAAGAAGAGGAACCAGAAGACGATGAAAATGAATCCGAAGAAAATGACTCTCAAGACGATGATGATAATGATAATGACGATGACGATGACGAAGATAGCTCAACATTCACCTCATCTCCAAGTATCCCAGACGAGAATATTGACTTCAACCTCGTGTACGTCTTGCGTACTTTTATTGCCACAGTAGAGGGTCAAGCCTCCGTTGTTAAAGGAGATTCCTTGACCCTGATGGACGACTCGAACTCATACTGGTGGCTTGTGAAGGCTCTCCAGACATCTGAGGTTGGCTACATTCCTGCCGAGAATATCGAGGTAAATAATAATTGTATAGTGAATTTCTCACAATTATATATATATATATGTGTGTGTGTGTGTGTGTTTATTATAAAGCCAAAAAAGAATACAGAATATATATATATATATAAAATCAAACTTGATTTTGCATTTTATATACGTTCTTATATTTTAATCATGCAATTTTTTTGAATTATTGTTATTAATATTAATATAATCGCTGTTTCTTGCCATTATAATTGGCACACACTAATATTATTTCTTATATTATAGACTCCTTTTGAACGTCTGGCACGTCTGAATAAGCATCGAAATGTAGAGGCAAGTAAAATCATCTAAAAAATAAAAAGAAGATGAGGATAAGACGCACACACAGAGAGAGAGAAAGGCGCATAAAGTGCACAGACGTTTGTAAAATCACAATATTAAAACCATCAAAAATACAAATATCAACAACAACAACAACAACAACATAAATTTTATAGGTTACATCCCCTCAGCAAGCTATGCATTTCATCGAGAAAAAAGACTCTAGGCGCAAAAAACACAACAAAAGAGTAACACTCTCAAAGGGAATGTTCTGTCGCTCGCAAATCATCTTTACTGCCGACAATGAAGAAGACGAGCACGAAGAGTTTGAAGACTGGGAAGAAGAAATGGCCAGTGATGCCGAAGATTCTGAACATTTAGACGGTTCTCACATTTCACAAGAAACTACCAGCTCACCTTCTACCATTTCTCCGGGCGTCGCAAAAGTTCAGCCCACACACACATATCCCTCTGTCACACCACAACACCTGCTCAGCCAACAACAGCAGCAGCAACAACTACAGCAACAACAACAACAGCAACAGCAACAACAGCAACAACAGCAACAACAACAACAACAACAACAACAACAACAACAACTACAGCAACAACAACAGCAACAACAACAGCAGAATCAACGACAGATTGCAGAGTCATCAGAACAGCAGGCTCCTGAGCAAATCTCTCCTGATAATTATCCAAAGTTGTCTCCTTCTGGTCAACCATTGTCTCCATCAAGTCCGGCACAGGGTGACGAGTGGCAAGGAGCAGCAGGTACCCTCAGACGTCTGTTCTCGCGCGGAAAGAAGGACAAGCCAGAACTCGTCACAAAATCGTCCAACGGCAGTTTGACCGTACCTAGTCATGGCGATGATTCTAGTTTAGGATCCAATGTGTCGATTGAATCGACAGTCTCCTCAGAAGGCTCCGCTCATGATCCTACCCCCCTCATCTTTTCTGCAAATCGGTCCAACACTCAGCTTACTGTCCTCCGCGTATTTGCAGGAAACATCAATGTCAGTGCCACATTCAACACCGTTCTTGTAGACGAACACACGAATGCAGACCAATTACTAAAGAAAGCTATGGAGAGATTTCACATCACCCAAATTGAGGGCAAGGCTGCAAGTGGAATAGAGTATTATCTGACTGTGAAAGCCATGGATGGAGGTAATACAGCGGTAAAAAATAAAAAGAAGCTTAAATTACTCAGAAAGAGAACGAGAGCAAGAGCAAGAGCATGCGATATGCTGATGATGATATTATTATTATTATTATTATTATCATCATCATCATCATCATATGTCTTGTCTTGTCTTGTCTTGCCTTGCCTTGATTTTATTTGCCTTGTGTGACCATAACTTATCTCGTACCTCACTTCACTCACTCGCTTTTGTTTTTTATACAGATGAAATCACCCTGGCCCCATTGGATAAACCACTGGCTATTTTCAAGTCTTTGACCACTCATCTCACGACACCTATGCCCTCCTTGACTCACATCAAACAGCTATCTCAACACCTGTCGACTGTTGAAGTCACCCGAGTGGGTGTCTCAAAAGCACGACAGAGAGCAAAGGCTCGATTTGGAGAAGACTCAGTGATTCGATTCTATTTGCACAAACGTATCAGACGTATAAATGAGCGTGATGGTCTGGTATATGTAAAACTATCCTATTATGCCAATATTCCGATAGACGAGAAAAAAGACACCAGCCTGCGCTCTCCATTCTCCACAAAGTCTTTACGACTAAAATCAACACCAAAGCCGCCTAAGACTGTCTCACGAAGTGAACGCATTGACAAACTGGTGGCTATCTCCGCCAATATTACAATCGCAGACCTAACGCTCATTGCACTTGACAAGTTTCACATCGTTCACGGCGATAAAGACATTACTCCCAAAAAGAACGAGGCTCCGGATAGATACCGAATGACCCTATCAATCAATGAAAATGGTAATTTGAATTTAAATCTGAGTGTGTGTGTGTATGCAGTGAGAATAGAAGAAAAAGAAGAAGGCAAAACAAAACATAATTAGCTAACCTTGGCACAATTCTTGGGGACAATTACAGAGAAATCACTTAGATCTTCAAGTAGACTATCGGAAATATTGATAGACTCTAGACTTATACCAAAGGGAACAGTCGAGAAGCGATTTGTCCTGCGAAAAGTAAAGGAGAGTGTTAATTCTTCACGCCAAATTAACCAAGTACGCCCTGTCACAAACCAAGATCTCAACCTTTCTGGACCGCCGCTCTCACGTAATAAATATAAATATACATATAAATATATTTAGCTTAGCTAAAATAAAAACCTAGCACATGTAAATTGACTCACTTTATATGTAAATGTTTTCTACAGTTCAAACTAGTCGCTCACTTGTAGCAGGTTCAATGTTAGATTCAAGCACAGAAAGCGTCTTGAAACGTCTTGATGCCGCTTTGCTTTCTATGGAGGCTGAGAGACAGAGAAAACCACTGTCAAAGAACGAAGGAAGTTCTGGAGTGGCTGGGGGACCCAGAGTCCAAGACAGTGAAGTACAGAGAACGCGAAATTTGTTGCACCAGGCAGCAATGTTAGAAAAGGAGAGAGGCGGCAATAACCCGATTAATGGACCAACCCTTGCATCTTTGCCAAGTGCCGATGTATTTGATACTAATAAAAACCAGCCAACCAGTCTGTCTAGTTTGGATGATCTTGAAAAGGTAACATGTCTTGTACACCCACCTTGATATACAAACACATCATATCATTCAATGAAAATGACAAGACACTCGATTTCTTCTTCTAACAATCAAATCAAATGTATTTATGGCTTTATAGGAACTCCAGCGTATCATTGCCGCCCATGCGTTCTAATTTATTTATTGTTTTAAGAAAAACACACATACACATACACACACGCACACGCACATATATACACGCACACACACCAAAGAAGAGCAGGCTGAAGATTAAGATGAAAACGAAGAAGAAAGAAGAAAGAAGGCTTAAATGATAGAACTCTTTTAACCATTTGTTCTTTGTTTTCATTTCCTCTTTACCTGGTTTACTACATGTTTTAGCAAATAACTTTTCCCTCTCTACTCTAAATCCTATAGCTCATATTTTCCTATCCTCCCCCATTTTGCATTCATTGCATTCTATACATATACCACAATGCATAATATACTTAGATGTTTTGATTTCTACTCTCATTTCTTATATTCATCTTTATGTCTGTATAACAAACAAACAAACAAAAAAGGGCAAGCAAATAGGTGAAAGTGTTAGTAACATAGGGACAAATATACATTATACTACCTGTCTAATGGTCATAACCTTGTTATACTTCATTCCACTTCATCGTATCTTACCTTGTCAAACTAAATTAAACTATTTTGCTGACTAAATGATTTCAAATCAAGAAAATAAGAATAGTGATTTACAGTTTTATGAATGGCACAAAATATTAATTAACCTACACAACTCAATTTCTGTACAACCCATGCCTCTTTTTTTTGCTGTTTGAATTTTTAGAAGCAATGCAAGCCAAGCTGTTTAACTATCTAAAAAGAATCTTCAAATTATCTTTATTAAGCTTGTTATTAATAAAGGGTATCGGGCTCTTGTTTCGTCTTATTTAGCTTTAGCTTTTTGTAGGTATAACTGTATTTGTGATTTTTGCCAATATATATATATATATATAAAGGGCAAGCCAAGCCAAGTCAAGTCAAGTCAAGACGCTGATTGCACCTTAGTACAATAACTATAATAGTTATTTTTCAATTTGTTGTTGTTGTCGTTGTTTAATAATATATCTTTAGAAAGCTAGCATTATTGTTTCCCTGATATCTTATTTGGTTGATAATAATTTATTGGTATTTTATACACACAAACATACACGCATGCATGCATACATATATACATATGATTATAATTTATAGGATGTCATTGTGTTTTCGGATCTATTATTAAGCAGAGACACGTCCACCAGCGGCAAATACAAAAAAGAGTACCCATGCAACCAAGAAACAAATGATAAATATTCCACAGTACACATAGTTCATCTTCACGATAGGTGTGTCGGTGTATGAATCCATTCCCTGTTTGATGAATGCAATTTCCTTGTCGTTTGTTTCTTTCATCATTATGGTACGCTTTTTTCCACTGATCTCCAATAGGTTATTGAGATAGATTCTTTGAGTGACCCACAAAAGAGAAATGAGACAGAACCCAACACCAGAGAGAACAAGGAAAACAATCATGACACCTAACATATGCAATAATGATAACAGTGTTAAAGAAAGAAGCATATACGTATTTGATTTAAAATATAATATAAATGCATAATATTCAATAGACTTACTTGTGTATGCCTGGTTGGCAGTATTGTCTTGGACGACACCAACAATAATGTCAAGGATTGTGGTACCAATATTGTTGGAACTCTTATAGATGCCAAGACCAGTTCCAATATAATCGGAAGGCAAAATCATACCAATAGAGGTGATCATAGAGATAGGACCAAATGCCAACGACACACTATAAAAGACCATACCAACTGCGGCGTTCACGTAGGTCCATCCCAGGATGGCGCAACTCAAGATCAAAAAGATGGCAGATACCAGCACTTATATCGCATTTTTTTTTAGAAAAAGAACATAAATGTCAAAAGTTAATTAAAGTATCTTTTTGTTTAAAATATAAAATATAAAATAATTTATATGAATTCTAAATACCAAATTACTCACAAATAGCAATACGGCATCCAAACAAGTCCATAATGATACCCAGAAGTGGTGTAGCAACAATAGGAACCACCTGAGATGCACTGGCATTGTAACCGGCCAAAATATCTGTAGTCCCAAAATGCTTGGAAACAAACTCGGTACTGATTGTCTGGAAAGATGACCAGACTGCAGAAAATATAAACTCGATGAGGACAATGTGCCAATAGTATACTGGGAATTTGAGGACTGAGCGCCATTTGAAGGTCTTCTTGGCTTTAAGCTTTTTTACGTCCGTCTTGCTGATAACCTGGCCATTTAAGTGTCTAACGATCAGGGCATAAACCAAGTTCATCATTATAGAAAAGCAGCAGATTATGAATGAAAGCCAAAACGCCCAAACCCAGTTTCCAGTAGCGTCAACTATAGGGTTTGCCACCAGGGTTCCCAGAAAGGTAGCCAACCGACTAATAGAGAGCTGAAGACCGATAGCAAGTGCAAGGTTTTGGGTTCGAAACCATTTGGAGAGTAGAGATTCTTGCATAGTCACGATCAGGCCACTGCCGATTCCAAATATAACGCGTCCGACAACCATCAGTGGGAATGAGGTGTATTTTGCAGCAATCGCGGTCAACAAACTTCCGAGAATGACCAGCAAATTCACGGCTAATGTACCCCACACAGAGCCAAAGATGTCGATGAACATACCACCGACAATTGGAAACACAGTGTTAATGATTGAAACGGCTGACGAAAGAACACCATAACGTGTATTGTCGATGCTTAGATGCTACATTGTTGGTGTTTCCAGTGAGGTTTATTGATTTGCGTATTTATATAAAAAAAATTAATTGAAAAAAAAATAGGTTAATACAAATTTGTAAATTAATAATAGTAATAATGGAATAATGGAATTTATAAGCTTTTATAATATATGTATATTTACAGTTTTAATTGATGTCTTCATTGCGCTCAACGCACTTCCCGAAAAATGAGAGCCCACTAATAAGAATATTGATAATCAAAGAAGAATTAATTATTTACTGAATGTCAATAGAACGGTTGAATATAAAAGTTTTTTTTTTCTTCCTTCCTTCCTTCCTTCTTTATGTCTTTCTTGATAAACATACCAGGCAATAGAAGCGCTGTCGAGAGAGCAATAAGCTTGTATTGCCACGGAGCATTTGCAAACGATGTGTCACCAGCAGCTACATCTGGATCTTCATCTCTGACACTCTCATTGTGTTCTATGGGGCTATCAATAGTCTCCTTGCTGTCCATCTCAGAATAGGCTTCTAAATTACTGGTCTCATAACTGTCTGTTACCAACGGACTGTTTTTCATTTTTGTGTTTTTTTCTTTAATCTTTGCTGATTAATATTAATATTACTGTTATCTTTTGATTATGTTAAGTGAAGAATTAATAATGGAGAAGAAAAGAAAAGAAAAGAGAGGAAGAGAGAGAAAGAGGGAAAGGGAGAAAAAGACACAGATCAAATACAATTTTGAATCAAGATTGATAATCGCCTGCAAGTTATCTGATCCTCCTAAATAGGTTAACCCCATTAATTCAATTTTATCTTATCTTGCATCTATTCTGCTAAAACATCTTTTATTTTGAGTGTCAGACTAGTAAACTGGCACGATATAATAAATACATATATATATATATATATATAATCAAGGATAACTGTTATCTGGATCATCATTAATGGTAGACAGGTGAGGAAGTGTAAGACTAGATCATGTACACTTGTTACACAACACCAGTCGAAAAGCTTGTACAAACAAACACACACATACATATGTATGCACACGTCCTATAGAATTCTTCTTCTAATAACCCAATACTCCAGGATTTCTAAAGTTCAATAGATTACTCATATTCAACATCTGGGGTCGAATTTTACTCACTTGGATCCTCATAGTGAATCTACAGACTTCATCGGAGTTTGTATGGAGGAGACTATATTTGTATTCTACAAATCAAATCTCCTATTTTGCCCATTTTTGTTCTAAAAAATAATGCAGACCCGAAAAAGGAGAATTAAACCTTGTAGATGTGGTAACACAGGCTGCAAAGTGATACTAACACAAAATTAAATGGGTCACCTAGACAACCAACCACTTGATACCCGCCAAAATTGTGGAATATCGGTTATAAGTTTACTTCTTAATTTTATAGCTTAAAATACAATATGTGTATATCAAGCTAGTAAAAGAAAATAAACATGAAAATCATAACAATACACTCACATACACACATGTGTCAATACATATTTTATTTATAAGCTTAACTTTGCTATGTTAAAAGTCACTGAGTTAATATAACTTTTTTTTTGTTAAGAAGGAGGATAAGCTTCCTTTACTACAGAACCATCTTTTTCACTTGAAATCAATATGCTAAACCTATTGATCTTCTTTATCAGATCAGAAAGCGACTCTTGGCCAGACGAAGCTCTGTCGGTTCCCACCAATTCATTTCCTTCTGTCACACTAACATAGTCAAACACACCATTCAATCCAGTGTAGCCATCTTTCCAGAATTTAGCCTCCTTCTTGCCATTGGAGCGACAGTACACCTTAACATAGACGCCCGCCAGTGGTCGCTTGGTTTGCTTTTGGGCTACACGAACAACACCAAACGGCTCGACGATATGGACAGTCAATTGATGGGCAAAGAAAGTCTGGCTACGGCGCAATCCACTTCCAGTAACCTCTACCATAACATTCGTACTAATCAGATGCTGAGGAAGGGGAATGATCTTTGTTTTCATCTTAATTCGGTTGACACCAATCATATCAAAGTCTTCGTCGCCTTGTACTTCCTTCATAACACAATCGTCATTGCTCTCCAATGTGTAATTTTCGGTGTAATTAGGTTTCACCCATCCGTATTCTAATGAATGACCCGACCCTTGTTGGCATCCAGATTGCTTGGCCTCATTCGCCATAAATGGGCTTCCAGAGAACACAACCTCAACATTGGTTTTGTAATAGTTGACTTGTAGGTCCGTCATATTGGCATAGTGAACCACCAGACCATCCTTTTCATTTACTTCCATATCTAGTACAGGCTCAGTATGTAGTGCCCGTTCTTGCCGACGTTCGGATGTAATATTCGAGCCTGTACGATCCTCACTACTTGTCATGCCATCAACTTCATCCACAAAATCTTCCAAACTAGCAAACAGTGCACGCCAGCGCAGATTTCCACAGGTGCGATACTTTTGAGCAATTTTACGAACTCCATTCAGATCAACAGATTCTGGGTTTTGGGACACCTGACTCTCCAACAAACGAGTCTGCAGGTAAGCGCCAAGATAATCAAGCTGCACATTAGATTCAGGTGTGGTGGCACCCGGGATTTTTATTTTCCCGGAAAGCTCTTGTAAGATACGGTTGTAGACTCTATGAGACTCTCCTATGCGGTCTTGTAATAGCAAGTATACGCCAAGAACCAAAAGGTCAGAAGTACTGGGAGCGGATTTGTCGCACAAATATCCGAGGAAGTCATTGTACTGGGATGAGAATCGTGTGTTCAAGATTTCTACTTTTGTTCCAAGACTGTGGGCTACAAATATTTTATGACACGAAGTTTAGTCAAACTTGTTTTTTTTTGTAATCAATCACACACACACACACACTCTCTCTCTCTCTCTCTTCTATTAATTTCTCTTTACCCCGTGCGCTGATAATTGGATAGTAGTCAAGAACATTTATAGTATCTTTTGTCAGAATACTGGTGCACAAAAGAGGTGAAACAAATGCTTTTCCAATGTGTGGAATGATTCCTCCATCAGCATATATCTGAATTAGCTGTCTGATAATGTCCAAAAATCCATGGGTGAGGCCATACTGCCACAATATACCGGTATGGTAACGTCTCTGGCCACCCAAAACGTCAAATACTTTGCGAGCAAATGCCTTGTTGGACATACGCCAAGTAATCAAACCGAAATTAAGTTCGTCAAGCTTCTTGTATTGTGACAAGTAATCCAACACATCTTCATTCTTCATTTTGCTGGCTACAACTGACCAAGGAATATTTGAAGTTCCTAATTTCTGGTTGATAAAAAGACCGGGCTCTGACACTGAAAGGCTTATCGGCTGGCTCTTGTTCAGCAATTTTGAACTGTCAGTAATAGTGATAGGTAGCTGCGTAAAGTTTCCAGCGTGTGGAAAGTAGAAGCTACCAATGACGCTCTCCCATGTAGAATAAGGTCGCAAAGCAATGAATTTCGATTGACAATAAGGAGTTCCTTCAATAGGTACTGCCCCAGAAGGAATTTGTAGCGTGGCCTCACACGTGAATGACTTTGAAGAAATGTCTAGAGAAGCATAAAAAAATCGTTACTACGCTGTCTTCTTTTTTATATGTTATAAAAATAGTGGTATTCTGTACTTACTGCTCACAACAAGATGCCAGCTATATTCTGTAGCAGCTGTTAAATCAGTTGGGTTAATCATAGTAATATCTTCTCGAGAGCTGTGTTGAGCTGATTTATTAAATATGCCTTGGCCAAGCAAAACAATTGGGTTGGTAGGTGCAATGCTATTTGTTGCCTTTATTTTGTATTAATACTTTTACATTCTTCATAAACACACACACAAATATATATATAAGAGTAATTATAGCTTACTTTCAATGTACGGTGGAAAACTAAGCAAGGTTTTGCAGATATAATGGAAAGAGCACCACTGTTTGAATCACTCTTGCATTTCCACTGGGCATCCACAGCATAAGGCAAATCCATTACAGATAACGCGGCCATAATCTCTGTAAAGTTATTGATAGCTACCAAAAAGTTCTGTAGAGCAAAATGTTCAGTTTTTTATATAGATGACAAATCATACAAGTTACTATTTTATTTACCTTGGACAAAAATACAGCTCTTGTAGACTTAATATAATCTACCCAGAATGAATTGTTGGATTGTCCAAAACTTGGGAGACCATTGTAATAACCCTTCTCTTCCCATTCTTTTGTTGGCTTGACAAATGAATAAGGTACCTTTATCTGCTGTTTAGCCGATCTAGCACGCAGAGCATCTTCATCTAACTTTTTTTTATCATCTTGGATTTGATCATCATCATTCTCCTCCACAACAGTCTCTCTCACAACTTGTAACAATAAAACAAACAGTTAGCTGTTTTTTTTTATACAGATAGCAGTTAACCACATGAAATTACCTGCGTACTCTTCAACCACGGTATTTGAGGGATTGTCGTAGAAGTCGTCCGCAAAGCCCATATCATCATCAGACTCGTCTTGAGGCAAAATCTTACGATCACGCCTTGCACCACCTTTACCCAGTGCTGCACCCATCATTGGAGCGCTGGCAAACATGGCAGATTGAGGTATAGCTGAACGGAGAAAATAGTTCATCGAGCTTTTTTGAATTTCACCTTGAGCTTGATATTGCAAATTTGATTTTTTCATCAATTAAATAAGTAGGTAAAGCAGGTGAATAGCCAGGATAAGTTGTGAAATAGTTTGAAGAGGTTGGAAAATAAAAAGGAGATAGATGTCGATATTAGAACTAAATCCGACGACTTGTAACATTTGAGCTTTAATCATCATTATTATTACCTGGTTGCTGGTTAAGTGCGTTACTAGACATGACTGTGTCGAATCCTATATCCTCAGATGCTTCATTTGGAGCTGTAGACGCGTCCTCAAATGAACGAAGAATGGAATCAAAATGACCAGGTACACGCTTGGCCAGAAAGGCCTTCTCAATCATATTTAAATTGTTGTACAAGTAAAGACTATCTGCATATTCATTTAAATCTTCATCAACCAAATACAAATCCATAAACGATGTAGTAACCTTGCTCTATAAGAGAGAAACATAGGAGTAAGTATAGCTTGGGAATACATAATAAGCACAATAGTTACTCACCTTGATAAACGGCTTAACATTATGTTCAAAGAATGATACATCTTTATGCTTTAGCCACAAGTTGAGTTCATGACAAACATTTGTATTGTAATGATCCAATTTCTTTTTTAGAGAAAGAGATGGCCAAGTGAGTAGAAACTTGAACTTTTCAAGACTAGTGTTGATTTCCGCATTGGAGAGTACTTTAAAGAGATTGAACAACTTTTCAAAGCTGTCGACAACCTCAAATTCTTGTTCACCCCCATCAAGTTGCAACGATGCATGGGCTGCTGGGTCGTCTTGAATAGCAGAATCAAGATTTTCTGGGTACAAAGTTGATACGGACTTAATTCGCACATATGCTTGTTCAGACTTTGAGTCTTCGATTGTCTGGGATCGATTCTTTAAACGCAATTCGGTGGTTGTACTATCCAATACCATTTCTTTGGTAACAATTTGCTCTCCAGAAAGGACAGCCAACTGAAGAATATTTCCGTCACCCAAGTGAGCACGATCAATGATTAATTTTCCATCCTCATCGGGTTCCAAGCGAAGAATTGAATAACGATGATCAAGGAAGCCTGTAGTAATATGACTGTAAGAAAGAAGAAAAAGAAAAAAGAAAGACGAAGCATATCCATACCATAATCTGTGGGACGACGATTTTTTCCACGTGAAACCCCGCTTGTAATTATACTATCAGTCGTGTCTGTGTACCTATAGCCTCCTCCAGCAAACATATGTTCCCTTTCATTTACCACACAATAATCTGATGTAGCTGAAGCCAAAGCCTATAATGTTGTTGTTATTTTTTTGTAAGAAACAATGTAATTATTAATTACCAGTAATATTCTTAAAAAAAATAATGCTATTTAACCTTACCTCTGGATAAAGTAGCAGAGAAGGTTTTACCAAAGAGCTTCCGACCCATTTTTCAGCCCTCGCTCTCTTCAGTATATACTGGTACTCGTCGCTCAGTTTGCATCCTGTAATAAATACGGCACGAGTATCGAGAACACTGGCATATTTTTTAGGACTAGTCGTGGGAAGAGTTAAAAGACTCTTGGTCAAACTTTTTCTTGTCTCGATAAAGGCAGTCGTCGTCACAAGCGCATATGTCTTCCCTTTGGACCATCCATTTAAGCTCACAACTATTGATTGATCTGTTACAGTTGTATCGGAGATAACCAGAGGAGAATGGGCAAACCATCGACTGTTGGTGGCGTAAAAGCTATAACTAAGGATCCAGTTTGACCAATGGCTGCCACACGCAGCTAAAGCAGTAGAGACCTGACTATTGAAGATCCAAATGGTAACTGTGTACTTTGTTCCTTGGGAGTAAAGGTAGAGAGTAAAACGACCCTCTGGAAGACCAGCAATCTTTAAATAACCATTTTCATAAGAGAGTCGGTTGGTAAAGTCATGGAGTACTTGACTATAAAATAAATTAGCGGAAAGAAAATAAGTATATATATATGTGTATATGTACGTTGGTAAATAAGTTACCTAGAACCATCGGTTTGATAAATAGAGCACATACGGTTTGCTTCTTCAGCGAACGGAAACATCAAAGGAGTGTTGGCCGTTCCGTTGAAAGTTGTAGGAAGAACGGCGTTAGATTTTTTCAAAATATCCCAATTAATTTCAAGGAGCTCTGGTGAACCAACGCTAATTGAATGGATATTTTCAAGCGGTCCGAGATGAATAATGCCATGTTCATCCGTTTGCATGTTTGTAACTATGGGAGCTCTTATCATGCTATGCTCCAATTTTATAGTATATTCCTTATTTTTATAGATTTCTCCTAAAAAAGCAAAATTGATTTTATGAGGACAAAACAAATATAGACTTTTTACTACTTTACCATTCTTTCCAAGGGAACATATGTAGTACTCGTTATTTTTATTTATACGAAGATAAGGCTTTGGCAGAGGATTATCTTCAGCTCTCATTTCGAGAACCTTGCTGACTTCAACTTCCTGTCCATCACTTTGAGTGGAAGTGGATTTGACTTTGGCAGTCAATTTTAACTCAAGTGTATTCACTATTGAAAGTATCAGTAATACAGTCTTGGCTTTATAGGTCATTATACTTACGGAGATCAGGAACGGTAAATTCATAATCAAATGAATTGTTCGTAAGGGGAGCGTACTGTGAGGTAGTAGAACTCTTGACACCATTTAAGGAAGTGGCTGTCACAGTTAATGTCATCTTTTCAAGCAAGTCCAAACTAGCAGGTTGTTCGTGGATAGTCAAGCGTGGGATTCCGACCATCTTTGCTTGTCTGTTTGTAAGAACACTTTCAAGATTAACGTAAAACTTTGCAGTCAGATCATAAGTCTCTGTCTTATGCGTAAAGGCGACTGGTTCACAAAATCCATCCTTTGACAATAGAAGTATTTCTGTATTCTTGGTCTCGCCGGCACGGTAAGGGATCAAAATATTTCCATTTGCATCCGACTATAAAACAAGTAAATAAAAAAATACATTTTTTTTGCACTTTGAAATGTTTATTACCTCATAGTACGAATCGGCATACCAGATTCTGCCATCTTGTTTCAAAGGAATATTATTCTCGTCAATTATTTGAATCAAATGCCCAGCAGAAGTATCTTGAACCAAGTGACGTAAATGCCCCTAATTTTACAAAACTCCTTAGTTATTACGCCAAACCCAATAATATTAGCTATATGTTTCTTATTACCCTTTGAACAATGGCGCGACATTGTATATTTTCTCCAACAAAATCGATTATCCAAGCGCCACGCCCTTGGACACAGTCAGAGGCCAAGTGGTCTTTTCCAAAAACAAAAGATTCTTTCCAAGTACAGAGGGCAGTCTTTTTGGTAAAGTCAATGGTGTCTTCCCACAATGGACATAGACCGTCCAATCGTGCGCTTTCTTCTTTGCTCATTGACAGGACTCTTTTGTTGGAATGCATGCGCCAATAGTTGTAAAGATCGATAGGATAAACTCGCACCGTAAGATGTCCCACTTGCTTAAGTTGAAGGCTCAACTTTATAGGAGTGTCAGCCAAAAGAATACGACCAATATTGATTGTTGAGGGAGCGAATTCAAGCTTTACTTCGTTGATGAGCTTATCGAGCTCATAAGTCGTAAGCGAATTAGAGGATTCCAAAGAAACACCCTGACGTAAAGGATGGGTCAATTGCACAGTTGTATAAAGCTTCTTTAGAGTATCGTTTAAGTCTAGGTACTTCAAGATTGGATCGAGACTCATATCCGGATTTTCTGTAAGAACACCTGTAAGATAGACATAGACTGTAGTCTTTTCTTCACGTGAGTCAGTAGCATAGTTCGTTAGATAAGGGATCTATTATTAACGGATTTCAAGGGTTAATAAAAAAAAGTAAAGAAGCATAAAGTATTAATTATATTCTTTTACCTTGATTGTAGTAGCTTTGCTCAATCTTTGTTTAAGGTCAACTGGGCGGCCAGGAACAGGAGACATGACATTTTCAAGAATTCTTCCTTGAGTAAGGGCTAAATATCTATATTTACGGGATTATTGTGAGATTTATTTGTTTATGTAGCTGTTATATGTAATAGTAAATCTAGAAAAATACTTACTTGAGAAGATAAGCTTCAGAAAAGTTCTCTCTGGAAATTTGAAGCCGTAGTTTGTGAAAGCCAATTAATGCCTTAAGAGGCTGATAAAGTACTGGCAAGTCTTCCACAAATGTCCAGAGACGAGAAAGATAACCTTCCAATATACGGTTCTCATCATCCCAAAAATTGTCTGTTGCTTTGGTGTAGCCCTCATTCAAATATTCCAAGGGTACTAATTTTTTTATATACGTAGTCAGAAAGCTCTCGCACAAAACAACCAAGGGGACGCTTTTTCTGATGATGTCCATTTGATCAATTGTTAGGTTGTCAAGCGAAATGCCGGGAAGATTGTCTTTGAAATACTTTTCGTCCTTTCCACTGAGATATTTGCAAATAAACTCTGTAAAATCAATGCCTTGTCCTCCCAATGGCTGGGAAGCCTGAGGAAATGACAACAGCTTCGCGAATATGACCGACTCTTGGGAGCTCGACAATGGTTTCTTGATAAGGCGAGATAAGACAGGGAGCGCAAGGTATTCCACATCGAGAGAATCTCCATCCTTGGCTATCTGAGAAATACTTTTCCAGACAAGCTCCTCTGAATTAATTATTTTCTGAGAAAAGGTTGAAGGAAGAATCTTTTGTATCTGTGCATCTGTTGACTGATTGTCCTGGTCCTCATCATGTATGGCCGGAATCTTATCAAGGTTAAGAGCATCTTGAAGAAATTGTGTTGATTCCTTTTTGTCAAGTAAATAGACCAGGACATAGTAGCGGCTCTGGAGTGCTTTGTATCTGTTGTCATACTTGGCATTGGATGTTCTCAACTTGAGTTTTGCTTCGTAGCCCGTCAGGTGCTTATGAAAGCAGTTCATAAGTTCGCGTTCTTCTGCGGTTGGGTCCCTTGGGTCTTTATTGTCCTTGGAATTAACCTCGTCCGCGAGCCTTTGGAGAATAATGAGACCAGAATAGTAATACCAGTCCTCCGAGTCTCGAAGTGCATAATGCTCAACCGCTTTCTCACGCGCTTTGATGTCTTTGCCGGCAAAGGCGAAGGCTTCTTTCAATTCATCTACGCTGGGCATGGCAATTCTTTTTTTTCTTTGTCGGGTATTTTTTCTCTCTTTGTGGGAAAGAAGAAATAAAGGAAAGATGATAGAAAGATGATACTAGTATTTAGTTATTTGTGTTCCTTTTATGCGTTTTGGAATATATGTATTCTTTTTATAATGCCCGGTTTTTCTCAGTTTGACTGTGGTAGTTTATACTGCATGACTCACGGCCATTCCTTTTTCGTACACATATCCGTGTTACTGTAATCACTATTACCACTCTTAAGAGATTTCGCTTCTTCAAAAATCCTGTCAATTCTTGTATATGGCCCAATTTCTAGACTTTATTTTTGGGTGGATTTGTATTGATTAAAGATATATATAGAACTTTGGGTAACAATGGATCAAAAACAAAAGGAAAAAAAACGACTGGTAAACTGTTGTAAAATATGTACAGGAGTTAATCCTCGAGCGTCTAGTAAACTCAATATTCGCCAAGTGTATAGCCACAATGTTTTATGCATAGTTCAACAGGTTTCATTATTACCGGAAGAATACAAATCAAGAAGTTTTTATCGAATTGGTATTTATGGAATATCTAAAACTGAAATCCTGTCACAAAGTTGCTTCATGTCAGGGCATCTATATGTTTCATTTGTATACTGCAAGCTAGTCACCATCCAGTTAACAGCATAAACCTTGAGAAAAGAAACACCAATTATTGTGCTGGTGTTTGAGCGTGTGTAAATACCACTCATACCAATGTTGTTTATTTGACTTAATTTTGGAAATATTTATGTATATGTTTCAACCCTTCCTTGTTTTTGGTATTAAGCCCAGGATTTTAGTTTAAGCAAGAGGATTTTATTCACACACAATTGCAACACACAAACAAACATTCTATAATTGTAGTTTACTGCAAATTTATGCTTTTGGCTTTTTCAACAAACGCCCGAATCTTCTTCAAGTCCTTCTTTCCATCCGTTTCGACTCCTGAAGAAACATCGACTGCCCAAGGACGCACCTGCTGAATAGCCTCAGAGATATTTGAGGGATCCAATCCACCAGCCAAAATTACTGGGAAAGTCTGTTCCTTTGAGCAACCCGGGCGCTTGACATTGACAATATCCTGAGCAATGGTCCAGTCGAATTTTTGACCAAGTCCACCCTGTCGGTCCATGGGGAGGCTTGGAACTTTAGCATCTAGTAGTACGAATTGATTGTTGCCAGGTTGTGTGACATAAGGAATCTGTCCTGCATGAAATGAAGACGCGTCCATGTGGAATGCCTTGATAACAGGCACAGGTAAGAAACGTGCAATTTCGGCAGACTCTGTTCCATGTAACTGAATGAGGTCAAGACCAGCCTCTACTGCCACCTGAGACATGTACTCGATTGACTGGTTGACAAATACGCCGACTACCAAAGGCTTTCCAGACCGCTGTTCTACCATTTCAGTCTGAACATCAAACCAGTCTATACTCTTCTGACTCTTGACAGGCAATTGTGATGAGCGTGTGGGAAGTTTGTGTAGAGCATCAACAATCTCGCGCGCCTTGGCTACAGTAACCTGTCTCTTTGACTTTTCGGCAAAGATAAGACCAACCAAATCTGCCCCAGCAGTAGCAGCCTCGACAGCAGCCTCAACAGAAGAGATTCCACAGATCTTGACCTGAACCTGACGAGAGACTGGTGTGTGCGGTACGGGATCCTTCTTCTTGTATCCCAGTAATTCGGCTACAAATTCTTTCAGGTTCCAAGCGCGCATTAATGCTTCACCGACTAATAATCCATGGACACCTTGAGATACATAAGTTTCTACATCAGCGCGGGTAGAGATTCCAGATAGGGCACAAAGAATAGTTCCTTCAGGTACCATCTCGGCCAGACGTGAAGTAGTCTCCATATCCACATCAAAACTGTGCAAGTTTCTGTTGTTGACACCAATAAGCTTAGCTCCAACAGCGTTGGCCCGTGCCATTTCTTCAGCATTGTTGACTTCGACAAGGGGTTCCATACCCAAAGAAACAGAATATTGGTACAGCTCTCTGAGTACTTCGTCAGACATCATTGCGACAATAAGAAGCACCGTGTCCGCACCATAGAGTCTAGCTTCAAGGATTTGGTAAGTGTCAACAATAAAGTCTTTGCGGAGTATACAAGGGCGGTTTGGCAACAGGGACAAGGCCTCGCGGACCTGGCGAAGATCATTGAGGGAACCACGGAACCATTTTGGCTCAGTGAGAACGGATATTACGCTAGCCCCAGCCAACGCATACTGAAGTGCCTGCTCAGCTGCATTAACAGTGATATCAATGTTGCCCTTTGAAGGAGATGCACGTTTGACTTCGGCCATAAGAGCGGGGGAGCTTTCCTTGAGACGGTTTACAACGTCACGCAGAGGAGGAGCAATGTGAAGGTTGAGCAACTTCTGAAGATCTGCCTGGCTCTGTCCAGGAACTTCTTTAGCTGCCTGAACATCCTTTACACGTTGAGCATAGATTCGGGACAGAATGGTGGGAACACCGTTGGGGGTAGAAATAGCAGGGGAGGCCTCTTGGGCGGCCTTCTCTGTTGCAGCAGCGGGAACTTTCTGGGCCAAAACACCGGCAGCGGGGTTCTCATCCCAGTTTCCACCGCGAAGACTGAGGAAGTTGCTGATCATGGTGTGACCATGTTCGCACAGAATACTTTCAGGATGGAATTGAACACCTTCAACAGTATACTTTTTGTGGCGAACACCCATGATAACACCGTCGTCTGTGGTGGCAGTGACTTCTAAAACTTCAGGAAGTGTGCTGGGCATGCCAGCAAGTGAGTGGTAACGAGTGACCTGGTTGTCCTGAGGCACATTCTTAAATAATCCACGGTTGTCGTGCTTAATTGTAGAGGTTTTTCCATGCAAGATATCACCAGCATAGGAAACAGTTCCTCCAAATACTTCGTAGATACACTGTTCACCCATGCAAATACCGAGAATTGGGAGTTTTCCAGCAAAGTAAGAGATGACATCTCTAGAAACACCGGCATCATGAGAAGGATGACCGGGGCCAGGAGAGATGACAATGTTGACGGGGTTTAACTTTACGATCTCGTCTACAGTGATCTTGTCGTTGCGATAGACTACAACGTCTGCCCCCTGAGAGCAAAGGTACTGATAGACATTGTAGGTGAAGCTGTCGTAATTGTCGATGAGTAGGGTAGCCATTAGAAGAAGTTTAGATAAAGAAAGAAGATTGACGGACTTAGTATTTATATACACATAATGCTGGAATTGTCAGTCTGAGTCACTGTGGGTCGATTTTATCTCCTTAACAGCGAGTCTGACAGTGCAACCCAAATCAGGATCTGGTGTAGATATTCACTGCAAAAAAAAAGCACAGCAGCAAAAAAAATAACAAAGAAAAAAAAGCTACAGCTGCAGTGAGTTCAAGACAGTCAATGAAAACCCGGTATGATTACATGTTACCTCCTTCCTTCCTTAAGCCATATCCACACTCAACGAGCGAGGCTGACCCTTAATCATGAGCATGACGTAGAATGTGACTATCAACAAGAAGAGCTTTGAGCATTCAAGGTGAGGTACGCGCAAGAAAAAAAAAGTACTGGAGATAAAAAAAAAAAAGAACGGGTTGGGTCCTAAACACCTCTTTAATATTGCTCCTCATGAACAACAACACAAATTCAATTCTCGATTCCTATGAATCAACCGACAATGCACTCATAGATTCTTTCAAGGCAGCTGCACTAAAGGTTACCACTCTCTATAAAGACTCTTTGGTCCAGAACAGAAAAGCCTATGCAGCAGGTTATCAACAAGCACTTCAAGATCTCTATGGATTTATTAGTTCACATCCTAGTACAACTGTGTCTCAGCAGGGAGACCCTTACACTGGGCATCCCGTTGAACGAGGTTTCTTACCTGTTCAAGATCTATTGGAATTTGCTCGGGAGAGAAATACACAGCTAACCTCTGAGATGGGATCCGATGACGGTATGGCACCTGCACAATCTCAGTCCATGCACATTACACAGCCAGCTACATCAAATCCACACACACAAAGACCCAGTCCTCCAGAACCTAAGACCCCTCAAACCTCATTTGGGCACAGTAACCAAACCGTTTTCTCATCTGGGTTTGACAACACACAACAGCAACAACAGCAACAGCAACAGCAACAGCAGCAACAACAGCAACAGCAGCAACAACAACAGCAGCAACAGCAACAGCAGCAGCAGCATGGATCTACATCTGGGCACCAATATGAGACTCAGGCACCACTTACGTCTCAGGCCACAAATCCTTTCCAGGTAGATCCCAACACACAATTCACCTTTTCGCTCCCGCATAATGCACCTACCTTGCGTGCATCATATACTCCGGTCATGCATACTTATGACACTAATCACTATCCCGAAACACCTTCAGATGGCTTCAAGAGGAGATATACACCTTCCGACTTCTCATTTATGGGGCGGTCAATCAACAATATGAATTTGGACGCATGGTGTGAACCCCCTCACAAACGAGGAAGATCCAGGCGGGATGATTGACTTGTAGCATGCACGGAAAAAAGTCATATCACTTAAGTAGATCCTTCGCTTGGTGCTTTTATCTAGGTGTGGGCCTTGTCGCAGAGCGTAATCAAGGTGGCAGCTTATTGTATAGAAAACACGAATATTAAGAGAAGAGGGAGGGTTGGTGAATAGAGCTTGTTGTCATAATTCTTGTATATTATATAGAGGTTTTTCTCTGTTGTATTTAAATCCCATTGCTGTACTTTATTTATGGTCTTATTTTTTTTTCATTTTTTTTTTGGTTGACCATACGAACAACCTATTTGTTCTTAATTACATGTTTGTCTATTGAACTATTGTTTTTACCACACTGTGTCTGTCTCTCTGTCCCTCTGTCTCTTTCTGGGTTTTTGGTTTTTGGTTTTTGGTTTTGTATTTTGAAAACTAAAGTCAAGGAGTAGAATATTTGGGGAACAACACCAGTTTGATTTGACCTATTGTCCTGAATTGATTGATATCCAACCCTTTTTCTTTTTTTTTTATTCTTTCTGTTTTGTTTTATCCATTTGATTTTACTATTTTTCAGTCTAAGCATGCAGTGATCTTAATTACCATTACACAAATCGATTTCCCTAGGTTCTTTTAAAAAGTCTTCACGATTTTATTTCAAAAAATGTATATGATTTTCCAATGGACAATAAAGAATGTACGCTATGATGGTGAACAATTAAAAGAACAAGAAATTGTTAATCATTGCACTAACTTGTATTTAGTAAAGTCTTGGTTTGCCAAAACAGAATACAAAGGCCACCCGACTTGACTTACTTGTAACTATATATTACAGTCACTGTAAGGACTTTTTGTTTTGTTTTCCAGTTTCATTGTAATGTGTGTGGGCTCATGTATGTGTTTGGATGTGTATGTGTATCGCATTCTCTTATTTTATTGATCGATTTTATCTTTTAATAATAACTAACCACCAATGTCTTGGGTTTCTAGCCAAAAAATGAATATTAGAGAGTTTGTTAACTAATCTGGTAAGGTTTGGGGTTAGCGTTATGACCTTCAATACCATGTGTGGCAAATAGACAAAAAAGTAATTATCCTCCGGATAATTCAATATAAATCAAGAACGCAATCAACTGTCAAGAGAGTAAAGTAATGCGAATATCACTATTCAGCCAATTAAAATGCAGGATTATAATATATATATATATATATAGATAAAGCTATGAAAAATATAAGGGAAAAATGCTTACAGATGCAGAAAAATATTAATTAAAATCTTTGTATCAATAAGTAAGCTATGTTTCGTATTAATATTTCTTCCAATGTACCCAAATCGGTTTATGAGTGTTCCAATTGTAGGAAGAAAACCTGCATTTTTATTTATTTATTTATTTATTTATTTATTGGAAATCATTATAGTAAAACAAAAGAAAAAGAAAGCCAGTACCAATTGCTATAGAAAATCAAAAATTGGGGTTAATCAGAGTAACATTTGTACACATATATATATATATATATTTTTCAAAGCATTAAAGCAAATTGTCCAATCATAATACCTGGTTGTCTTGTCAAATTGTACAAACGTTCGTGATTGAGTACCCTCAATGTACATAATATTCCTCCAAAAAACAAACACACACACATAAAAAGCCACATCAGTTAGACACACAGTAGAATTTGTAAGGTGCTGTGTGTGTGTGTGTAGTGTTTATGTAAATTAGAATAAAAATATATGCATCATTTTTCATAATTTTTATTGTATTAAGATAATTCCTTTTTCTATAGTATGCCTGCCACAAAAAGAAATAAAGGTATAAAAAGAGAAAAAAATATTTAATAAAAAGCATTATTCTCTTGTATACAGCTACATATTTCAATACGTGTTACATTGTCTATATACATGTATATGTATATAATTCGTTGAGTGATTATCTGAGCTTATAGAACCAAAGAAGACAAAAACCAAGCCAAATGGGAATCATGTTGATCGCATTGCAACAATCGAACGTCGCTCGAAACGTACCCGAATCCAACGAGTACCAGCTAAAGCTATAGATGATAGCCAGGACGAATACGAAGAAGAGGAAGAGGAAGAAGTAAAGGAACAAGATTCACAGAATGTCGTTAAGAATGAGAATGATATAGCTTCAAAGCTGAAGCCAAGCACAATCAAAATTCCACACCCAAAAGGCTCTCCTTTTGCAGACGCCCTATCACCAAAAGTACTAGAGTTCTTAGCAGACTTGAAGGAAAATAATACTCGAGAATTTATGCTTTCCAGTCAGGTATATTAATATACCAATTTTAACTTACATTCAATACAAGCATAATAATGTTAATGTTTGTATCCCAGGATCGATGGAAAGATACCCAGAAAGAATTCACAGACTTTGTTGGTATGCTTATGGAACAATTGCATGATTTGGATCCCACGATTCTAGTAGAGAACCCAAAACTATCAGTATATCGACAGCAGTAAGTCTTATTGTGTCATTGGTATTTCCGTTTGTGTATGTGAAATGAATTAAACCCTTTATATTCTTCTCTCTTTCTGTTACAAAGCCGAGATTTGAGATTTACGAATGACTTGAGGCCTTACAAGACATACCTCTCGGCCTCTTTTTCGAGAGGAGGCAAAAAATCTCCATTTGCTGGCTATTACTTTGCAGTTGCACCAGGAGGAGGCACATACATTGGGGCAGGAATCTGGCAACCTTCCGCCAATCGCCTGCAAAGCATCCGAGAAGGCATAATTGACCATGCATCCTTGTTACGTGAAGCATTGGAGCTGGAAGGCATGGAAAAAATATTTGGAAAGCATGGTATATCACTGCTGGAAGACACTGACAAGCTCAAGACAGCACCGCGGAATGTAGACAAAAATCATCCAGAAATCGAACTTTTGCGGTACAAGAGTTTCGTTATTTCAAAGAAATTTGATGACTTGGACGTTGTTTCAGAGGGATTTTTGGACAAAATACTCGATGTATATGAAGCAATTGTTCCTTTTGTTACCATCTTGAACTCATGGACAGGATAAATAAATACTCAATTGATTTAGCAAGTAATACTTAATTCACATAAAAGAAGAAGTAAAAGACGAGTCTTAATTAAAACAGAAACTATTTTGTTTTTATTATTGTTTCATTTTCACAGGAACTAGTTTTGAAACTAGGAAGCTTTTCAAAAAATGAATTACTTATATCCATTATTTAGAATAATAGCAATAATTTATATGTATTTATATTTTTATGCGTGCATTATATTACACCAAGTTTCAATTTTGATTTGCAGATGTGTAAGTCTATTTAGCTATTTGATATTTTTTTTGTTATAAATAATGATGCAAGTATGATGGATATCGAGGTGATTTACCCCTGTGCATCCACATCAGTAACTTGCTGCTGTGGATTCTCTTTTAGAACCGGATCACTCTGAGCAGCAAGAACTATTCCATCAGATATAATATTGACTGCGTCAATTGCTGCCGCTGCTTGTTCCTTGCTTTCCGCTGGAGCAAAATAGCTCTTTATGGCTTCTTGCATGAGCTCTAGTTTTGGTTGCTTGCCGTCAGGATAATAGGCTGAAATGTCATCTCGGAATCTAGCAGATTCACAAAAAAAACAAATCAATGTTTAATGTTTTCAATATTTCGATTATTATTATTATTATTTTGTATTAAAAAAAACCAAACTTACTGAATGCAATCAAAGTCCCAGGTAGGTAACCATTTTGCCTTTTCACAATCTTTTTTTGTCCATGGCTCACCATATGTGATAGGTATGAATGAACGGTAAACGTAGATGACACACATCACAAATGCAGCAGCGGCAATAAGACGTTTACGATTGACAAGTCTGATGGTTAAGAGGTCAAATCCAACACCAAATAGCAAAATAGCAAAGTAAAGAGCAGGCATATAGTGGTGCAAAAACAATTGGCGACCCATGAGGAAGAATGGGAAATAGTGGAAGCACCATCCCATGAGGAAAAATCCAGCGGATTCGTCATAAAACTTGCGAAGCCCTAATTCATATATTTAATTAAGTGACTTTGTCTCCAACGCTTACTTGTCAAAAGTGCCTTACCTCCAAAGTCAGTCTGGAAACCGCGTTTCTCTAATAGTAAAAATACTGCCTTGATTGCAATGTAAGAAAATATAGCAACTGTGCTTCCCCAGAAAACAAGGGGATTTCCAAGCAAATATATATGAAGGCCAAGATCTCCTTTTCCCCAGAAATTGATACCGCGTTTCAGTACAGGCCATGACTATGAATTAATAAGTAAATAAGTAAAGGTTATATCAAGTATAAGCAAAGAAAGAATCTATATATATATGTGTGTGAATATGAATCTGCTTGTGGATATTTACCGATGGTCTAGAGTCATAAGGGTGAGATGCAGTAAGACCCTTGTTAGTGTCCCACATTACTTTGTTCAACTCTAAGAATTTTCCAATAAATCCAGGACGATTGTAATTAACTTTTTCGGTATCATCTGGCACTTTTGATTTATAATGAATTATGAGAGAAAGAGACAAATTAAACATACATATACATAAAGTTCTACATGATTATAATCTTACACTGGGAGTTCTCGGTAGATTCAATATACCACACAGTCTTGGGTATCTTTCCACTTTTAATACACGTTACTTCCTGTTGACCGAATCCCCACTCGGGAAGTTTAACGCTATGGGAGAAAAGTGAGCACCCAGACATGACATGTATTAAGCGAAATCTTGAATGGATTGTTCGAAGTCTGTCTTCAGACTCAGGATCACGTTTATCATGGTCTATAATCTCAACACGCCAAAAATCATTGGCATCGCCATTAAATCCAGGAAATCCATAAGCACTGATATATATATGTATATAATGAGCTTATGTTATTATTTTTATAAGCCAATGTTGACACACACACACACATATATATATATTTATTACCTGACTTCATTGTGATAATCGAGATCTGTCATGGGAGGACGGTGTTCATGAGAATGGAGACGCTTTCCAGTATCTCTGTGGATAAGACGGATGATATCATTGTCTTTAACATATTCAATTCCAACGGTTTCATTTGTGGTCGACTTGTGAATAGTCCACCAATTGTTATTATCGCGGTGAGGATAAAGAGTAACCTGTTGTTCTAAACCACCCAAAAAAACAAAAACGTAAATAAATAAAGTATTTGGTATATCCCCTTTATTGCTATTATCATTATTACTATTGGCTCCTTGAAGATTACTTACGTTTACTTCCAGTGAGATAATCGTGAGGGTGTGAATGAAGGTAACCACCGCGAGTTGCAACATGTCTCAGATATACATTTGATCCATAAGCAATATCTAAAGAGTTATTAAAGTTTAATAAATCAGTATACAGCCAAAAAATGTGTCTCCTTTTTTTCGTGTTCGGATTTGTCTTGGCATTTTGTGCATTCTTACCGATTGGTGTATCAGCCATACTATGGCCTGCGAGAGTCTGTTGGAACTCAGGACTCATGAAACCATCACCTTCACCACTATTGGGAAGCGAATGGAAGTGAATTCCAAACATAAGCATGTATACCACAACAGGCAGTGCAATCAAACATGCTGCCCTTGCCAAAAAATGGCGTACAAACACATTCTGATAAAAAGAAGAAGAAGAAGAAATGAGCAACAATACCAATACCAATACCAATACCAAAGATAATAATGATAATAATTGGGCGTTAAAACGGAGTCCACAACTTCACATAAAGGTGTACCAGAAGAAAAAAAAACACATGTTATGACGGCTTACCACAGGAATACGCGAATCTCCCCACAGATCCCAAAGATTTTTGATGGTAGACACACCAATGGTTGCAATTGTGAACAAGCCAACCCACTTACAGCTGACTGTGAGGCCAAGGCCAAGACCAGTTAATGCCAGCCAGGTATACCACCAAAACTGAAAAGGTTTATTCTTTTGGTTGTGGAAGTTGATCCACATCAGGGTTGTAGCAGCCGTAAAAAATAAGAGTGGAGGGTCAAGTAAGATCAATCGATTGTTGGCAATTAAGCCATTCTCTAATTTTCAAGCCAACAAAGCAAAATATTTAATTTATCATTCAGGCTGTTTATTTTGCTTAAGCTCTTTATCTTATGAGAATCGCTCTGTATGCTCTTTCCGATCAAAACTGAAATTCACATTTTTTTTTAAAAAAAAAAAAAGGTTGATATTTACCATAACAGACCATTAAAGCTACCACAAGGCCTGCGGCGACAGAATGGCCTGATCCTCTCATGGTCAGATAAGCAATTGGAACTACTAGCAGTCCACAAATGCCACAAAAAACGCGAATAGGAACGTATGGTACGTCTGATTCAATGTAATCCCTAGAAAGTCATTCAAACCTCACCATCAATATCTGCCTTTTTTTCAATTCACCGATATTGAACCCCCTTCTTCTTCTTTATCTTCTTTTATAAATATATACATTGTTTTACTTACTTTCCAATGTCTTTAAAGTCAAAAACTCCGTCGAACCCAGACAGCTTGGCAACCAGCGCAATTAACATCTTGGCCAACTATAGAACATATTTGAGCAATCCGATGTCTTGGTGTATAACATATATAGGTATTTGTGTACAACAAGGAGGCGCGATTTTTTTTTTATTAATTTTTTTTTGTTATTCTTACCGGAGGATGCACGTCCATAAAGAAGCGGGTTCTTATGTACTTTGCTGCAAATCCACCAAAATGCACTTCATCAAACCTAAAATACATTTGATAAGAATATTTTCGATCTTCAAATCCTTAAAATAAAACAATAAAAATAAAATAAAATAAACCCCCCTCCCCACCCAAGAAGTAATAATAACAAATAAATAATGAATTGAAACTTACACAACAGAGGATGGCTGCCAAATCTTCCAGAGACGGACATAGGCTGCCCAGACAGTCAATGCGGCCACAATTTTCCAGTCTCGTTTCTGGGCTTCTTTGTGTGCAAGCATACGCTTATTCTTTATTTTTGCTTGTTTTGAATCATAATCTATTGAGAGGTCAATGTCATCAGACTCGTCATCCGAACGTCTCTGACGGCGCTGACGGAACATGTCTTGATGAGTTGCAGATGAATAGGACCGGGAAGGCTCTTCGATTATGACGGGAGTGTGGTCCTTCATATTTGGTTGTGGATAAGCACTACCATGCTGAAGGGGTGGGTAGTGGGTCATAAAGTGTCGCTCAGTGTATTATCTAGAGGTAATTGTAACAGCTTCCTTGAGAAAGAAAGAAAACAAAGGGCCAAGAAATTTGACAACAAGCTGTTTGAGAATAATTGTTGAAGGCCAGGTAAATAATAGAATAAAAGGAAAGAAAAGGAAAGAAGAGGAAGAGCGGAAAGCGGGAAGAGTAACAGAAAATGGGCTTACTTTTTAGGCTTGAAATTTACCAAGGTGTTAAGTAATTTAATTTAATTAAAAATAGATAATATAAATTACATACATAAAATATAAGAACATCATTTCTGATACAAGACGTCAGAATTCACACTATATATATATATAAATTATATTATTAGTTTACCATCAATTGGGCATTTCAGTTGCTTTAAGAAAAATTAGCCTGAAGTTTAAATGAATTATATCACTGCTTTGGAGACTAACTCTGTCAGAATAAATAACATTCTATTTAATTACTTGTACTTTCTTTTGAAGAATGATCTGGTCTATGAAAATGAAATCTAAACTCGATAAACCAAAAAAGAAAAAGAAAAGATAAACGTTACAGGGCTACTTTGATATTATTCACAAACATATTAATCCAATCATAGTACTCAAATCAATCACAATTTGTTTTATATAAACCCGACAAATATTCATGACTGACTACCCCTACGATCACTGTGCAGAAATGGCGAATTAACTATTAAAAAAAATACATAAAATTAAAAACCTATGCAAGTACTTTGAATACTGTTGTATATGTAACACATTATTCAAGTGAATTTCTCGGGTAGGTTTCTATATTTCGCAAATACGCACACACACGCGAAATATCTATTGCGAATTTTTCTGTAACCCGAATAATTGGGTTTAAAGGTAAGTATATTTGCTTTGCGAATCGAGCAGAAAAAAACAATGTATATACTTTCTAGAGAATGTACCTTTTATTTATTTATATTCCTTTCCAAACATGCTGGTATATAACAAATATATAAGTATAGATGATTTTGTAAATGCTTTGATGGTAATTGAGATAATGCAATCAACAAGGCATGTCTCTATATCTCTCTCTTGTATTATACATGCTATTCGAAATATCTAAAATTCATAAATATTTTACAGCAACAGATAAGAAAGGGATATCGACAAAGTCACTATACACCCAAAGCTCAATATATATATATATATGTTGAGATTATTTAATTATTTCCCTACTAATTATCATTCTTTTTCAACATAGTAACAAGTCATACTAGCGTCACCATAGAAACTGTTTTAGAAATTATAGCCTGTTAACTTAAGTTTGTTTGAATATTTTACTCTTATAAAGCAATAAAAAGGCTTGATACTGATTATATTCTAATGAATACAAAGAATGGTAAAGAAAGGCAGTCAAAGGATTATGGGACATGTTGTTTGGAATGAAGCAATGTCAATTACAGCGGAGACAATACTGAAGATGAAAGTCATGAAAGTCATGAAAGTAAGGGTAAAGAAAAGACTTTTAAGCGTGAGGACAGTATTGTAAGCGATTGGGTCAAAGACGTCAAAAGCTATTAATGAAATAATGGCCTTTGTTTCTTTACATTTTTTTTCTTTATTTATAATACGTAGCTATTAACTGTATAATTAAAGACTGGTTTGCTTAAGCTCTTATTGTTATGATTATTATTTTTATAAATTTTGATGTAAATTTATATTCGTATTTATAATATACATTTTAACTTTAGTTTTTTTTTTCATATTTTTTTAACATCCAAATATATACATATTTATTTATTTATGCTTCGCTCCATTGTCCATTTGAGATCTCGTTTTATTGGACTCAATAAAATCAATAAATCCCTAATGTCCACTACCAAAGAAGACAAACCTATTCTTGCTTTACCAGCATCGGCCGAAGAGACTGTCCAGGTAGGTGTTAATGACACCTACAAGCTCAGCGAACTTGGTCCTGTCGGTAAGTCATCTATCTCTGCAATGATAATAATAAACCACAATTACTATACCAAAGAAACCTTTTTTTTTATAAAAAAATAATAACAGAAAAATACTCATAATTGAATAAATTAGTTGTAAATGAAAATGGAACAATTAGCCGCATCAACAACTGGCATGAGATGAACGACATTGAACGTGCAAATGTCAATAGAATTCTGTTGAAGAGAAACAAGACTCGCCTGGAAAGATTAAGAAAAGAACAAGCAGAAAAGGCTGAGCAGGATTCTTAACCAATAATAACAATAACAATATATATGTATAAAGCCTTCTTTGTTTAGGCATTCAAATGCACATAATATATATATTTTTTTATTTAATTAATGTGTTGCTGAAAGGAAGAGGAGGTTATTTTATTATTTTACGGAAATCACATGGTTTTTTTTACTATTGATTTCTTGCATATTCTTCTGATGTGGGTGCCAAATCCAATCTATCAAAGCGATCATTTTCATAGAATCTGGCCGAGACAACACGACCACCAAAGTATCGACCATCCAAGTCATTAATTGCACGCTGAGCTGCCTCAACCTGGACGAACTTTATAAAAATTCGAACTGCCTGGTCATCGGCAATTTGACCATTTGGAACCTATTTTCACAAAGCAAATAAAGTTCACATTAACTCTTGTGTCACATATCCAGCAAGTCAACTTACTTCAAAAATCAAGCATCTCTCGACCTTTCCATACTTTGCGCACTCATCGGCTGTCTCTTCCTGTAACATATCGTCAACCTCGCCAGGTCCGACCATATTGGTCAGCAGGATAACCTGAGATTGTCGCTTGTGCAAAGGTGTCTGGGTCTTTGGTTCTGGTTGGGAGTTGATGATCATGCCACCTCCACGACCAGTTGCTTGCACTCGGAGTGCCTCTCGAATACCATCTTCACTTCTTCCTAGACCTTTAAAGTTCACAATTAAAATTTCGTTAGCCAAGAAACATGGTTTGAGTCCGAATATTTACCTTGTCCCTCTTGCCAGCCATACTTGGCCAACATCTTCCTTGCCATATCCTCTCCAGATCCCAATCCAGGTCCACTCGGTCCTGACACTGGTTCCTCATCTCTATTAAAGCAATAATAAACATACAAAGCCTTATTAAAATAAGCTACCTAAAAAAATCCTAACTATTAACTTACGCTTGTGTTGGTGGACGTTGGCTGAGACGGGCTCTACGCATGTATGCATCATCGGCTGACTCATTAAGATCCATTCGAATGTTACCGTCTATTAAGGATGCCATTGTAGCTGCTGGGGATAATGGTGCTTGTTCGACTGCAGCTACAGGTGAAGGTGATCGTCGAGAAGGCTGGTACAGACTGGCCGGAGGTGCAAAAGCATCTACCAAAACAAAACAAAAAAAAACAGGTTATGATTTTTGAATAATTTATCTATTTATCCAAAACAGAAAAAAAATGCGATATATCTTCCTTCCAAATAATGGACACTTACTGCCATGTTTTCTTACGGGTGATCGAGAGCGTGATCGAGAGCGTGAAAGCGAGCGTGATCGAGAACGAGAGCTAGAATAAGAGTCTTGACTAGAACGAGAGCTAGAGCGAGAGCGTGAGCGAGAATCATGTTTTCTCTTCTCCAACATTTCCTTTTTCTGCCGCTTCATTTTCTCTACATGCTGTTTCCGTTCTTCCTTGTAGTGCTCATAATCATTGGGTCTGTTAGGATCATAGTCCTCACTCATGTCAAATACAATGGGTTGTTGATTTTGGGTATTGTTCTTGCCGAAATGTTTGGCCTTCTTCTACCAAGCACATGTCCCATCAGTATTTCTTCTTTTGTTTCTTCTTTTGTGTAAAAAAAAAGCAAGAAGAGGGGTCGTATATCTTCCGCCTCTATCTCTCTCTTTCTATTAAAGAGATGGTTTACTTTCTGGGGTTGGACTGTACGAAACCCATTAACATCTTCAGTACTCGTCAAATAAGGCAAAGAACTCATCGTAAGGGTAGGTGCCGTAGCTGGAGCAGTTAAAGTAGGCTTTGCTGTCTGAGTTGGTTCGGATTCAACAGGAGGTCGTGGGTCTTTTTGGACAACAGTGGTCGAGACAATCCTGGCACCTGAAGGAATGACAGGCTTGACCAGTCTAGGCTTTGCTTGAATGGTTGGCTTTCGTATAACTGGTCTGAAATGTCCAAAAGAAGACCAGCCTGCTCAAGGCACAACGGGCAAAATAAGGATTGAAGGGGGAGTAGGTGGTTAAGCAACAATGCAAGAAAAAAATGTACAGTAGAAAACAAAAAGTAGAGTATATATGTGTATAATATATGTATAGCACACAAAAACACACGCCCACACACACTTCTTTTCTATTTCTTTATCTTAACGAAGAAGAAGAAGAAAATCAGCTATAGATGGAGCTCTGTGTGATACGAAAGAAAAACAATATCAAGGGCATGTACATGTACATAAGTGTACACAAGTGTACATGTACATTCTAAAGAGATGGATAATAGGCAGCCATGTTTATGGCTCTGTACCTGCGGGTTTAGAGGCCGCAATGGCAGGAGTTGGGTTTGGTGTCAAAGGAGATGGATCGTTTACAGGGGGAGGAGTGCCAAGACCAGAAAGTGAGGCATACAGTCCAGTCCTGGGTGCTTTTGGGGGTGGGGGTGGGGGAGGTTGTGTTGATGATCCATCTGCTGGTCGTACTTCGTCATTCTCTGACGTGGATTGCGATAATGAGCCAAAGAGAGAGAAAGACATTTGTAAATAAGAGAGAAAGGAAGGGAGAGAAAAATATATAAATTATATACAGAGGCACACGCACACACACACACACAGAAAAGTAGACAAGCGGAAGATCAAGTTGCATACAATTGATATTGAAATACAAGCCACAGTGACATGTTACCGTCTTAATACTGTTTTTGCTTGAAATTGAAACGAATTTGGATTCTTTGTCGCAAAAAGTGCTTATAAATTAAATCTGATTCGTCTACAAAGATGTTAAATAAAACTTGTAGTTTTGCATTTTCTGGTGTCTTCAATTATGAAGCAATATAACTGGCTAATATGGCTTCTTCATGACCATAGTCCCACACTTTAATCTCTCTCTCTTTTAATCATTTTTATTAAACTTCGATTATTCTTCTTTTTCTATCAAAAACTGGGCAATGTTTAGTGAAAAAGAAAATCATGGAATCTAAAAAAAAAATAAAGATGATAAGGACCTGAAGAGAAGAAATAGAAGCAGAGTAATACAAAAGCTATAGATGATGTATATTTTTACGTATCTATGTGCAACTTAAGCATTATATATATATATATATATATTAGCCAAAGTCAAGTGCATAGAGTGAAATAAATGTGGATACCAGACAAAGGGAAGTAAGTAATAAAAATAATTCTGGTCAATAGCCGGCAAATGGTAAGCATATATATACATAAATGACATAGAAGATAGAGATACTTCGAGTAAACAAGAAGAAATACAGGGATTATTAGGATATCATACTACTATAGCAAGACAAAATTAATGGGACACGATCCTAAGGCCGGTTTACAATACGCACATCACAGAAAAAAAAAGTACAAATTGTATCAAATCGTGTTGGAAATATCATAATTCGTACAAACCTGCTTAGGAACTACTGTGGGATTATATATTCTGATAATATTAAAATTGTTTCCAAAATAACTAATTGTCAACTAATGCAATATGTGATGAGATTTCATCGATTAACATGTCCAAACCAGTTACTTTGGTAGCCCTGTCTTCTTTTCCTGGAGGATATATATATATACCTGTACTAGACCACAGCATCAAAGCCAACAACAACAAGGCCAAAAGAGAGCTTTTTCGTTTATTTTTCGTTGTTTTCTGCAACTCCATTGAAACTGTGGCTCGTATCAAAGACTCTAAGCACTTTTTTTTTAGCTTATATTTGTTAAGACATTGGCGTTTTGAACGTCGTTTTCCTTCCAAGTGAATTTATAATGTTACAGATAAAGAATATTCTACAAAACAAAATAATCCATATTTGTCTTAATTTTTCTTTTCTTTTCATCTAAAATCGAATTCTCATTGGTTCAAAAAAAAGGAAGAAGAAGAAGCAATCCAACTTGTCTTAATATCAAGTTTAAACACTGCAATGCTATACTTGAGATGTATGATATATATTTTTGTTCTAAGCTGTGGACTATTATCGCGGATTAGAAGAGCTAGAAAGTTAAACAATGGACATTTAATAAAGATATTATGATTGTTAATGTATGTGTTTTAACAATATAGCGTAACAAATTATGAACTATTTGATGAATTGATTGGTTGAATAAACCCTTTATACGATTGTAAATTGTGTTGTGGAAATGTGTTTATTTATTTCCAGGGTTATTTTAGGGTAACCTTTTTGTTAGTCCATGTGAATAATCAATGCAAGCAAGGATGGCTAAGCTTTTATGGATTCACAAAAAGATAAGATAAGCTAAGAACAGCGAATTGATATGTGTATTTATATATTTGATTATTCTCCTAAACACACCAGTCCTGTACGATGTATCAGGATCCTAAACACCTATCCAAAAATAAATAATAGTAAAACTGTCCAAAAACGAACCTTGAATATAAAATAAGAAGAATACAAATCTTATTGCAGGCAACTCATTCTGTATGCTATGAAAATTTTCATTTGTTTCCTACACAAAACACAGGCCGTCAACGAATTTACTATAATCTAGTAGATCCAATCAAAGTGGCGTAATCAGGCTCTATACACAGTAAATGTCTCTTATTTTAACGTTCTGTTTTATGGCTCATTTAATTACAACTCCGCTTTTTCTCGTAAAAAAAAAAGAGAGTACCCCCAGTCCTGCACCCAGTCTTAACACCCCCCCCCCCCCCCCCCTTTAAAGACACGTATAGAGAGTTTTTAAATAATATACTAAAAACCAAACAAACAAATAAATAAATAAATAAATAATCCTAAAAGTTTCGGATATTTCTCCTTCTCTTTCTTTCTGTATCATAAAAAACATGCAAGCAAAGATCCAAAAGGACGCTCTTCACACAATTCACAATGATTCTGGATACAACGCGAATGTGTTTCCAGGCAAAAAGGACCAAATGAAAAAAGTAGTCTATCATCTGGAGCAGACAGGCTTCCTACCAAAGGAACTTGTCGAGAACGAAGTTCGCTGGTTTTATGAGTAAGTTGACCAGTCATATAAATAAGAAAGAGAAATTCACTAGTCTTGGACATACTCTAAATCATTCAATTCAGAAACTTGAATATCGACGACTACTACTTTGCCCTTGAGTCTGTTGAGACAATCGGAAGTCACATCATGGCCTTGTATGGTGCCAAGATCCTTGCCTACACAAAGAACGAAAACGTCCTCGATATAAATCTCCAGAAAGAAAGTGAAGAGTCGTCTGTATATGTCCATTCGTCAAAACCCGGAGTTTCGGTCTTGTCTGGACCTCAGATCGAAAAAATGTAAGAAATGACGCAGGCTTCAGTCAACCATGTAAATATCTGTTCACTTATATGTATGTATCTATATACGTGCGTGCGTGCGTGCGTGTGTAAATAATATGCAGGATCGATGAAAAGTGGTTGGATCCTTCTACTCCCACTCAAGCCTATCGTATTGAGTCATATCGGTCTAACGGATCAGCAACTCCAGAAAATACGCCACAGTTGCGTAGTTATTTTGCTACCCGCTGCCAATTTGCCAATCCTGAACCAAAGCCTGACAAGGAAACAGATATTAGACATGTTTCAGACAAGACATTTTTGGTGACAGCCACAGAACACACACTCAAGATCTATGAACAAGTAATGCGCAATGCCCTCAGACGTACGGGTCCAGTAATTGAAATGTATGAAGTGCAAGGTAGTCGCGAAAGGCGGTTGATCGTGGGTTATCGTCAGAGAAGTACAACCGGATTCTTTTCGGCTTTGTCGGATTTGTACCACTACTACGATCTCTACTCCACACGCAAATATGTCGGTAAGTCAAAAGCTGATAGATAGTACATGTTTTTATCTATGTTGATTTATGAAAAGTAATCTTTACTCACTCTGTATTTTCAACGATTCTTATTATGCTTGTAATATTCCAGAGCAATTCTCTAATGGAGTTACTATCATATCTCTGTATCTCAACCCACTCCCTATATCAAAGGCTGCTCCAATAGAAATCTCTATTCATCAGGTCATCAAGGAAATCTCTCTCCTCTACTGTCTTCCCATGACTCCTCTTCAGGAATACTTTCAGAGCGGCCAACTTTCCGTACAAGAAGCCGTATACGGATTTGTGGGTTGGATCTTTGCTCAGCATTTTCTCAACCGACTTGGCAAAGAATATCTTAGCCTGAATACGATCCTGGACTCAAACAACCCAATTCACCAAGAAGTTTTGACAAAGATGAAAAAGCGTCTACGCCAAGAAACATTTACCCGGGACTACATTCTAGAGATTATCAAGAACTATCCCGAGTTGATTAGACTTCTCTATGGAAACTTTGCCACCACACATTACGTCAACCAGCGTGAAGCATCTCTTAAACCAACAATATCTTACCAACGCCTGACGAACCTAGAGGTCATGAACACCGCCCAATTAACAAAGAAAATCAAAAGTGTAACATCCAATGCCCATGAGCAGCTTGTTTTTGAAGCCTTCCTGACCTTCAACCAACATGTTGTCAAGACAAACTTTTACCAATCTACAAAGGTCGCACTCTCTTTCCGCCTTGATCCTAATTTCCTTCCAGAAATTGAGTATCCTACAAAACTCTATGGTATGTTCCTTGTGGTCGGCTCTGAATTCAGAGGATTCCATCTTCGATTTCAAGATGTTGCTCGCGGTGGTATTCGAATCATCCGGTCGCGAAACAGAGAAGCCTATTCGATCAACCAACGTACCTTATTTGACGAAAATTATGCTTTGGCCGCAACTCAACAGCGTAAAAACAAAGATATTCCGGAAGGAGGGTCTAAAGGAACAATCTTGTTGGACATTGACCAGCAGGACAAGGCATTGGTGGCTTTTGAAAAGTATGTCGACTCCATGTTAGATCTGTTGATTGTAGGCGAGACCCCTGGCATCAAAGATAAGTTGATCGATCTCAAGAACAAATCCGAGATTCTATTCTTTGGCCCAGATGAAGGCACGGCGGATTATATGGACTGGGCGTCTCAGCACGCACGCAGACGAGGTGCCAGTTTCTGGAAAGCATTCACAACCGGCAAGAGTCAATCCCTTGGCGGAATCCCGCACGACTTGTATGGTATGACAACCCGGTCTGTGCATCAGTATGTTTTGGGAATATACCGCACATTCTCGCTGAAAGAACAGGATTGCACAAAGCTACAGACAGGCGGGCCGGACGGTGATCTTGGATCAAACGAAATTAAGATATCCAATGACAAGACAGTAGCTATTGTGGATGGTTCAGGCGTTTTGTATGATCCCAAGGGAATTAACCGTAAAGAGTTGAATCGTCTGGCAGATGCTCGTCTTATGATTGTCAGTTTCGATACCTCGCTCCTGTCGGCCAGTGGTTTTCGTGTACTGGTAGATGAAAACAATGTAAAGCTTCCTGGTGGTCACAAGGTCGAGAATGGTCTTCACTTCCGCAATACTTTCCACACAAATCCTCTGGCGTCAGCTACACTGTTTGTACCATGCGGCGGACGCCCGGAGTCTGTAGATCTTAATAATGTCAACGACATGTTTGATGAAGAAGGATCCCCGATGTTTAAGTATATTGTGGAGGGGGCCAATTTGTTTTTTACTCAAGAAGCTCGTTTGCGCCTCGAGAAGGCTGGTGTGGTAATATTCAAGGACGCATCGGCTAATAAGGGTGGAGTGACATCTTCCTCACTTGAGGTTCTTGCTGCTTTGGCCTTTGATGATGCCGAGTTTGCTCAACACATGTGTGTCAAAGATGGAAAGGTACCAGCATTCTACCAGGCCTATGTAAAAGAAGTTCAGCAAATCATCGAGCGTAATGCGGCAATTGAGTTTGATGCCCTCTGGAGAGAACACACAAGAACCAAATTACCTATTTCCTTGCTTTCTGATGAACTTTCCGTGGCAATTGTTCAGCTCAATGATCAACTACAAGAAACGGGTCTGTGGGAGAATCAGAAACTTCGTAGTGCTGTTCTAAGATCCGCTTTTCCTAAACTGCTTTTGGAAAAACTTGGTCTGGACACCTTGCAAAAACGAGTACCTGTCGCTTACGTCAAGGCCATTTTCGGAGCCTATCTTGCATCTCAATTTGTGTACAAGTATGGTGCCCAGCCCGATCATTTTGCGTTCTTTGAGTTTATGCGTGAGAATTACTATGATGCGACAAAGGGTGCCCTGGGTGCTTAGATGAGTAATTATGGATCTATATTATTCCACGTTAGCTTTACCATGTGTTGGTTATAAAAAGATATTCTATATATTCAAATAAACTTAAAATGAGGTATAAAAATATACAAGCAAATAAAAAATTATACTGGGTATATCAAATGAGCAATAAAGAAATACTTTCCACTTGGAAGCATTTTAGTCAACTACAATGACTACCTTGAAAACCAAAAATAAGCTTAAAGATTTATCCAACTACTTCTTGGAGCTAAATATTACATATATTGATTGCTGTAAAACTTTACTCTCAATGACCTCGCTACAACGTGTTGACAATAATGCAATCCCATCTTCAAGGCTCTGCTTTATATATCAATCGTTCCAAAGTTTCGAAATTTCTCATTATGTTCTTTAACATCATCTTGATCCTTTAATAAGTCTGTAGATATATAAGATTCTTTCCAGACTTTGGTAATGTGCATTATACATTTCTATTTCTATTTCTATTTTATTTTATTTTATTTTATTTTATTATTATAGCTGTGAAAATAAAAGCACGAGTCTAATACAGGTAAACGAAAGAGCTGAATGGTAATACGAATATATACCTTTTCTTAAAAATATACATATATTTACAAGCGATAAAATTAAATAGATTTGATTTCAAGATAAAAAGGGATTGTTCAATATAGGTCCAGTGTTAGCTCTCTGCACACTTTGGGCATACTTTTGCCGAGCTATTTTCAGTGGGTGACAATGAAATGATAAGATATGCACCATGTTGGGTACAATAACGGTAACATCTTGTACAATAATCTTCAGGGTCTGTTGTTAGCATGCGATTACAGTACGGACAATTTCTGCGGCAGTTCTCACAGCTCCATCCTGATTCTAGCGTTTTTCCACATTCGCATTTGACAGGAGAGGAACTTTGATCATATGAACTTTCCGAGTTTTCATCGCTAGGAGTAAGTGTAGAGGTGTCGGAATAATTTCGATCCATGTTTACACCAGGACAAAACGCTTGAATCCAAGTTGATTGTCTTTGTAACTTATTTGAAAACTTGCGCTTTGCGGTATAGTCGTCGTGAATACATGTTTCTGTCAATGCTTGATTTTGTTGGTGGCATAGTACAGAGGTTTGATTATGCATTGGCTTTTAGGTAGTATATTTTTATATATAAAAGAAAGAGTAGGACTTGTTGATTGAGACGAGTGATAAAGTGAAAAAGTTAAAAAAAAATTTAACTTTTCTCTTTCTTTCTTTTGCAAAGAGAGAACTGTTTATAAATCTCTGTAATTCTTAAAATTTATGCTTTTTGGCATTTTTGAAAATGTTTCAAATTTAATATAAATTATTTATCTCCAATAAGGTCGTGTCCTTTAAAAACGAATTCTGGTGTCAATAGAATAATTAACCGCATATATTTTCTATTATAAAATAATTACGCAAAGCGCAAAGAAACGGTTTGCGAGATTTCATTAGAAACATTATCGTATTAGTTAGTCTCTTGTTTTAGAGTATTGGAATCTTTAATTTGTTTCAATTTGTTTCATAAATCTATTGGAACATTCTAGCATATTTCTTGAATTAGAAATTCCAAATACCGCATATTGTTCATTCGTATTTTAACTTTCTAAACATAACCATTACTTTCAGATATGAAACCGAAACCTTCACTTGCCGTTTCTGTTCACCCGACTTCTCGGTGTAGTCCACAATGGGATGATGATAAATTTGTATAATTTTACCGAAAATTTATGTCTTTATTTAGATGTTTCAATTTTACCTTTTGTTTTCCGTCTTTTTTTTTTTATTGAACACAGATGCTTATTGGCTAATAGAACTTATAGTAATAATAATATTAGGAAGCATGGTTGTTCTTTATACTGAATATTTGCACGTTCAGAAAAAGAAGTAGACAGAAAAAGCTTGAGGTGACATAATATTGCAGCGTTTGATAGAAATGTCGATCATAATAGATTTTATAAATCTCGAGATTATTTCTATACATTTAAAGCAATGGGATCTTTCTTTTTATTATTCAAATATATATTTCTTTCATTTGAAATTACTACTCTCCATAAACAAACATACATTTATATATATACATATATACATTACTAGTCTCACCTGCAGTCCAAGCTCACATACAAACATGCAATACCACATTGATATCCACCATTCTATCTTTTATCATTATTGTAGTATCCCCAGAAGTTACATTTGATAAAAACATTTCAAAATTTCATTTTATAATATAGCCTCCTTCACTAGTAAACTTATTCATTTGTTTCTCTTTTCTAGGATCATTTTATGAGATATCGGCCTTCAATTTCCAATATAAAAATGGGAGTTAAATATCTCCAATATTGCCAGCTTCGTAGTGAGCATAAAATTTGCTGGTTTTTCTGATCATCGTTATATACTATTATTCGATTTAATAAAAAACACTTAAAGTGCAAAGACGTTTTTTTCTTAGAAAATTAATTTACATGGGATTCCATAAAGTAGATAATAAAATAACCAGTTTTTTAAATAGGTATTCTCATAAGTTTAACTGCCAAACCTGCCCTTTTTTTTAGCCACATTTAAATATAACTGCTTGAAATGCTCACGCATATACTAAGCCATGCATTATTATAGAAAAGTAAACATATAGCTTGTAAAGTTGGCCTAGCATATACTTATCAAAACTTTCTACATTTCATCATTATATTTTCCATTAATATTTTTCTACCTATAGATTAAGTGTATCATTATTATATTATCAATAGGAAAAGCGTCGGCAGCTTTGTTAACCTTACACATTTGACTAGGAGTATAGAAAGAATAAGATTGGTAGTATTGGATTTACACTTCTAAAGTTGGGTTGAGCATAGTACTAATTAACTGTTCCTAGATTGTTCAAACTTTAAATAGTTTTATTACTAAATATTCAATCAATAACTATATTTAGTGTAAAATCCCTAGTTTTGCCCTTTCCATGTCTCTAACAAGAACTAAAAAAAATTAAAATCCAACTTTTTTGGAGTGGAAGTCTTGTATTCAATATCAAAGTACACGTTACTTCAAATTGATCGGAACGTTTTAATGGCTTGTTGTTTTGTAGTGTGTAGATAGTAGGTTAGGATAAAATGGAACAGTATATTCCATACTAAAATAAGCAGACATATCCTAGATTTGAAATATTAACTTCACTAAAGATAAGTTTCATTTTGAAAAAAAAAGACGCATTTTTTCGGTATATTTTTATAGTGTTTATATATATATATTCGTTCTTCACTCTTTTTGAAACTGTATGTATTATTATTATTTATTGATAGAGATGTACCAGACCATACAATAGTGTGTGAAACAAAGTATACGACAGCATTCCATTCATCGCACCATCTATAACCAGATCCCTCCAGCCATGAACAAAGAAACGTGATGGCTTGCTTCCACAACTGAATATAACCACAAACGCAGACAAGATAGACCATCCGAGTGCGTAAAACAGAAACCCGGACCAGTTTGTAAAGCCTAGAATACCAGCAGCCGATCCAGCAATGGCAGCAAAACAGGAGCGGATGAACTGAAGTTGTTTAGCATTATGGGCCAGATGAGGCTGAACAAAGTTGTGTGAGTCTTGGCTTGGTGGATTCATTTTTGTCCTATATATATATATATAATAAAGAAAAACAGATAGTGCTTCCGAGCAAAGGTTCTGGAGGCTTTACTTTCACTTGATTGCCTGCCTTTAAGTCATTAAGGCCAATGCTTACCAGATTAAACGTCCGACACCTGTATGTGACGTTCATCTGGGTGTGAAAAAAAGTTTAACAAATTTAGATTTTTATGAGAGACAGGTAAAAATATTTTATTGCCGCTTTTCTAGGCTTTGTGAACTATAGTACATCTCTTTCATCAAAGGCATAATCTTCTCCTCATTCGAATTGGCAATATAAAGAAAAAACTGCCAGTCAGAATCGGTTGGGCTTCTTTTTAACTTCATTGGGGGTACTCAGCCAGACTGCTCGAACAAAATCTTATGTGAATTTTAGCCAATGATATCATTTTGGAGTTGTGGGCACCAAAAGTATAAAATTCGTACAAAATTCGTAGATTTTTATAGCATTTTTAGAATAAACTTTTGCACATTCTGATATCTTTTTTGAGCCCGTATGCACATATGCTTTCGAAGAAGCCAATTCTGACAAGAACGACAGAGAAATAAACCGATCACTGCTGCGGAGTAAGTCGGTAGAAATGTTATGAATATTCTTTGCAGCATTTGAATCACGGTTCCATACCGTCGTACACCTTTGGAAAGCTATGCCAATAATTAAACTATTAAACGCAAAAGTCATATTTTCCTTTTAGCAATAGTTAAATAATTATTATAAAACGTTAGGAGTCTGGCTCTTTTGAAGCAGATGTAGTTTATTTTTAATTTGAATGTCTTAAACTCATCAACATAGGGAAATATCAATCAATCCTCTTTTTCTCCTCGTTTAAGCATTCTAAACAAAGCTCTTGTCAACTCTAACTGATATCACTTTAAGTCCACAGAGTCTTATTCTTTCACCCCATTTACACAAGCGATTATAAGAATCGTGCTTTTGCCGTACTTGAGTTCCAAGATTTTCTACCTATAAAATATAGACGTAATTATATGAGTTTTAGACATCTGAGAAATCAAGAGTATATTACCTATCCTTAAACTTTGCATTGGCTTGTTCTTTATTACCTTGGCTTCGAGACGCAAGAGATTTTTTTCTTTCTTGTCCGTTGAAATCCGCGGTGTGGTTAGGCATTTGGTTAGAATTCTTCGGCACCGTCTCTCCGTCTTCTGCACTCTCTTCTGCATTCACATCCTTTCTCCTCCCTCTCACGCTAAACCCCGGTATTCCAGCCGCTTCGGTATTTGGACTGAAAATCCTTGCTATCTGGGACCACCACTGGGCACTCTACTTCAATCCTGCCCCCTTTTCTACCTTCTTTGGTTCTTGCCACTACTCACAAATCAATCTCTCGCCTCTGATTTGAGCCCGAGCTTGACTCTGCTGATTCTTCCACCGCTTAAAAAAATTCATTGACATTTTAACACACTAGCAAAAATCGCACAAAAACAAGTGAAAAATCAAGAAGCCATAAACATCAAATAACCCCCATAAACCCTCGAAACAGATTTTGCAATTTTCTCTTTCGTCCTACTTATTCAGAGAACTTTAATAAACCTGAGCCTATCACAGCTCCATACAAACAAAACATATTACCTTGGCTTATCTTGTCGTTTTTTTTATCCTTGTGCCCTTTTATGTGTGTGTTTTTACGATTGTACATTCTTCGACTGTCAATAAAAGTGCTACCCATTTAGTTCTGCTCTCTCTGAAGACTTTGGTACAAATGGAGGTATTTCTTCGCAATGACACTTATGTACTATTTGAAGTAGTTTTTCAATCTTGATTCGACATATTCTAGATACAGTATATATCCTAAAATTGAAAAAGTTTTTGGGATCAATTTGTTACTGAGTATATCTTGCATGTCTCCTTTTCAGCTCTTGTAACGTTTTTTTTTGTTTTCTTGTTGAACCAAAGACTGTATAACTTTTTGAATAAATCTTCTCAATTGGTACCCTAAAATCCTACCTCCTGATACTGATGTAAATATAGAAGAATGGCCATAGTCAATTGCTGTCAAGGGAAATATTTCAAGATCTACATGTACCAGAGCTTCTTGTAAATCTTCTGTTATGTAATCAAAGTCTAAACTATAAACGGTTTTATTACTAGCTTATATATATATTGAAATATCTGCCAAATAGATGTTATTTCTTAAAGAGTCTGAAAAAATGTGTTTATTTCGTTTAACATCTCTTATTAGTTACTCACTAAATGTATATACGTGCATATTAATATAAGAAATATATATGTACGATTGCTTACGGTTTGTACCTTTTCAGTTTTAGCTTTGAGAACTCAAAATTCTTAAAGTAACATATGTTGACCTTGAATAAAAGATGTATTCACTTTTTGAAAGTATTTTGTGAATGCTCTTTTCCCTATAGAGTTTATAAAAAAGTACCTGAGTTTGGAATAGGGCCACGAGGTTAATGCAGACAACATTTGTAAATCCGTTTTAAACTTTTTATTGGTCTTCTTTGTCGACTTTCGGTATTGCATTCTGCCCTACTGATTTTTTATTGGACTATTTTTCTTTATTATGTTCTTACTCATGGTCTAACATGATACACATTAGTACCGGTATGTAAAATACGGGGAAGATAAAGTCAATCGTGATAGTACAACAGATCTTTGAATACAAACTCGAAATAAATCATCGTAAACGAGATTAATAAGACTCTTATGTTTATCTGAAGCTAGGTTTTCCAGAGTCAGCCAGCTGTGAAGGAGACAACACACTTTTTGGTGGTCATATTGGCTGGGCACGTTCTTCGTATCAACCATGTTAGACTAAATATGTAGCACTTAGATTCAGGTCAGTATCAATAATTATTTTTTATTTCGCTGTATCTATAATAGGGTGTTTCATTATCTCTTCAGATAGATATTCAGATTATAATTCGAATAGCGGGCGTTTAAATAGTGAAATGATTGGCTTAGAAGAATCTGAATAGAGTTAAAATGTGTAGATTTAATGGTGAAAAAAGATTTCGGGTTGAAATTGAGGATTGCTCATTTTGACGTCTTGAAATACTTAAAGCAAGAATTTATAACTTTATTTACGGTTATGTACACTCTTTCCGGAAATTATTGGTGCAAAAATAAAAAATTATTTAGTGCAAAAATAAAGATAAAATTTGGTGCAATTTTTTACCATTTCTCTGCTTAATTCATCTTTTTTGGTGCATTTGGTGCATTCCATTTTTGCACCAAATAATTTTTTATTTTTGCACCAATAATTTCCGGAAAGAGTGTATGTTTCTGAATGCTAAAGCAAAGACGTATTTATTCGTTTGCTTATAAGATTATTTTATGTATTATGTATTATGTATTATGCATCATGTAAATTATATATTGGTGTTCACATGTAGGAATGTATATGAATAAAATAAAATGTAAAAGTATAGGATCCTCAATTTCTGTAATGACCAAGCCTGAGCTGTTGCTCATTATATCTAGCAGCTTGATGAATAAGCTCATCTTCATCTGAGGAACTATCATCATCAAGATCATATTCTCCATTTGCTATGAAATCAAATGTATTAGAACGGAACTTTGTACTGAATATCAATATTGTGCTGGACTTTACCTGTGAAAACATCATTACTGCGTTGAGGACTAGTTTCGGAAGCTGATATATATTCATCATGATTGTGGTATAATAGAGTGTTGGAGGTAATCGAAGGTTGTAAACGGTTTGATACGAGCCGCACGTTAGATATATTGGATCTCTGACTATTAGAGCGGATATTTGTGAATCGTTGTTGTTCTTCCATTTGTCTTATTTCTAAGGCTTTCATTCTAGCCTGATATTCTTCAATATCCTCGTCATCTGAATCATCAAACATATCGTGAGTTTCCACACCTCCCTCGCTTGTTACGATTGATGGGGCCATAGATATAGAGGAGGTGATATTATCTTCAGATCCATGAGTATAGAGGGGGGTATTATCATAAGGGCCAAGAATATTGCGATAAAGAATATCTATTTCGGACTCTTGGTGCTGATTGCTAGCTTTGCTTTCACCACAAGAACGATTGTGGAGAAAAGAAGCTTGAGATGACGCCTTTTCATAAGTGTAAGTTGATCCTTGAGGGTATCCATCTGAAGTGGTGTCCTCCGAAGTATTGGGCTTCGTATATGTTTCATTCGCGCTCCTAAAATGGTTTTCAGAACCTGACATATTTTCGGTTCCTCTTTCTGAAATTCCAGGGTGCATCGTATACTTTCCTAGAGATGGTGACGATATAAAAGAGCGGTATGAAATAGACGATGCTGTGCTAAGAACACGCTGAACAGGACGAGAGTTAGAGTCTAAACCCGGAGGTGGTGGTGTTGAAGGCGGGGATTTAGATACTGTGATGGGGTTGTGTGAAGGCGATTCAGGCGGGGTTGTATTAGAAGTGGATTTCTTATTCTTAGCCTTGCTACGGCCAAATGAAAACAACCCTTTCGATGACTCCCTGAAACCTGGTTTTACTGGCTCCAGTGGCTCGACATCATCAGGTTTTATCTGTCGTTTGAACCTGTCCATAATATTCCTCTTTTTCACATCATCTTTCTTTGGATCAGAAACCGCTCGGTGTAACGGAGAGACAAGTTCGATGTTTTCCTTAGATACAGAATCAATCCAAAGAGGAGTGTCCACTATAACGTATCTATTTTCAGGTAGACCTTCGGCAGCGTAGACAGTGTCATTCCCAGATACCATCACACATACTTTGTAGTTCACCTCAAATATACCATCGTTATTGGTGATTGTAGGAAGTATGTCATCAGGTATTTCCAGAAAACGATCAAGTTTCTTTGGATTTTGATGAAAACTTTGTTTCATATTAATTGTCTCTTGTTTTGTCCAAACTACCGTGTCATTAAACTGACAGTTGCTAAATTTAATCATAGCTGTTAGTGATGCATCTGGTTATTTCGAATAAACTTATATATTTTTCTTTACCTTTCTTGTATACGGATGCTGCAAATACGTACAAGAAGGTATGTAATAATTTCGTCCCGGTCATGGCTACAATCAGTCGTAATATGTACTATCAAAGGTGTCACTCCACCTATAAGTCCGATAATTAAATTCGTAAATGAATATAAAGTTTCAGTTATAATTACCATTATAGTACTCTCACCTCTTTCTGCTCTTGGATTTAATATATGAATGCTAAGTGAAGCTGAATAATCATATTCCTGTACAGTAGAGGTATTTGACAAAGTTCCAACGGAGTATTTCACTGTCTTGGATTGGAAGCCGGATTTATAGAAATGATTGAATGTTTCGGCAAGAATAACCTCGGCCTTTGCAACCCCAATGTTACCGGGATACTCATACTGATCAAGATGGGCTACGATCGAGTACGTTATGGATGCTGTGATGTCTGTTTCTTCTGTCTATAAGAGTACCAACAAGTGTTCCACAACAGAGGATGAGAAATCAAACTACTCCACACAGTAACACGTGGTTTTACCTTGATTGTTCCAGGAAGATAAAGCCGTGTAGGTACAATCACATCGAACTCAAACGAGCATATTCCATCAAGCGCTAGACTAGAAGGCAGAACATAGGTACTGTTCAATGAAATATTTACTGGTTGAAATGAAAGGTGTTCCGGAAATACTAGTTCACTAGGGTCGCTATTAAGGGTTTGATTTTCCAGCTCCCACGCCTCCAAGAAATAAGGAAATGAATCCTCAGAATCTTTGTCTTGACTTGTAGCATTGCCAGCCCAGATTAATCGTAAGTTAATTGGAGTATTGGTACTTCCATTGGCGCATTTCACAGTGACAATGCCTTTGACATGATCTCCCGGAAGGTATTTTTTCTTGCTGTCGTTCAACAAAAGGTCAAGGGTAAAGTCTTCCATTATTAATATAGTCAAGTACAAATAAGTAAAAGAAGAGCATGGAATACAGATTAGTATTCCTTGTCTACTTGTAGTGCTAAAACAGCTGCGCCTTAGTTATATAAGCGGAGTCTAATATGAAGATACGGTACGACAGTAAAGAATATTAGGTGTTTCTTCATACTACAATAAATCAAGGATTTCCCTATTTTCTATCTATTTTAGTTAATGCGAATTTGACGATTATATCGCGTAAGATTATGCATTTACTCTTCTTCGTGATATTATAGGAATCCACATAGTTTACCTTGATTATGACTAAGTATTAATAATTAAAGATATTGAGGAAGTATAAGGCAATGTTGTATGAACTCGGATGAGCGAGTTAAACTTGACATCTGAGCCACATCAGCGTCAGTTCTGTGTTCCAAAACAGTAAGAACAAGAAAAAGAAAATACTTTACTTTTGTATTGAACAAAACAAGACCCGCTGTTTCTGTTTATTAACTAGACGAAGGAAGTTGGGCAGGAAATGGCTTGAGGTCAGGAGGGACAAACTGTTCGCGCGCTTTGTCTGAAGCAAGCAATGAAGACGAATAGTACTGTTGTATAATAGTACGATCGACAAGAACAGGGAATCTTTCTATAAATCCAAAGAAGTCATCATTATCATGATCATCCTGTCTAATAGCGAGATCAACGAGGTGTATATAGAAAGATGAGATTGTGTCGTGATATTTAAGCTTGTTCGGGTTCTTTTCAAAATGTGTTCGAATAGTACGCTTTATAACAGTTGATGCATCTCTTATCCCAAGCTCTCGCAAATGATTCCATGCCATGCGTACATGTGCTCTATGAGTCCATTGGGAAGTATCGAGTGTCGAATCTTCGAAAGCTTTCATAAACACCTGTTCTCCTACGCTACGGTATCGTCGGTCATGATACAGCAGCGGTTGCCCTTCTTCGCATCTTCCCTCTGTACTACCAACTCCTTCATCAACTTTAAGCACTTGTGTAATCCATAACTCATGATCGCCTAGTTTTAAAACCTTGAATGTCTTACAATACATAGATCCTACTGTTCCCATCAATACTGGTAAGCCAGTGCTCGGATCGTCGTAGAACGGAATATCCTTGAACTGATCAGAGCCTGGCGAAGAAAATGCTATAGATTGTTGAACTTGTTCATGGCTCAAAACATTTACGACCATTTTTCCTGACGAATGAAGTAGTTCAGATGCACGCGATGGTGTACGAACGCAGAAAGAAACAAGTGGTTCCGGATGAAGGCATATAGACGTAAAACTTGAAACAGTAATTCCTCTTCGTTGTGTAGGATCTTCAGGGGAGCACGTTGTTACTGCTACAACGGGTTGAGGTACTTTACGCATAATACCACGCACATCCTCAATCACTCTAATGTTCATTCTTCCTTTTTCACCATCTTCGGTTGATACCTTCTGGGTCGAGAAGAATGATCGAATTCCGGTATAGCGATACGCTTTTTGATATTGCCGGTTATTGAGTGTAGCGGTTTGTGTAAGTCGTCGTAATAGCATACTCCTTATGCGTTCTTCACATCAGCTGTGGACACTGTTCAAAACTACCCATTTCGCCAAAAGTGACTCTGCACTATGTGACTGTGATATATTCTCACTACAGGTTTTTCGGACCTAAATGAGCTTTTTTTTTTTTTGCAAACTTCTGGTTTTTGGTGAAAATTGAATGGGCTCAGTTTAAGTATCAAAATTGTGATATTTGGATACTTAGAGCATCTGCAGCGGTTACATTATTGAAAACATTATATATAGTGTAGTTTAGCCACACCGGGAATTTAATATCAGTTAAAAACAGATTGCCAAATTGTGGTTACATTACAGAGGAAAAATTTGAGCTTTTTGACTGTCTAAAGTTGCCAGTTCTTCACTAATCACTACGACAAATCAGCAATCTTACGGGGACGACATTTTCAGGATGGGGCACTACCTTTTTTTTGCCGGACTAATTCGTTGTGACTACTTGTCCGAGGTCCGAGGTATTTTCTCCAATCCTTCAGGGCAAAACGATGTGTCCTGAAATTCTTAACTCAATATTTAAATATAAAACCTTCTTTTCTATTCTATACTCATCTCGTAAGAGCTACTAATCAATTGCACTTAAAAATATTATTTTTTCTCGGAGATAGTAAAGAGATTACTTTGCTCATTGCAGATTAGCAATTAGAAATCATGATGTTAATAAGTATTCTCTAGAAATCACTTCAATATGAATCCTATCAATAAAGAAATGCGCTTTTTCAATGGAAAGGAACATTATCCTGTCCAACAACCTCTTCCTGTCTCACCTGTTAATGGTTACAGTGACATGACAATGGCAATTTCAAAGATGCAGGAATATGCACTTGCCAACAATTTTGCACTTGTAACTAGAGATAGTAAACCAACTCGAGTGTATTTGAAGTGTGCCAAGGGCGGTCATTATAAGAACACACGGAATATTGAAGACAGCGAACGCAAGAGAATTCCGTCTAGTGGAAAGACTGGATGCCCCTATCTCTTGAAAATATCATACAAGAAGGCCGCTAAAGGATATCTTCTTTTGAAAGCCACCAATGAGATTGAAGGCTACCACAATCACCCTCTTGATGATGACTGCCTGGAATTTACCTTGAAAGGTCGTTTGTCAAAGGTTACTGTCGATGATGCTAGGGAAATTATGAAGCTTGTTGAGACTAAAACTAAGACTCGTGAGATCTAAAAGGCGATCGATGAAGAGGATAGTGTCAGCCATAAGTTGTATGTGAATGACATCAACAATATTAAGGCTGCTTTTGCTCGTGCTATTGCTTCCACTTCTCAGGATGCAGGTACTGAACTCGTTAAAACCATGGAAGCTAAGGGATATCTTGTACGCTATGACGCCGGCAAATATGGATCTCTTGAAAGAGTATTTTTCTCGCACCCAAAGATGCTAGAAAGAGCCCGTCGCTTCCCAGAAGTCATGGCCGTTGATGCCACCTACTCAACCAATAATTTGGAAATGCCTCTTGTATGCGTGGAAGGTGTCCATAACCTCGGGGGAGACACTCTTAAATCGTTTCCCATTGCCTTCGCCTGGGTTTCGAATGAGAAACAGGAGACCTACGTTTGGTTCCTTGAGCAGCTCAAGGCACTTGTTTTTGAGAATAAGAAAAGCAGTTCTCTATTTGTAACAGACAAATGTATGGCCTTAATGAATGCACTTGACATTGTATTCCCAAAAAATGTCAAATTGCTATGCTACTGGCATATGTTGAATAGCGTTGAGAAAGCCTTCGCTGGAAAACTCAAGTCAGTTGCAGAGAAAGAGGTCCTTATGGAGTATGTGAACTCCATGATTCACAGCAGTACCAGAAGGGATTTCGAGGTTGCATTGATGAAGTTCAATGCAGTATCTTCTGGCTGCGAAGTAGGCGAAGGAGGGTCCAAGGTAGATGCATCGGTTTACTTTGCCGAAAGATGGATAAAGTGCCAGGAGAAGTGAGCAGGATACCTGACCAGCCAGCAAATGCATTTTGGGTGTACAACTACCCAGAGAGTCGAGAGCGTACACCAAGCTTTGAAAAGAGAGATATCAGCAATTTCGTCTTTGGGGCTTGCATTTGAAGCTGTCAACTCCTATGTAGACAGGCTCGAAAGAGACTTCAATTCTATAAAAATCAGGGAATCGACAACTGTTGATGCCTTGGTTGGCTGCAACAAGCAGCTTTCCAGGCTTTTTATGAAAGTCTCTAAGAGAGCATTGCTTGTTATTGATCAAGAACTTCGCTTGATCAATAGAGACGATGAATTTTGTCATTGCAAAAACAGGTTTGAGTTCGGCTTGCCCTGCAGACACTCGCTGCCAGCTGGAAGGGAGCTCACCCTTGATGATGTTCCTGAAAGATGGATCATAAACCCTGTTCTAAAAGAGACATCTTTCGAAGAAAGTTGTACAGTGCACATAATTGCCGAGAGGCCAGAAGAGTGGATGCAAGAGATTGTAAAGCTTGAGGCTCTTTTCCGCTCTTGTGAGGGCAGCCAGCAAGTGGCCAACCTCCTTCAAAAGATCAAGAAGGTTACTTCTGAATTCGAAGGCAAAACTGGGCACCCTTCGATTAACTTTCAAGCCCCAGAAAAAATTAAATATCCTGGCAGAAGAAAGGGTGGTGCACGTCCCAAATACCTTCCCAAAGACTTTGGTCGGGCAAACTGGAGGAAGATCAGTGTTTCGTCTGGTCATGTAAGATAAAAAAATATAACATAACAAAGTACTAATATGTATCTTGAAATACTAGGTCGGCCTTAAGGCAATGGTTAGGTTAAGAGCTAGAACAAGAGATGGAAAGCCTGCAGCTACACAAAAAACGAAAAACAACAAAAAACAAAACAAAAGCAAAAAAGAGCCTCTCGACCTAAGTAAGATGCTTTTTTATTTTACATATAATTGAGTTTATGAAAAAGAATCTTGTCATATATTTACATACATTTTTTAGTCGATGCTACCAAAAACAAAATAAAACAAATTAAAAAAGAGCCTCTCGACCCAGGTAATATGTGCTTTTATTTTATAGTGTAATTGAATTCATGAAAAGGAATCTAACCTTATACTAATATGCTTTTTAGTCGATGCCACCAAAAACAAAACAAAAAAAATAAAACAAGAGCCTCTCGACCCAGGTAATATTCTTTCTCATTTTTCAGTGTAATTGAATCCATAAAGAGAAATATCGTTGTATACTTATATGCTCTTTAGTCGATGCCACAAAAGAAATTGGGTTTAAAAGACCCGCTACAGCTCAAGAAGATTACCAATATGACTATCGCACCTCTGTTGGCAAGAGGGTTAAATTCCAGCCTGGTTTTCCTGTCTCTCATGAGATAGTCGATGACGTTAAGGGTGGGTTTAACCCTACTGCTGATGGATGGTGTGGTTTTCGGGTCCTTGCCCATTTGATCTATAAAGATCAAGAAAAGTTCCCTCTTGTGAAAAGAGATATGCTTGCTACCCTTCCAAAATACAGCAGCATTTACGCCAGCACGTTTGGAACCAATGTCAAGCAATTAGAAGACATTATAAAGCATGGTTCTGATCTCTGCATCACCAACTCCAACTCCAACTTCATCCCAGCATGTTTAGATGCCAGTATGTGGTTTAGCACACCCGACTGTGCTCAACTAGCTGCGGACACCTATAAGTGACCAGTCTGCGTCTACTCAGACAACCCCAACACCCCTTCCGTATCGTTCCTTCCCTTCACCCTTCCCAAAAACATATCAAAACATCAACAACCTCTGATTTTCAATCACGTTAACAATAACCACTGGACAACAATACACCTCTCCCGCAATGTCTCAAGGAAACGGCCAACCATTCCTGAGTTATTCTTTTTGGGTTGTGTCAGAAACCAGATTCCCGACAACTTTGATACTTACTGGAACAAATTTAAAGAGTTCAATAAGTATGATCATAGAAATGCGATGTTCTCTTTTCTTTCCGATCAAGAGGAACGTATTCATCCCACTATAACATAATCTTTTTTTCTTCTTTTTTTTCTTTTATTTTTATTATATTTTTCTTTATACTTCATTAGCTAGACAACTTATTATTTATATACTCATTTACTCTTATATTTTATTAGCTAGACGATCTTTTTTTTTACCTTTATAAATCTTATCAATCTGTTTCTTTGCGTCAACATAAGCTATCTATCACTTGTGGGTTAAATGACTCTCCGCTCTGTTTTTTCATAGAAATCATTCATGGGAAGTACTTTACCCTACGAGTTACACATATATCCAGCGAATTAAAAAGCATAAATGTCGGGTGGTGTTACACAGATAGAGCCAAACTATCTTTGAATATGTTATATTATGCATTTGCATCTATTTATTTCATCAATTCAAGTCTTGGCTCTCTATAACTTTGGATCCAAGTAGTGTATAGATATATGTATGGGTTCTAGAATTTTTAGTTGAATTGAAAGGGTCGATCATGAGAAAACTAACGTAATATCTCAAAAAGTTGCTTTTTTTCAATAAAATAAAATATTATATTTGCTTGTAGAATCACTTTTTTCTCATTTGTTTTCTATGAAACTTTTACTAGATTCATATGTTATCTGAATATATGTAATTAAAAACTTTTTTTGGTCTTATATGAATATTTTTCATTTTTTTGTATTTTTGATAAAATATCTCATGTACATGTTGTAAGGAAATGATAGGAAGAGTTTTTACAGAAGAAATAAAAATAAAAAATAAAAAATAAAAACATGAATTTTGTAAATATATATTTGCTTAACTTCTATGCAAACTTTCTTAGGCATAAAAGACTTCATTACCTTTATATCCATTATGAAAGTTTTTGAAAAAAATGCAAATTATATGGATTATAATCTTTTCCACTTAAATCACACAAAATGAAAACATATGATTTATGTCTCAAGTTAAATCGTAAAAATATGACTCATTAGCAGCCACAGGTATGTGATTTGTTGATGGGAGCCAAATAAATCTTATATCTTACAAATACTCGATTTTAGTTACTATTTTTGTATAATAAGTTGATTCTATTTTTGCTTCTTTGCCTTATAATATTATATCATAATTATAGTAAGAAGTAAACTTATTAGTGTTTGACTATTAATTATGACTCTAAGTAGCTGTCACTTTATCTAATATATATTTTTTTTAATGTAAACTACATTTATTCTACAATTATTAGATATACTTTTTAATATATGCAAAATTAATTAATACTATATGTATTCTCAGACATTTTTGCGACTTTGTTTTTCTTTTCTGAAGAAGATTTAGCAGTTTTTATTAGTGTTTATCTTAAATAAGTATTAACAAAAAGTAATGTTTATTACATTAAAGGATATTATAAGCCTAATAAAGTATTTAGTAAAGAAATTTCAAATTTTATAAGGTATTTTTTCAATAGGCAAGATATGAAAAGTTGTGACTTTTGGGGGATGACGTTTCCAGGTGGGGGACGACGTTTTGACTAAAATATAAACTCAGACATATAAGGGAGGGGCACAACGTTTCCAGGGTAGGGCACAACATTTTCTATTAGACTATAATGTCTTGAAGTAACATGTTAGATAGTTTTTTATTATTCTATATATATATCAGTTAATTTATTACATATAGTATAAAACTTTAAGTATAGAATTATATATATAAAACAATGCTTTTATATTTAGTCAAAGCTATTTTTTTATATGAGAAGATACTTTATTATGTTTTTGCTCAAAAACAGGTCATACCTCCTAAAGAAGCAGAGGTATATGCCTGGAGACAGTTTGATGAATGCACAAAGTTTGGGAGCAATTTAGTAAGCTAATACGCATGAGTGGAGAAGGAAAAGACATAATTACATAGAGGAAAGAAGCGTAGAAAAAGCTATTATCCTGCCTTGTATAAAAGTATCTTTATTATGATAAGTATGAACCATTAGGGACCAGATATAATTATTTGATACCGGACAGCAAATCATAATTTGTGGTCTGGTAAAATCAAAACAATGTTTCCCATCAAAAAGGTAGTGCCCCATCCTGAAAATATTGTCCCCCTAATATTAGCGCTACAACATATAGGGGCGGTTTTTTGTATTTGTGACTTTGTTTTTGGCCTATAATAATTAAAAAATCACCAAAAATCCAATTTGAAACTAGAAAATCTCTGTTTTTTGAAAAGGTTGACAAAAAGCAGATTGACCACCTAAAATTAAATCTCCTGATAGACAAAAATACATTTTAACTACAGATTTTACATTTTTAGTAAATGTAGATTGCAATTAATGACTATTAAAAATCAGAGGTAAAAGAGAGAAAAATATCTAAACTTTTTGCTGGGAGGATAAAATATGTTAAGACAATTTGAAAAAAAAAATAATGTATTACAAGAAAAAAAAATTATAAGTCTGCAAGAGAACCAAGTGACAGTTTTGGGCCGTGGTTAAGCTCTGACCACACTGCATATGTTGTTGCTGTTGTTGTTATTGTGTTTATAGTCGCGTCCAACTTCACCAAACCAACTAATTCTTTGACATCTGCCAGGTGAACTACTATTGGCTTCATTTGCCCATTGTTGATTGCTGGTATACTATTTACCAAACGAACTGCATAAACATTGACAAGGACAAGTGGCCACCTCTTGTTGTTGAGCTTGTGCTCAAAGAAAAACGACAACCTTCCCAAAGAAATCCTTGTAGACTGGAGAGTAACTTTGCCTAATGTTGTGGTTCTCATCAACCTGAACTTGAAGTCTGATGTTATGTGCCTCTCTTACACAATTTTGGTCGAGTGCAGAGTCAATAACACAACCATATACAAATGCCTTACGGCTTGTTTTAATAGCTGCTTCAATCATACTACACTCTTCCCCCTTTGATTCGTAGAACTTTTGAAGAAGCTCTTGAAGACAAGAAATGCCTCCAAAACTATCAACAATCGTTCTGTTCCTCAAAGGCCCCCAGAACTCAATGTCAGAATCAGTACCAATATTACTACCTTCTCGGTCAATTGGCCAACCAGCAGAGGGATTGTCATACTGAAGGAGAGTTGTTGCTGTTGCTGTTGCTGTTGTCATAGTTGAATTTTCAACTCTCATCTGTCGAATCTGTGTCAAGCCAACCATGATGTTTCCAGCATTGATTTCAATTGCCAAATTACTCTTTATTGCTTGCAAGTATTCTCCAATTGCCCTCTCAACAGATCGTGCACTATATGCTCTGGGGGAAACATATACTTCTATCATTGTGGGATAGTGCTGCAGAGGTGCTGATTAATCATAAAGACCTTGAGCTGGATCTCTTCTTTAGCTAGCAAGACTTCCAGATACGCATTTTATGCAACAAGATTTCTAAAAAAAAGATAAGTTAATACAAGTTATAAAATAATAATATTAATTATTATTAAAGCTTATGTTTTAATTAAGGTTTGCTCCTCTGCTAATAACTCCCAGCTCATAAGTAGATTGCATGTCTGCACCAGGTCAAACAATGTCTTATGGGCAGCTTGGTCATGGACACGCTTGGCCACAAGTGTGGGGATGACAAACAAGAGGAAGTCAGCCCAGTCCACAGCCCAGAACTATCCTGATCTTACTGTAACATTTATCCAAGCACTGTGGAAAGATGTCAGAATGCTTCTTCTGGTTGACACTATGGCAGTACCAATTTCTTTCTGAGCAGCAAGGGAGAGAGAGAGAGGATGATCTTTTTCATACTTGCTGCACACGAGCCTCCAGACCTGTTTGCCAATGCTGTGACAAATGGTGTGCATTTCATCTAATGCAAAGAAGAACAGATCAGAGAAGGAATCCAGTAAGTAGAAGGGATATTGACCAGTTAGCCCTTTTTTGCTAGATGAAGCCACCTCATCAAAGTGCTTGAAACTTTCCAGTGTGCGCATAATGATGGCAGATGCCATTCAAAAATATTGGCCATGGCCAGGAGATTGACCTACAATATGGCAGATGCGGCAGCCATTCTTACTCATATGGCCTACATGACAAGCCATCTTCCCCAGAGCTGGGATATTGCCAGTTGTCATTAGTACATGGACTTTTGTACTAATATCTTCAGATGGTGTCTTCACAACCATTCCACTGGCTTGGAAAACCCAAAGTTCTTTCAGAACAGACTCCAGGAATGACCAGAAGTTGGTGGGTGCTTTGGGACCAGGGATGATTGTGACTTGGATCATATGACTGTGCTTGTAGCAGATCATTGGAGGAAGGTCGAGGCTGGTAACATGGACAATGATTACCAAACCCAGAACACTATGAGGAGCAAACCCATCAACAGACAGCGAAATGGTGATGTTATTTTCACTTAAGAAAAGATGTTTCTTTGACTGGTATACCTGTCTGCCAAAGACATTGGAAATGCTGCCATTGGCCTTCTGCGTATGATAGTGGCAATACAGTATCTCTTTTCTGGTGTGGTCATTGGCCAAAGCAACTGCAAGCTGTCTACCCAGAGGAAGTGATATCATTGTGCTGGCAGGAATTGGATTCTCACCAGCATATTGGCTTCTCTTGCTGGTCTTGTAATGGGCACTCCGTTTGCTGATCGTTGTTGTATAACATACACCCATTGCAACAAATGTGGTATGTCTCCTCATCGACACCAAGAAATCGAAAAAGAAGTTTGGTACCAAGGTAGGGAGTACAAGCTCTATATGATATCTCACTTGATCTGCTGAGAATTTCATTGAAGTGTTTTGCCAGACTAATGTAGGTCTTCTGGGAAATGCTAAACTCTTTGATAATCTTCATAAGCTCAAGATTCTTTGCATTGTTGTAGCCAGAAACAGGAACAGGAGCACTAAAGTCATAAACCAACTGAGGAGAAGTATCATCAATGACATTTTCAGTAACATCCATGATTGCCAAATCATTTTCCATAGAATCCTCATGTTCAATATCACACTTTAATAAGGTAAACAATAATTAGTACATTGGATACATTTGTATATTTATCTTTTTTATCATGGGCTAATTAATTTCATTGATAATAGAAGGAGTAATATCTTTGTCAATACTCATGTTAGTGCTTTCTCTGTTTAACTATTAAAGAATTAATATATTTTATTCAGTTACATTATTATAATTTGTAGACTTATTTCAAGGTTGAGCTAGATGCAAAAAATTCAAGATAATATTACTCTGCTCAAAAACAGAAGCAACTTGCAAACTTTGGGTATCATTCATCTCTTTATAAACTTTTTCCAGGCATTGAACTTCACACTTGGCTACAAGTTTCTTGTTTGTGTAGCGTTTGTGGCAGATACTGCACTCGTGGTAGGAAAGCTTTGCGATTGTAGACATTTTGTTAATTTGAATTTATTCTTTTGAAGTATGAGTAAGAATAAAGATATTTGCTTTCAAGTCTTAACTCTTTTATAATAATTAACTTGAAGACAACAATGGTGCAGTAACTTGAATATAAGCTTATAAGAAAAAAGTGAAACATATATATATTATGCTGTCATGTAAGCACAGTAAGTAAAATTGATATTCCCTGAAACCAACCCAATAGATTCAATCTATATTGCTATGAAACTAATAATAGATAATTGAATTTTTTTCTTTATATCTTATTTTCACAACAACATCTTTTTATCTCAGGTAAACAATATTTGCAATATGAATAACACAGATAATATCATCAAATCTTTACTCTTAGCCATTCAGCTTCAGTTGTTTGTCTTACGGGTCAATCAAGAACAAATGAAAATGGATATTAACAGGCTTGGAAATGAAATAATAATGAAAGGATCTCCAAAGCAAAATCTCTCTTTGTTTATTAATGTAAGTTCAACTCAAAGCAGTATTGCTGAAAACTAACCTTAACTTCAATAGACTTCAAGTGGCTTTATTTTCAAACCTGTGATCAACATTTGTAATGTCACTTTAGAACATGTTTACCAAATGATAAGTCAACATCTTGGAATCAAGATTATAGCATCCAAAAAAGCAACACTCAGAACCTGTACAAAACTTGTATGTAACGAGTTAGCCACCCTTCCTTCTGTACAAGCTCTTGACTCTCGTCCTAGTTGGGGGTCCATATCTTCATGTGATTGAACAATGATTTGCAATAAACATGCAAACATGCTTAAGAGGGATGGTATAGATTTCACCAGATGCCATCAAAATTGGGCATCCATTGCAAGAGTCAGTCATCTCTGGAAAGACTGTCAAAGGAGGCAATTGTAAGTAACTATCCACTGCAGTGTAAAGTAATATATTTAATATTGGAAGTATATGATGTATTTGACTGTTTATAACCAATAAAAATAATATTTAAAATATATATATTCATTTGAGAAACCAATAAAAATGTATTTTTTATAAAATACACTACAGTACAATTATATCTTATCCAATAAAAACAATGATTAAGCAAGAAATATTTAAAAGAATCTAAATTAAAGAAATAATGAGTTTGTAATAACCAATAGCATATAATATTTCAACTATACTTAAAGAAGTTTTGTCTAATGAAAAGACAAATATTAGCAAAAGAAAAGGTTATCATTATATTAGAGTAGGTACTATCTAGTGGAAAATCGAATATTTTACTAATTTTCAATTGAAACGGCGATTTAATTTCCAATGATTGTTATATACTTTTCTCTGTTGATGCAATTTAGTAGAAAATGTATGTGAAAAATTACGAATTTTATAATTTTTCACTAACATTTTCCATTAAATATTTTCTCAAAATCAAGCTTATTCTCTCAGCTGCAAATTAAGGTATAGGGTAACCAGGAGTGTCTGTTGTATATGTAATTAATTTATTCAATCTTTAAAGATCGAATTTATTTAAAAAAAGATTGAAATTTATAAGGATTTATTTTTCTTATATTTGACACAGTATGATGTTCTTATCAATTGATAAGTTTTCATAACTACTGCTGGAATGCTTTGTTTTTTTACTGGGTTTGTCTGATTTTATGTTTTAGCAGTCACATTTTTTTCATTAGATAACACCTCCTTTATTAATAGAATCTTAAAACAACTGGTAAACAGAGATGTATTAAAATGAACAGAAACTCAGGGTTGGAAAAAGGGAGGAAGGATACAAAACACATCCTGATTTCCCCTTCAGAACCACCTGTGAAACCACCTCTAAAACTCCTATTTTTTTAGTGTAGTATATAATGAAAGCTTTATGGATTTTATTATTACTATCTGGTATTACTATTTATTATTATTTCCCATTTTTATTATTTAAAAATATATTATAAAATCAAGCATTCACTGTACTTGGCTGCTAACTTTTTTTTATTTTTAGATAAATAAAAATATATTTGTCATAAAACAATGATTTTTTTTTTATTTTGCAAAGAACAAATCTTAAAAAGACTTGAAAAAGCTGATGACTTTTGTTTGTTTTGAGTTCGCAGTTTTCTAGAACTTGTTTCAATAGTCTTTGACAGTATTGATAAAGTTTCTGTCAACATTTTCATCTTTTAAGATATTCAAAAGTCTGCATACACACTTAAACTTTTTGGAAGCCAAATATATTCTCTTAAGAGAAACTGATGATTACACTTAAGCAGTTTCTTCATTGCTGTTGTTGTTGACTGCATTTTTGTCAGCAGCATATTATTTCATTACAATGTTTGTGATCTCATTGTCATTGATAACTCTATGAGTGCATTGTCTCACATAAAGTGAATCAGACTCATTGGTTAGGCAATCTTCAATGCACACAAGATCTAATCCAGAAATTTTGTCCAGAGCTTCTTGTAAACTCTCTGCTAAAAACTTTTCTTCCGGATGTTGCTGAATTATAGACTGGTTTACATCTATAAATCATATTTAGAATATTAGGAAAGCACAGTTAAAAGCTATCACTATTATTATAATCACTAAATTGTTTTACTATTATCTTCACTGTCTTTGTCTTCAATGAAACAAAATATTGTTGCATTCCAGTAGTTCTTAATAGTCTTTGCCATGCCAGATTCCCAAGCCTCTGTTATCTATTTCATTGCTCCCTGTTGTGAATGAGTATTGATTACTGCTGAATCTGAGAGTAAGACTGAAGGATAAAATAATATCCTCAGCTATTCCAGTCAAACGGATCTCCCTTTATGATATTATCTAATACACAGATCATCATACACATAATTGATTATTTATTATTATCACCATGACATGGGATATACAAATACATATACATTAAATATATGGCATCATTATATTTCATCTACATATTTCTTTTATTATACAAATACTTAATTGAGAGACTACAACTACAACTATCTAATATTATGAAACATTACCCGAGTATCTGGGTCGGAATACTAAAATATTACCAATAGCATAAATGCTCTTCTTTACCAAAACTCTTGGACTGATCTGACTGGAGAAGTATCATATCAATTGGTCTTTCCAGATCTTTCCAGAAGAACAATACTCCTGGAAGATGACTCATCGTGATAAAGATTACTTAAGCACACACTGAATTACAAATTAGAAAAACATATAAATATCAGTAGATAGTTCCGTGTAGAAAGACAATCGAATTTTATCATTCTTTACTTTTCTTTTGAAATAAACAACCTACACAAGTTCTCATGAATTCTTTCGTCTATATTATATTTTGCTTTATTTTCTCCCCACAACACTCACAATTGATCAATTTCAAAGATATTATCAATGACTCTAATCTTATCTTGAGAGCTATTTTGAATCATATCAATATATTGATAAGCCTTGACATACTATTTATTCTTGACATAAGGCTTGAATGTTTAAATAATACCATCATCAAATGGCTGAAGGTGGGAAGTGATGTTTGGTGGCAAAAAACGAAGATCCTCATTTGTAAGCGTAAAATTGACTATATGACCAGAGAAATTGTTAAGAATTAAATGAATCTTGCTAATTTTAAGCTTTCATAAGGTAGACTGATGTCTCCAATGGGACTGCATTGAGAAGAAATAACCATACTATGAAAAGAAAGAAAACACTGTTCATCTAAGTTTTCTTGAATATTTTATTCTTATAAAGCTTTTATATCAAAGCAAAAAATGAAAATGATTCAGATAAAAATTGAAAACTTTGGTTAAAACAAAGTGGCAACAGTAGCACACTTGTAGTTCAGTTTTCTTTTTCTTTATTTAATAATTTGTATATACTCATCTTCTAACATTTATGATAATACTTCTTCCTAAAGTTTCATATACATTTTTTTATATTGTTATCAATTTTAAGTATTTATTATCCATTTATACTATATATTTATACAATCTGTTCATATTATCTATTCATACTACCCATTTATACTGCTTGCTTGTGTAAATTAATAAAAATCTTTCAAATTTCAATAGTTGCCATATCAGTCAGAGACTCTTGTATAAATTCAATTGCTATATTTTGTGTCATTTGATCCCTAACTTTATCTACTTCTCTATTGTTTACGTCAATTGAGTGCACAATTACTATTGTAAATTAAATGCAAGATTCAAAGCTTTTCTTCAAAGTTAATTGTTAACATCAATTGAGTACACAATTACCATCATGAATTACATGCGAGATTCAAAGCTTTTTTTCACAGTTAATTTTTAACTTGTTCCTATTGTTCATGTCAATTGGGCACACAAATATTATTGTGGATTACATGCAAAAGAAATTCATTAACCCAGTTTAAAAATATAGAAGGACTGAATGTATCAGAACTAAATTGTAATTGACACTCAGTCCCAGTATTATCCAATCATAAGACATTGTCTTATTAAGAATCACTGTAGGAAAATATTGACCAGTTTTTTGAGAAAACCTGGCCATGCCTGGCAGATTTTTTAATCTCCTCCATGATTTACCATATTTAGAGTGTTTTAAACCTATCTTGGTTAGCACACACTTGTACTTTATTTGTTTTGTGATGTATTGAACTCAGACAGCTGTTGTGAGTAATAAAATAAAGAAAGACTGTTTTTTTGTTAGCTATTGTGGTCAAAGATGCAAACATGATCAATCAATTAGCTTTACTATTAATTCGGTTTTTTTCTAGTATAAGCCATTTTAAATAGAATTGTTAATGTCAATGAACTTCATTATGGTTTTAAGTAATGGTTGGAAAAGAAGCGCATATAATTGTATTAAATAAATAAAGGAAAATAAAGGAAAAAATAGTCTACTGGCACTGATTTGGCAAGGGCCAGACTATGTGCTGCTTGGTCTCATCATTAACATCATGGACAAGATCAGCCATCTCCTTGATGGATTTCATTTCGATAATTTTCTTCTCACATGGCGTGATATTCTCCCATGTAAGAAACAAAAATGGGTCTGTGCTATTAACCCCGAAAAGATACTCAATGGCTGCAAAGAGTCTGGTCACTCCGTTGTCATTTTGGGAAAAGAATTTGCAAACAAATCCATAACTTTCAAGAAATATAATAGAGTAATGATTAATATCAACTTTTAACAACATATAATACAACTAACAGTACTTACTCCCTAGGATTTTCAAGCACAACAAGATTATTGGCTCAAACATACCTACTGTCAAAAGAGGACCGGACTCTGTACACCACCGAGTCTTTCCACATTTTGTTGGTGCAAACCACCTCATCGTTTTCTGCAAAGAAATGCACCCCTTGCTCTTCCCAGAAAGGCACCAAAGTGGACAACAGGTCCGAATAGCTCATTCCAATGGCACTAGCCAAATCAGCCAAAGAGTGTCTCATAGGACTTGACCAAATCTGAGGACCAGCAACATCGTCACTTGCAACCTCAAAGTTGCTGGTCCTTCTGTCCATTGGACCCAAGACAGCAGGGCGGTTACCAGAGCAGTGGTTGATAGCTGCCATCCGGAACAAGACGTTCTCCATGTTCTTGCCAGGCTCCTTCCTGGACTTTACAGCTGCACTGTAAGCACCAATTGTGCGCTCAATCGGCCTACAGCTGTATGCCCTCATTGGCCCCATCTCACTCAACATATAAGCGAGATGAACCAGTATATGCTGGTTCATCACAAAAATAGTTGGCTTTATTCGCTTTTCAGATACCTTCCAGTGGAGGAACTCATGCCAGTGGATGATTGCTCTATAAAGGTGATTAATTATTGCTTAATATATATCTGGTAAACTTACCCCTCCACTACCAGGATATCTTCCTCAGACACCCACCACTTCTGGGCTATCCTATAAGCACAAACAAGGCCTTTTACAGCTTGCTTTGTATCATCAAAAATGAAGTGGTCTATGACTATGGTGGGCACAACAAACAAGAGAAAGTCTACCCAGTCAACAGCCTTTCTCTTGCCGTTTGCCTCTTTAAGCGATCTCCAACTTCCAGTGAATATTGAAGGTATGTCTGCCCTGGATGCGCATACTGCCCTGTCAATATCCTCTAAAGCAATATTCAAGGCAAACACGTACCCCTGTAGGCGGAATTCCTCCTGGAGTTTAATACCATGTGGCTGCCTGGTTTGGCCTTTGATATCCATGGCAAACTTGTCTCCAATTGCCTTGTACATCTGATGGCCTGTACCATGCCTGATGAGATACATCTCATCTTGATCAAAGAAGGCCGAGCTTGTGAGTGTAGGCAAGAGTGTGAAGGCATTATACTGATTGCTACCATGTCTCTAATATGATATTAATATTTAAACTTTTGTTGAGTTAGAACCTATGTTTCCTACAGAATAGCGTATGCTCTCCACATCTCTCAAAGTCGCAGGACCCTCTCTTTCCACAATACACATGGTTCTAAACTCGCTGTTTGCTTGTGCAAAACAATGTTGGCAACCATACTGCGAGTTGTGGTGCGTCAGGTTCATCAAGTCAGAGACAGCTGGAGTATCTCCAGTTGCCATAACAAGATGAACCTTTGCAACCACATACCCACCACCAGTCTGGAACCACAGGCCGGTAGTCCCCAAGGCATTAAGATCTTCGACAATGGGCTCCAGGAAAGAAGCAATGTTTTTTGGGTGCTCAGGCCCTGAGATTATGGCCAGCTGCATCATATTTTCCTTCTTATATCTAAATAGATTTTTTAGTATATTTACTAAAGTCGTCATTTTTGTTTATCTTTGTGTAGGTTTGATATTGAAGTTAATAATATAAACAACAGTAGCTGACATCTTGGAATCCTTAAATGGGTTGAACTGGTCAACAAACATAGAAACCAAGATGTCATTCTGGCCAATAACTCCTCTTTCAATCAATCAGCAAACAGCATCTCCATCAAATATGTCTTGGCGTGTACCAGACTGGCCTTCAGCTAAACGTCTAGCACCATAAGTCATCTTAGCACGTTCTTCGGGGTGTCCAAGCTTAAACCTCTATTGCTCTGAAAGAGGCACGACCTGATATGTCTGTGCAGGTATTATTCTATTCCCTCTAAGCTTGTACTGAGCTTCTCCGCAAAGGGGACACGTCTCATTCTCATCAATGTCAATACTTTCTACAACTGTAGAGAACCAACAGCATCCTTTTACGCACATGTCATATGCAGTAGCCTTTATAGGATACTTCTCCTTGAGCAAGGTTTTCATTTTGTAGTAGGATAAAAGTGAATTGATGTTGGCTAATATAGTAGTAAGTTTATGTAATATGAAAAATGAATATTATTAATGCACTTACGTGATCCACATTCTTTCATATATTCGTTGAATATTTTGACGGACTTGTCAAAAACATCTCTGGAAACATTTTTCTCAAAAAACATTGAGAACAGTTTCAGACTAGCGGCCTTGGCACGGCTGTTTGGCTTGTACAAAGGAATTCTTTGCTCGTATTCGACATTGTATTCAGCTGTTATGTTATCTGAGTTGTCAAGATTGCGGATACACGAGTATCCTTGGCCATCATCTTCGATATATACATTAAAATAATTATATTTAATACTAATATTATAATTGTCTTTCATCCATTTCTTACCAGACATAGAATCAGTATCATCACTGAAGTCGTTTTGGGATTCAGCCTGTACAGAGACAGCATTCATGCTCTACATATCATTGCTACTATTATTGTCTGCACCAACAAATGCACGATAGGCAGATTCACCATCAGTAGACATATCGTCAGAATTGCCCAGATTTTCAAACACTGTAGTCGAATAAAAGTCTTCGCTTTCATTTGGCTGTTCTTCAAACAATAATTGATTAATAAAATCATCAATTGCCTCATTCTCGGAAGAATGGTTAAGTAAAATATTATTATTCATTTTGAAAGTATGTTTGTAAGTAAAAGAAATTGGGTGTATAAGGGTGTTAAATGTGTTTAGAAAATGATATTAACATTTATTCCTATAGTCTGTAGAAGTCATTGTGTCCTCAGTTCATAAACGGGTAGCTTGATAATTATACGCTAATTAGTTTGAAAGAATTTTTTTTAAGTCTTTTCTTTCTTTGTTTTTATTCTAACTTTTGCTCTTCTTGTTTTTTATTTTACACTTATTTCTCATTATGTCAAGACCCAGCAGAACCAAAATCAATATTTGCTTAGCAACTTTAGAAGAAGGTTTTGCTAGATTGAGAGCACAGGTCGAAAATGGCCAGCCCATACCAACACAATTTCTTCAAGAAAGTCCACAAGGCGTGGTAAACCATCATGTGCACGCCCTTGTAGAAGACTGTGTTCGAGACATCAAACGACCTGCTTTCTATGTACAGCCCAGAAATTGGTGTCTCTCAACAAAAATGCTGAAAAGAGCCATACAAGAGCATTTGACTCAAGGTAACAAAAATGCTGCTCATGAAATGTACAAAGTCGCAGCCAAGCTTGCCACGAAGTTAGTACAATCAATTTTCATCAAGGCTCGTACAAACAACACGCCCATAACAACATGGGGTGCTGTACCAGACTATACGAAATCAAGGCTTGCTTGTATGCTTGAAAGAAAAGCCAACAAGAGAAATATTGCTTTCAGAAGGTTTGAGACTTCTTGAAAAGCATTGTTTTTGCTCTCTCAGAAGTAGAAGTATATTGAATCCCGTTCAAGATCTAGTTAATAAGTAAGTTTTATAAAACCATTGAGACATATACAAATATAATCACAACTAATTCAAATCAATTATTTTGTTCTATTTGTTTTTTAATAGAATAGGTAATGCTGAATCTTATACTGAAATTATAGAAAAATACAATAAATCTATTTTTTTCTTTTCAAAATCGCCATTAATTTTGAAGTAATTATTTATTTCCTTTGTACACTTCTTCCAATGTTTTTTCTATTGTTTTGTTTTTTTTTGTTTTTCTGATTTATTGTTTTTTGTTTTTTTTTTGGATTTTTTTTTTAAAAAAAAAGCATAATTTAAATAAAAATCTATAAAGAAAAAACATAATTGTTCATGATGTAATATACATTTTTTAACCAATGAGAAAAATAATAAAGTGTCTATAAAATGTTTAGTTTTTAATAATATGTGTGTTTTATTGGCTAAAAAAGAGTAATAATGACTAAATAAGGCTTAATGTATCAACATTATATACATCTGATTTGCTGAGATATGTAACACTAACAACATAATTCTTTATTTTCATTAGCCAAAACAACCTGGTCGACCTGGCTAAAGACAGTACCTTTTGACCAGGCCGGGATTTTAAATTTTGCCATTTCCTACAGTGAATAACGCTAATCGTAAATACTTTTCTGCAAGTCACGCAGATTCAGCCAATAGTATCTTGTATTTCTTCAAAAAAAAGAGCACAATATTTGAGAAAAAAAGGAAAAAACATAGGGGGGGATATTTTGTGCTGAAAATGCCAAAAGTATCTTACTTTTTTAATTATTTTTAAGTACAAACTAAATTTTAATTTTTTATGTCTAGTGAATAATTTTCACAAGGCAATTTTTATACATTTGATTTTATAGTTTATATAAGTCTTTTATATTAAAGAAGAGAGTAGAAATTTGATGTTTATTGAGAAAAAAAATAAATTGAAAGAGAAGTCTTGTAATCTATGACTTTAGGTCTGCTTTCGCAACCTATTAGTTGAGTTAACAACAGAGTTTACCTTTTTCATAAGGTCCAACAAGACTTCTTTTTGCTCAAAGGTTTTGGAAGAGGTATACACCTGCTTCCAAATTCTCTCCAAACTTTCATTCATAAGCAGAAGATTTGCTCTCTGCTCATCTTTGCTCATTTGGTCTTCCAACAAGGCAATATTATCTTCTGAAATAGTATTGTCATCGTTTTCATCAAGCCCAAACAACGCAGCTGAATCCAGTACGACATTTCGTCTTACTGTCACTGGCAGGTCAAAAACTCGAGAGACCAAGAAGATATGTTTGCACAATCTAGCAGAGTCTGGGCAAGAGCAATCATGTAAGTGGGTTGTGAACTTGATAAAGTATACCAGTTCACAACCCTCTTCAAAAGATTTGCAAGAATACATCTAATATAACAATATTAATTATAAATTATAAATTATATAAGCAAATGTTTTATATAATATTACCTTGTATGCTTGCAATGCTTGCGGTTCAACTTCTTCAATCAGACCATTTGCTTTTTCGATAGCAATAACACTGGCCCTTCTCTTTCGTTCTGTGTCATCCACACTAAGTCTGATGCTCTTAATACCAAAATAGGTCTCAAGAGTATCCTGACGGTAATCTCTCTCAGCTAACTGAGAAAGTAGATATACAATCTTGTCATTTCTACAGTTGCGAGACCGGCCTAAATAAAAGAACTTTAGTTGGTTATGATAAGACTCTGTCAAATTGTTTGTATGGCATACAGCATTCTACAAAAACAATTATAAATTAGTTTTTATAACCAGACAAAAAAAACAATATTGAATATACCTGTCTCCATGCCTTAACCCAACTTTTTTTCTTTGGTTTCCATGTAACCTCCATATAAGACGTTAAGACAGGAAACTGCATGACATAGTCTAATCTGAACTTTTGCCAATGAGCATTGTAGTCGGCTTCATTATCACTATGCATTATCAAGTTCAATGCAGCACGAATGTTGGCCTGGACATTCTTGGTGTCAAGGTGGGTGTTGGAGATTGTTACCTAATAATATTACTAGTTAATATAGGTTCAATGTTTTAAGTAAAATACATTAATAAAATTAACTTCTTGATATGACTTTGCCAAGCATGTTTGATATGCCAATGGCACAAAAGGATTTGAACTGAAGGTCCAAATATATTCCGGATAGTCTTCTGCTCTATTGGCTATAATCAATCATGATCTGTTTGATCTTCAAGCTATTGGTGTCTTTCAACCAATTCAACCATCTTGTAATAGTATAATTACATTTGATGCTGATGACAAAGAAAGCAACTGGAACTCCCTTGTTAATTACAGAATTGTATACGATCACAGACATCAGATAATGGTTCTTATTGTCAAGAAAAGACTTGCAGGTTTTGTAGATTGAGTCAAGATATCAGTCCTCTGCATTTTCTAAAAACTAATGATAAAACAAATTCAAGTGATAAATAGTATATTCTTTTTGATATATATTTAAATATTTGACTATATATATATGTAATATTTGTAGTTATCTTCTTCTGCCAAGGGGAGACCCAGCTTACAAGAAGAGGCCCAACAGAATTATATGTGTCAAACATAGTTTGGTAGCCCTTTTCTTGAAGGAAAGCAATCCATCTTTCAATACTTATCTCATCTTTGTAGTGCTTTCTAGCACTGTTGTTGATTCTAGCTACAATCGCATTATGAACATCTTTATACTGTATCATCATTGCAGAAGGAATAGATGTCATTGACATAGAGTTCTTCATCTAATTAAAGACATTATAATTAAAAATATATAATAAAATCTTATTTTAACGTCACTATATATTAATAAAATAACTCTTCTAGTTTTACATCTTCAAGTCTTAGAAGTCCCTTAATGGCTTTCCAGTCAAGGTTTTTCTCAACGTGTTCATTGATCCAGATATGGGCTTCTTCAGAGAGCCAAGAGCAAGAGATATCAGAAAGCTCAAGAGGATTGTGGTTATTATGCCTTCAGTTGTAAACTACTGTTACTTTACTGCCGTTAAAGAACTTAAAAACTAAAGCAGCCAAGAATCCCACCTTGATGCTATTACCCATGGTATTTCTACGCTTAACAACAGGAAGCTCATCATTTTCAACTGCTTGCTTCTTCAAACTGTCTGCCTTTGTGCCAGAATGATCGCATTTAATATACTGAGTTACTTTGATCAGATTAGGATCGATCAAAGCACCAACAGGAACCTTTTTCTTCGACTTGTTACTGTTTTGAACGACTCAGTTGGCATGGCAAGCTGGGTTGTTTGTGAACCACAGCTGGTACTCTTCTTCAGCTTCAAAGACAAATTCTTCTGTCTCATTTTTATACGTAGGCATGAAACGGTAGATGGTCAAGGTGCGAGGGTCAAAAGTGATATCATTCATTATTATAGTATTGATAAACAAATCAGTAACAAAAACATGTAAAAAATTCTACACAATAAAACAAATTCCAATTTTTTTTGGAAGGATTTGTGACTTGCAGAAAAGTATTTACGATTAGCGTAGCCGTCCTACAGTGAATGTTAATAAGCAATGACAAGTAGACTAAGCAATAACAAAGAAGTAGCTGGTAACAAATCACTTAGTAATAACTACTTATGTGGTATTTCAGGTACGAAACAATAGAAAAATAAAATATTTGATAATAGAGACGTATAGAAATACTTTGAGACTGTATATAAATTGTCTTTATTCATAAATAAAAAGTGTCCCTTTTTATAAGAAAACACAATCTGCTCTTGTCATTACGTCTTAGTTTCTTAAGGCTTTCTTCCTTTACTATATTTGGTTATTAGAGTGTATTTACTGCTTAACTAGTGTCAGTGTTACAATTATGACATCAAGTCATAAATCGTACTTCTTTAGCTCTTAGCTATTCTTTTCTCTTTTATACTAGAGCTTTAGGACTTCCTACTAAATTAGCTCCATATCGATCTGACACAGTTTACCCAGCAGTATGATATAATTATCTTAACAATCTTTAAGATATTATCTACAGTACTAACTGTAATAATTATTGGGCTGATTACTTAATCATTTATATAAATTTTATACTGACAAGATGATAGCTACTACGCTATCCCAATATGAATATGTTCTTATATGTGATAAATCCAACATCCGAGTGTCTGGATCACCACAACTTAGTAAATATTATCTCTTAGTCATTCACCAATTATATCATATATTTCAAAACATATAAATATCTCAAATATTCCAACAAATAAACATTATCTTTATCTTCATATTTTTTCTATTCATATTAACGTATTGTGTGACTTCTCGCACATTACAAACTTAAGTCATGTGACTTAGTAATGTTGTGTGTCAGACATGGCATAGTGGAAGTATGGTGCAATTGAAGATAACCATCTAAGTTTTTGATACTTTTTCAAACGTATGGTGCGTTCAGAGATAAACATCTAAGTTTTTGAGTGTTTTTCAAAGTTCTATATTTTTTGCTACAGACAAGCTACCCAGAATTGCTTGAATAAAAAGTCATAGACCTTCAAAGTCAAGAGGTATCTGTAGAAAATAGCAGAGTTCTAGTTCTTTTTTTAAATATTGAAAAATTATTTTCCCCTGTCTATGTCAGAGATTAATAGTATTGTTTCTATAAAAGAATATTTGTTTAACATATACTGCCATGTTTAATATGTATCTTATATTTATTTTTGGTTCATCAATCAAAACATTTCTAAATACTTAAACCTTTTAATCTACAAAACAATTTTGTCAAAATGCCTCCTGCCAGCAAGAAATCAAAATTAGCAAAAAGCAAATCCCAATCAGAATCTGGAAATTGTTTCTTTAAAAACATAGAAACCAGCAATAACGACCTGATTGACTTATTTGAGATTGACATTGAAGAAGATATTACTGTGGATGACAGAGAACTTCAGGGAATTGCAGATGATGTTACTTCTGCCATCTATTCTAGCCACTTCCTCAAATGGCATGAGGAAGCTGATAAGTCTCTCCTTGGTACATATCAGAAGAATTCATTAACAACTGAGTAGAGAAAGAGAAAGACTATGAAGGAATCTTTTTATTCTAAAAGAAATTATCTTCTAACGGAAAAGAGCTTTACAATTTCAAGTTGAAAAGAGTCTGTCAATGAAGAATTAAAGCCAGTTGAAGCTACTTCTAGAAAAATATCTGCGAATACAATTTCTCTTCTCAAGCTTGCCTTTAACAATATAAAAGAAGAAATAGCTTCATTTATCTGTATAAGTGATTCATCTCTGCCAGTAGACTATTACGAGCTTTGCAAACTCAAATCTGTTGAAAGTTACTTAAGATATAGACTCTCAGAAAGTAAGACAATGGAAGCATCCAAGAAAGCAGCTATGGAACTATGGCTACTGTGGTATACACACCACAATTGAGTGAAATACAAACTCCACAATCCAGAACGGATACTACACTTGCTAATGAACCTGGCAGGGTCACATCTCAGGAACGTAAAACACACCAGGCACTTGTACACTTCACACTGCTTCAGTGATAACCAACCATTAACTAACGGAGATCTTAAGTTAGGGAACCAAATGTCTATATAAACAGCTATGATCTTTTTTCTTAAATAAATAACACTCTCACAGTATCTACTTTTCCCATTATTGAGATACTAACCCATAAACAATCCCGAATATCTCAGCTACATACCAATAGTTATCGACCAGCAATGATAAGAAAATATACAAAAGAATATATTAATTTCTAATAAATTGCATTACATCAGCAAAGAAAACATGCTATTCATTTCTCTTTGTTTCCTGACAAGGACTTTAAGGCATCTATTTGCAAATAGATTCAGCAACAGAAGCCAGAAAGTCGCAGTACTATTCTGGTTAAGAAATATATCAATGAGGTTGTTATACTAAAAAAAACTTGGAATTCCAGGAAGTGTCTCAACGAGTACAGTTTGGAAATATAGTAAATTCAAAAACTGGGCCAGCAAATGTAAAATTTGTACTCCGCAACTTATATCTTCTTGAGTTCTTATTCTTTTGCAATAGTTTTAATACACTCTAGAACATCTGTTAAAGAGCTACAACATACTATGCTAGTATAGATATATATATATAGTATTAATAAAAAGTTATATGAAAAAAAGTGGAAATTTTCAGTGGTCCGGTTTTTTAGGTAAAGGTATCTTTTTTTTATTTTTCATTAATAAGATACCCTTTCTTCAAAATGCATTTATGCATTCTGCTTTGCATGGATTCAATTAGATTCTTGCACATCTCCTCTGGTATACTATCCCACTCATTCTGAAAACGGGATCACAATTCCCTCATTAAGCTGAATGGCTCTTCATATTGGTAGAGTTTACCCTTTGTGTACACCCAAAGGTTTTCGATGGGATTAAGGTCAGGCAAAAACGGTGGGAAATCAATGACCTCAATTCCCTCTGCCTTCAACCACTTTCTGGTATTGGCTGCAGTGTGTGACTGGCGTTATCATGCAAAAACATGATATTGGACTTGATGAGATTCTGCTTCTTCAAGGCCTTCAGTAAGCCCTGCTCCAAAAATGTTACGTATTTTGGGCTTGTCATGGTTTCATTGATCTTGAGAAGCTCTCCGTGACCTCTGGACAAAAAGCATCCCCAAATCATAACGTGTCCTCCAGCACAAACAGGGGAAGTCTTACACTTATATTTTTTAATTGCCAACTTCTTCAACTTCCACCTCCATCTCTTTCTATCCAAGCCAAAGTGATTCATCTTACATTCATCTGAGAAGACAACACACTTCCAGTCCTCCATGGTGAAGTTGATATAGTTCCTTACAAACTCCATATGCTGCTTGCAGATAGCGGGGTTTGTTTTTACCTTCAGAGGTGGTTACAAGGTACAGATGAACCCAGATGCTTTTAGCAAGGTGCGGATTGCTGGAGCCTTGAGAGCAAAACCTTTACCACATAGCCGTCTCTCTGCCTCTGTTGTTGTCATAAATTCCTCATTTAGGAATGCATAGATGATACGGTAAGCAAGCCTTTCATCGATTTGGGCAGGTCTACCCCCAGGAACTGAGGTAGAGATGTTCAATTTTCTTCAATATCTCTTGACGGAAGTCTGCGAAACACCAACAATGTTTGCTACCTTGGCTGTAGACTTTCCATGTCTAAGTTCAACTTCAATTGAAAGTATTTTGTTGCGTGATATGGGAGACATTTTTGCTTTAAAGTTGAGCAAAGGAACAAGGAAAACTCTGAAAAATTCAACATAATATATCTATTTTGTTTGCATAATTGTGATGTAATGACAAGACACACTCTGTATAAAAATTATCATAAAGCAGCTCTGCATTGAAAGTAAAGATATAATGCTTTACTTTATTTTTTGGCCCATACCTAAAAAACTGGGCCACTGAAAATTTCTACTTTTTTCATATAACTTTTTATTGATACTATATATATATCTATAATAGCATAGTATGTTGTAGCTCTTTAACAGATGTTCTAAAGTGTATTAAAACTATTGCGAAAGAATAAGAACTCAAGAAGATATAAGTTGCGGAGTACAAATTTTACATTTGCTGGCCCGGTTTTTGAATTTACTATATTTTCACGAATGGGGATATATCTTCAGAAAAATTCTAAAGATATTTTTTATAATGGTCATGAGTGAGCCAACATTATTTAATATCAAAAGAAATGGGCAAATCGAATGATGGGGTATAAGATAAAGATGTCGAGCTTTGGTGAGAACGACAAAGTAACTATGCCACAGCTATCAACTGATGAAGTAGAACATGTCCTTGTCACCCATGATGAGTCGACTTTCTATTCAAATGATAGAAAAGAAGCTATGTGGCTAGTGGAAGGTGAAAATTCAATTTGAAAGAAGGGTCCTGACATGTCACTAATGATTAGTGAATTCAAATATGTATGCCATAGTACAATGTCTAATGGTGCAAGGTCTAGTCAGGAGGTATTCCATTCTGGAGCCAATAGAGATAGGTACTGAACTAGTACTCATATGTTAAAGCAATTGGAGAGTAATGCAATTTCTCTATTCGAAGTAATTCACCCTGGATATAAGGTCATATTTGTATTTGATCAAAGTACAAATCACAAGACGTACAGTCAAAATGCTTTAATAGCAAACAAAATAACCTTAGGTGACAAAGAAGTTTAAGAAAATGATCTTTGTATACTGAGAGATACTACTTTTGTCTAAGATGGTAAAGAACAAGTACAGCTGATGTACTATGAGAAGGACGAGTAGTTCACAAAGAAAAGTAGGCAGTGGGTGACGAAGAAGATGAAATACGCGAAGGGTGTCTGTACAATCCTAGAGGAGCATGGTATGTGATTGGAGAAGAACTCATACAATCTTACCAAGAAATGGAAATTGGACTGCAAAAACAATGCTTCTGAAGATAGCAAGTACTGTGCACATCATTTTCTGGCTTCTCGGCCAGATTTTATGTCACAGAAAACTGCACTTGATGAGGCCATTGAAGTATCTGGCCACATCTTTGAGTTATACCCTAAGTTCCATTGCGAATGCAATTGGATTGAGAGGTATTGGGGCACTACCAAATGCGAAGCTCAGCTTCTATGTGATTATACATATAAGTCCCTGGATAAAAATATCCATTCTTTCTTTGATCACACTGGAAAGCTTCAAATCATCTGAAGATACTACAACTGCTTGTGATGCTACATTGAGGCATACAGCCAAGACATGAACGTGAAAGAAGCCCATGATACTGTCATGAACTTTACCTCAAGAAAATATACTTTTCATTGCCATGATGAAAGAAAGAAATAGACTCTTACCCTCCCTTTTAATATTTGTATTTGTATTTTTTCTCTTTACTATAATTTGTATTTCATTTTTTACTTTTTTTTTAAAAAAAATATATATATTAACTTGACTTGTCTGATCTACTAAGCATTAACCCTTATATATCAAATATAATTTTTTTAATATCACACGCAGACTTTAAACCAATTTGGTGTCGGAGTTTTGTCAAGAGAAAATTGAAATAATTTTGAAAAGTTTGATGTTTATCTCCAAACACACCTTATATGACTTTTGCAAAAATCAAGTTATTGTATAGCTAGACTATGAAAACAATACATATCATCATTATCTATTGTTTCTATGGTCCAGATATTTTCTGACTGTTCTAAATAAAAAGTCATATACCTTCAAAGTTGAGTCATAATAGTAGATCTACAGCAGAGTTTGACTTTTTTACAAAATTGAAAAAAAAAACATATATAATTATTACTAATGAAATTTAAATACGCTTTCCAATAGGGGGTTTCATTAACTGTTTTAGATTTTATTTTATTTTTTCTGAGCTTGAAAAAAGCCAATGATTGGCTAGTAAAAATCTCTCAAAAAATAAAATCTAAGAAAATAAAATCTCAAATCTTGCATTAATAATTTTAAGATTCTATTTTATTTTTGACTTAGTGAATTTTGCATAAAAATATAATAAATTATAAAAAAAACACTTGGTGTGGACAGACTAAAAGTTCAAAAAAAGCAAAAAAAGAGCAAAATTAATTAACAACTACGATTGGTCAGTTTTTGTTTGATACTACTTGCATGATAATATCATGCATCCCTTCTAGTTGCATTACACTTAAATAACAAACAACAATTTAAAGCATATATACTTGCTATAATTAAATACTAACATATATAAAAGTGAGAAATATATTACTCTTTTACTTATTATCTTAAAAAATTGTCACATACTTCAATAAATATACTCAAAAAATCAACTTTGGATGCATCTGCAGCTATCACTCAACGCATGTTGAAGATGATCAAGACGTTGTCTGACTCTAATGCCATTGCTTGTGAGGAAGATCATGACACATACAAAGATTTTGCAAATATATGCAAATTAAAGCTACAATCAGAGAAATTGATAGTTATGAAGGCCCAAGTCAAAATCAGCAAAGATGTTATGTATGAGGTAAAAATAAGATATAAAATAAAACAAGTGCAGACAAGAGTATGATGAGACTTTGTTTTATTAGAAGAAGTGAGAGAATCAGAAAAGAAATGCTGTTCTATTGCTATTAGTATTGTGCATTTATATAGACGCTGTATTTAGCTTGGTGATGATATGATGATATCATGTAATGTGTGTTTCTCTACTATTATCTTCTATGATTTAGCTCTTATGTTTTTAGTATTATTGACTAGAGTCTTAGTATTTGTCTTAGTATGTTCTTTACATAATTTTCTTGTATAAGGGAAGGTATATCTTTTAGTATTGTTACTAGTTGTTGGTAACTCAATGTACATATTTATTGAGTGTCTGCACTTTTTATTTAAATCTACGATTATGTTAGATACAACAAAAGAACGCTATTCTTTCAAAGGGCAAAACAAGACCAAGAAACTTGTAACTCAATAAGAAGGATTGAATTTTCTGCTTGCCTTGAATGAAAGCGGCTTCCTGGAAGAGTTTCCAATAAGCAAGAGCTCTTTTTATAAGCTGTATGATCTTGTAAAAAACCACGAGCTTTACCAACAATTGTCAGGATATTACTCAATCAATGTTAGACTACAAATTTCTATTGTTCTTGACCGATTAAGATCAAATGATAATTCTTTGTCAAGTGGCCATTTGGCAAAACGTTCTGGAATAGAAAGTAAGTGACTCAGGATAATAGTCTATGACTGTTTATCCGCATATACAAAAGCAAATTTATTCACCTGTTTTCTACAATAAAAACAACTAGAGGACTTTATCAAGAATATAACAACCAGATTCTTCAAAGTAATTTTCTCTTTGGAGCACTTTGTTTATTAGCCAACTGAATCTGAGAAAGCAGAGATAAAACAGGCAAATAAATATCCGTTAGGATTTCCAAACCTTGTTGGATTTCTTGATAAATGTTTATTTAAGCTGGCAAAAGCATCATTGTGGAAGCCAGAGCAGTTTTTTTGGTTGTAGATCCACTTACTGTGTAAACAGTGTCGCAGTATGTGGTCATAGATGTAAAATCCGATATATGTCACCTAGTTTCTTTGGATGTTTGTATGATATGCGTACTTTGTCTGAGTGTGAGCTTAGAAAATTCCTGGAGCAATTCTTTTTGGGTGATGAGTATGTGTTAGCAAACGCAGGGTACAAGACTATGAACTATATTGTTCCAATCAAAAAGAAGGCAAAGAACAGTGAACTCTCATTAGCAGATGAAGAGTTCACACTATGAATGAAATTGGTGTGGCCGCTACTAATAGTAGTGGATATGCCACTAATTTATTTTAATTAACCAATCAAATTGGATTTAGATTTTGATAAAAATATTAAAAAAGATGAAAAAGATAAAGTTATATTTAAGAGCAAAAAAACATAATAGAAACGTCTTTTTTTTACATATATATCATATAGAGAGTATAATATCTTGATTTATTTATATTTTATTTGAAATTGTAAAACTTTTCCTTGTCTCATTGTCAAGATTGTTGTATTTTGCCAATACCACTAATCAATGTGGCAGACCAACTAACTTTCCTACTAATTTACCAAAAGTGCGGGATTTAAATTGATTTTTTTATCTTTTATTTTGCTTTAATTTTTACTTCGCATTTTTTTTCCTTTTCATCACAAATGGACATCATCTTAAAAAATAATTTTAAGATAAAGGAGGTGAATCTCTATAGCTACTTTATACATCTACTTTGCATGACTTATTTTCTTTTAATTTTTCTTTAATTTAACTTGTTAGAATAAAAATATATTTGAATTATTGAGATGGAAACAAAGGTTCATTTTATTGTTCATGAGTATATTAAAGAAAGAAAAGATAAAATATGGGTATAATGGGGTATTTACAGTTTGATATGGCTTAATTTTCCAGCAGTACTTTTCATATCTTCATTAAATATATAATATGGAGCAACTACTTTATATTTCTTTGAGTCCATAGCGGTTTGGACTAAGCCAACTTGATTTTGGATATTATTTAGACTAATTACTACTAATCTTTGGTATATTGAAGTTGCATCTAGAGCTACAACTGGAATGTAATTGTCATAGTCAGCGGCTGAGTGATCATTCATAACACTTACTAACATGAGAAACTGCCTGCAGTTTTCATTATGAGGTGAGATGTTATGTGAGAAATAAAAAACAATAGACCCAATAAACCAGTGGGTTTTGCTAAGATTTAAATAGAGTAATTAAAAACTTCATTCTATAGAACATGTCTTTATGAAAAACTTACTTTTGGTATATGGCATAAAATTTTATGTAATGATTGCCTTGACAGAATTCTGATCTCTTTCTTCTGTACATCTCCAAACTATATATATGGCTACTAATTAAGGCGCGCGCTGCTATCTGGATTGTGTTCATGATATATTGTGAATTGGTTTGCTGTTAATTAGATCAGGCATAAAAGGTTAGTAAATCCTTGGTAATTGTGGATATGTTGATGAATTCTTGTATATAGGGTATAGTTTTGAATGGACTCCAGAGTTTATAGTCATAATTGTAGGGAGAGAGAGATGAAAGTTCCAGGAAGTCGTCCAGAGATGTCCTTGTAGATAAAATTGGATTCACCAATTCATCAAAATCTACCAAGCAGTTTATATAGCCACAGATTGCTAGTTGCTCCACCAAGTTGCTTGCGTTTTTTCAACTGAAGACCTTACTTTTGATCAACTTAGAATATCTGCCAATTGTTTGTTCCATGGATCTGGTACTGTACACCCTTAAATTATCCATCTTTCTTGTGATAAGACCAATATTAATAATATAATTGTTTACTGAAGAGAAGACTCTGACTGATAGATTTTTTTTTGTAATCTCAGAATCCAGAAACTGATGCCAAATGTTGAAATCTCTATTAAAAAAGAAAGTAAGCATTATTTTCAAATAATAAAGTTTTAAAGCTCATTTCAACTTACTTTTCTATTTCCACTATCATATTCTCATTTAAATTCCACTGCAAGCATATAGAGCAACCTTTTACCAGAGCCAGGAGTGCCTTTCGAGTTGTTTATCTTGTAAACAGAGAAACCAGAAGAGTGGAAACAACATACAAAAGGAAATCAATGTAATCGATTGCCCTTACGCCTTCTCTCTTGTCAATAATATTATCCCAACTGCCTTGGAAGGATACAGGTATGTTAGATCTAGAATACTGGATTTGTCTACCTGCCAGCTTAACATCACTTTCCTTCAGAGAGAAGGTATATCTCTCTTTCATGAAATGACTTCCGTCTTCACTCTTTGGCCAGTAAGCTTCCAATGATTCAGTGTTGGAAAGTACAGCTAGTTTATAGATAAGTTTGTCTATTCCATGGCCAAGTAAATACATCTCATTAAGTCTATAGAAGCAAGATCCACTAAAGGTAGGCAATTGGGCAAAAATGGTTGCCTCTTTAATACCAGTAGCCTATAAAATTTATATTAATATACAATTCTTTTTTTTGTTATAGTATACTTACTTTTTTATCTCTAACAAAGTTGTCCTTTGTTCTCAAAGTGGCACAAAGGCCCTGACAGTATTTCCCTTTACCATGGGAAGAGCTGATGCTTTCTATCTCGCATATCCGGCAACCTTTGTTGGATATGTGACCTGTGTGGTGACAAAATTGGGTAACCTATTTTTGCTCAAAATGATGAGTTGCTTCTCTCCTTAGTTTTTCTTTAACTCACTTGAGGAATATCATTAGAGGCCATGACCATGTGAACTTTGACTTTAATCTGCTCGCGATTGAACTTTTTGATGCTCAACCCATGTTTTCCTAAGCTACTTATTTCGTCTATAATAGACAATAAGAAAGAGTCAAGATCTTTGGGCTTTCCAGGTATAATCGCAAGTTGGGTGAGATATTTATCAGTATATCTTGACACAAAAAAAAGATAAGTCTAAGAAAACCCATGTATAAAAAATCTTTTTATGTTTTGCACTAATTATTACCTAATTTCAGGGTTATAGTTTAACACTATTACATGCATAATAGTCAATTGCTGTTTCGATTTTTTTTGGTTTACAAAATCATGAAGAAACAGAGCAATTGCTATGTCATCAGGGGAATCAAAGAGCTGCTGCTCTTTTAGAGTCTTGTACTCTTCACCATCAAAGTAATCAGATATTTCATTTGAAATAGATTATATGTTGACCCTGTATTGTAACTTTAATCTTGTCTCGTCATTACCAAGAAGTCTCACCAGTTGGTCACCAAGTGACATCATCTTCATGGTGTTTACTGGTACCAAAGAAGAATCACTGTCAATCTCCTTGTATCTGCGGGCCTTGCAAATGGAGCATTCTTCTTCATCTTTGGTGATATCAAAAAGTGAGCGGAGATTTATGCAAATATCATACTCATAAGACTTCAGATCAGTCTTGCTTTTGACAAGCATGTTGACAGGCCCGGCATACAAAAATTTTGGGTTGTATTCTAATGTTTGAACATTTTAGTTACCTTTCTAGAATATCTAAAGGAAATTCGAATTGAACATACCTTCTTTGAGCTTGTCATTATCACAAATGGCTGTGTTCATAAGATCTACAAGTAGACTATGCCGAGCTGTAGAAACTCCAAAATCAGTTACAAGATTGTTCAAGTAAATACTGAATAGCTCAGATGTTATAAAGATATTATTGGTAAAGATGTTGTCATTGTAGATATGCCCTTGGTCACCAGCTTCAAAGTTATAAGATGCTTCAAAGGTTCTTAACTGGAAAGGATCGAATGGAACTGTAACAGGCAATTAGGGTTATAAATATTTATGTTTGAAAAGTGTGTACTAAATTATTTCAAAGACATATCATCTTCTAGATTTGTTTGTGCTGAAGCAGATTGCACAACTGGTTCTTGTAAGTTCTCTTTAGCAACAGGAGCATTGAATGTTTTGTGAATACGCTTGTGATTGCAAAGTTGCTTGCTAGTAGGATAAGTCAAGCTACAGAAGTTGCATTCAAAAGAAGGCAAGTCAGTAGAACTTCTGATTCTTTTGTTTGAATAAGACATTGGTAAGGTTGAAAAAAGGGTAGTATATGAAAGTTAAAATAAAAAAAGAGGTATTTTAATCTTGAATGAGGTCGTGAGCTCCCTTTTTATATTTTTTTTCAGTTCATAAGCGTGGTTTGTTGATGTTGTAAATGAGTATCAATTACTGCTTACTTTGAGAGTAACACTGAAGGATAATATAATAGCCTCACGTATTTCACTTCGCCGGATATGTCTTTAAGATATTATTCTATGCGCAGATCATTATACCCATAATTGATTATTAGTTATCATGTATTAATTATCATTATCACAATAGCATAGAATATATAAGTACACATACATTATATCTATGGTATCGTTATATTTCATTTACATATCTCATTTATTATATGAATACTTAATTGAGAGACTACAACTACAATTGATAAACATTATGAAACATCACCCGAGTATCTGGTCGGGATACTAAAATATTATCAATAGTATAAATGATCTTCTTTACCAAAAATTTTGGATTGATATGACTTGAGAAGTATCAGAACAATTGATCTTTCTAGATTTTCCCAGAAGAATAATACTTTTGCAAGATAACTCATTGTAATAAAGTTTATTTAGGTATGTCCTAAAACATAAATCAGAAAACATATAAACTCTGTTATGCTCTCCTTTTATTTTGAAATAAGCAATCTATATAAGTTCTTATTGATTATTTTATCTATATTTTATTTGTTAATTTCTTGTTTTTGCTTCTTGTTTTGAAAGGAATATTTAATTTTCTATAGAAAGCAGAAAGAAACCGAACTTATAGCTTTAATCGTAAAGTCTGTATCAATTGGATGTTGAAGTTTAACAAATTTTATATGTTTATCCATCCCAACATATATTAGCTGTCTTTATTTTCATTATTTTTTATTTCTTCCTTTCTCTTTTATAATCTTTAAACATCTACTTAACATGAGTAGCCAATCGGACGTTAATGTGTTAAACACAATTAGAATTGTTATTCGTGAGGAATTGGCTGATATCCGCACTTCAGTTGCTAGAATCAATGAAAACGTTGCTAATCAACAACAGTTTATAAGACAGACTTTTAACGCAGACAGAACTAGTAACGCTCATAGAGGTAAGAATAATGGGTTTAGCAACTGTTTTGAATATTCATAAATTTTATTCAAAGATGTTGTTGAACAATCTGCAATCAAAAGACGAATGTCATACCTAGTAAGCCATTCTGATGACAGGAGCATAAGACATATACCTGCAACAATGAATGAGGCACATATGGGGTTCATACCTCGAAGAACAAATAAGACCCCAAGTGCCACTGCAAGAATCAATGCATTGATTAACTACCTCTGGAAAAAACAAAAAGGGACAGATGTAAATATATCAGCACTAGAGCAAAAGCTTATTTGCTTGCAGTTTCATATGTATACCAGACAATGTTGGTGTATAATAAAAGATGATGGTGTTGTGGAAGTAAACTGGGGAAAATTAAATTCCCAGAAAAAGTTGTACTACTCTTTGCGACTTGTGGAGTTAATTTTCAATAACTACAACTTCCCACTTTACGATTGTCAAGATCAATGGGCTGCTTCTCTTCTTTTACAGGAAGTAATGAAGGCTGAACGCCAAACAGAAAAAAGAAGAAAGGTTTGTATATAATTTGGAAAAGTCAAGTATCTTTATTTATTTGATTTTAAATATTATAGAAGAGAGCAGCTGGGCCAGTTTAGGACAATAGGTACAAACAGACTCATTTCAATATATAATGTAATGAAATTGCTAATTTCTCTGTTTCAAATAGTGCCAATGACAGTATCTCTGAAGAGGAGTCAATTGTGATCATGACACTATCAAGGAAACCAACACGCAGCAGATGTACTTAGAAAAGTAAAAAAAAAGCACGGGCCACAAGCCACATGATCATATTTGTGCACAGCAATAAAACATTTTACTCTGTTTCTTCTTTTTTTTCGTTCCTATCATCAGTAGCATTAGTTAATTCTAAACACTGTATTTATTTTTCTTATGTTTTCTATCACCCACATTCCAGCCAAGCAAAAGGATACCAATAAAAGTTGAAATCTTGTAGGAATAATTTGAATTGTTCACTTTTGTAATAACTCATTCGATCTGGATCTAAAAAAAAAAGAAATAAATTTAAACTAATGGAAGCAGACTCTAGATACGACTTTGCAATTAACAATAAGAAAGAATTCAAGATGCATCATAACTGAAAAAGGTATTCTATATATACATTTGAATAGGACTTGGTCATTTATCTTTTTTTTTGAATAATCAAAAATAGTTATGAGCAATCTCTATTCTGATACAGCAATAACCAGCCTTTAATCTGATGTGTAAACTCAGGTAAATATTTTTGTACAAAGGAAAAGAACTCTTTTAAATATACTAATAATTATATAGCTTTTCAATAGTATTTTTTTGAAGTTTATGTACTTTATTTACAATATCAATCGAAAGGTAATTAACAGAATTGAACTTTTTTACATTATATGTATGCTAATATTATTATTATTTTGTTTAGTTTTGAGAATTTTTAAGTTGCTTTCCTGTGAACTATTGACTTTTTGTGGTGGTTTACTGTTTTTGATTGACTGAAGATAAATATATTGAAAAGGGTTTCTTTTTAAAGCTACAAATGCTAACTATTGTTATTATTACTTGATAGAAAAAATACTGATTTATAAGAAACATGCTTTTATATTATGTTTGTTGAAGTTATGTAAGTTATTAGTGCTATTATATTTCTTTATTTTTGCTATTGTTTCGTGGTATTGAGTGTTAAACAATGTTATTGCATAGTTTAAGCCAGCAATATTGCTCCACCTATTCTGTAAAATAATTGTTCCGAATGCTAGCTCGTTTCACCTCATTGTCAAGGATATTGCATATATCCTAGCAATCTGTTTTCTGGACGCGAAACAAAATAGAAAAACCCAAAAAAAAACACTGTATACGCCTACCAATAGTTTCTTACAAAAAGTGAAAATAAGCAATGTCACCAATGCTGCTATTTTAAATAAAAAAAACCTACTATATAAAATTATTTTTTTTAATAAAAAAAACTATATTGCTGTTTTCTTTTTTATAAAAAAAACCACATCATAATTTTCTTTTTTGTTAAAAAAATACATCACAATATGGTGGATATCAACGTTAAACTGGCAAATGCTATGCTGTTTTTTAGCACAAAACCATATTAATTGGTTACACTGCAAAAGACAACCGATTTAAGTAGCTTAATTTTTGTTTAAATCCTCCAAAAATCGGTGGTTTATGTTCAATTATAGTTCGGTATTTGTTACAAAAATTGGTTCATTTAGTTAACCAAATGATGAGATTATAGATACTAAAATCAATAGATAAATTGAGAGTTATAATTCCCCCTTTTCTTGAAATGTTATAATTGTCTGTAATTCTGGTTATATATTCACCCATAACTTCAAACCGTACCTAAACCCTACTTGTTATGGAATTGGCTTTGAACTCTCTACCTCTTAAAAATTTTTATTTGCTTTAATTACATGATATTATTGGATAGACCTCACTAAAATCGACCTAGAATCAGTCTGAAATCTGACAGGAACCAGCATTCAAATGAATGATTGTAAAAAAAAACTTAAATAGATCTTGTTGACATCATCAAGAGATGACGCATTTGAAATAGAATCTCATGGAAAAAATGGTTTTTATTGATTTTTGAATGGTTGGAAAATATATTTAACTATTTAATATGGACCACTAATACTTCTTTAAAAGTGTGTATCCGAATAGTACGACTTGTATACATGTTATACTTTCATTTATTGGACGGCTTGAATACATTGGATGACCTAACTTATACTATACTTCCCTACCTTATCGGTTTCATGTATTCGGCGCGTTTTTTGGTTTTACACTTCTTTAACTGAAAATGAAATCCTTGGTATTTTCTTGGAGAATACGTTTGTTTGGAACTACATTAGCTTAGAGCAAAAAAAGATACAGAAGTATTAATATAGGTTTCTTTATGAAATAAAATGAAATAACATACTTACTAGATCATTTATGGGGGTTCATAACAAATCTCGCGATAGAATAAAAATCCGTTTGATTGATATTTTCTTTTAAATAAAAAGCAAGAAATAAAATAAACAACTTTATTAATATGTACGCTTTGATTGTAAAGACACTTGAATTACTTACATATTATAGACACGCGTTTGCAAAAGGGGGCAAACCAGTATGACTTGAAAAAAAGGCGTGACATATTTATCTGAGAAGAAGAATTGATAAGTTACATTATTTAAGTTGAGTTATATATATATTACCTTTTCATAGACTGAAAATACCAGAAAGTATATAGTGTCAAGAGCAAAACATCTTTTATTACAAAATGGGTAGAAGCCCTATCATTTTAAAAATAAAAGATATTTAGTCAGCAAGGTGTTTCATTTTGGTTAGGAGATTGTTTATTACCTGTGCTGTTTTGAATGCTTGTTGAGTGTATTGTTTATCTAATATATATTAAGATGATTCTAAAAGCCAAAAGTATTAATAAAAGTTGAGATCTTAAGAGTAAGCTTACCAAGACATATAAAAAGAGACAAAATGAGAAGAGCAGGTTAAAGAAAGAGAAAATAAAAAAGAGGGGCGCGGTTATTCTATTAAATACGAATTCGGGGTTTTTTTTTAAAAATAAATAAATCAAAAAATAATTTTTGTCTGTAACTTAGAATTGAAAGAAAACGCAGTTGCACTATGCCAGCAGCTAATACATATGAAAAACAGAGTATAGTATAAAATCATATTATTCAAATACTAATACATAATATAAGAATAAAACATGGATTGAAAATTAAATTAAAGAAACACATAAAATACTCACAACAAGAGTGGAAACATTCAAAGCTGTTCTTGTTACGTAATAGATCATGGTGTTCTCTGAGAAAGAATAAAACTTAAAGCCCAAATTAAACATAATATAAATAGACCCTTTGGATTTAAAAAAAAACAAGCTATTCTTATTATTCACAATGTCAAGAAATCTCAATAACAATTCAGTTAACAATGCTTTTGGTGAAGAACCTTCTGTGGGAAGGTAGATTAAAACCAGGCAGTCTTCAATTTTCTTATATTAATTTTATTTTCGTTTTTTATAAAAATCAAAAAAAAGCCCACCAAGAAATACCAATGATATAAGGACGATAATGTTGCAACACTCACAGGGAACAGTGAGCAATCAAAGACCACTAGCACCAAAGAGAGCTCGGTTGAATCTTGAAGGTGATTCGTCGGGTAGAACTCGTAACATCCATGATGTGTACGAGAAACTTGATACCATGAATGGTGTCTTAAACACTGTTTTGAAGAACACATCTTCTGAGAAAGCCGAAGCCACTGCTAGTAATGCAGTTGAGCAAGACATGTCGCCTGGACGTCAACCAACATTGGATGTAAGTAATCATAATATGTTTTTATGTAGATAGAATTTAATATACATTTATATTATAGCAATTGTTGCGCGATTATTTGAGTGAAGAGAAATTGTATGACCAATACAATACCAATGAAAATAAAAACAGTGAGGGAAACAGACTCGTTCTGAAGTCTGTTACCGATTACCTTCGTCGTCAAGAAGAGGGGAAAAAGGTGGACTTGCCAACTCTTCGAACTAAGATTGTGCGGCACATTGGCAACAGAAAGTTGCAAGAAAAAAAAACAGGAGAAAAGAAGCAGGAAGAGAATCGACGGGCCTGTCTTCGTCAGCGACGTGTAAAGGTAAAAAACACACGCACACAATATACTAGATGTGATATTAAATTAGAAATATTATATATTTATATATAGTCGTGTGAAAGAAGACAATCTGCCTTGAAAGCCAATCGGGCACACTTTGTGAACAGCTTTGGAGAGAATGTTGACAGTATTCTCCATGCTGATTACATGTCAGACCTTGAGAGTGATGACGAAAGAGAAGAAGAGGAACAGGATTCGTCCTCAGAAAAGAGTTTTTTTTGGAGATTCCGCCCAAGCTGGAGAAGCGAAGAGGTATAGTACAAAAAACTATTTTTTTGGATGGTGTGTAATAATACTTACATTGACATATAGGGAGATAGGTTCGTTGATGAACTTGATGCGGATTATGAGGCAGCTCATGATAAGAAAAATAATACCCGTCCATTCGAGCATAAATTTAAAGGAATAAGAGATAAGCAGCTTAGTAAGACCAAGGCAAACAAGCTGCCATCATGGTCAAAGAAACAATAAGACAATAAATCAAACATTTTCTAATAAATTGATAAAAGAGTGCAAAGTGGTATTTTATTAATATTATTTAAGCTTCTATTTTTTGGGGTAAAGGGATTACTAAACGTTTAAATTCACTAGTTATAGTAAACCTATATTTAGCAATTGCGATTGGTGAATATAAACGATGTACTGGAATAATACATTCATAATTAAGTACAGAAGAAGGTTCATTCCAGAGCTCAATGCCTTCATTTAACATTGGCTGGTAACTCCCCGAAGAATAACTAGAGTACCACTCAACAAACGCAAAAGTATGGGTGATGACAGTTTCGTTGATGGTTATCAAATGTTGAAATAAATACAGTATACGGCCAGGAAACGCTGCTTTATCTTCACTGTTATTCTCAAGATAATAGGCGCGGAAATAAGATCCAGAAGAGTATTCCTGTCCAAGAAGAGATATCCGTTTCATTTTCTCAATTCGGTTATTGACAAAAATCTGGTTAGACTCGCAGTTTGAATAATGGCCAAAAAGATCGTGACTGCCATACGCGTGTCTGTAAAACTCCAGTAAACATTCATAATGTCCCTTGCACATTGTAATCCTTTGGTCGAGTTTAATCGGAAACACTGAAGGGGGCAACGGCTCACAACCCAAAGCAGAATGACGAGGGTTTAACGAATATTCAACAAAGTCAGACAGAGAAAAGGTACTGGCAGTAGAAGATGGATGCAATGCTGCTAATTGATCTTGACTATTTGAAATGCGATGCAGAAAGTCAATTGCGAACTGGGGAAGATGGTTGACGAAAGATTGTATGAAGCTGCCAATGTATGTTCTCTCCAAAAATCTCTTCATCATTGTTGATTCGAAGCCGCCTTTTTGATTTGTTTCGATATTCTTCAACAAACCATTGTATCTCTCGAAACTGAATAACCAGAAAGCATAAATTGGCCCAAAGTCATGAACACACTCGCCAAGATGAAGATGTAGATGCATATTCGGTGTCACGGCCGATTTTCCATACAGTGTCTGAAATCTTGTACAAAACAATTGGAGTTTACTGTGGGCTTCGTCTATTTCTTTGTCATTGATCGAAGGTTTTGTGAGTAAGCGGCATGCGTCAACAAACAAAATCCAGTTTTCGAGATTCTTGGCTGGGAGCACATGCTTCAGAACAAATGGAGAGTATATGACGCACCACGACTTCCACTCGTCAGCTTTCATGAACGAAAACCCATCGGCAATCTTCTTTGTTATACGCGCATATCCACAAGGTACAACAATACCATTGGCAAGCTCTTGCATAGTTAACTGATTCTTTTCATTGATGTAGTTACACTCGCGCCATATCTGAATCATTCGCTTTGCAGTTCCAAGATAGAGGTTATGCATCGGGTCTATAACTGTAAAGCGGACTGGGTCAAAGTAAGATAACCGATGAAGCTCTGACCACCGAGTGCCGTTTTCTTTTTCTAGGCGTGTTCGCTCAGTATTGTTCAATGCATTTGCCCAGCTGACAGCGTGTTCCAGATTCATTGTCTTCGTGCGTCTCACCCAATTGCTATACTTGAATCCAGAGTAGTCAAGCTTGCTGGTCTTCTTTATAGTCGTGAATTGTCGTTGACATTTGTGACAGGCGCATGTGCTCATGTGGCCAGTAAATCCAGAGGTTTTGCGAGCGGCAGGGATATCACAGGCAACACACATCAATGCAGCACGAACAACAATCTTTCTATTTTGTGAGTCTGTCATTTCTACACCAATGTACATCTCCAACAATTCGTCAACGAGCGGCTTCAAGTAATGATTCATGCTGTCAGTGCTTGCTTCCTTCGGCCCAGGCATCATACCAACAAGAATGACATTTTCAGACTTAAGGCGTTCACTCCGTGGGAGATTGTTGATAGAGAGATATATCGCACCACTGGAATGTGTTCGTCCATCAAATGGCTGAAACCAATCGATATTCAGAGTCAACATTAAAGATCGGCTATCATCAACAAACCGTCTGCCATTGATGTCTTTAATATCACTCCAAACTGCACCATCGAAAATGTCAAGTTTGGTGTTTTCAATTATTTGACGACTTCTCCACAAATTGATCTTGGACACGAAATCTGGCTTGGAGAATTTTTGTTGCAAGGCGTACTTCAGAGAGTTGAATGGATATACCATTGCTGGAAGAGAACGATTTCCGGTTGACACTTTAAAGAGATTGTTGTTGCAAATGGCGGATTGAGAGAATTTCTTAAATGTACAGACTCTTTGACTTGTTTCCGGAGGATAAATCGAATGACATTGTGAGCATGCAATGTATACTGTCATTCCGTCTGTTGCCATGTTAAATCCTGTCTTATGCTTCAAGCTATTGATCGTCATTGGAAGGGCGCCAGACATATCACAGAGAGACAGTAGAGTATTACAAAATTCAATGAGAATCGATCCACCGCTTTCCACCAAAAAGATCAAGTGAAATATGACAATGAATACTGCAACAAAGCGGATATACAAGGGCATGTTATCAAAAGACGAAGGACGAACTATGAAGACAAAGGTTAAGTTAGTTTAAATTAATATATTGATTAATTGTCTATACCGTATTAATTCATACCTGATTCTACTATCGAGGTCCCACTGGTCTCATCAAAGTTTTCTTCTTGTTCAAAATCAAAACCGGTATCGCCTTCTTCAATCTCATCGCCATCAACCACAAATGCTCCTGTAATTGTATCTTCGGCAGTAAAGATGGACTCTTCTTGGGACAAAGGTAAGTCAACTGGAAAGGAATAATTGTTGTAAAGATGTAGAAATAAAAATATAATTACAATTATAATCATATAAAAAATAAAAAATAAAAAATATATATATCAGTTTCAATTATTATTTTGTTCATTTATTTTATTTTATTTTCTTACCTTCTTGATCAAATTCAATGTTTTGTTCTTCATTTTCGTCTTCATATTCGCCTTCGCCTTCGTTCTCGTAATCATAATCATTGTCATTGTCACTGTCAATACTATCTACTTCCATGTCGTCAAAATGTTCTTCAGGAACATCTATTTTATGAATTAATTTATATTAATTTTACATGTACAGCTCGAGTTATTCTTGTTATTTACCCATTGCATCGTCTTTGGCAACAGGCACTATATGTTTCTCATAGTGTCGTTGTGCATTTTGTCTTTTCTGTTTCTTTCCACAGCTATCCAACTTTGTACAGTCTGGACATTTGCAGATAACATAACTGTCTTTCTTTTGATTATTGGACATGTCGATTGTTTTAAATTATAAAAAAAATTATATAGATTTTAAGAGATCTTGATCAAGGTCTTTATATACCAAAAAAAAAATTATAAATAGATAAAATACTGCTCCATGCCATGACTATAGTATGCCAAGTAATTCTTTGATACATCTACCGCACATATCATCATAATTATACTCATATATTGTTAAGTCATTAACCAAGTCAAATACTGCGCACATTACTAAAAGTGTACGCAATTTTTTTTAAAAGTCTTTTTTTAGAATTATAATATTTGATATGACGATGATTCGACCATGACGAAAAATAATCCAAAAATGGAACATTCGCCTCTCACAACATGTGAAATAAAAAAATCTGATATTTTAGTTCCATATATCAAAGGGAAAAATCACGCAAAAATATTGCCACAGTAAAAATGAAATCACAACCTTTTGTCTCGTTCCCTTGAAATATATGGATTAAATATTTGTTTTTATATTCACATTTATAATACATAAAAAATATTTAAATGATTTATTTTGAAATAGAAAAAGTGAAACCTTAAGAATATATATAATTTTTATTAAATATTATATTAACTTTTGTATAAGTGTTTTTTCAATGTAATTTAGAATTATATCAAAAGTGTATAATATAAAAAAAAACCCAATTTTGTAATTTTATGGCCAAAAAAATGATGGTAGTGTGATTTTACAGCTAAAAAAGAGCGATCTGAAATCACAACAGAAAAAAATAGAAATTATTTGAAAAAATTAAAAATCGAAAATTGTAGTAAAATTTTTGCAGGTTTTCAGGAACTAAAATCAGCGGTCTTTTGCAGTGTTACATTTCCACTATGTTTTATGATAGGGGAGCCACTAAGATCTGTTTCAAAACCACTAACCAAAGTTGGTGTGGCAAAACTACATTGATTGGTAACTAACATAGCTCATTTACCACTAATCTACCCTGCTAAAGCATAGTGTGATTGACCATCAAATCACCAAAACATTAGTAGGACTGCCACAGCAATTTCTTTCATAGTGTCAATACCAAGATCTTAAGCATGCAAGTAAAAATTAAAAACGAATTTGGAATCTTGAAAGAGAGATTCTACTCTCTCAAATCAATCCCTGTAAGAATAAAAGGAAAGGAAAGTGTTGTAAAGATTAATGCATAGATTTGGGTTTGCGTAGCCTTGAACAATTTCCTGATGTGTCTAGATGACAACAAATGATCTCAGAAAGCCAAGTGTCGATGGGAAGATATAGAGAAAGCTGAAGTTGAATGCCTGCAGAAGACAGGATATTCAGAGGAGTCTGATGTAGTAGATGGATCTCAGAATATAGACGTAAATACAAAGTAGATCCAGACACAACGTGTTGTTATGTCAAAAGAAAAGAATACATCTTCTTTAATAAAGAAAATAAACTTTGATCATTCTAAATGGATTAAAAAAAACAGAAGTATTAGCTTTTATATCTATTAGATAAATCTCACTTTTTGGCATTTGACAACTGTTATTAAATAGATATTTCAATATTATTTATGTTCTCTTTCTTTAATATTTTATTATCAAACTATTTTGAAGATGTAAGTAGAAGATCAATTTTGTCTGCTTTAATAATAGTATTTTTATATAGTCTACATGCCTTTACATTTTTTTAAATGAAATAACATTAGTTCTAAGAATTTGTATATATATATAAATTAAACGCATAGTATAAATAGAAGAAATACAATTTATTAATTGATGTATTGGTTATACATCTCTTCTAATTCATTCTTAGTCTTCTCCTCAGACCAGTCAAATGTTTTTGCCATAAGGATCACTCCTTTTACCCACTGCTTGCATTGAAGCTCTTTTTGCAGCTTCTCCTTCTGGTTCTTGAGCTCTTCCTCGTACTTTGATTCTAAGAGCAATATCTGAGTATCATTGAACTCTTTTATATGATGCCCAATATCCTTTATGCTCTTGACTGATCTTTTTGCCGTGTTCTTCACAATCTTGCCAAAGAATTTAGGCCGTCTTTTGTCACTGTACGCACTGGTGTCAGAGTGCTTGAAGGTGCTGCTTTCACTGTTGCTTTGAACAATGACCTCTCTCTGAGAACTGATCTCATTGCTGACATCAGCTTCCTGTTCTTCTTGGTCCTTGCAGCTTTCACTGCTCTCACTGGCTTTGTCATCTCCATCGTTTTCACCATCTTCACCATCCTCACCCTTGCTTATAACTTGAGCTTTGTTTAAGTCCAATGACATTGTTGTATTATATACAGCAGGTGACTTTGTCTTACTTTTACCAAGTACTTCTCTCATCTAAGTGAAGTTTGGGCATATATCATTAAGATATACTTTTAAAAGGTAATTTAAATTATTTAGATGTTTGTTTTAATTTATATGTAACAATATTCATATCTTCAAGTTTATCTTTTTCATGTTGAGACATTTCTTCTTTACCAATTCTCATTGTGTTGTCTTTGTGGTATTTCAGGTACGAAACAATAGAAAAATAAAATATTTGATAATAGAGACATATAGAAATACTTTGAGACTGTATATAAGTTGTCTTTATTCATAAATAAAAAGTGTCCCTTTTTATAAGAAAACACAATCTGCTCTTGTCATTACTTCTTAGTTTCTTAAGGATTTCTTCCTTTACTATATTTGGTTATTAGAGTGTATTTACTGCTTAACTAGTGTTGGTGTTACAATTATGACATCATGTCATAAATCGTACTTCTTTAGCTCTTAGCTATTCTTTTCTCTTTTATACTAGAGCTTTAGGACTTCCTACTAAATTAGCTCCATATCGATCTGACACAGTTTACCCAGCAGTATGATATAATTATCTTAACAATCTTTAAGATATTATCTACAGTACTAACTGTAATAATTATTGGGCTGATTACTTAATCGTTTATATATATTTTATACTGACAAGATGATAACTACTACGCTATCCCAATATGAATATGTTCTTATATGTGATAAATCCAACATCCGAGTGTCTGGATCACCACAGTCTTCCCAGGCTTTGAATGCAATAGGATATTGCTTGTTGATCAGATACATCAGTTTGTTTTTTATTTGAGAGCTGGTGCGCTTCACACCCTACTTGTCAAAATACTGGTAGCTGTTGTTGATCACTCTGATCTTGCTGACCTTGACCTTTTTCCTGTTCTTGAAGCCACCAAGATACTTTCTCAGATTGTCTGCATTGTCTTTCAGCAGAAAGTACTGCAAACAATCAATCAATGACAACTGATATTTACCACCTCTGGCTTCATTCAGGAATGTGACTGATTGTTATCTTCCTGATGAGAAACGAACTCAATAGTGCTTGGAGTGGACATACTTTTATTATAATGGTTTAATGTAAGGTACAGGCAATACAAGAGGATACTTTTTTTTTTAAAAAAAAAGAGACAAAACAAATGGAGTTAAAGTGAAGGCAGATGAGTATTGATTATTATTTATAACTTTATGAGAGTAATATATGCTAACAAGCTATTTTAGCTAAAATATTATACCTGTAATAAATGAGTTTATAAAAAAAGTTGTATAAATAATTAGATTATGAGATAGAGAGAGTTTCAAGCTCATGAAAAATGATTTTTATTGATGAGAACTGTTAAGAGTTCATGTACTGATTGGAAGAACTTTTAGAGACAAGGAATATTATTTGCATATGTATGCTTTGATGATATGCAGATACAGATTCAAGCAGTGAAAGATTCGGAAGAGTTATAATTGGATAATATAAGTAAATTTGTCTTTATGCACAACAAAACAGACTTCTTTATGTTGATGTATTTGAATATGAAGCATTGACTATGCTTACTGACAGTGATGATATTATGAGCATAGCATTATCTAATATGTATTTTGAACTAATTTTCAACTTTTTTAAAAAAAGATGTGGACAGTCATAATTAAAGCTGATTTGCTAAGCTTAAGATAGACTTGTGTTACTCTTTTTTTGCCCTTTTTTAAACTTTTAATCTGTCTACACCAACTGTTTTGCCCATCTTTCTCATTTCTTTCTCTTTAAAATACATATTATTTTTCAATATGCCTAGAATAAGTGACAGAAAATCAATTTTGATTTGTCTTAAAAAGAGAATTTATACTAAGCTGGTTCAACATGTTGTCTGCAATAAACTTTCAATGGAGAATATTATCAGAAACATTCCAGAAATTTTTATTTTTCAGCTGGTGTCAGAACAAAGATATCTTAGCCCACAATCAGACATTATCAGAGTACCTAGTCAAGTAGATTGTCTCTTATTTGAATTGGATAATAACAGATTTATACAAGAACTTAGAATGAACAGAGACTCTTTCTTTGTTATCTTGGGAAAGATTCAAGATCATCAACTATTCAAAAACATCAATGGGTAAAGACAGAAACATTTAATAATCCAAATGATAGTGACTCTAAAAAGACTGGGAAGATTTGGCACTGATGCTTCTGTAGGTTATGTTGCAAAGTCTCTTGGCGTCAGTTGTATGTATAATCTATTTGTACGTTTTTGAGTTTCTATATACCAAATAATAAAACAACAATGCTTTTTTAGTAGAATCAGTAGTTAAATACACCCGCAGATTCATTGCTGGTATTCACTCAATTGAAAGTCCCACTGTGTTTTGGCCAGATGAAAACAAACCTGTGTGTATTAGCCAGCAAATTGAAAAGCAAACAGACTTCACTTTGTGTATTGAACTTGTTAATGATATCTTGATTTGCTTGGAATACAAGCCAAACTAGGGTGACAAGAATTTTTATAGCCATAAATCCATTTACTGTCTTTCAGCAATGATTGTTTGTGATAAAAAAAAAAGAATCTGCCATTGCTTTACTGGATGGCCAGAGTTTTCTCATATTGCCAGAGCCTACGCCAGCAGTCAACTTGCTTTGTCTCTAAAAACTCACTTCTCTAAAGACCAGTACTTGCTAGGAAATCCGGCCTATACATCATCAATGGAAGTAGTTTCTGAGTACAAGAAGCCCTCCAATGATACACTCTCAGCTAACAATGTACTTTTTAACCAACTGCATACCAACTTATATGTCCAAATAGAGCATTGCATTATTATTCTCAAGTCAAGATTTGAATCGTTGAAAGATCTCCATACAAGTGTCCATGACAAATACAGTCTCCTTAATTAAATAAAAGAAAATTTTAGCTTCTGCCAAAGTGAAAAAATAACATCCTTAACTCTCTCTTCATTGCTTGTCTACTTTTCCTTAAGAAACCACTTTCAAAATTATTGGAATAAGAATATATAACCTTTAAATATTAAGAAAAATAATTTTTATTGAAAGTTTAATATTTAGTAACATCACCACGGGCTTTCTTCATACGGGCTATGCGAGTTGGCATAGACATGCAGTAGGCCTTGCATACTGCAACCAGTATTTTCTTCCATTCTTCATGGATAACCTTGTCTAGCTCCTTAATAGTTCTTGGAGCTGGTACTCTTGCCCTTACCATCCGACCCAAATGAGCCCATAGGTTCTCAATAGGACTGAGATCTGGGCTATTCAGCGGCCATTCCATTATTGGTACATTATGGGTCTTTTCTAGTTCTCAACAAATTTTGACTTATGACAAGGAGCATTGTTGTCTTGGTAAATAAACTTCCCGTCATGTCTTTCACTTAGGCAACCATAAAATGGGAGCAACTTTCTTTCCAAAAGGTTTATATAGCCAAATTGGTCAAGACTGTTAATAATTCTTTTTAGTGGGCCTACTCCTCCTCCTCACACACAGCCCCAAACCATCACTAAACCACCTCCAAACTGTACTCTAGGCATGATACAATCAGACTTGAACTTCTCCAGAGGAAAGCGCCAAATTCTAAGGTTTCCATCCTTTGAGAAAACTATAAAGCGAGACTCATTGCTCCAAATCACATGTCCCCATCTTTAATTGGTTTCTTTGCAACGTTTAGCAAACAACAATTGTTTCTTTTTATGTGTTTTGAATAGCCTTGGCTTAAACACAGGATGGCAAGAAGACATTCTGATCTTACAAATAGCTTTGCAGATGTTATTCTTGCAAATGTACTTGCCAATCATGAGTCTCATGGCGTTTGTGGGTTCTTCAAGTGTGGCATTACAATCTTTCTTCATTTCGTTTTTAAGCTGGTGTAAATCTCTCTCACCCAAAATTGATGGACGTCCTTGGCATTTTTCTGTTAATGGCGTGCCATTCTGTTTCCATCGTTGAACTGTGCTATGTACAGTTGTCATGGGTATGCCTGTCTTCTCCAAAATGGCAGTCAATAAAATATTATGGAGAGCACCACCAATAATAAGTCTTTTTTCATAGTCTGAAAGCTCTTTTCGTTTCTTAAGAATACTTTTATTGATTTGCTGAGACATTGTGAGATTTTAATGAGAAGAGTTTTTAAAAAAAGCACGACAACTTTGCATTAAAGATGTTCTATTTAGTAGAGTTTAAACTTTTGTCTTTCATTTATTGTATGGGTCTGTATAACATTGAGAAAATTAGATATTGAATAAGATGCTGTTGAGTTTTACACAACTTGCTGCTGTACTGTAGTGATAACATCTTTGTAGAAGACAGTGTCAAAAACACTGATACTCCTAGGAACAATGAAAGATTGAAGTTAAGAACATCATCAGAGTTAAACAAAAACAAAAGAGAAAGAATAATGTAAATAATTATTCAATAAACACTTTCAAATACACTCTTAAACTTTTAAAATTTACTTTTTTAATATATTTTATTTTGGGTTTTGCTTCAACTGCTTGGCAATCTCTTCCTTCAAGAACCCAGCAGCAGATAATGCCTGGATAAGGGCTTCCTGATGCTGGGCACTCTCACTGTCTTCCCTAATTCTCTCAGTGAGAGCTCTTATCTCCTCTATGGCCACCCTTCTCTCGTTGAGTGCCAGCTACATCTTTCAGAAGACCTCTTCAGCAGCAAAGTTCTGCTGGATCTGCTGAACCTTCTCCCTTTGCATATCTTCTGCCATGCGGACTATGCCCACAATGCCAGTATCAATGGTCTTGCAGACCTTCTTCTCAGAGTGGTTTAATGTGGTGTGAAAGGTTGCGGAAAATGGTCTCCTTTGAGCAGAGCTGCTCGACTTGCCAATCTTCTGTCTGCCATTCATAAGGACTTCCGCATTGTCAAACGTGTCAAATGTGTCAAGAGAGAAGGCACTATCAACATCAGCTTCCTTATTGAAGGACATGGGAAAGGGAGGAATGACAGATGGTCTGTCACTCATCACAGGCTCCAGGTCATAAAAGTACTGATACTTTCTTATCATTGTCTCTATATAAAGATATCAATGATAGTTATGAGTAATTAAGTAATACTAAGGTATATTATATTTAGTCATATACCTCTTATGGTTGAGGCAACCTCCTTCTCTGACATCTCGTCTTTCTCAAAACTGTTTTCGATACCCTGCCCTGTTGCGTGCAGAAACTGATAAGTCTCATGGTACGTTTTGTGAAGACTCTGGATCTTTAATTGAATGCCTACATTCTTGCAATGGTAGATGCCATGCTCAGCAAATCTCTCCTTGATTTCTGAGCACAGCGTCTCCTTTGTGATCCCACCAGCATTGCTTCCTTTCCAATGCCTGTAGTTGGCTTCCTCAGAAAGCCAGAGAACAAGGATGGTAATAGAAGATGGACCTCCATTTACACCATCTTTGTTCCAAAGCTTGCTGTCTCTGCGGTTGGTATTGTCTAAAAATTGGTTTGTTTATTTATGTTATGATTTCCTGCTTAAGTACTTGCTATAAAATTATACATGCTGTTTTGATAGTAACAGGAAGAAAAGTAGTGCTCTACAATAGTATCTCTGTAAACTAAATAACTATAAGATTGTATAGATCTTGTAATCTTGTTTGACTTTGAACTTGATCTAGAAAGATCTCATCTATATTATGCAAGATTTTTTTTCTTACTCCAGTTTTGCAAATTCATAAAAGAATAAAATAAAAAGTGGGGTTCATTAACTGTTTTTTAAATCGCTTGTTATTGGCTGATTATTAAATCCCAGAAAAAATAAAATAAAATCTAAAACAGTTAATGTAGCCCCCTAATATAGAAAGGAATGCTAATGTGACTTCTTTTTTCTTTTATGCCTTTAGCATTTTTAGTTTATCATATATAAAAAAGTGTGCATTTTACTATTGAAGTTTTCAAAAGAAAATAAAAATAAATGTAACAGCTTCAATACTTATCCCCAATCACATCATATTTGTTTTTCATCAAAATCCATAAGCTTTTCAAGAATTAGAATCTCCCTTTCAGAATACCAATGCAATTTTTAATCTTGACCAGTATATTAACATGCTTATAATTCAATTGCTTGTTTTCTGCTGATATTGATCTATTTTGTGACATCTTGTACAGTAGTCCCTCAATAATTTCACGCCCCTTTAATTTCACACTTCAATAATTTCAAGGCCCTGAAGACGCAACTCAAAAAATAGGGCTTAACTTTTACAATTCTTGTTAATTTCACTTTCACAAAATTTTTTGGCCTTGAATCCTTAAAGAAAAAAATTAGCCAATCAGACAAGAGCAATATAGTTAAATCGCACCGCCTTATTTTCTGCCAGTTCAAATTTGAAATTGACCTTTTGAGGCTTTTTTCTGTCGGAGGCTTTGCAAGTGGCTTTTTGAAAAAGTTAATTTTCTATTGAGAATTTTTTTTATTCCTTCTCTTTTCCTTCTCTTTATTTTGAATACAAATTAAACACCAATCTCAACATTTTCAACCCAATTATTTATGATATTTCAAACATTCAAAATGTTTTAGTCAACTCGTCTTTGGAGGGGATTAAGATGCTTCCTTTTAAAGTAGTCATACCTGTAAAAGCTAGTAAATGGAGATGTTGTCTTGACCGAATCAATACACTTTGTTCAACGAAATGGAATAAAAAAAATGTCTTGATTCAAAAGAATATATTTTTGGAGAAACACGTCAGTGTTATCGTGCAGGCATATATATACCAGAGCGAGATTCACGCCCTGCACAAAAAGAATCAAAGGCATGTGGATGTAATGGAGCTTTGAAAATAAAGCAGTTCAAAAAGTCTCCTACTATTGTTACGTTCTATATGACAATGGACCATAACAGTCATGTTCATGGAGACAGATCAGAGATTAGAACTTTGCCCTTACCTTTTGAAGCTATTAAATTGATTGAAGATCAACTGAGAAGTGGAAGCAGCTGTAGAAGCACAAGAATATCTGTCCTTCGACAGATTGACAGCTGGGGTGTTGGTGTTAGAAAGCCAAACTACAAAGAGATATACAATAGAATGAAGAAGGTGTGTTAAAAAAAGATGAAAGGAAGTTTGTATTTAACAGTTTTGGTAAAATGAAATAAAATAGATGACAAATTTGTTGTATATGTTCAACTCTGATGAGAAGGCATCTATTGCTATCTGAATGAATGAGAAATTGCCAGAAAGAAATTATTGCATTTTTACCAGAGACCTTTGTGTTAACAACATTGAAAGCAATATTTTCACCTTTGGCTTTCAATCGCCTGTCCAAGTGAGAGTTACGAGAATAGCCACATCATTCTGCCTTGATGCTACTCATGGCATATCAGCAAGAAGTGGAGAGGTCATGTACTCTTTAGTGACTCAACACAACGTAACTGGAAAAGGGTTTCCTGTTGCTTACATGGTTACAAATGACCAGACAGTCAGGCCAATCAGCCAATGGCTTATGCATCTTTGTGAGAGAAGCTACTTCCGTCCTTTGAATATCACCATTGACTGTAGTATTCCCAAAGTTAATGCGATTACATCTGCATTTCCTCATGTTGCAATTCACTATTGTGAATTCCATATTCTTCGTGCTTGGCAAACAAACCTCAACAACAAAGTAAGGCTTGATGCATCATTTACATCAGCCCAGCTGGCAGCATACAAGCAGGAGTTAAAGAACAAGCTGAAGTATATCTTGATGGAGTCGAACAAAGAAGTATTTTTGACGAGAATCCTTGACTTCAAACGCGATATACCCAACCAGTTACACTTCTTGAGATACTTCGAAACACGATGGAATGGAAGCGAAGTATTGCTTAAAAGATGGGGGCACCCTTATGTCAATGACTCACATAGAAGATATTTGACGAATAACTTCATTGAGTCATGGCATAACCAGCTCAAGACCATCTACTTTGGCCATGCTAGAATCAGAAGACTAGATCGCCTTGTGTTTGACCTTACGAACAATGTAGAGTATTTCTATGAACAAGAAGTGGATTGTATTCACTTAAACAATGGAAAGATGGGACTGGTAGAAAAACGAACTTGCGAGAAATGAATTTGTTGCATCCAAGATAGAAGATGACATACTCCCTTCTATGATCATCAGTCCATTAAATGTGATTAGTACTAGTATGGATAACTCTGGTGGCAAGTGACAAATCAAGTCTTTTACAAATAATATAACATGATAGTCTATCACTGCTGAAAATGATTTAATCGAATGCTGTTCGTGTCCCAGATACATCTCTCAACAAGTGCCTTGCAAGCATGCATTTCTTCTCAAAAGATACCGTAAGATTAACATCTTATATACAATTCAAAGAGATGTCAATCACTTGGCAATGCAAAGACCAGCAGTGTTAGCTGAAGAAGAAGAAGTTGTGATTGTTGATGAAGAAGATGGTAGAGAAGATGTTGTAGGTGCTCAAAATGATGTTGATACGTCTACTACAGACCTTATCACTCACACCACCTTACTTCATCATCAAAGACTCAATCTTGAACACATGCGAACGATTTCTGATATTGATGTGTCTGAGATAAATTATATGACTCGTTGTGTTAAAGAATTGTTAGATAGAATAGATAATATTAGAAATAGAAATAGAAATAGTTTTAGAAATATGAATATCCAACGTCAATAAAAAAAACATTACACATGTATTATTTTGTATTTCATAGAGTGTTTTTTTTTCATAAACAAACAGTTATTTTTAAAAAAAAAAACAAAAGAAAAAGCGGTCACTCGTTCCTTTGAATCTTTTTGTCTCAAATTTGAACTGGCAGAAAATAAGGCAGTGCATTAAATCATAGTTTACATTTTTTTAATTCAAACCTCTCACGATTTTGTAATTGACATCAATGTCAAGTGCGTTAAGTTTTTATGCCAAACACTGGGCTATCAAGCTGTTATCTACCTTAATTTCTTTAAAATATTTTTTTTTCATTTTTTTTTCAGAAATAAAATAAGACTATATGTGCTATATTTTGATTAAGTTTCATTTATTAATTGTTTAATTAAGATTATTCACTTGAAAAATATAAATAAAAATTCTAATTTGTTTTGTTATAAAAGTTTTTATTATAGATTTTATTATTTTTATCTGTCATTACTATTTATTGTTATTTTCAATTGTTACTATTTACAAACATGTTACAAAATCAAGCTTTGACTGTACTTGACTGCTAACTTCTTTTTTATTTTTACATAAAGAAAAATATATTTCTTATAGAAAATTGGTTTTATTTTATTTGAAAAAGAATAAAGTTTAAAAAGACTTAAAGAAGCTAGTGACTTTAGTTTGCTTTGAGGTCACAGTTTTCTGAAACTTGCTACAAAGACCTTCAACCTTATTGATAAAGTCTTTGTCAATATCTTTGTCTTCCAAGATATCCAAAAGCATGCAAACACACTCAAACGTTTCTGAAGCAGAATATGTTCTCTTGAAAGGAACTGCTGATTTCATTTCAGCAATTTCTTCATTCCTGTTGTTGTTGGCTGCATTGTCATCTGCGTCATACTCTTCCATGACAATGTCAGCCGTCTCATTCTCATTGATCACTCTATGAGTGCATTGTCTCTCATAGAGTGGATTTGATTTGCTGGTCGGACAATCTTCAAGAGACAGAAGACCTGATTTGACAATCTTGTCTAAGATTTCTTTCAAAACCTTAACCAGAACCTTTTCAGTCTGACTTTGCTGAATCATAGCCTGGTTTACATCTGTAAATTATATTTAGAATATTAAGAAAGTGGAATTGAAAGATTATACTACTATTATAATCAATAAATTGGTTTACTACTACCTTCACTATCTTTGTCTTCAATGAAGCAAAAGATTGTTGCATTCTAGCAGTTATCAATAGTCTTTGCTGAGACAGATTCTCAAGTCTCTCTTATCCATCACATTGCCCACAATTGATCAATTTCAAATATTTTATTAATGGCCCCAATCTTATCTTGTTGGCCATTTTGAATCATACCAATATACTGATATGTCTTGACATACTGTTTATGTTTAAAATTAGTTTTAAAAGTTCAAATGATGTCACCATCCAATGGCTGAAGGTGGGATGTGGTGTTTGGAGACAGAAAAAGAAGCTCAACATTTGTAGGCACATAATTTACTTTATGGCCAGAGAAATTATCAAGGATCAAAAGCACTTTGCAGTTTTGCGCTTTCATTGAATGATCAAAGTGATGGAAGAAAACATGGAAGATTGATCGTGTCATCCAGGCATTATTGTTGTAATGATACATAAAGAATCTATGATCTACTGCCTCTTGTTTTTTATTGTTTTTGTTAAAACAGTTTTGTCTCCTTGCATGACTAATAATTAATATATCAGACCACTTGTCTGTTCCATTGGCATTGCACAAAAGGTTAACTGTAAGCCACTTCTTATTTCCCTTCCAACCAGAAAATTTCTGGTAAGAAATCGTTTTTCTTGGTGGAGCAGCATAGAAAAGTACTGTTTCATCAAATTTATAGATGTCACAAGCACTATAAACCTCTATCTTCTCTTTGATAGCAGTCTTGTCAATCTGAAGCAACTCTATGTCTGTTAAACCAGCCTTGTCATGAATTTGATTCATTTTGATATCATAACACTTTCCAAACTTCTCCATCCTGACTTGAGAAGCGTTAAAATCTTTAACACCTATTCTTTCAGCAAAAATAGTAGCTTTCGTCTTATTCAATTTCCAAGTGATGGGGATCTGATTATTTTCATCAATGTTGATCCAAATAATCACTGCTTCTTCGATTTGCTATAGTTATATGACAATATAATAAGATTAATTTTACTTTTTATATAGAGCAAAAATGTATAATATTGAGATTTATTACATAGAGATCATTTTCCCTTTCTAACACGCTTTTTGTTCTTTACATTGACTTGTATTATCAAACTGTAGTCTTCTTTTTTCAAAATCTTTGAGATTGTAGAAACATCAGAAGCTTTCTGAAGGTCAAAAATTTCCTTTATTTACTCTGCCAATTGAGGGTTACTTATAGACAACTTTTTCTTTTTCATATTACAAATCTCAAGATGATTTGCAGTATTAAGCAAAACGTTTTTTTTTGCTCATATTTATTGATTAGTTCTGTATTTAATAGATTTCATTAAAGTATCAAAAAAATTGAAATTGATATTAAATAAACATTATATAATAAACTAAAAGCATACCGAGAAGCTGTTATTATTTGATTGAATAAAAATTTGAAACAATAATTGGTTACGAGACAGGGGGGTGGAAAACAGCAATGCAGCCAGGGGTTATATTTAACTAGAATGAATTTAAACAGAGGATTGAAGCATATCAAATCATTACTTGATATTTTTTTTGTTTATAGGGAGGCATAGTCTCAAAGTTTATTAAGTGAATATCATTGAGATAGTCACAAACTGTGTTTTTGGGGTTTTATATTGTGAGGGCAAAGGTAGCAACATATTTTTATATTTTACATCATCATTACTTGATATATTTTTCTCTATTAAAGAATATTGTAAACTCCGCCCATAGTTAGCAGGAAATATATACTCCGAACTTGTTTATTTTACTCTTCAATAATTTCAAGATACCTGGCTTTCCCTAGGCCTTGAAATTATTGAGAGACTACTGTAGATAGATATAATGATATAACTTGCTACATATGCTGAATCCCCCAACAGGTATTGATCACCAGAAAAATATTGGTCATGATTTCTTGCAATATGCATATTTCTAAATACACAAGCATTATGGGAGCACCCTAGCTATTAAGTATAATAATATCTTATAATCTTTTCATCATCAAATATAATAGTTGCTGAAATACAGTAGCAAGACTTTCAACTGTAAAAGTCCTCTCCTTTCCAGATTGGCTTATATTCTAGATCAATTAAGATTCCATCTATAAAGCTCAGATAAGAAGGGAAGTGTGTTTTCTCTTCAATTCTTAAACTGATACTGCTATAGTCTAAGTGATCAGGCCAAACTCCAGCACTAGTCTTTAATAACATTATGTTAGTAATAAATCTTTCTATATAACAGCAATCTGATCCTTCTGTGCAATGGGATATATATAAGTATCAAGATATATATACTGCATATAATAGTTGAAAAATAGCAAAAGTTATTAGATACACATTGATCATGCAGTGCGACCTACAGAAGTATCATTTTTATGTGTACTTAGCTGCTCTAAGGCTACTATTATCTGAATCATTGGTTCTGTCTGCTTCTTGCAGAATCACTTTTGAAAACCCAATAGTGCTTTATCATTCTAAGTATTACATAGAAGGAGTCTTTATTCATGCAGAATTTCTATCTGAATTGGTCATCATCTAATTGATATAGAAGCTAGTCTATACTGCTCAGAGCTCATAAAATACAAAATCTTGAAGAAAGATATCTTTTTCAAGTACAATCTGATATATTAAAAGTTCAGAGATGTTCTTAATAATATTTAATATAGATGTGATCAGAGAAAGCTATCTTTTGATAAGCTTTTTGAGAATCTTCTCTTTCAGATCTCTGAAAATAATCTGTTTATCATTCAATGTAGACATTCTGAATAAGAGGTCAAGTTACTAAAAGGAAACATAGAGAACATGATTAATTACACTTAAATTTGTTTATTAAAAAAATTAAATTCCATAATTTATAAACAACTAACAGTAATGTCTAGTTGTTTATAGATTGAAAATATCTCAAATTTCAATTACTGATATTCAATTATTTCATAAATTAAATCATTATAAAAGTAAAATCTAGAGAACTAAAACAGCTGAAACACTCTAGTAAAAACAGGAAGCAAGTTCAGTTGGCAATGAATAAAAATTCAAATTTTATGGAAGCCAATCAGATGTAAATAGGCTCCAATTAGATAGAAACAGATACTAATTCAATGGAAACGAACTCCAATTGAATGAATAAAAGCAGTATTTTTCAATTCAAATTTATATTTATCAAAAACGTAAAATGTTTGATTAAATTGGATATTTTTCTCTCATGAGATTCGATTTTAAATAATTTATTTGCTTTTACTAACCATTTAAAAGAAAAAAAAAGTTATTGTTTCATTTTGGATTTTTGATTGATTTTTGATTATTATAGATGAAAAATAAAGTAACAAATTTGAAAACAATCATCTTTTTCCCATAGTGATATATCTCATTTCAAAGTATTTGGCTATAAAGTAAGTTTTGCAATAATATAAAATTTAATGTATAAGACAATAAAAGTAAGTCTTTTGAAAATTAATGTTTTATTTAAGAAAACACAAATTTTCTATATTTATTGACATTTCCCTAACTATGATAGTTATGTCTTTTTTGCAAGGAGATGTTGTTTTTTTTTCATTCAGATCAATTACAGTCAAAGCTCAATATAGTGATATGGATAGTGAACAGAAATTTTATTACTATCACTATATCAAGCATGATTTTTTCTTACTCCGCGCATTATTTAGTGATATTTCTAATGCCACTGTGAGTGAGTACTGTTTTCTAATAGAATTTATAGTATTTTGTGTAAGAAACTGGGCTTGCTTTAAAATGCTAAATAAAATATATACTACATTTATTTTTTTATAATACAAAAATAAACTCAGAGCTCGATATAGTGATAATGGTGGATTCAAATTTTATCACTATCACTATATCAAAAAATAATGATAATAAGCAGGCACAGGCTCAAATTTTCCAAAAAAATATCACTATATTGCAATTATCACTATATCAAATATCACTATACCAAGCTTTGACTGTAATATTATTGGTGTCTGGAATTAATGCTGTGTTTACTATTAGACTTGTGTTGTAAAGATTTATATCATTTCAAAAATATAATATATTTAACATTAACTTGCTTAATATAAAAATCATATCATAATATATATTATTATGGTTATCTTTGTTGTACATAAGTATTGACTACTGCTGTAGTTGAGAGTAAGTCTGAAGAAAATAATATAAGTTCTCAGCTATTCCTATCAAAGGTGTCTACTAATTAATTTATTGTTTAATATCTAGGTTTATCATGTACAGTAGTGATTGTATTCTGTATGATAATATCATCATAATATGGGATACATTGATAAATTATTATAAGTATAATTATAACTTAAAAACACATTTACTTTCTATGTTAATACTTCATTGGGACTACACACATTTATATAATTCATCACATATTAATTATCTCAATATTATATTACTCTGATTAAGACTTGGATAGAATTGATTATCTGACCCCAGTCATATAATTTTTCTAATTCAATATAATATAAATAGCAGTGGTAGTTCCGTATAGAAGTTTGATCAAAGTTTGATACAACCAATATTTTTAATACGTAAAACCCTATACAAGTTCACATGAATTTTTGTCTTCTCATTTAAAATCTTTTAACTCCCTTCATAAACCTCAAACAACAACAGCAATTTTCATTAATACAATTCTTTTTCAGTACACACACACAACATGTACTTTCTATTTATTTTCTTGTCTAAATATGTCTAAGTCATTCAACATTGACAACATTAGCAGCAATTATATATATCTCAATGGAAAGCAAAAGCTGGAGCTCTGTGAGAAGACTAAGCACAGGCTAACCCAAAACTAGTTCAGAGACTATGGTAAGCATCAGTTCAACTTGGCTAAGCTGCCATCTTTGTCTTTAATCTCACAAATCCTGTAGCAAGAAAAGAATCTCTAGAAGAAAGACGGGTAAGATTTGAAGAAGCTTAGCAGCAAGGAAGCAGTAAATTCTCAGCTGAAAAAGAAGATTGTTTTCTATTTGAGTACTATGGAGAGTAGCTCTAATTCTATAAATATCAATACTACTGGTTTTATCCATTCAATTGGCGCCCATTTCCATCTAATTAGCATCTGTTTCCATCTAATTAGAACCCATTGACATCTGATTGGTTTCCATAGAAATTGAATTTGCGTCCATTGCCAACTGAATTTGCTCCCATTGCCATCTGAATTTGCTCCCCCCCTTTTACTATTGGCGGAAGGGTACATGGCACTCAAATTTTTTATCCTTACAGCTTACAATTTTTTTATATAACCGTAGTATTTTTTTTTTGTAAACGTCGTATTTTTTTATATAACCATAGTATTTTTTTTGTAAACGTCGTATTTTTTTATATAACTGCCATATTTTTTTATATAAGTGCCAAATGCCTAATATAATAGCACTTCAATATATGTAGATCTTTCTACAAAGATACATCATAGAAAATATCTATAGAGAGAACTAACAGAATATGCAAACTTTTCTCCAGATTACTTTGTTAAAATTAAATACCTTACTGCAGTTATAAGATAATAAAGCAAGTATCTCATTATAATAATTATGTTAAAATTGAAAATGCAATGATATTATTTGTATTCTTTCTTTATTGCAGAGTAAGTTTCGAATAAAAGATTCATTTTTTCATCACTTGTAGCCTCCTTGTTGTTTTTAATAAAAAAAACAACTGGAGACTTTCTCCGCTTCAAAATATAGCCACCAGCAGTTGTTTGTTTCATATTTACTATCTTGCTGGCTTTTTCGATAGTTAATCCCCTTATGAAGTAGAGATAAAGAAGCTTTTTTATATCTTTATCCGTAGGCTTTTGATATTGCCCTCTACTTTTTTTGGGGGTTTCATCTGTTGTTGACGGGGCAGAACTTTTTGGATCTTCTGGCATTTCAGGCTCTTCAAGCTCTTCCATGATTTTTTCAAAGGCACTGTTATATTCTTCAAGTTTTTCGTGTAACATTGTAGGGTTTTCTGATAATAAAAGGTGAAAAAATAAAGAAATAGGAAGATATGTTAAAGTGACATATTTTATATAAATATAGTTATATCTAGCACATAGCAGTTATAATTAAATAGTAATTACTTAAGATGCAAAATAAAAATCAGAACACAAGTTGAAGCAGCAAGAATAGATGTAAAGAAGATTGAGTTGTTGTTAAATAGTATTAGTCATTATATTTTCAGCTTTTTATATCAAAAAATAATATTCCAAGGTCCACTAAATAAAGTAGTACAAATTGAACTCAAGGAGATAAAAAATAAATAGGACAATATATTACCCGCAGCCATGAATTTATTATAAACATTCTTTTTTAAAAGAGATATCATAATTCTCTCTCTTTCCATTTGGTGTTTATATACCAAAACTGTTTATTTCTCTTCTTAAGTCAGCAATAAATCTCATTCTCATGCTCACTTCAACAACTAAATATTACTCTGACAATGAAAACACTGCCTAAAGCTCTACACCTCATGGATTTTTTTATTATTTCCAGATCACATTATGTTTCTGTATGTAAATAAAGCCTATACCTCGGAGTCATTGATATTAATCTCTAAATAATCTATAGTATTTTGAACAAAAGCTATAAATCTGAAAAGAAAACGTGATGATTCAACCCTCCACCTACAAAGAAACTACAAGATCAAACATCTACCTGTACGATAGGAACCAGTCTACACATATTCATAATGCTTTTAAGTGCATTTCACCGACTATACTTTTTCGAAATCCAACAGTAGAATTCACTCTACTGACCACACAAAAACTTGTCAATTTTTATTTCAAATATCCAGTAATCTGATTGACTACCACAGCAATTGTATATCTTATGAATCTGGTCCTACACAAGCATCTAATACCATTACAAAAAAGAATTTAAAAATGCTATATTTATTCAGCACCTGCTCCAACCATTTTACAATGTCAGAATCCTGATCTTCTTAATATCAAACTCAACAACTCTTTGTAATCTGCACTCGAAACAAGTAAATGTCCAACAATCTGCTAAACAACTGAAAGCGATCCAAGAATTATGTTTTGTCTACAATACTACTCAATCTCCATTTTGGAAACCCTCATGATACAAAATACCAAAAAAAAACCAAATATTACACACACAAAAACAGTAACAAGAAATAGCATAAGCTCATGACAAAAAAAAGAAATAAAAAAAGAGATGAAAAAAAAAAGAGATGAAAAAATAAAAAAAATAAAAAAAAGAAATAAAAAAAAAAAGAAATAAAAAAAAAAGAAATAAAAAAAAAGAAATAAAAAAAATAGAAATAAAAAAAAGAAAAAAAAAAAGAGAAATAAAAAAAAGAAAAATGTAATAGCAATTTTAAAAATAATTCTCCAAATAGTATAACTAGCATTTTTATTCATAAATTTTTATAATATACATAACCATTTTTTCGCAAATAATTTCTGAAAAACTGAAAGTCTCAATAACTGAAAATAAAATGATATCTTACTGCAAGAAATTTCTGAAAAACTGAAAAACTGAAAAACTGAAAGTCTCAATAACTGAAAAAATGAAAGTCTCAATAACTGAAAAACTGAAAATCTTAATAACTGAAAATAAAATGGTATCTAACCGCAGAAATTTCTGAAAAACTGAAAATCTCAATAACTGAATTTCGAGCTTTTCCTTGGCTCTATACAAAAAAAAACTTTCTTTTTTTTTTATTTTTTTTTTTTTTTTGGTTGGGCAAACCCATTAGGAGAAATCCCACCCCTTCCTTCGAGACAGAGGACAGGACACCATAAAGGCTCTGGTAGCACTGTAAATCGGCTAATAAAATAAATGTTCTTAAAAGTGTGAAGAAGCTTAATATGTAAACATTCATTATTCTTCAACACGTTCTTTATCCAAATATATTAAGACAGCAGGACAAGACTATACCTTGGTAGAAACGTTTAAGTTATTAAAATATTTTTTTTTTGGTATATATACCCCAGTGTCTTAATAAAAGTTTCTCAGTTATCTTTCTTCCTCAATTTTAACACCCTTTTTATTTTCAAAAAAAATGCCTACTTCCAACAACTCCCTCAAATTTGTTATGGACAAGCACTGTGAAATGGTTAGTCACAGCGGTTCTGCAGACCAAACCCAGTTTTCTGGAATTGCTTTTGACCCCTTGTGCGATTTCAACCAAGAGATTGTTGACGAAATGCATGGAGAAGTTGTACTCAGATCTGTGACAGATGTCTTTGTCAACCATGCAGATATGGAATGGACCCGTACCTCGGCCAGAAACCCAGCAGTCACAAACCTCCTCAGTCTCAAAAGTTTCCTGCCAACCAAAGTCAACAAGGCCACAACCAAGACAATTGTTGCACAGAAGCCGAAGACGAATCTGCCGGAGAAGGTCGATCCTGATTCTGTTCCCACTGCAGAAAGCATAGGTTGAGGTTCGTACCAAAAGTACAACCAAAACCAGGTGAGCAAGCTCTTCTCCTTGGTTTTCTCGGAAAACCAGACTACTCCTGCCACTGCCAGGGAAACGGGGATCAATGTCCGGACTGCCCAGAACTATGTCAGGCTGGCCAGAGAGAAGATCCAGGCCGATTTTGATGCTGCCACAGTGGAGACTGATGAGTCCAATGGGCTGGAGACGATGGAGGTTGAGGATGTTTCTGCGCCTAAAGAACGAAAACATGGCAACCAAAAGTTGTTCCAGGCGCACTCTGCTTTTTTTTTGAAGTTTTTCAAAAATAAACCAGATGCTACCTTGGAACAAGCAAGGATAGCTGTCATGGAAGAGTTCTCTGGGCTGCAGATTACCAAATCAGCAATCCAGAAGCACTTGGTGAAGAAGTGTGCCCTGATGATGAAGAAGTTGGAGAAGCTGCCTGAGAAGAGAGACGACGTCAACACAATTGAGATGAGACAAGACCGCATTTTGGAGTGGCAACAACTTGCAGATTTCAACTATCTGTCGAACTGTGTGTTCATCGATGAAGCAGGCTTCAACATGCACATCAAGAGAACTTTTGGCCGTTCCGTCAGTGGCACCCCAGCTAAGACAACTGTCCCGACGCAGAGAGGTGTGTTTATCACCATCCTTGGTGCAATGTGCGAGAGAGGGATTGTCAGCCTCTCGTTGAAGAAACTCACTGCAGTCGCAACCAAGAAGAAGAGAAAGTTGGACATCTACACCAGCGTTGAGGTGAATGGCTGAATTGGCACCAGAACCCAGCACTACCTCGACTTTCTTAGTCATACAATGAACGTTCTGGACAGCCAGGGTATGTAAGGACGTTATCTCATCATGGATAACGCTCCTATCCATAAGGCCAATGAGGTGAAAGACTTCATTTCTTCCCGTGGGTATAAGTGTGTATATCTTCCTGTGTATTCACCTTTCCTGAATCCAATTGAGGAAATGTGGTCCAATATCAAGTTTGGTGTCTGCAGAGAAGAGATTACAGAGTCAGACGGGCTCATCTTAAGGATTACAGAATCAGCTAAGACTGTCACCCTTTCAGACTGTTTGGGTTGGATTAACCATGCCATTTCATTCTTTCCTCGCTGTTTGAACAGAAAGCAAAAGCTTTAAGTATGTCTTTTATGTCTATTTAAGCTCTTTACACTCTATGTCTTTTTTTATTTTATTTTTATTTATTACTACTTTATGTCCCTCTTTTTCTTATTTTTTTTTTACCACTTTATGTCCCTCTTTTTTTTATTTGTTTTACTGCTTTATACTTTTATTTTTTTATTACTTTGTATTTCATTATATCTTACTTCTTATTATGTGTTCTATTTCTCTATCAACTAATTATGCCTAATAAAAATATCCATGTTTTATGCCAAAAAAATACGACGTTTACAAAAAAAAATACTATCTATATATCTAAAATCAATCAAAATTAGCAGCATCACGTGATATACGAATTTGCCTGTAAAACATTTATTCACATCTAAAATCTAGCACTTTTACTGTAATGTGCGAGAAGTCACACAATAAGATAATAAGATAGAATGAAATATGAAGATAAAGATAATGTTTATTTGTGATAATATTTATGATATTTATATTAATTTATAAGATGCCGCAGTATCCTATATTCTAGCTAAGTCCTTTTGCTGCAGTATCTTGCTGAGCAATGGTTGTCTTCTTCTTCTTGGCCTTGCTCACCCAACTACTGCGGTTGGAGTAGTTGTTTCTGATTGGGTAGGATTGGAACTGAGTGCCAATTCCAATCCGCTCCTGACATTACTATGTCACATGGTATACCGAGATATTAACCCCTTGAATTTATTTTACAAACTATTGCCAAAAAACTTATATAACTATCAAACCAAACTCTAACTTTGAAAAAAAAAACCGAAAAATAAAATGTCATCTACTCAATGTCGTTGTGCTGCTTGCCATATGCTTGGACATAGCAGAAGTACTCATAAGCAATGTCTCATGAACCCAAAGAACATTTCTCTCCACATTCCTCAAAAGAGAACTAATGTAGATGAATATCCTGCAGAAAGTAGCCAAAGTAACTATTTATTTATACACTTATGCGTATTACTGCAAGTATTATATATATTTTTTAATAATAAATGTGTTTATAAAAAAATAGCTGCTGCCTTGAGAATAAGAAGTGAGCCTGTCCAAGACCAAAATTTGGACATAGAAACATCGACTTTTATTTCAGTTTCTGAGTTGACTGAATTTCCACTCGCAAATGAGACTATTACTGAAGTTCTTGAAGCAGTCATGGAAGAAGAGATTGAGGAGACTTCATCCGATGAAGAAGTGACTGGAAGAGAAGAAGTCGAGGAGATTTCAACTGTGAATAGAGGATCAATTTTACCCCATTGTCCTCACTGTAACGGAACTGATCATCGCCGAATTACAAGCAGATTTTGTCCAAACAATAACAGTAGCAGAGCAAGAGGATCTAGAAATCGAGGCAGAGGCTTGAATAATATTGCCCGACTTCCAGCTATTTCAGAACCAGCAGTTGATAACAGGGGAGATATGGATATTGAGTGTCGATTTTGTGGGGCAATGATGTGGGCACATGAAAAAAACAGTCGTTCTTCTTTAAGAAGCCCCACGTTCTCTATGTGTTGTAACAAAGGAAAGCATGTTCTCCCCCAAATTGAGCCAACACCTACAGGAATTGCTGAGCTTTTGAACTATAGAACACGTGATGGAAAGAAGTTTCTTGAAAACATTCGAAGCTATAATAGTACAATGAGCTTTACTTCTTTGGGAGCTAAAATTGATACCTCTGTTGGCAACAATATCAATGGGGCATACAACTTCCGGATTCACGGAACAATTTGTCATAGAATTGGATCTATTTTGCCAGTGACAGAATCTGATATTGCTCACCCAAAATTCGCTCAGATCTATATTTATGATAGTGCTGCTCAGATAGATCAAAGACAGTACCATTCCCCACAATTGGAGAGAAGTGTTTTGGAGAAGATTCAGTCCATTCTTATGGAAACAAATCCATTCGTACATCTCTTCAGAACAATGGATCAAATTTCTCGGGAAAAGGGACAATCTATAGATCTCACTTTGCGTTTAGTAGCTGAGGGGCCTCGGGATCAAAGACGGTACAATGCTCCAACTGCAAGTGAAATAGCAGTTCTTATTATGAATAATGAAAAGGGTACTTCAAGAGACATTGTGCTGCACACCAGAGCCAACTTCCAACAGAACATCAATGAGTACCACCGATCTTATGATGCTTTACACTATGTGCTACTCTTTCCACATGGTGAAGATGGTTGGACCATTGATGCCAGCTCATTGTCAGGAGAGCATGTCACAGTAATGCAATGGTACTCAAACCGTTTGATGTATCGACGCAACACACAGCACCTCCTCCATCTTTTTGGCCGTCTCTTTCAACAATATATTGTTGATATGTATGCCAAAGTTGAGCACGATCGGCTGCACTTCATCACCAGCAATCAAAATCGTCTCCGTGTAGATCTTTATAGTGGAATTCAGGATGCTGTTATCCATAACGATTGTAATCTTGCAAATCTTGGAAAGAGAGTTATTCTTCCATCTTCTTTTATTGGTAGCCCCCGGTATATGACTCAACTTTATCAAGATTCAATGAGTATTGTGCGTCGTTTTGGCAAGCCTGATTTGTTCATAACTTTCACTTGCAATTCAAAGTGGCCAGAAATCACAAATTCCCTGTTGGCTGGGCAAAAAGCTAATGACAGACCAGATCTTTGTTCTCGGGTTTTCAATATGAAGCTCAAAGAGCTCATGATTGACCTTACAAAAAAAAATATTCTGGGGAAAGTTTTGGCCTTTATATATGTCATTGAATTCCAAAAGCGCGGACTTCCTCATGCCCACATTCTTTTGATTTTGCGACCACAAGATAAACCAAAAACAATAGAAGATTTTGACAGAATAGTTTCGGCTGAAATCCCAGATCCTGAAACTGAGCCATTGGCATATGAAACAGTAAAAAAATGCATGATGCATGGCCCATGCAGAAAGAAATATCCAAAAGCACCATGCATGAAGAATGGGATCTGTTCAAAGAATTATCCTAAAAAGCTTTGCAATGAGACTAGCGATGGTGGAAACGGATATCCTATTTATCAACGCAGTCGAAATGGAAGAGTTATTAGAAGAGGGCCAAAGATCATGGATAATGGATGGGTTGTTCCACACAATAGATACATATGTGCAAAATACAATGCTCATATAAATGTTGAGATTAGCACCTCTGTTTCTGCCATAAAATACTTCTACAAATATGTATATAAAGGACATGACCGTGCAATGGCCCATGTGCAGCCTACACCCACCAATTCCGCTCCACAACAACAACAAGAGCATGTAAACGAAGTTAATGAGTTTCTTGATGCTCGGTATGTCTCCGCTTTTGAAGCATGCTGGAGAATATTTTCTTTCAAGCTTCATCAAGAGTATCCCAGCCATCAACGACTTTCAATCCATCTGGAAAATGCCCAACCCGTATATTATAATCCATCTTCTAACCCAGAGGATGTTGCAAATTCCAGAAAAAACACTACTTTAATGGGATATTTCGACTATAATGCTACACACCCATCATCTGAAAAACTTCTTTACGTCGACTTTCCTTCTCTTTATGTATGGAATACAAAAGAACGAAAATGGACAGCACGTAAGAGGTTTGATAAAGGAACGATTGGCAGAGTTTACACAGTGTCTCCGAGAGATATTGAAAAATATTTGTTACAATTACTGCTGCATAATGTTAAAGGGGCCAAAAGCTTTGAAGACATACGTACAGTAGAAGGATGTGTGTATGAAACAAACCAAGCTGCATGTCGTGCTCTGGGATTACTTTTGAATGATGATGAGTGGAGTAACTGTATGGAAGAGGCAGCAGCTCATCAGATCCCATTTTCTTTACGAAGACTCTTTGCTATTCTTTTGATTTTCTGTGCAGTATCAGATCCTTTCTCTTTGTGGCTTGCTCATCGCGATTCTATGATTGAAGATTATCTTCATTTGGCAAGAGAAAGTAGTGGAATTCCTGCGTTAGCCCCCACACAAGATATGTTTGACAGATGTTTATAGGATATCGAAAGTCATCTATCTGCCAACTCTATGTCTCTCATGTTGTTCACTGGATTTGTTCTTCCACCAATGTCTGACATCCAGCACTTTAGCCCAAATGGGCAAGATGTTCAAGCCATCATACAAGAACAAGAAGATTTATGTGATCAAGCCCAGCTTTTGCCAGATCCAGATACATTGACATTCAATAATTCACAAAGACGTATCTATACAACAGTATTAAGTGCAATTGAAGAAAACGTGGGAGCCTCAAGATTGTACTTTGTCGATGGTCCAGGTGGGATGGGAAAGACATTTGTCTTTAATACCTTGCTTCAAAAAACTCGCCAACAAGGAAAAATTGCTCTTGCAGTAGCAACAAGTGGAATTGCTGCATTGCTGCTAGACGGTGGGCGTACAGCACATTCCAGGTTTAAGATTCCAGTGCAAATTGATCTTAACTCCTTATGCTCCATCAACGCAAACTTGCAAATGGCACAACTTATTAGAAGAACGGAATTGGTTATCTGGGACGAAGCTTCTATGATTAGTAAAGATGTTTTTAATACTGTAAGCGGATCCATGCAAGATATAATGAAGACTGTCGATCCATTGCTTGAAAACGTTCCATTTGGAGGGAAGTTGTTTGTCTTTGGAGGCGATTTTCGGCAGGTCCTTCCTGTTATACCCAAGGCAACAAGAGCTCAGGTTGTAAGCCAATGTATCAAGAAAGCATCTGCATGGAGAAATGTAAAAACCTTGCGGCTTACAACAAACATGCGAATTGCCCAAGCAAATAATGAACAAGAAACATTAGAGCTTAGGGAATTTGGAGCATTTCTCTTGCAAGTTGGTAGTGGTTCTGCCCACACAACAGGCGGTGATGACACCATCCCAATTCCGCCCCATATGTTACTTTCTGGATGTAATCCTGCTGATCTGGCCAAAGCAGTTTTCCATGATCTCTCCTCTAATGCAGCCAACCCTCATTTCCTCATGGGCCGTGCTTTGCTTACTCCTAAGAATAAAGATGTCAAGAAACTCAATGATATTCTTCTGAGCCAGTTTCCTGGAGAGGCACGAGAGTTTAAGAGCGTCGACCAGGGAATTGATGAAGATGGTCAGTTGACATATCCAGTTGAGCTACTAAATACCATTGATCCTGGATCCCTACCACCTCACTCACTGTCCTTAAAAAAAGGATGTCCTATCATGCTTCTTCGCAATCTTGACCCAAAAAACGGCCTCTGTAATGGTACACGCCTGATTTGCAACTCTTTTGGAACATCTGTCATCAGAGCAACAATTGTGACTAGATCAAATGCCAGGCAAGTATCTCTTATTCCAAGAATAAAGCTTAATCCATCTGGATCAAATGGTGAAATTGAATTCCAGCGGTTCCAATTTCCAGTTCGTCTTGCATTCGCAATGACAATAAACAAGTCACAAGGTCAAACTCTTGAGAGTGTTGGATTATATCTCCCTGCCCCAGTATTCTCCCATGGCCAGCTGTATGTTGCTCTATCCCGGGTCAGAAAACCTTCTACAATCAAGATAATGCTTGATACACCAGCAAATTCCAACGAAATGGCAAATACTGTATTTACAGACAATGTTGTATTTAAGGAAGTCTTTGACATTTAGTAAAAAATTATATATAACATACACTATAAACTCATCTAACCAATTTTTTTTGAATAATAAAACATCTATACATATCCTTTCTTTTCATATAATTCACTCAAATAAAATGTTCCTATTAATTGTGCTATACGGTACTTAGACTTCCAATAGGGAAGGGTTTTATATTAACTTCCGGTAGGCTCTGGGGCCCCCCCGAAGGGAGGGGGGAGGGGGGGGACCCCCCAAAGGGGGGGGGGGGAGCACCGCTCCCCTAGTGGTTATATAAAAAAATACAACGTTTACAAAAAAAAATACTACGGTTATATAAAAAAAATTCGACGTTTACAAAAAAAAATACAACGTTTACAAAAAAAAAGTACAACGTTTACAAAAAAAGTACGACGTTTACAAAAAAAAATACTACAGTTATATAAAAAAATTGTAAGCTGTAAGGATAAAAAATTTGAGTGCCATGTACCCTTCCGCCAATAGTAAAAGGGGGGGAGCAAATTCAGATGGCAATGGGAGCAAATTCAGTTGGCAATGGACGCAAATTCAATTTCTATGGAAACCAATCAGATGTCAATGGGTTCTAATTAGATGGAAACAGATGCTAATTAGATGGAAATGGGCGCCAATTGAATGGATAAAACCAGTATTCAGAATTGTATCAGGGTGCTTGCTATCACCAAGAAAGAACTCACTAGTTTCATAGATGGGTAGGTTGCTAACATAAAGAAGAGACTTGGGCATAAGGGCAGAAAAATGCACAGCAAAGCAGCTTCTGATCTAATCAATACTATGGGTTTCAAGTTGAGAATAGAGGATATCAAAGAGAAGTTGAATACATATGACAGAAGAGACTTTTTCAATTTTGATGAGACTGGTCTCTACAAGTAACCCCCCACCAACACCATCTTTAAGGCTGTAGTTTCTGGCCAGAAAGCTGATAAGACTCGGCTCACTGTGACTCTCATTAACAACTCTGATAGCTTCTTAAAGTTGGTGCTATTTATTATTGGTAAGCGTACCAAACCTCATTATTTTGGCAAGAAAACTGATAATTTACTACAAATTTTATATAAGCTGCAATTAATGAGTTTCATTCTTACTCAATACTTTGGTTTTTTTAGACTAATTATATAGACAGCAAGTTTAGATTCTGTTACTACTACAATAATAAAAGTTGGACAATGAAAGCAATCTTTAAACTGATTTGCAGAGTCATTGATGATTGAGTAAGAAATTTAGATTGCAAATTCCTGATCTTGCTTGACAATTCTTCTTGTTATGATATCACTGCCCCATATATCAATCTCAAACTTATATATCTTTTACCAAACACAACATTATATCTTCAATCTTTAAATGCAATATTATCCAAAACTTTAAAGTTAAATACTAGAACTATTAATATACTTTTGGAACTGACAGATATCTCTCAGAAAAGATTGTGAACTCTGATGATCTCTTCAAGTTGATATAATTTGAAGGTATGGAGTTTATTTTGAGTGCTTGGAAAAAGTAACATCTAAAACAAATAACAACTGCTTCAATCATATTCAACTTTTTGACAGTCATTTATTCTCACTAGAAAATACCCAACCTCTTATACTTGAGACCATTACTATATCCATTGAAAGATTTAATATCATTTTTGAATTTGAGAAGATAATAAACAAATATATTCAAAAATTTAATATTATTGAAGAGTCCCTTGATACTCTATAACACTATATCTTTGATGATGAAAAAGAATAAAAAGTAGAATTAGTAGAAATAGAAAAAGAAGAAGAGCCAAAATATCAAATCTCTGCTGATGAGAAAGGATTACTTTTAAAAGATGTGCTGGCCATAGTGTTATAATTATTTATATTCTGTGATCATGATTATGAAGACCTCTTTCTTAAACTATGTGCTTTAATTATTGATAATATAAATTCTAAACAAAATTTGGAAAAAACTCTCCAAAAATATATGAAAGAATACTTTAAATAATAATTGTAAATAGTAATAAATGTAAATAATAATAAATGTAAATAGTAATGATAGATAGTACTAATAAAATTCTTACCAGATAAAACCTATCACAAAACTTATTCATATTAAGTTTATATTTTTCAAGTGAATGATCTATATTAATATATAGCATATATAGTTTTGTTTTATCTTTGAAAAAAAAAACAAAATTAGATATAATGTATTTTCTTAATAATCGCAAATTTCAAGATTTGTGTCAATTTTTTTTATTTCAAATTCCAATATATGAAAATGATATTAAATGTCTGCCAGTCTTTTAAAAATTCTAAATATTGAACTTTATGCAGTCCCAACTTCATATATTCATGACAAAAGATCTTTTAAATACCAAGTGATACACAATATTATTATTTTAGAGAATTGATTCTCATTATCTGTCATTATGAATAGAAAATCTAGTGTCAATATTTCTCTTTCTCTGCTATTAAATTCAAATACCGCGTTTTTTCAAGACCTAAAAAATGCTGTTGCAAATGATAAAACTAAACACGTTTTCTGTTTACTTTGTAGAGAAAGTGTTTCTTAACAAAGTAAACAGAAAAAATATTCAGTTTTGTCATTTTCAACAACACTTTTTAGGTCTTGAAAAAAACAATCGGAGTACAATTTTTTTGTCGATTATAAAACAAATATACTAAAACAACTCAATAATTCAATATTTGACTTGTAAACATAATGCACTTAAGATCACTATAGGAAATGACAGGATTTATATCTCTGACCTTGTACCAAGTTACTTACTCATAACTTCTACTATTTAAAAGTCAGTCTTTAAAAAACCAACCTCGTAATGAGTTATGAACTTGTAACTTTTATAGATAATAGCATGTCTTTTTTAGTCTATTAGTTTTACTTTTTTGTCAGATATGATTTATGGGATTTACGATTAGATCAAATATGATTTACAGAATTTTAGATCATAATCAAATACAATTTATAAGATTTCTGATCATTTTTGTATTTAATTGAATCAAAAGTGCCAAATATAGCAGATATATATCAGTTTTAGTGCCTCTGCTTTTTCTTATAATTAGTTCAACAAATGCATGATGTTTTATATTGGAATTTTATAGTTTTTATTTTTATTATTTTTATGAATCAAAATAATTGAAAGTAAATGTAAAAAGAATAAGTATGTAAAGAGAGCACTCATTAATATGTTATTAAATAACAGTTTAAGCTACAGAATTTCCATAGTATACATTTATGTATATCTTTGTGTATACATTTTTATCTTTTGTACTTAAGAATAATCAGTTATCTTCAAAGAATTACACTACTTGAGAATTAGAATAAAATAATTAAATAATACATGTTTTCTTCAAAGAATATATATTTTAGTTTCTTGATAATCGAAGTCTGGCAGATTTCTACTTTTGAGAAAGCATATACTTGGCTCCCCATGATCCTACAAATCTATTGAGATAAATATTTCTAAAAGAAGCATGTAGCTCAAGGTTTTTAATCAAATTCTTCTTTTGCGACTTTTTAAGATTATTTCTCAATGGAACACTCTCTCCTTGATCATGGAAAAGTTTAAAAGCAGCCCTGAGGAGACTACAAACAATTTCTGAGGCCGATCTGTACATGATACAGGCAGCTGCTTCGTTGCCTTCAGTCAAGTATATGGTCATTGCATGATGAATTGCTGCGGCTGAAAGTTTCCAAGAGTTGTCAGAAACAGTTTCATCAGAACGTTCAATGTCTCGAAGAGTCTGATTGTTGGGTACTTGTTCTATCTCTTGTTCTCCAGCCAGTAAATGGCTAATGTTTTCCAAAGGAATGTTATTTCCCGTCTCTCAAGAATTATCAGGATGTGCCTGTAACTGGACAACAGTAGTTTCAAGAGCTTCCAGGCGTACTTATGTTGTGAGATCTTGTATTGTTGACATTTTTTTTTGGAAAAGAAAAGAGAACAAAATCCGATTTTCACAAGAAAAAATTCTTCTTATTATCCACAGTTATAATCATGCAATATATTGCATGAATTTACCATATTCAGTATTAAATAAATAATAAAAAACTAAAACATAAATTCATATCTATATTGATCTTTTTTTTCTCTTAACTTATATTCAAACCATTTTTACTATATATTATCATCCAACTAATCCTTCATAAAATAGATCTCTTTATTTAAAATGAATATTGACGATTTGATTACACAGACATCTGAAAACGGTGCCAATGAAGACAGAGTTGAATAAATTAACTATCCCAAAGACATTTTCAACTGAACTGAATTTGATCAACAAGGCATTCAAGAACGTAATAACCATGTTTCTAGATGCTTATGACAATAACTTGTATAGTAATGAGTCATATTGATGCGTGTTGAGTTTGTTATGTGTGCAACTTGGTCAGAAAATAAGAATAAAATGTATTGAAGAAGAATTACAAATGTAATTCTGGAGTACAAGTTCGGGTGGGGAAGAGGATAATAAAGAGAAAGGTGAATATAGAAGAGATACAGAGTATTTAGAAAGGCGATTGAATGTTCAACTTCACTCGGGACAGTTGAGGGTGGAAAAGAAATAAAAGTGTTAAGGTAAAAGGTGAAAGGAGGTATAGGAACACTGTCAATTTCGCTCAGGACAATCCAAACAGGTAAAACAGCAAGGCACAGGAAGGTAAGATAGAAGAAGAAAGTAAAAATATTGCTGATTTTGCTTGGGACAATCAAGACAGATAAACAGCAAGGTACAAGAAGATAAGTTTAGAAAAGAATTTAAGAGAACGCTGTTGATTTCACTCAAGACAATCACACAGATACAAAGGGACAGAAAGGAGAAAAAGAGGAAGACGGTTTTGAACAGAGATATAAGACTTTAATGCGATGTAGGATTGCTTTCCTATGGGTCAGGCAGAAAGCAATTCAGGGACGGTGATTTTTAAGAGAGAGATAACTGATAATGTTTATTGTTGTAAAAATAGGTCTCACTGCAAAAATCATTGGGAATTATTATAATAATAGGTCTTGATTATTGGGATATTTTGTCATATAAAAATGAATTACTTGTAAATATTAAAGAAATCATAGTTGACAAGTTATTGAATAAAGTATCAAATATAATTGAATATTATGTTATTCCAAAAATAAAAACCGGGAGTTTAGGTATAACGTCTGTGTATCAACTGTTCTCAGGAATCAATTATATAGACTATTTCAAATGCAGAACAATGTATTATCTACCACTGATTACACCTGTAATTTGATGTAGGCCTTGTTTTTGTAATAACAGGCGTAATAACAGGGCACTTCTTTAATGTTAATTGGCTAAATGAATCGAAGAAAAATTCTCACAGATGCAAATGCTAAGCACGAGTATCTCAATTGGATATTGTTCTGTTTTGAAAAATGATTTTTTTATTTGTTTTTATTTTGAATAAAAAAAGCCTTTTTTTTTGGCAATAATAAGGATTCTATATAGTATTACTATTTAATATACTAATCTATTATATTGTACTTCTTATAAATTTTGTTTCAGAATTTTTTGAATTAATAAACTTGGGAAGTGAGTATATATGCTTACTGAAGCTATTTGATTAAAGGGAGTAGAAAGATACTTACATACTGTTAGAATAATTTGTTAATAATGAAATAAAACACAGATTTATATTATCAAAAGCTACGAGCCAATGTGTCATTCAAGTATATATTACAAAGAAAGGAATATAAAACATATACATACATATTTACTAAAGGAACATGTCTTATCCTTGAGTACCAGTCATATAAGAATGTGAAGAACCATTTCAACTATAAAAAAGGAGAGTGAGAATGCTGATATAAAAAAACAAAACAAAATAAAAACAACACAATAATAAAATGAATAACATGTACCCTTATATTCTTTAAATGATTTGTTTTTACTGACCATATGTAAAGCAAGGGTGAGCTATATTTAAAGTAGATGTTAGATATTGTTTTTAATACTGGAAAGAAGCTGCTGATATAGATATATACATACATACCACTAATATGCTTTTGTTTTTTTTGTCTGCACCGGTTATATCAGAGAAATATATGTAATGGCTATTTAAAGTAATTTATAGTTAGTAAAATAATGATATATTTAATGGTAAAGTACCTCTTGTTTAATGAAAGACACCTGCATCATATGTATATATTAAGGGTGTCTAAAGTGAAACATAGTAGGATTAAAAGAATGTTATTTTTATTAATATTATTAAAGAGTAGAGAAAAACAGAAAAAGGTGGGAGAATAAAAAACAGTGTTTGAAAAAGCCGTAGATCCTGAAAAAGTTATTAGACTGTTTCTCTTACTTTGTAAAAAAAATTGTCTACTAATTACAGCTTTATATGTTTCATAAAACAATTGTTACTTACTATATACCTAAAGAAGTTGTTTTCTAGCTCAATTTTTTTTAAAATATATATTTTGATCTCCTCGATCATTTAAATAAAGATGTATTTACACACTCATATACTTGCTCAACTTGCTTGCTTAATTATTAACATAATTGTTCAATCACTCAATTACTCTAAAGTTTTTTACGTATAAACTACTCTCTTAAAAATTTATTAAAATAGAAATACCAAGTAATATATACTAGAAACTTATCATTTTATTATATAAAAATACAGATAATGGCTCCAAGAACTAACATCAACCAGAACGCACATACCAATAGATCAGCATCTAGGCCATTGATCAACACAGTCAACACTGGCTGTATAGGATCGTCTAATCCAATGATTGCTCCTACACCAGACAATATGTCAATTCCAGTGTCAGAGTTTAATGATGTTGTCAGTATTCTTGCTACACTCAATAACAAAATGACAGCCGTTAGTTCTGATGTTAGTGAATTGAAAGGTAATTAAACACAAACTATATTGTTTTCGAATAGACTAATTATTGGAACAGTACAATGCCAGGTGGGTGCTCAATCGACTGGCATGCAAGCCGTTCTTGATTCTGATATGGATCCTCAGGACATCATAAGCAGCTCAAGACACCCAAAGATTTCAGTAAGCTCAAATACTATAATTGTAAAAAAAAATCTCCCTTTAAATCTAACATCAATATACCTTTAATAAAGTATTATTCGGGGGCGGTTAAGAGATATTAATCTCAAAACAGATGATTTGGAGTTGATTAGAGAGAATAATGATAAACCAACTTGGGATGTCAATGTTGGTTTGTCTGACGAGTTTAACAAGAATCTTGCAAGTGATTTGATGCTTTACATTCGTCATTAACCTGTAGCAGCCATGGTACCACCAAAAGAGCTATGTGGTATTATTGTAAACAGCTATTACAATTGCTTGGCTGCCAGTAAGCTTACTGAAGAAGACATACAGACAAACACTACCTCAAACAGAAGAGGAAATAGAAAGACTGCTGTAAGTATTTCTATTTATAATAATTCAATTTTGACAAGTATACTTAAAATATTATCTATATATTGTAGCTTAATAAAAGGAGAAAAAGAACATACAAAAAGCATAAGGATGCAGTTACCAAAAAGTTTAATCGGGATTACAATGGCGTTTTTTATAGAGACGCAATGTCTGGTGATGAGACAGAAACCGACACTTCTGTTGTTGCATCTCGTTCTGATTGGCGTAGTAATGAGGTAATGTTTTATATAAAATGGTTTTTTCTGTTGTTTGATTTCTGATGTATATATACATTTATAGTTGAATGCTGTGTTTGACTTTCTTGACAATCTCGCCAGAGATGACTTGGGAAAAAGAGCAACATAGTTGAAGTCGCGGAGTCATGTGTTGGTACACAAGACAATTCCTCGTGGCTTGGTTACAAAAATGCCTGCGTGGTCAAAACGCGTATAATAAAATTTCTGTCTTTTTAGTTGCATTCTTTACCACATCTCTTTTTATGTCTATGAACTCTGTCTTATATTATTATTATTATTTAAAAAAAAAGATAGAGTATTTTATTAAGCATACAGCTTTCTTGGCAGAGGAATAACAATGACTTTTGCTGCACCACTACCAGACATATGACTTCCAATTGCAATTGGTGACAAGATGCGGTGGACAGGCAGAATGTTGTCATAGTCGTATTTTAAAAACGTTGCGTCATACAACTCAATACTCTGATTAATTCTTGGCTGATGGCAAGGGATTTGGTACCATTCAACAAAAGCAAATACATGTTAGGGATTGTGGCAAGCATGGAGGTTGATGTAGATAGGATTGGGTGTAAAATTGTGTGTAAAAAGATACTTGATACGACCAGCATATATCTCTTTATTATTATTGTTGGTCTCCATATACTTGGCCTGTATATAGAACCCTCTCATGATCAAGCCTTCGCCGCCTTTATAGACTTGTTCAGGAAGATTGATAGATGCAATCTTTTGAATTCTGTCATAAACAGATATTCTGTGCCTTAGCATAGTTTTTGCACTACACAAAGTCTCATCATCATACTCAATCTTGTAGAACTTTAAAAGACAGTTGTATTCTGCTTTTCTCATTGTTGTTGCTTCTTTTAAAGCCAGTGGCAAGGCAGAAGGTGGAAGAAGCTTGTTACCAAATGTTTGGTGTTCTGGATTGGTAGCAGATTCCAGGAATGATGGAAGATGAAAGAATGATGGCGAGTTTTGATGATTGCCAGATGGAATTGTGCCGGTTATACTGTCGGTAAGTTTGCTGAAGAGAGAAATGTAAGATGGGTTGGTAATGGTGCTGAGATGTGTGTGATAGGAATCACCCTTGGAAGAGTCCTCAACAAACTTCTTCATGTACGTTTTCTCGAAGCTGCTCTTTTGATTTGCCTGGAATCCTTTCAAGACACCATTGAAATGCTCAAAACTAAACAACCAAAAACTGTAGATTGATCCAAAATCCTGAATCGATTCTTTCAAATGAAGATGATGATGCATGTTTGGCGACAGTAAGTCAAGCTTATACATTGTTTCACAACCATGGCAGAATTTTTCTAAACTGACATGGGCTTTATCAATCTCTTCTTCAGTAATGGCTGGCTTTGTGAGTGCCCTACATGCATCAACAAAATGAATCCAGTTTACAAGAAGATTACTTGGCAGGCGCGTCTTCAGCAGAACAGGAGAGTATATCAGGCATCAGGATTTTTATTCATCCACCTTCATAAATGGAAATCCTTTTCTGATCTTTGTTCAGAGAATTGTATACCCCATTGGGGTTGTCATTGAATCAGCTTCCTTCTGCATCTCTGCAAAGTCATTACTGTCAAGCAAGTCACATGCGATCCAATTGTTCATCATGCGCTTTGCCGTTCTAAGGAAAAGATTGTGCATGGGATCGATTACTGTTTCATGCACTGATTCCAAATACGTGAGTCAGTGGAGCTCAGACCAACAAACGCCATTCTCAACCTCCAGTCGCTTTCTTTCTGCTAGTGTTCTGGCATTTTTCCACATTATGGCATGCTCAATATTCTCTTCCTTGGTTCTGCTTACCCAGTTGGAAAACTTAAACCCAGAGTAGTTAACAATAGTGGATCCATCAATGCGTTTGAAATGGCGGTTGCATTTATTACATGCACATGTGCTATTGTGAGAGGTGAACCCACGCGTTTTTCTTGCAGCTGGTATATCACAAGCAACCATCAGCAAAGCAGCACAGATAAAAGCACCAGGGCAGTCATAGGTATTTACTGTTATATCCTTGTAGAGAACTATGAGCTCGTCAACAAGAGGACACAAATAGTTATTGATCTTGTCAGTACTTGCTTCTTTGGGTCCAGGCATTAACCCCACAAGGATAACATTTTCGACCTTGTTGCACTCTTCTCTTGATAGATTGTTTACTGTGAGATATATGGCACTGCAAGAATATGTCACCCCATCAAAGGGCTGGAACCAATCAATATTTAATGTCAAAAGCAATGAACGTTCCTTTGCAACAAACTGGGCACCTTCATCATTGACAAACTCTTTCTACATTTTTCTATTGTAAACATCAAATAAAGTGCCATCAACCTTTGGCTCGCAGTTCCACTCATTGATATTCTTTTTGAAAGAAGGATGTATAAACAATTTTTTCAAGGAAGCTGTCAACGAGTTGTAGACAAATGTATGTTTGGGAATCATTACATTTCTTATACTGTGCTTGTAAAGATCATTTCTGCAAAGGGTCTTGCTGCCAACTCTTTTAAAATTGCAACATGTTTGTGTGGTGTTGCTGTAGTCATACAAGGTGTGGCAATCACTGCATGCTACATAATTGGACACCCCATTCATCAAGTCATTGTACCCCATCATTTTCTTCAGACCAGGAATACTTATAGAAAGTCGGAAATCCTCTCCGTAATGTTCAAGTATTGTATTAATGAACGTGATCAAGATCACAGTGCCGTCATTCACAATGAAAATCAAAATAAACATCACAGTGAAAATGGCAATTACTCTATGCCAAGGATTTTCTGGGAGGTTTGCTGTAGACTCTATAGATTATCATGATATAGTATTAATTTTTGTTTTCTTGGTTTGATCCAGGTCAATTCATTTTAATTATCATTTATTTTTAATAGTTACCCTGTTCTTCCTCTCTGTCTTGCTCTTCTGGCTCAATTTTATCTGACGATTCATATTCAGACTCATACTCTGAAGTATACTCCTCTGTTCCAAAAAGAGATTCTTCCACCAAAAGAGGTAAGTAGGTATGGACATATTGCTCTGGTGAGGGTGCACCAATAAAGTGATTGACATCTATTGATACTGAGTTTAAATAGAGTGCGCATTGGGTATAAAAAAATAAAATACTACTACCTTCAACATATTCTTCAATTTGATCTACGTCCATATCAGTTTTACCAGTATTTACTTCGGCTGTCAAAACTATTTGTTTCATTTAATTAGAATACATCATATAAATAAATAAAAAATTGATAACTTTAGTTATCATTAATGATTTTATCCATTTTTCTGTTATTGTCATTCTGGGCATGATGCTTGGCAGTTCTTTTATCTGTCATGGTATATCTGAGAGGATTGCAATTGCATTTTGTGCATTTGCAATGAACTTCATCGGGATTGGCAATGGCAAACATTTTTTTACTTAATTTTTTTTAATAATAAAGAAAGTGTGTAACAGCCGTTGCTTATTATAATTGTCTTTATTATTTTAAAAACAATTCTCTCAGGGACTCTGATATATATTAGGCCAATTATATGTCTTTTAATATATTTTTGCTGCTAAACACATGAAATGACCTGGGTTGTAATTTTTTTACTACTATTATTGATAATTCCAAGTAAGTGGAATTCAATTATTTTAAGGTGTTTTTGTAGTGTCTCTTATATATCTTTGAGAATTGAAAATAAAATGAAATAAAATATGAAAATGGAATGGTTTTTTAGAAATTGTGGATGTGACTTATAGCGTGAGAAGAGGTAATATGTAAATGTGGGTAGATGTCAATGTCAAAATGGAAAGAGTGGGATAATGTTTGTGCTTTTTGGTAGAATGTAGGGGTAAGGTGTTAGAATATAATAGTAATGATAATAAAAAGATAATAAAAATGAGATATAAAATGAGAGATGAATAGCAGTAATAGTGGAAGATAAATACTGTGAGAAAAAGCGAACTGTGAGCTGGAAAAGGAAATGAGAAGATGTATGTAAAAAGGGTAAGGACGCCAAAAAAAGAATATGCGCGGGAGATGAAATGGAAGTGATAATAAAGGTAAGAGTATATGTAAAAATGTGATTATGGAAAAATGTGATAATATATAGAAGTGATGAATGAGAAAAATAGGAAGGGAAACGATCGGAGAAAAAGGAAATAAATCAGGGTGGGTGAATCTGGAGAACACACAACACCCGTATCAATATGACCTGGGAGAGTTTATGTTGGAGGGAACCACCAACACCCAGAAAGATCAATGGACATAGATGTTGAATTTGGCAAAGACGTGCCTACAGATATCAAGACTCCGCTTGGTAGGGAAAAGAAGAAGAAACCACTAAACTAGTCTCTTTAATTTCTAAAAAAAAAAACCTTATTAATCACACGCAAATATACATACGGAAGAATCTGGTCGTGGTTACTTCTGTGTTCATAACACTGTAGATCATGTGCATTTCCCAAGCCAGTATGAAAGCGATGAAAACGATGAAAACAAACTGGATGAGACTCCTTGAGTTCCTTATTATGACTCAATGAGTGGGGTAGAGGCAGCTAGCCTGGAGTTGTTCTCTATGTTTATTGAGAACAATGTGTCTTGTAATGTTTTTGACAAGTGTGTGAAAATGATGAATAAGTATATGGCAGAATGTGGATTGTGTAAGTATATAGTCAATATCAATTATTTATAGCATGTAAACTTACTACCATTTTAGCTGTCATCAATTCACTGATGTCTTACTACAAGATAGACACGCTTCTAAGACAAGAATATACTGGCCGTCCTGTCATGGATGACATGTGTAAAAAAGTTTGTACCCACTTTGAAGCCATATAAGCTGAACAGCACGCAGATAAGAAACAGTGGTGCTTTCATTATAATAGCCAACGATTCCGATGTGAGAGAGGCACTTTAATTCCTGTGGAAGGAATCCAATGGCAAGAGGAAGGCTGTCGATTGGATAGACTTTCTCTTGTTTGTTGTTCCAACAATTGTCATTGATCATTTCGTTTTTGATCGTACGAAAGCAGCAGTGATGAAACTTGTTACTGCATGCAGAATTGCCCAGCAGTGGAGGATCACTGCTGCCAATATCCAAGAAACAGAGGAGTAAGTCAATTGGATATATGCTGATCAGTGTTTTAATCATCTTTATAGGGCCATTGGTTGCTGGCATGCCTTCCTCCATTGTGAGATCAAAGAAAAGAGGCTGAAGCCTACAGTTTTCGTGATGATCCAGCATATATTAGTTCATCTTGGCTATATGATGTGGGAGATGAGCCCTCTGCGGGCATATAGTTGTAGGCCAATTGAAAGGACAATCGGTGTCTACAGCACAGCAATCAAGTTGAGAAAGAAATCAGGAAAGAACATGGAGAATCTCTTGCTCAGAAAGGCAGCAATCAATCACTGTCTTGGTTGCTGGCCTGTCATTTGTGGCAAAAATGACAGAAGGACCAGCAACTTCGAGGTTGCAAGTAACGATGTTGCTGGTCCTCAACTTTGGTCCAGGCCACTCGAAGCTCTCTGGCTGAGTTGGCTACCGCCATTGGCATAGAGTGCCAGAACTTGGTCCGCAGTTTGGTGCCTTTCTGGGCAAGAGAAGGCATTGTTTCCTTTGAAGAAAACGATGAAGTGGTTTGCGCCAACAAGATGTGGAAAGATTTGGTGGTCTATAGAGCCTGGTCCTCTGTTGACAGCAGGCATGGTCGAGCAAACAATCTTGCTGTGCTCAACAATGCCAGGGAGTACGTAGCACTAGTTGTTTTCTATATTGTTAAATTTTATTAATCATAACTCATTTATATTTTTTGAAATGTATGGATTTATTCTTAAATTCTTCTTCCAAACTGTCAACAGAGTGACAAGACTCTTTGCGGCCATTGACTATCTTTCTGATGTTCAACGTGTGAACCAAAATCTTTTCCCTGCGTGGGATAGCCTGGCATCTGATTTGGTGAAGGTGGTGGACGTGAAGTCTATCAAGGGGATTGCTGGCCTCGTCCATGACCCAAACAACAAGGCCATTCGGCACATTATCTGGTCTTCGCCAAAATACAACCAATAGGTTTTTTTTTCTTTGTTTTTTTTCCCTATTCTTTTAATACATATATAAACATTTAATTTCTTTAAAAAAATCACCCAAAACAATAGCAAAATCTGTTGCTATTACCATTTGATTTAAAATTTTTCAATGCCAGAAAAACCGAATTTATGGTATATCTAATTGATTGGCTGTGTTCTTGACTTTGATCAAACTTGCAAACAGAAAACAACAGTCCTCTTTCTTTTCTCATTTAAAACAGCTGTCTGAGTTAAACCACCAAAAAAAATTATGATTACTGGCACAGAGCTTCTAAAAAGGGTTTAAATTGCTCTAAATTTAGAAAGGCTAACAGGAGTTTTAAATATGTGCAAAGATTTTGCAGATGTGCAGTTTTTTTTTGGAAATCCTTGCACATTATTTTCTATATTGTTAGTAAGTCTGTGCCAGACTTTTCTGAGTTACAAGTTTTGGGAAGAAAGTTATGAGTATCAAAAAATACTTGGATTTTTTTCTACAGTGGATTAATCTCATCTTATTTTTTAATAAAACTTTTTTTTATTTACAGTCAAAGCTCAATTTAGTGATGTTTGATTTAGTGATATATTATTGAGATTTTTTATCCCCTGCTAATTATCACTATTTTCTGATTTAGAGATGGTGATAAAAAAAATTCCACCAATATCACTATATCAAATGCTGAGTTTGTTTTTTATAGTAAAAAAATTAGTACAAATTTCTGCTCAATGTTTTTGAAACATCACTAGTCAGACTACTTTACTTTTACATAGAATAAATACAATTGATCTAAATAAAAACCTTGGACACATCATATAAAATTTATTTAGACAGAGATTGTGCTCTTAAAAAGAAATAATGCATTTCAAACTCGGGTTATTTTATATGATATAAAAGCATGATATAAAATGTATTGACCAATAATCTTTTTGATATTTTATGTTGTTAAACTAACGATGACATAAAACTTGAAATAAAGAACAAATTATGTTTTCAAGTAAGTATATAAAGAAGTCCATATAGCTCCAGCATTAATTTTTTCCCCTTTATTTGCGCAAGTATTCTACATATACAAATATTAATTAATATCTATTAGCTTTTATGTCTAAAAAATTAAACAGCTATTACAATTTGAGGGCAAAAAGTAACAAACTTTGGTTTGCACTAATTATATGATTTTAAGTTCGCAAGTTTAGTAAATTAACATGGCCAATAAATGAAATATTACATATTTTTATTGTATATGGAAGCCTTGGATGTGAAACATGAGGCCGTATAAAATTACATATATGGTTAAATATATCAAAAAAATTGTATGAAGTGTCCAAGATCCCTAATATCAAGTGCGCTGATACTTTATACCAAACACTGGGTTATGAAAATATTCTTTTACAGCTTTATTTTTATTTCTATTTTTTAAAATTCAATAAGCTATATAGGATATATATTAAAAAAAATAAAAAAAAATAATAGTAATTTTTCTAGTAAATATAAATTTAAAGATAAGATTTTATAAAAAAAAAAGATTTTATTATAAAATACTTTATTAATGTTTATTATTACTATTTACAATTATTATTATTTACAACTATTACTATTTACAGTTATTATTTAAAGTTTTTTTTTATATTTTTTTGATGAGTTTTCTCAGAATATTTTTCAGCTTTTATATCATTAATAAATTGACAAATTTTCTTCATCATTATATGTTGCTAAGGCTGACTATTTAATACTATTAAATGTGTCAAGTTGACCAGTAATTCTTTTACTATTTTTCTTTTTTTTCTTGGGAGAATATTCATTTTTTTATCTTTATTTTCTTTATTTTCTTCATTTTCATTTTCTTTACCAAGAGTATTATCTTCTAGAGTATAATGTATTTTCTTAATAATCGCAAATTTCAAGATTTGTGTCAATTTTTTTATTTCAAATGCCAATATATAAAAAACGCATTAAATGTCTGCTAGTTTTTAAAAAAATCCTAAATATTGAACTTTATGCAGTCACAACTTCATATATTCATAACAAAACATGTTTTAAATACAGAGTGATACATAATATTACTATTTTAGAGGATCGATTCTCATCGTCTGCTGTTATAAATGAAAAATATAGTTTCAATATTTCTCTTTCTCTGCTATTAAATTCAAATACCGCGTTTTTTTAAAACCTAAAAAGTGCTGTCGCAAATGACAAAACTAAACATGTTTTCTATTTACTTTGTAGAGAAACTGTTTCTTAACAAAATAAACAGTAAAGATATTCAGTTTTGTCATTTCTGACATCACTTTTTAGGTCTTGAAAAAAACGATTGGAGTACAGTTTGTTTCTGTCAATTATAAAAAAAATACACTATATATAGGGATTTTTATGAGATATCAACAACTTCAATATCATTTTTTTTAAAAATTTCAGCATCCAGATATGATAGTTATATCTTCAATGAGTATATTGACAGTCTTAGGTATAATTGGGGCTATGCTGTGTGGTGTGGGTACGTTGTCAGCAAATAATCCAGTATGATTAAAGCAATTGGTTATGATTTCTGAAGTCATTTGATTCCATGCCAATTTAATGAAATTTATGCCTTCTAGTTGTGCAAGCTTGAAATAGTCATCAGTATTGATGACCATGTTGCTGATGTATCTTTGGGTAGCAAGAGTATATTGATAGTATCAGTATTTAACTTTAAAGTTCTGTATAATGCGGCATCTAATAGCTGAATATACAATGTAGTATTTGTTGGGGGGTATAAGAATTTCATATTAGTATAATTGTCATATGTATTGTGGCAGACTGGATTGTCAAGTAGAACAAGTATCTTTCTGTCCAGGTTTCTTGCTCAATTATCAATTATCTTATATATATCTCTAAAAACTGCATGTTTCAACCAGCTTTTATCATTATAATAATACTGAAAGTCACTGTAAAAATTATATCATTGTAATGGGTTGAAATATATGTTGAATTGAGGGAAAAAGATAATTTCACCCAGTTTAAAGGAATGTTCCTCCCAAATAGAAACATAAGTTGTATCTTTGAAAAGAAGCCTTACAGCATGGGAAAATACTAAGATTTGCACGCTGCCTAAGTTAGCTGGTATTTTTCATTTACATCTTAAATAGAAAAGAGGTCTAGCATATATTCTCATTAAATTTTGGTCATCATTTCTTAAATGAGGTAGTCAATCTAAATAAAGCTACTCTGTGTGAGCCAATTATATTAAAGGTTCCCCAATTTTTACTCAATCTCTATTGACTAAATATCTCAAAATTTGGAGAAACAGATAGGGAAGCAGATAGAGAAACAGGTTGCCAATTATAATCAGTTTTATAATATAATTTTTTAACTTTTTGGCTTATTTGATAAAAAAAATGATTTATAAATAAATATTTTGGTTTCACAGTATCCTCTCCTTTTACGCGGTTTGAACTCATTGCTCTATTTATTATCTGAACCAGACAATAAATACTAAATTGAAAGAAGAAAAGCATTATTTAAGAGCAGCATCAACACTAATTAATGAATGCATAGAATATAATATATAATATTACTTATAATGTGATATACTCAATCAAAGTAACATAAATAAATATTTTGAGATAGTCAAGATTCTAAAATATTTTTTTATCAGTACAGATATCAAAAAACATGCATTACATAACTCACAAATTGTATAGATAGCTGACTAAAATAGAGAGTGTGCCTAAAAAATATATTGAAAGAAGTATTTTTACAGATTAGTAATAGAAAAAAATAGATTAAAACAATAAAAAAACTTACCATCATACTTGATTCAGAAATAAATAGAGCTAATGAGAAAGAGTGAAAATGACAAAAGAAAATAAAGGAAAATGATAGTCAGTGAAGAGATTTGAGAGAATATTATTCTTATCTTAATATTCAATACTGTGTATGAAAAGACGCGTAAGTATTCTATTTATCAACTACAAAATAGTGTGAGAAAATATATAAAAAGAGAAAAAAAAAGAAATTGGTTCCTAGAGAATTCTCATAAGAAAAAACGTGGGCAGAAGAAAGAGATTCAAATAATTAGAAATACAAGTTACTCAATGTGAGAAGAATGCAGTTATAAAAAAAATCAAAAAAGGCTTTACTTTTTGATGTTTTGTTTATAAATTATTTGTTTTCTAAAAAAGTCTAATTATTTTGATTTCACGTCTTACAAAAGCTTGTGAAAATATTATAGTTTATAATTTCAATCCAAAAAAAGACAGATTTTAGCATTCATCTAATAAAATAATACAGAAATTACATTGCTGTTTAGAATATAACATCAGTCGAAAATAAGATTTTGGTCTCTTATTTCCCCTATTGCAACTGATGTTTCTGAGAGTGAAATCATATAATTTTTGCAGTAAGTCATGCTCTGAGCCTGTTTTATAATATCAGAGCATTCAGTATACTAAGAAAATTATTGAATTCAGCACATATAAATAGTGTAATAACATATCATTCTTCTTGCTGAAGCAGCGAGGTTTGGCATATTTGCCAATGATGAATGACTTCAGCTTTCAGGAGCCATCTGAGTTACAAAGCAATATAACTGTTAGTTAAACTTTATTGACCTTCTGATCAGAAGTTGCTGCTGTTAATATGGTTGATACTGGTGGCTGCTTATAGAAAAAACCAGTTTTGTCAAAGTTGAAAATATCTTTTCCCTCATATATTCTCAACTTCTTCTTTATCTCTTATACTCTCAGGTTGATTTTCTTGGTATCTCTAGGAGCAGAGAAAGTTTTGTTGTATATCTTTCTGCTTTTTACTCTAAGTCTCTTTTTCAACTTTGCAATATACCTATCTGAAAAGCTTGCATGTCTTTCAGTGTAATATTGTATTTGCTTACTGCAATTATTTTAGCATAGTTTTTAATGAAGTGAACATTAATCATAACTGCTCTTTTTTCCAAATCCAAAATGAATTGATGAGTGTCTTCTTCTAACTGAGAGTAGATTGTATGATTGGTGAACATCTTTTTCAACTCCTTTTAGGTTCTGTCCAGAATCTTCTCTTCTTCTTGCAAAATCTTTGAGATAGCTGTCTGAGCTGGGAGCTTGGGCAAGTCAAGCTGCTGTTTAGTCTAGACTCTCAACTGCTTCTAGTTAAATCTGTATCTAAATTTATTGCAAATAGCAATCTTCTGACTTCTATTAAAACGGATACAACCCATACACTAGAAAAATGGGTTTACATATACATGTGTAGGAATAGGTATACCAATGTGTTCAGTTTAAAAATATGCATGGATTTGGGTGACCTGTAAACTATGGGCAGAGTACCTTAGACACTAGGTTCGTGATGAGCTGAACACTAGTGTGGTATCAAAGCAAGGTGCCACAGATATGACTAATTTGTATTCTCCATATGGTAATTACATATGTACACTATAGGGGTTTGTGTAAAACTTATAGTGTAATTAAAATACTTTAAAGTGCGAGCTGATCCTGGATCTGATGGGGTTCCCCTTACTATAATTACACATATCTTTGACACTAGAGTATAGGTACCTATACACTACTTTTTGTTCAAACATATCCAATCACGAAAGCCTCTTTATTGCTCTCAACCTGTAACATACTCTCGTAAATTTGATATCCCGTAATTATTGGGTTGTTTTGGTTTCATTTAAAGTTTATTGAAAAAGAATAATAGAATAATTCTAGGTTGATGATCTTGTGATAGTATTATATATTTTGGCTACTTCTTCCACAGACTTCTTGATACTGTATTGTTTTGAGGATTGCTGCATAGAAAAAAGCACTAAAAAATGAAAATAATGGGCTTTTTTTGCTAGGATGCAACAGCCTTTGAAAAAATATGGGCAATATATTAATTATATAGTTTTGATAGTATACTTTCCAGTAATTTTTGCAAATCAATATATACTTAATATATACTTACATTGAAAATACTAGAAACAAATGGGTTGAACAAAAAGATACTGAGAATGTTAAATATGGCGTTTGTTCCGATTTTCTTTGACTATAAAAAGGATCAGAAGAAAATAATTCAGATAAATCAGGCCATAGAATAATTAATTTACATACTCAAAGCAAAACAATTTATATGTAAACATCGATAGTACTTGTCAAGAGGTGATATAGTCTCTAGTAGAATATTGTATTACATTAATATACAGCATAAATAATATTGTAGTACATATAAAAAGAATAAAAGAAAAAGAAGACTTACCATGTCAATGACGGTAGCATGGGATGATAGTTCTTGATGCATGGCATGTTTGAGAGAGGGTTGTTCATCTATAATAAAAGTCATATTTTTTTAGATAAATATAAAAAGTAAATAAAAATAAAGTAAAGTAAAATAAAATATTACCATTTTCATGGCTGTGTTTAATTGCAGAGAGTATTTTTTGGCAATATGGCCTATAAGAAAGAAAAAAAAAGTTAGAATAATTTTACAGGATGATGGCATAAAGTATATTTATTAGCCTTGGCTAATCTGGATGGCCATTGTGAAGAGGATGCATCAGAGAAAGTTAAAACGCGAGTGTCTATGACAACATAAACAATTATTACTCTTTAGTTGTATGTATATATATAGTATTTTAAAGAGATCGTCTTACCAAAGAAAAACAGGGGGATATAAAAGTGTAAGAGAGGCAGAGTAAGTGTGTGCTTACCTATTGCAGTGAAATGAATTAATTATTTTTTTGTTTGTAAGGAAGTATTTTATTTTGCCAAGAAAATATGTCTTATCAAAAAAACGCGTGAATATAATAAAAGTTGGAAAGAGAGAGAGAAAAAATGAATTCAAGAAAAAATGAAACAAAACCAAAATCAGAAAAAAAAGAATAAAAAAGACAAAAGGACAAAACGGGAAATAGGAAGAACAAGATAAAAAAAGAAAAGAAAAGAAGTGTGTGTGTTTGAAACAAAAAAGAAAAAAAAACCAATTGAGTCCAAAAAGATAATATAATGACGGATTGTCATCCCAAAGTTACAAGAGAATATTTTTGATATATTTACAGTTACATTTAGTATACTTATATAAAGAAGTTGTTTGGAATATCATAGCACTTCTTGCTTACACACACACACTCTCTCTTCCACTTCTTCACTTGCTCACATACATACTTGCTTGTACATAAGAAATAAATCATTAATTTGAAATCAAACATTGTGAATTAAAAGTTAAAAATTAAATAACTAAAAAATATACTTTATTTAATATTATAGATCATGACTGAAATATGCCAAATTGCTTCTAATTTATCTGATGAATACAAAAATCTTTTAGCCAATATGAAAGAAATGGAAAAATCCATGGTCAATGTATGTGGTGAACTCACGACAATGCATAAAGCCATTTGTGCTGGCTTTGGACAAGGAAAGGGATCCCAGACATCTGCTTCTGTTTCTCTTGATAATCCTTCTGTTGCTGCCAGTTTCATTGTTAGAATTCCTGCTGGCATCGCTTCTGAAATCAGCTGTGAAAACAAGGACAAAGTCTTTGTAAGTATTACTACAGACCCATATCAGTACTGAATAAAATTTTAAGATTCCGCCAAATCAAGGCATCAACTTCTTTAATATTCTTACACTAGTTTGTCTATATTCACTTAACACCCCATGTTTGAAAACATATATATACTAAGATATGGCTCTTTAAAAAATAAAAATTAAATTTATTAAAAAAATTAATAATGTGTTGACCCTCCATGAGCCTTCTTCATCTCATGTAAGCGATTAGGCATTGACATGCAATGTGTCTTGCAAACGTCAGCCAGAATATTCTTCCATTCTATATGAATAGCCCTCTCCAGTTTATTAAGATTTTTTGGAGAGGGGACTCTGGCATTCACTTTTCTGGTAAGATATGCCCATAAATTCTCTATGGGGCTGAGATCTGGACTGTTCAGTGGCCATACCATCACTGGGAAGTTCTGACGCTTCTTCCACTCTTCTGCAAGCTTAGACTTATGACAAGGAGCATTATCTTCTTGGTAGATAAACTCCCCATCATTGTTCTCACTAAGAGATTCCATAAATGGAAGAAGCTTCCTTTTCATTAAGTCTATATATGCATACTGGTCAAGTGTGTTCTTTATGGTTTTCAATGGGTCAACTCCTCCTGCCCATACACAGCCCCAAACCATAATGGAGCCTCTGCCACACTGCAGTCTTGGTCTAATGAACTCTTCTCTGTATTTTTCTTGAGGATACCGCCATACTCTAGTATTGCCATCTCTGCTGAAAAGCATAAACCTTGACTTATCGCTCCAGATGACGCGATCCCATCTCTGATTGGTCTCTCTGGCATGATTAGCAAATGCCAACCGCTTCTTCTTGTGTGCTTTTGGTAGCAGTGGCTTGTATACAACTTTACAAGAAGACAATCCAGATCTACGAATAGTTTGATGAATGGTAGACTTGGAGATGGGATGCCCTAGAGTGTCAGACATGAAGGTGGTAAGACCCCCAAGTGTTGTCTCACGATTCGTCTTCATCTCATTAATCAAGTGATGCTCATCTTGCTCATCCATTATCTTCAAAGTTCTTTTTCGCTTATCAGGAAATGCGGTTTCAGTATCTCTCCATCTATTGATTGTGGAATATACTGTTGCTAGAGGTATACCATTCTTCTCAGAAATTTCAGCAGCAGTGCCATTTACTATAGCACCACCAATTATCAGTCCTCTTTGATAATCTGAAAGCTGCTTTCGTTTGGGAAGAGTTTCCTTTTTGTTTTGGTGAGACATGGTGAGATTCGAATGAGGAAAAGCTTTGAAAAAATAAATAAAAGGTAGTATAATGGTGATGCCTTGATTTGGCGTAATCTTAAAATTTTATTCAGCACTGATATGAGTCTGTATATCCACTATTTTAACCATTAACCATTTTTGTTAAATAGAAGTTGATTTGAGAGTACATGCAGAGGGACAAATTTACTTCTAATGATCCTGCCCTTGTCAGTGCCAACGAGGCAAAGCCAAGGTGGGAAACAGATGTCTTCTTTAATAGAAGCTCTAACAAGACGATCGTTGCCAATCTTCTTGGTTACCTGCCCCCAAAGTTTGTTGGGCAGAGTATAAAAACAAGCGAATTCCGTACTATGGTGCACACAAACTTCTGGAGCACAACTCGTAAGGACAGAGAAGATCCTGTGGTGATCCAGATACTCGGATGTTGGATTTATCACATATAAGAACATATTCATATTGGGATAGCGTAGTAGCTATCATCTTGTCAGTATAAAATATATATAAACGATTAAGTAATCAGCCCAATAACTATTACAGTTAGTACTGTAGATAATATCTTAAAGATTGTTAAGATAATTATATCATACTGCCGGGTAAACTGTGTCAGATCGATATGGAGCTAATTTAGTAGGAAGTCCTAAAGCTCTAGTATAAAAGAGAAAAGAATAGCTAAGAGCTAAAGAAGTACAATTTATGACTTGATGTCATAATTGTAACACCGACACTAGTTAAGCAGTAAATACACTCTAATAACTAAATATAGTAAAGGAAGAAAGCCTTAAGAAACTAAGACGTAATGACAAGAGCAGATTGTGTTTTCTTATAAAAAGGGACACTTTTTATTTATGAATAAAGACAACTTATATACAGTCTCAAAGTATTTCTATACGTCTCTATTATCAAATATTTTATTTTTCTATTGTTTCGTACCTGAAATACCACATTTTTTACTTTGAATTCTCGAAATGTCTCAACAATCCGCTGTCAACTCTACTATTGTTTCTGGTGAAGAAACCGCCCGTGTCAACTCTGGTGTCATTCCTCCTCCTTCTGCTGCTGGTTCTGCCGACCACGATGGTGATACCGTGATGACTCCCTTGTGTTCTGAGGACGGTGCCTTTGATTCTGAAGAAGGTTCTTCTGGTTCCAATGCTGGCCGTTCTGGTTATGAGGGTGCCAATTCTCATCGCATCTATTTGGGTAACTCTGGAGTCAGAGTTGACAACAACCTTGTGGCCACCGTGGAAATGTTGCTGGCTTCTGCTGAGGAGGACCTCAACACTAAGAAGGGCAACTACTATGCCGCTCTAGGCCACTACTTGGGTGTGTCCAAGAGGGATCCCACCTCTACTGCTGCCAAGTCTGCTTCCAAGGGTGCCAAGGAAGCACAAGTACTGTTTGCTGAGGCTGAGCAAATCCTCAAGGACCTCAAGGCTTCCACTGCTCCTGCGTCTAAGCCTCATGACAAGAGAAGCACTCTGGTTCCCAGTAACCTACCTTTTCTCCAGCTTCGTTCTGAGGGTCCTCTGGTGAAGGCCAACCGTGATGTGTTTGATTTGGTGTATGACTTCTGCCAGGAGTTTACCACAGTCCTGGAAGCACACTCTCTGTCCTTGGATTCCTGCTGGGAACGTCTGTTGCCCACTTGTTTGAACAAGGAAGAACGTTCTTGGTTTGAGGACAAGCTCAAAGGCAAGGCCTACAACTGGAAGAAGGCCGAAAGTATTCTTCTAGATCACTATGACACGCCGTTCCATAAGTTCCTGAACATGGGTCGTGTCTGGTGCATGAAACAAGGCAAAGGAGAATCCGCTCGTTCTTTTGGTGCCAAATTCCAAAAGTTCCGCTGCCAGGCCTCGTTGGACGATGGTGTTCAATTGGTTCTCTGCTTCTGGTGGAATCTGCGTCCGGAAGTCCGGGAAGCTTGTCTCATTCCTTTGTCAGCCAACTATGGCACCAAGATGCCCTCAAAGATTGAGGACATCATCTCGTTGGTGAGTGTGTCAACAAGTGACTCCACTGCTTTGTTACATAATCCTGCCAATGGTACTGCCGCGTCCTCCTGGAGTTCGTTTGCTGCTCACAATGGTGCGTCCTCTCTCTCTGCTGGTTCCCACAAGGGAAAGAAAAGGTCTTTCTCTCGCGAGCGTGGTTCTCAGTCTCCCAAGAAGGCATGGGACTTCAAGAAGGCGATGAAGGATGGCATCTGTTTCTCATGCAAGGCTCCCTGGGTTAAGGGACACTCCTGTCCGGAACGGGAGAAGTACTTGACAAAGTTGTCAAGGATGGCAGTCCGCTCCTCTGCTGGTAGACCAGCAAGAGCTTCCACTGTGGTTGAGGGGAGTCCCTCGTTGTCTTGGTCAGAGTACCAAGACAACACTAGTGCTCTGGCCAAGATGGCATTAGATTGTAAGTACAATCTTAAAGACATGGTTATTAAAAGAGATTTTAAGAACATGAGCACTAATATTACCTTTCCTATTTTGGCAAATAATTCCATTAGAACCATCTCCTTGTTGGACTGTGGGGCCACGTTCAGTTCGGTGGACAAGAATTTTTGCTTGAAGAATGGAATAGTCATTAGTTACATCAATCACATTAATAAAGATTTGTTGAACAAAAACAATGTTCATAAGTATTTTATTCGTTTGGCTGATAGCAATACCCAGATTAAAAGAATCGGTACTTGTGTGATCAGTGTAACTTGCAATAGTAAGACTATTCAACGCGAGTTTGAAGTGATGAATTTAACTAATAGTCATGAGTATGATTTCAGTATTGGTACTGATTATATGTCTTCTCTTGGTATTGGTATTTATGGTTTACCTTTATCATATGATGATGCTGATTCAAGTGAGGAACGTAGAGAAGCCAATAGATGCTTCAACAATAAGAGTGATCTTCTTGAATCCATTGAGAGAGAAAATGAACGAAAGGAAAATAATCCGGTTGTAGGTCCCAAACAGTTTGAGGATGCTATGGATTATATTCGACCGTTCATTAAAGACAATCAAGATATTCCTAAGGGTTCGTTTTGTACTATACCTGAAAGTGTTGTATGTTTGGACACCCCAGAAAATGCTACGGCGTTCAGAAGCCCTTATCCCATTCCTTACAAGATGCAAGGTGTAGTGGATGAACAGGTGAAAGAATGGCTGGACAATGGTATAATTGAAAGAGCGTCTGCAAACACACAATGGAATACGCCTTTGACTGTTGTCAAGAAGACAAATGGTAAAGGAGAAATTACTGGATATCGCGTTTGCCATGATCCCAGATTAATTAATTGCCTGTTGAAGTCAATTGATCGTATGCCTTTGCCATTGATCGGTGAATTGTTTGAAGATTTAAAGGGTGCGAATATTTATTCCACTCTGGATTTGAAATCTGCGTTTAATTCTTTGAGGTTGAACCCAAAGGACACACACAAACTTAGTTTCACATGGCGTGGTGTACAGTACAAACCTATTGGTACAGTGTTTGGTATAAAGCATGTCAGTTCACAATTTCAAAGAACTATGAGTATAGCTTTGGAAGGACTATCTTTTGTACGGTTTTTTGTGGATGAAATTGTTTGCGCAAGCAAAATGTTTGAGGAACACAAGGAACACTTGAAGCAAGTGATTGAGAGATTAACAAGGGTCAATTTGAAGTTGAATCCGAAAAAATGTCATTTCTTTCAGAAAGAAATTTATTTGCTTGGTTTTCATATTTCACCTGAAGGAATTACAATGGACCGCAGAAAACTTGTTAATGTTCTTGAATTTCCTCAACCAAAGACGGGTAAAGATATCCAAAGTTATTGTGGGTTGATCAACTATTTTAGAACGTTGATTCCGAATGTATCTTCCATTATGTCGCCACTAGATTCATTGAGAAATGAAAAGTCGATTACCCATTTATGGACAGATAAGCATCAAACTGCATTTAATAACTTGAAAAAAGCACTTTTGAGTGATCTGGTGTTGTCGTACCCAGATATGAACTCTCCTTTTAGTATCAGCTGTGATGCATCTCTTACTGGTATTGGTGCAGTGTTGTATCAAGTCAAGGATGGCAAGAAAAAATATATTTCTTTCGTGGCTAAGAGCTTATCCCAAAGTGAAAGAAAGTATTCTGCGACCAAAAGAGAATTACTAGCGTTAGTATTTGCACTCAAGCGTTTTCACAAGTATGTCTATGGTTCTCACTTTACCTTGTACACGGATCACAAGGCATTGACATATCTTCACACCCAACGTGTTGCGAATCTGATGATGATCGCATGGATGGACACGATTTTACAGTATGACTTTAAGATCGTTCATTTGCCTGGTGTTTCGAATGTGCTTCCTGATGCGTTGTCACGTTTATCTGAAGAGACTGAAACATTATCAAATGAACTGGGTGGGGATAGTGTGGTTAGATCCATCATGAGAAATAGTGCTGTCACTATGGAACCGCTACCAGACATCTTGAGTGGTGAGTACTTTACTCCTCCCACAGAAAATGAAAGGAATAAGTTATTAGTTGAAGAACATTTGAAAGGTCATTTTGGTGTAGAAGCTATACTACATGCCTTAAAGAGAAAAGGTATTTATTGGACCAACTTGAAGAGTCAAGCAAGTGATCTTATACAACCGTGTATACAGTGTCAACGTCACAATATCACAAGAAAAGGATATAACCCTTTAAGACCAGTGACCGCAACACTTCCTGGTGACAGTTGGGGAATAGATCTGGCTGGGCCATTTACAACGTCGACTAGAGGAAATGAGTACTTGTTAGTGATGATAGACATCGCAAGCAAATTTTATGTATTGCGTGCCATACCTGATAAAAGGGCAGCTACGATTGCGTTACAAGTACTGGACGTCATTAGTACATGGGGTCCGATGAGAAAGTTGCAGAGTGATTGTGGACGGGAGTTTGTGAACTCGCTGATGACATGTATAAAAGAGAATGTTGGTTTTGAACATGCGTTGATTTCGCAGTACCATCCTAGAGCTAATGGTGCAAGTGAAAGAGCTGTCCAGTCGGCAGTGAACACCATTAAAAAACAAATAGTTGGTAATGTCGCTGATTGGGATCAGAAGGTGCCATCTGCGCAGTTGTTTTTGAATAGCAAGTATAATGCTAGGACTAAGAGTACGCCATTCTCGTTAATGTTTGGAAGGAATCCAAATGACTTTGTCGATTTTAGTAAAGAAAAGGATAGTGCAACTGCTGAACAGATTCAGAAAGAGTTGCAAGAAAAAATTAAAAGAATGACTGAGATAGTCTACCCTGCCGTGTTTGAACACGTAAAGCATGTCACAGAAAAGCAAAAGGAACGCTTTGATGGAAGTCACAAAATGATAGATCTGGTTCCAGGAACCACGGTAATGATTTTGGTGACAAAAACAGAATAAATTAGATCCGAAGTATAAGGGATTCTACACTGTTGTTAGAAAGACTGCTGCCAATACTTATGTATTGAAAAATGAAAAGGGATTTTTAGAACCAAGGAATTATCCTCCTTCTTTATTGAAAAAAGTTTCTGACAAGGTATTAGAGCAAAAGAATGACTTTTTTGAAGTCGAAGCAATTATTGGGCATATAAAAGATGACAAGAACAATTATTTGTATAGATGCAAATGGTTGGATTATGATGAGTCTCACGATACCTGGGAGCCAGAGGATCATTTTACCGATCCTAAGTTCATAAAGGAATACTGGCAAAGAATTGGTGAAGCTCCAGAAGGTATCAAAGACATCAATAAGGCCAATAAGAAATTATTAAAGGATATGAAAGTTGCATATTCCGCACCTAAAGAAAATTCAGGTACTAAAAGGAAGAATTATGCAAAGACAGCTTATCAAAAGAAGAAACGCAGTAAGGTCTAAATAAAGAGTTATTTGAGCACCACAGTACTCGTTTAAAATAAAAAAAAAAAAAAAAAAAGAAAAAAGAACAAGCTGATCAGAAGAATTGCATAGAGTACTTGAACGGTATTTAGTTAATACCTGGGTGGGGATAATGTGGTGATCCAGATACTCGGATGTTAGATTTATCACATATAAGAACATATTCATATTGGGATAGCGTAGTAGCTATCATCTTGTCAGTATAAAATATATATAAACGATTAAGTAATCAGCCCAATAATTATTACAGTTAGTACTGTAGATAATATCTTAAAGATTGTTAAGATAATTATATCATACTGCCGGGTAAACTGTGTCAGATCGATATGGAGCTAATTTAGTAGGAAGTCCTAAAGCTCTAGTATAAAAGAGAAAAGAATAGCTAAGAGCTAAAGAAGTACAATTTATGACTTGATGTCATAATTGTAACACCGACACTAGTTAAGCAGTAAATACACTCTAATAACCAAATATAGTAAAGGAAGAAAGCCTTAAGAAACTAAGACATATTGACAAGAGCAGATTGTGTTTTCTTATAAAAAGGGACACTTTTTATTTATGAATAAAGACAACTTATATACAGTCTCAAAGTATTTCTATACGTCTCTATTATCAAATATTTTATTTTTCTATTGTTTCGTACCTGAAATACCACAGATCCTATGGTGCGAGCTGCCACTAATGCTCATGGAAGACAAGCTGCAAGAGAAACTGAAGTGAGTGTTGTTTTATATTTCATCCCAAATTCAACCATAGATTTAATATTAATATATATATATATAATTACAGCACTTCAACTGCTGCGTAATGGCATATGTGTTAAACAAGAATGTCATTGTTGCTTTAATGAAAAAAACTGTTCTGGGCTGATGATCAGATCAGTAATTTCTGAAGGCAAGTCAGAGGATGAGTTTCCTGGGAGACCTTGCAAGCGCATTGTAAAGGTTACCTGCCATTTTTGGAGAAGTGATGAGGTAAATAATTTTGCAAGAAATAATTTTCTATATTTGAATAATATTTAACATAATATATATAAATATGTTTTTAGTTTAACAACCTCATCTTCAACATTGATGAGATTGTGAAAGCAAACTTAGGTAACAACATTTGCCAGTTGTTAGACAGAAATCTCACCCGCCTGTCTGAGAAACCAGTTCCCAATGACGTCACATTATGTTTCTTTCCGTGGACCCTTAGAGATGGGCCAAAATAAAAATCATAAAATTATTGTTTATCTCATTTTATTTATTATCATCTCCACCAAATCAATGCTGACGATTTATATAGAGGCAGTAATTATTTTTCTCTGCCCTTTTTTGTTATCATCATTTACTTTACTTTTTCTTTTTTAAAAAAGAAAGAAAAGAAAGAAAAGATATTTATTATTGTTTTTTTTAAGCATAAAGCTTTTTTGGTAAGGCAATTACCAGTTTTTTTTAGACAAGTCCTGTTGTATGATTAGCAATTGCTACTTCTAAAGAGATTCTATGTACAGGCAAAATTGAATAATAGTTTAATAGCGAAGGTGTTGAACTACAAATATCAACTCTATTTTTCTCTTGTGATTTATCTCTAAGTAATGGAAGCCAGTTGACAAACGCAAATACATGTTGATCATGATGAGTAGAATCGGCTTCATAGTAGGGCGACGTTGAAGGAGGAGTAAATGAATGAATGAAGATATACTTGATTTGACAAGTGAAGGTTGTTTCTGTACTTCTATCACTGCCAAGAAACAATGATTGGACATATGATCCGCAGCCAGTGATGTCATTATTGCCATAGTACACTTGGCCAAGAATATTGATTGATTTCAACTTTATAATCTGATTGTCAACAAAGAATGGAGAGGCAAAAGCATTTTGATAATGGACGAGATCAGGAGTGAGGTATGCAAGTTTGTAGTATTCCAACAAATGGGGATAATCAATATCACCCATTGAAGAAGATTTACTAACTGAAAGTGGGAAGGATGTAGGTGGGAGAGGTTCGTTGCCTAAGATACTGGTTTTATCCATTCAATTGGCGCCCATTTCCATCTAATTAGCATCCGTTTCCATCTAATTAGAACCCATTGACATCTGATTGGCTTCCATAGAAATTGAATTTGCGTCCATTGCCAACTGAATTTGCTCCCATTGCCATCTGAATTTGCTCCCCCCCTTTTACTATTGGCGGAAGGGTACATGGCACTCAATTTTTTTATCCTTACGCCTTACAATTTTTTTTATATAACCGTAGTATTTTTTTTTGTAAACGTTGTATTTTTTTTATATAACCGTAGTATTTTTTTTTGTAAACGTCGTACTTTTTTTTTGTAAACGTCGTATTTTTTTTTTGTAAACGTCGAATTTTTTTTATATAACCGTAGTATTTTTTTTTGTAAACGTCGTATTTTTTTGGCATAAAACATGGATATTTTTATTAGGCATAATTAGTTGATAGAGAAATAGAACACATAATAAGAAGTAAGATATAATGAAATACAAAGTAATAAAAAAAGAAAAGCATAAAGCAGTAAAATAAATAAAAAAAGAGGGACATAAAGTGGTAAAAAAAAATAAGAAAAAGAGGGACATAAAGTAGTAAAAAATAAAAATAAAATAAAAAAAGACATAGAGTGTAAAGAGCTTAAATAGACATAAAAGACATACTTAAAGCTTTCGCTCTCTGTTCAAACAGCGAGGAAAGAATGAAATGGCATGGTTAATCCAACCCAAACAGTCCGAAAGGGTGACAGTCTTAGCTGATTCTGTAATCCTTAAGATGAGCCCGTCTGACTCTGTAATCTCTTCTCTGCGGACACCAAACTTGATCTTGGACCACATTTCCTCAATTGGATTCAGGAAAGGTGAATACACAGGAAGATATGCACACTTGTACCCACGGGAAGAAATAAAGTCTTTCACCTCATCGGCCTTATGGATAGGAGCGTTATCCATGATGAGATAACGTCCTTGCATACCCTGGCTGTCCAGAACGTCCATTGTATGACTAAGAAAGTCGAGGTAGTGCTGGGTTCTGGTGCCAATTCGACCGTTCACCTCAACGTTGGTGTAGATGTCCAACTTTCTCTTCTTCTTGGTTGCGACTGCAGTGGGTTTCTTCAACGAGAGGCTGACGATCCCTCTCTCGCACATTGCACCAAGGATGGTGATGGACACACCTCTCTGCGTCGGGACAGTTGTCTTTGCTGGGGTGCCACTGACGGAACGGCCAAAAGTTCTCTTGATGTGCATGTTGAAGCCTGCTTCATCGATGAACACACAGTTCGACAGATAGTTGAAATCCGCAAGTTGTTGCCACTCCAAAATGCGGTCTCGTCTCATCTCAATTGTGTTGGCGTCGTCTCTCTTCTCAGGCAGCTTCTCCAACTTCTTCATCGTCAGGGCACACTTCTTCACCAAGTGCTTCTGGATTGCTGATTTGGTAATCTGCAGCCCAGAGAACTCTTCCATGACAGCTATCCTTGCTTGTTCCAAGGTAGCATCTGGTTTATTTTCGAAAAACTTCAAAAAAAAAGCAGAGTGCGCCTGGAACAACTTTTGGTTGCCATGTTTTCGTTCTTTAGGCGCAGAAACCTCCTCAACCTCCATCGTCTCCAGCCCATTGGACTCATCAGTCTCCACTGTGGCAGCATCAAAATCGGCCTGGATCTTCTCTCTGGCCAGCCTGACATAGTTCTGGGCAGTCCGGACATTGATCCCCGTTTCCCTGGCAGCGGCAGCAGCAGTCTGGTTTTCCGAGAAAACCAAGGAGAAGAGCTTGTTCACCTGGTTTTGGTTGTACTTTCGGTACGAACCTCGACCTATGCTTTCTGCAGTGGGAACAGAATCAGGATCGACCTTCTCCGGCAGATTCGTCTTCGGCTTCTGTGCAACAATTGTCTTGGTTGTGGCCTCGTTGACTTCGGTTGGCAGGAAACTTTTGAGACTGAGGAGGTTTGTGACTGCTGGGTTTCCGGCCGAGGTACGGGTCCATTCCATATCGGCATGGTTGACAAAGACATCTGTCACAGATCGGAGTACAACTTCTCCATGCATTTCGTCGACAATCTCTTGGTTGAAATCGCACAAGGGGTCGAAAGCAATTCCAGAAAACTGGGTTTGGTCTGCAGAACCGCTGTGACTGACCATTTCACAGTGCTTGTCCATAACAAATTCGAGGGAGTTGTTGGAAGTAGGCATTTTTTTTTGAAAATAAAAAGGGTGTTAAAATTGAGGAAGAAAGATAACTGAGAAACTTTTATTAAGACACTGGGGTATATATACCAAAAAAAAATATATTTTAATAACTTAAACGTTTCTACCAAGGTATAGTCTTGTCCTGTTGTCTTAATATATTTGGATAAAGAACGTGTTGAAGAATAATGAATGTTTACATATTAAGCTTCTTCACACTTTTAAGAACATTTATTTTATTAGCCGATTTACAGTGCTACCAGAGCCTTTATGGTGTCCTGTCCTCTGTCTCGAAGGAAGGGGTGGGATTTCTCCTCATGGGTTTGCCCAACCAAAAAAAAAAATAAAAAATAAAATAAAAAAATAAAAAAAAATAAAAAAAAAAAAAATAAAAAAAAAGAAAGTTTTTTTTTGTATAGAGCCAAGGAAAAGCTCGAAATTCAGTTATTGAGATTTTCAGTTTTTCAGAAATTTCTGCGGTTAGATACCATTTTATTTTCAGTTATTAAGATTTTCAGTTTTTCAGTTATTGAGACTTTCATTTTTTCAGTTATTGAGACTTTCAGTTTTTCAGTTTTTCAGTTTTTCAGAAATTTCTTGCAGTAAGATATCATTTTATTTTCAGTTATTGAGACTTTCAGTTTTTCAGAAATTATTTGCGAAAAAATGGTTATGTATATTATAAAAATTTATGAATAAAAATGCTAGTTATACTATTTGGAGAATTATTTTTAAAATTGCTATTACATTTTTCTTTTTTTTATTTCTCTTTTTTTTTCTTTTTTTTATTTCTATTTTTTTTATTTCTTTTTTTTTATTTCTTTTTTTTTTTATTTCTATTTTTTTTATTTCTTTTTTTTTATTTCTTTTTTTTTTTATTTCTTTTTTTTTTATTTCTTTTTTTTTCTTTTTTTTTATTTCTTTTTTTTATTTTTTTTTTATTTTTTATTTTTTTTTATTTCTTTTTTTTATTTTTTTTATTTTTTCATCTCTTTTTTTTTCATCTCTTTTTTTATTTCTTTTTTTTGTCATGAGCTTGTGCTATTTTTTGTTACTGTTTTTGTGTGTGTAATATTTGGGTTTTTTTTGGTATTTTGTATCATGAGGGTTTCCAAAATTGAGATCGGGTAGTATTGTGAGCAAAGCATAATTCTTGGACCGCTTTCAGTTGTTTAACAGATTGTTGGACATTTACTTGTTTCGAGTGCAGATTACAAAGAGTTGTTGAGTTTGATATTAAGAAGATCAGGATTCTGACATTGTAAAATGGTTGGAGCAGGTGCTGAATAAATATAGCATTTTTGGATTCTTTTTTGTAATGGTATTAGATGCTTGTGTAGGACCAGGTTCATAAGAAATACAATTGCTGTGGTAGTCAATCAGATTACTGGATATTTGAGATAAAAATTGGCAAGTTTTTGTGTGGTCGGTAGAGTGAATTCTACTGTTGGATTTCGAAAAAGTATAGTTGGTGAAATGCACTTAAAAGCATTATGAATATGTGTAGACTGGTTCCTATCGTACAGGTAGATGTTTGATCTTGTAGTTTCTTTGTAGGTGGAGGGTTGAATCGTCACGTTTTCTTTTCAGATTTATAGCTTTTGTTCAAAATACTATAGATTATTTAGAGATTAATATCAATGACTCCGAGGTATAGGCTTTATTTACATACAGAAACATAATGTGATCTGGAAATAATAAAAAAATCCATGAGGTGTAGAGCTTTAGGCAGTGTTTTCATTGTCAGAGTAATATTTAGTTGTTGAAGTGAGCATGAGAATGAGATTTATTGCTGATTTAAGAAGAGAAATAAACAGTTTTGGTATATAAACACCAAATGGAAAGAGAGAGAATTATGATATCTCTTTTAAAAAAGAATGTTTATAATAAATTTATGGCTGCGGGTAATATATTGTCCTATTTATTTTTTATCTCCTTGAGTTCAATTTGTACTACTTTATTTAGTGGACCTTGGAATATTATTTTTTGATATAAAAAGCTGAAAATATAATGACTAATACTATTTAACAACAACTCAATCTTCTTTACATCTATTCTTGCTGCTTCAACTTGTGTTCTGATTTTTATCTTGCATCTTAAGTAATTACTATTTAATTATAACTGCTATGTGCTAGATATAACTATATTTATATAAAATATGTCACTTTAACATATCTTCCTATTTCTTTATTTTTTCACCTTTTATTATCAGAAAACCCTACAATATTACACGAAAAACTTGAAGAATATAACAGTGCCTTTGAAAAAATCATGGAAGAGCTTGAAGAGCCTGAAATGCCAGAAAATCCAAAAAGTTCTGCCCCGTCAACAACAGACGAAACCCCCAAAAAAAGTAGAGGGCAATATCAAAAGCCTACGGATAAAGATATAAAAAAGCTTCTTTATCTCTACTTCATAAGGGGATTAACTATCGAAAAAGCCAGCAAGATAGTAAATATGAAACAAACAACTGCTGGTGGCTATATTTTGAAGTGGAGAAAGTCTCCAGTTGTTTTTTTCATTAAAAACAACAAGGAGGCTACAAGTGACAAAAAAATGAATCTTTTATTCGAAACTTACTCTGCAATAAAGAAAGCATACAAATAATATCATTGCATTTTCAATTTTAACATAATTATTATAATGAGATACTTGCTTTATTATCTTATAACTGCAGTAAGGTATTTAACTTTAACAAAGTAATCTGGAGAAAAGTTTGCATATTCTGTTAGTTCTCTCTATAGATATTTTCTATGACGTATCTTTGTAGAAAGATCTACATATATTGAAGTGCTATTACATTAGGCGTTTGGCACTTATATAAAAAAATATGGCAGTTATATAAAAAAAATACGACGTTTACAAAAAAAAATACTACGGTTATATAAAAAAAATACAACGTTTACAAAAAAAAATACTACGGTTATATAAAAAAAATTCGACGTTTACAAAAAAAAAGTACGACGTTTACAAAAAAAAGTACGACGTTTACAAAAAAAAATACTACGGTTATATAAAAAAAATTGTAAGGCGCAAGGATAAAAAAATTGAGTGCCATGTACCCTTCCGCCAATAGTAAAAGGGGGGGAGCAAATTCAGATGGCAATGGGAGCAAATTCAGTTGGCAATGGACGCAAATTCAATTTCTATGGAAGCCAATCAGATGTCAATGGGTTCTAATTAGATGGAAACGGATGCTAATTAGATGGAAATGGGCGCCAATTGAATGGATAAAACCAGTAGTAATTCTGGCAGTTTCAGAAGAATTCACAAATGCTTGCAAAATGAATGGTGGCTGAACAATTGTGGAGGAGGCAGATGTCAAGGTAAGGACAGGTATGGATGAACAGACAAGTTTGAAAAGGGCAGAAAGAAAGGGAGCTTGAGTGGGACATGTGAGAGCAGAATTAACAAAATCACTTTTGTATATATCTTCAACAAAGCATCTCATAAATGTGGCTTCAAAACCATCCCTGCCATTTGTGCTGATATTCTTGAGTAGACTATTGTATCTCTCAAATGCAATGAGCCAATAACTATACACTGGTCCAAAATTGAGAATAGTTTCTCAAAGATGGAGGTGTAAGTGCATATTACAGGTAAGGATTGTAGTGGTGTAAATTTCGTTGCATTTTTCACAAAACTTTTCAAGATGTCTATGGGCGGTATTAATATCATCAAATGTAAGGCTGGGCTTTACAAGGTGACGGCATGCATGGACAAAATCAATCCAGTTATTGAAATGCAAGGATGAGAGCACCGACTTCAACACCACAGGAGAATATACTGATACCCACGACTTCTACTCGTCTGCTTTCATAAATGCAAATTTTTTGTCAATTTTGCTTTTCAATGCAGTATATGCCCTTGGTAAAATCATCTTATCAGCTATCTTTTGCATGGCAGTGAAATCTCTGTCTCCAAGAACACCACGTTCAATCTGCTGGTCCATCATTCTTTTTGCTGTCCCCAAGAACAGGTTGTGCATGGGATCAATGATCGTTCCACGTACTAGATCAAAGTATCCAAGGCGGTGCAACTGCGACCATCAAACACCATTTTCGATTTCCAGATTCTGCCTTTCTGAGATGGTAACTGCGTTCTTCCCCTCCTCAGTATGCAGCCTATTCTCCTCACAGTTATGACGACACCACTTGGACTCTTTAAATCCACGGAAATCAACCTTGTTTGTGCTGTCAAGGCGACTGAAATGACAGTTGCACTTAAAGCATGTGCAAGTGCTATTATGTGCAGTAAATCCGCTGGTCTTTCTGGCAGCTGGGATGTCGCAGGCAACCATCATCAATGCAGCACGAATCACTTTGCTAGCAGGAGACTCGAATGTTGGGATTCTTACCCCACGATACAGCTGTATCAACTCATCTACCATTGGCTCAAGATAGTTATTTATCTCATCGGTTTTAGGCTCCTTGGGACCAGTCATAAGTCCTACGAGGATTATGTTCTTGGCTTTAAACCAGTCACTGCAAGACAAGTTGTTAATGGCCAAGTAGATTGCACCACAGGAGTATGTAACTTTATTGAACAGCTGGAACCAGTCAATATTGAGTGTCAGCATCAGCAAACAAGGCTGCGCAACGAATGAAGCACCATTACTATCCTTGAGTTCTTTTCTGACCACACTGTCATACACATTGCACATTGTGTCTACTAATTTTGGCTCTGTATTCCATTGACGTATCTTTTCTTCAAAGCCTGGATGATTAAAAAGAATCTTGAACGTATTTTTGATGGACTGGTAATAGAAAATACGCTTGGGAATCAAAACACCAGACGAAGATTTCTTTGTCAATTCACAGTTACAAGCTGCACAAGCACCTGTCTTTACAAAGACGCAGCAAGAAGGAACAGATTGATTTTCTTTGTAAATTGCATGGCAATCCTCACAGGCCACAAATCGTCTTATGCCCTTGGAGAGCTCACAGAATCTCATCATATGCTGAAGACCAGGCAGATTCGTGGGAAGCTGGAAGTCCTGCTCGTAAATCTTCAAGAGCTTGTTGATGAACTCAATCAAGACAACTGTGCCCTTGTTGACCACGTAGCGGGATGCAAATAGCACAATGAATGTTGCAATAAATCTGTGTACAGGATTCTCAGACATATTGCTGTTTGAAAACATGTCTATTTAAAAATATAAAAAAAACTTCATTTTTTTAATTTTTTTTTAGATTTTTTTTTGACTTTCATACAAATATTCAGTGTCGACTTCTTCAACATCAATATCAACAGTATCTTTGACATTCTCATTGCTCTCATACTCAAAGTCCATGTCATTGAAATCAACATCGATCTCATAGTCAACTGACATAGGAGAGATATCCAAAACAGGTAAGTCAGACTGATGTGCAAGAACTTCTATGGATCCAGATTCTTGGACTACAATAGCTACAAATATGGAATATAATAAGAAAGTTGTTTTTTTTGATACCCAAATAAAAATGTCTTACACTCCGCATCAAAGTTCATTACATGTCTCTGCGCACCTGTGTTTAATATAAAAGCTATTAATATATAAAAATGCAAATTTTATATTGTAAATGACATAACAAGTTCACTTCTGATAGCATCTTTTAAAGCTGCTTTCTTGCCATGACGCTGGGCAGTTCTCTTTGACACTAAGGTGTATCCATTATAATTTTTAATGCACTCAGTACAATAGCACTCTTCAAAGTTTTGTTTGATAGTAGAAGACATGACATCTGTGTTTTTTTAATAATGAAATAAAAGGGAAACAGGTGTTACATTTATCAATTCACGAAGACTTTATAGTAATAAATAAAATAACTTTTGTTGCTTGTTATATCCGAGCTAATAGAATGTATTAAAAGCAGGTTTTTTTATTTGAACACAAAAAGTGGTGCTGAGATGAAATATACTCTACATATACACTATCACTGAATTATTTTGGCACTAGTGTATTCAGGGGTGTTTTTCCAGTGATATCATTGCTGTTGTTATTGTCAGAAGAAGTGTACGAGATGTTAGATATTCTGGGCATGTTGAAGAAATAAAGTGATTGAAGGTATGTGAGTGTGTTTTTTTTGTATTTTAAGATATGCAAGTGTGTGTAAATGTGTGCTTAAAAAGAGTTTATATAGTCAAAGCTCAGTATAATGATAATGGTGGTGGACAGAAATTTTATCACTATCACTATATCAAGCATGATTTTTATTACTCCAATACAGATTTTTTTAGTGATAATATATACTCCGACGTATGTGACTGCTATTATTATTATAGGATTTTCATATCAAATTCGCCGTATAGGACAAAAATTTAGACGCAACTGCAAAAAAATCGTCACTAATGCACTATCAAATTCACTAAAAATACAATATCAAATTCGCCACATGCAGTATTGAAATAGCCATGGATACAAATTAAAAAAAAATTATTATAGATTTTTTTCCATATTGATACATCTACTGTGGAATGAGATACTGTGTCTCACCCAACCTTCGCAATCTTGCCTGGTTATTGTGTTGTTTCCATCCTTGATTCTTTTTACAAGCATTTCCTGGCCATTCAGAGGGTGCTTTTTAACAAAATTTTTCAATTTTGAAAAACACTTCTCTACTGGGTTAAGGAAAGGAGAATAAGGAGGAATAAACTTTAGCTTGTGCAGGTTTCTTTGCTCCAACCACTCTCTAAGACCAAAGTTGTAGTAGATTCTTGTATTATTCACAACAAAATTATATGGTTCAGCATTGACTGCATCTAACTTTTCAACCAACTGTTGAACAAATTCTTTGAAAATTGGGCCTGTAAATTAGTGTTAGTAAAATGATGAAGGTACTCATAAGCATGTATGTAAGATATACAGCAAAGCAATACTTGTGTTAGAAATTTTTACCAGCTGTTCCACCTTCCACTATCTTTGCATTACATGATTCAACTCACTCAGATAACAAAGCAAAAAGAATTGTTACATTTTTGGCTCTTTTGGATTTTGTTGGCATAAGAGCATATTCTTCTGCCTTCACTCTGGCACGTCCCTTGACCAAGTTAAAATTAAAGCCAGCCTCATTGATAAAAATACAGTTTTGGCTGTAAAAGATTTCTTTTGGCTGCAAACTTTAGATAAAGTTGTGTCTTTTTCTAAGAGTCACTTTGTTGTCCGTCTTCTCCTCAATTGGTGTTGCTCTTTTGAAAGTGATTCTCTCAACATAGTAGAGATGATTACATAGGGTGAGATACTTATTTTCTCTAAGTCATCGAAGTGATTTACTAGCTTTTGCTGTAGCTCTGCTAGAGTGATAGTATTGTTGCTATCAATTATATCCAGAATAAACTGTTTGTGATGATCTTTGATAATTGTTCTAAAATCACTACCCAGAGACTTGTACTCCACACTTCCAGTTCTCTCAAATCTTCCAATTATTGAGTTCATGGTTGAACGCAGAATGTTGAGCTCCTTGGAAATTTCTGATGGAGCTTTCAACTGGTTCTTGCTCTTTTCAATTATCAGGTGACGGATGTGAGTTGAATGAGTGGCATCACTGTATTTCATTCCCTTTCTCAATTTTGTATGCAGGACTGGAGTTCTTTCTGTATCAGACATTGTAAGCTTTTTGAGAGATAGGTGTAGAGTTGGTTTTTGAATATAAAAAGAAAAAAGATATGAAGGTTGTACAGATTTTTATTTATGCTTTTTGTATATTTTTTATATTAGTAAAACATATACTATTCACTGTAAATTACGTAAGATATAAAGAGAATAATATACTTTACACATCTTTTTGTTCATTTGAATTTTCAATTGTAAATCAAATCAAATTAACAAACTTGCATATCATAAATTTGCATTCATAACTATTTCAATACTGCATGTGGCGAATTTGATAGTGTATTTGTGACGATTTGTTTTGCGGTTGCATCTAAATTTTTGTTTCATATGGCAAATTTGATATGAAAATCCTGTATATCAGGCTCTGATATTATACTTTCTTTTAGATTATACAGAAAATTTTATTTTTAAAGCACATGGATATACTATTAGTGATATCAAAGCTCTTTTCAAAAATAACAAAATATAATTGATTTAAGAATATAATTGACAGAATCTCTTGTTATTGATTTAAACTCTAATACCAATTAGATGTTCCTGACAGCTATTATGAATAAGTTTTTATTTTCTATTACTATATTTTATTTAATATTGATAAATGCTTTAATATAAAAAAGATGTCAAAACACATGTTTGTATCTTTATCTTTATTGATAAAAACTCTGCACACACACATATATACATACAGTCAAAGCTCAATTTAGTAATATTTGATTTAGTAATAATCGCGATTTAGTAATATTTTTTAGCATTTTTATTCTCAGTCACATAGAGCAAATCTGCAATATTGCTAAAAACATATGTGGAGTAAAAAAAATACATTTGATTTAATAATAGTAATGCAATTTGGCTTCTTCCAAAAGTATTACTAAATTGAGCTTTGACAGTATATATTTCATATCTATTTTTTAATATACCAAAACAATTAATCAATCTTTCATTATTTTAGAACAATGACTCCAATGGAAAGAGTTATGTTCACTTAACTGGAAAGCAAAAGCTTGAGATCTGTGAACAAGCAAAGCTTGAATTTAGTTAAGAACAGCTTAGGTCATAGGCCAAAAATCAATTCAAGGTGCCAAGCTGTCATATCAAAGATCTTACAAGAAGAAGATCAGTTGCTAAAGAAAGATGAGTATAAGCTCAAGACAATGAGCAGCAGAAGGACAGATTATTCTTAGATCAAAAAAGATATTCAAAAATTCATCAATGACATGGCAGCACTAAACAATTCTGCCAATGGCAATGCAATCAAGATGTATACCAGAATGATTGCTGTTACACGCTATAATATACTAACAAAGGATTTGCCTAACTTCTCTGATAGCTAGGTAGCAAACATTAAGAAGAGACTTGGCTTCAAAAGTCGAGTTACAGTAGTTCCTCAATAATTTCAAGGCCTAGAGAAGGCCAGGTGCCTTGAAATTATTGAAGAGTGAAATTAACGAGTTCGGAGTATATATTTTCCGCTAACTATAGGCGGAGTTTACAATATTTTTTAATAGAAAAAATATATATCAAGTAATGATTTGATATGCTTTAATCCTCTGTTTAAATTCATTCTACTTAAATATAATCCTTGGCTGTATTACTGTTTTCCATTCCCTCTGTCTCTTAACCAATTATTGTTTCAAATTCTTATTCTACTATGACAAGAAAAAGAGTCATTTTAGAGATCACTTTAGGGACTTTTTTTTCATTTAGACCTCTGTTTTGACCCTTTACTTTTATAGAATAATATGTATTTTCACTATATCATGAATGTGTAGTTTTATTCACATGCCACTATATATAATCTCTCTTTTATATCTGTCTTTTTATTAGGAGATTTGAAAGAACTTTGCTTGGCTCATCACCTTTAATTGGATACTGTATACTTCAGACAGAATTTATAAATATAAATAATTGGTTTTTTTAACAGTACAGCTATCTTAATTGGTGCTTACTTCTCAAGCTTTTGTTTTACTAAATTTTATTAGATAAAAGCAGCTTATTTTATAGTTTCTTCTTAAAAGCAGTTTTATTATTGGTTGTTACAAGACATAAACTTGTTTATAATCGTTTTTACTGGTTGTTAAAAGATATAAAATCATTTATTGCTTATTATTATTGATCATTAGAAGATAAAAAAAAACATTTATTATTTGCTTTCATTGATTATTATAAGACTTAAAGCATTTATTAATTATTATTATTGGTTTATATATGATAAATAAATGTTTATTAATTAATATTAGAGAGGGTGACTACTTGTTCATTTTTGAATAAGTTTATGAAAATCATCCAAACGGGGTTTTAATTTTTGATATTCTGCACATTCTATTTTGGTAATCTTTTTATTTCCTGTACCTTTTGCACACCGGACAACCAGAATTTGAATTTCAGAATTAAGCCACATGTTATCTTTGCATTTTCTTAAAAAAAACGCAAAGATATAGAACCAAAATAATGACATATTAAGATAGCCAAGAATACAGCTTAAATTTATACTTACATATATTTCCAGATATACAATGTTAAGAAGATGATAGGAATAGTTATATATTGTGAGAACAATTGTAAATAAACGAGAAGATTTTTTATTAATGACATTGTGTATTTAAAGTTCTAAAATGAGCTTCATATTTAGCTTTGATTTCTTGAAAAGCCTTTATGGGAGCAGCATATGCTGCTCTGATAATCTCTGCTTCCTCTTCTGTAGCATACTGCATCAGTTGATATAAGTCTTGCTCATTATGTCTAGTTGTTAACAAACAATTCTTTGCATACTCAAATGCCTCTATGGCATACCCATGCCCAGTTCTCTCCGTTGTGTCATCAATTGACATAGTGTTGTCATTAACAAACTGCTCACCAGAAATTGTGATTGGCAGCACATTATTTGCAGGAAGCACAGACAAGAAAGCAAAGCCTGACATATGGATATGGAGCAAATGCATATGCTTACAAGGCTTCATGTACCTAGCCCAAGAATAACACATACAAGAAAGAATAACATTGTTGTTGACTTCAACTTGATAGGTAATACCATCTTTCACTGGAAAAATAAGGTGATTTCATCTATGGCGTAGGGTACTATTAATTGTGGAGTGGTAGCTTAAATTTCCATCACTTTTGTCTTTTTTATTTTCAATGGCAATGATAATGCTTGGTCTGTTTTATTGGATAAAAAAACGAGTTTACTCTTTTTTGTAAAAAATGTCTGCAAGATTTCTTTTTGGGACTTGTAGCCATGTTGCAGAGTCAATAGCTGTAGGGAACTTAAACCAAATGATATCTTTTGAGTGAGATAATAAAGCTTTTTATTGTTGTAATATTTATTTATAAGTATGATGAGGTTAATGGTCGTGATATTACTACAAATATTTTTGTTGTATATGCTCTACAGCCAATAAAATGTACATGACGACATGTTTTAACAAAAGCGTGTATTATTGTATTTTAGAATGAGGCAATCAATTACTGTTTAGAGAACTGCCCATTTTAACAACCGGAATAAACTATGTCATTTTGGAAGCTGGTATAATTTGGAAAGATATATATTAAATTGTGTTCCTGAACAATTTTCTATTCTTGTCAATTCTAAAGACTTAAAAAATAAAACACACGCACACAATATGTCAAACAACAACAACAATTCAGAATGCAAGTGCTCTAAATGCTCTTCCAATAGCATGGGATTTGTTTTGGTGTCTACCCAAACAGTCAGAAGACATGCACAACAGGATATCGTGAGACAATATCAGTCAGGATCTTCTTGTAAGTTCAAATTTAAGAAAATTATTATTGAGACAATTTTAATTAAATATTTATTTTCATATAATATAGCCTCAGTTATAGAAGTAATGTCGAATGACAATGACATGGAGATTGACTTTGAAGACAATGTTGATGCCGAAGATCAAGTTGAAGGTATGCATAGTATTTTTATTAAAGTTTTATAATCATTTATAATATCTAATAATTTGATTCTTTTTTACCTAACAAAACAGCCGAAGATTTACCTCTTTTTGACATTGATTCCTTGTTTGATTCTGAAAGCGAAGATGAGGGTGTCATTGAAGCAACCATTTTGGATATTTCTGATGATGAATCTGATGATGTTAGAGGTTAGTACAAAAAGCACATATAAATCAATAAAGTCAACAAGTATTGATTTTTTTTTCAAATAGAGCACTTTTCTTCATCCAATATGCCAGTCGATCCTACTCATGCTTTCATTGCTTCTTTTGCTGCCTTCTTCATATCCAAATATGTTGTCAATTCTGGTGGTTCTGTTCTGTTAAAGTTTCTTAATGAAGTATTGGCACACTTTGGACAGTCTTTCCGTCTTCCCCTCAGTATAAACAGTGTCAACTCTATGACCGGTCTCAGCAACATGACTCAAGGTGTCCAGCGGTTTGTTGCATATGGCAATTGTAACAAAGTATACAAAGAGTCCAATATTGTTCCAGAGTGCTGTAATTTTGAGAGACTCTCTGGTAGAGAATGTGGAAACGCTCTTTTCTTTGCAACATCAAGAGCCTTGACTATCCCCAAAAAGATCTACATATATAACTCCATAATCAAAACATTGTCTATCCTTTTTTGCCACCCTGAATTTGAAGACACCATCAACCATTGGAGAATCAGAGGGCAAGTTCCAGGCATGATGTTTGACATTTATGACGGTACGAAGTGGAACAGTCTGAAGGATAGCAATGGTTTACCATTTGTGAATCATGAGCGCTCTATAATGCTTACCATGAACATCAATTAGTTTCAACCTTTCGATGGGGTCACTTACTCCTGTGGTGCAATATACCTTTGCATCAACAACTTGCCAAGATTGGAACAGTACAAGAAGGAGAATGTTGTTCTTGTCGGTCTCATACCAGGGTGCAAGGAAGCAAAGACAAGTGAGATCAATCACTACCTCCATCCCCTTGTCACGGAACTCAACCAGTTGTATGGCGGTGTGGTGATGCCTACCATACAGTGCCCATCTGGTGCTCTTGTCCGTGCTGCCCTTCTTCTTGTTGCCTGCAACATTCTTGCTGCCTGTAAGACTTGTGGGTTCACCTCTCATTCAAGCACATGTGCATGCAATAAGTGCAACCGACAGTTCCCTTGCCTTCCAGACTCCAATGCTGTGGACTACTCTGGGTTTGTGTTTTCTGAGTGGGTGCCTTGCACTGATGCCAAAAACCGCCGTGATGCCAAGTTGTGGAGAATGGCCAGCAGTGATGCACAGAGAAAGAGATTGGAGAGAGAAAATGGTGTCCGATAGTCAGAATTGCATGACCTGGTTTACTTTAACCTTGTGGAGTGCACTGTCATCGATCCGATGCACAACCTGTACCTCGGAACAGCAAAGAAGATAATGGAGAAATGGAGATCTTCAGGTCTCATCACAGATGCACACTTGGCTGAAATGCAGTTGGATGCTGACAAGCTTGTACTGCCAGAGGACTACACGCCATTAGGGACAAAGATTGGGCGTGGCTTCTCATTCATGAAGGCCAACGAGTGGAAGTCTTGGTGCTTGGTGTACTCTCCTGTTCTCCTGCGTGGTCATCTACCTGAAGCTCATCTTGGTAACTGGACAACGTTTGTCAATGCATGCCAAGCATATCCATGGCTCACCTTGATGAAGCTCATCAATCATTGGAGGCTTTCTGCAGAGAGTGCGAGAAGTTGTATAAAGCCTCATTCCTTTTGCCAAACATACATCTCCATCTTCATCTGTGAGAGACTGTACTGAACTTTGGCCCGGTTTATGGCTATTGGCTTTTTAGTTTCGAAAGTTGCAATGATATCTTGAAAAACTATGCGACAAATAGAAAAGATGGGTTTGAGGGAACCTATATGAAGAAGTATTTTGAAGAAGCATACCAGGAAAATCTTATTCACCAAACTTTGCCAATAATTTGACCTGAGTATTCAGCAATCATCCTTGAGCTCACTGCATCCACTGCCAATTCCATAGCCACTTCCACATCTACTGCCACCTCAATCCAATTCGATATCAATGCTTTTCTTGATTCTCCTGAGATCAACTTTGATATTGTCAAGGGAAACAAGCCTTTGCCCCCTTCTGCACTTCTTTTAGCTCTAAAGGAGGAGATTTCCATGGATGAATCCGAGTATGAGCATTTGTTGGAATACTATTGCGAGACATATGATGATTAAACTCTTGTTCATTATTGTCAGGCTGGTCATTCCGATAATTTTGTTAACAATTGGATACAGAAGCTTGAATCAATCAATATTCTTGGGCAAATCTACAAGAGCAAAACGAAGAATCAGTGCGGGTCGTTCATGCAAGCCTTGTTCAAGACAAGTGATAGTAGAAGTACCAAGCCATACGCGGGCCAAATTCAGTACCTCTTTGTCAATACTGCTGTAAACTCGTTTGCTGGTCATGCGAGCCAGCATGTATTTGCATATGTACAATAGTACAAGGAAGTTTTACTTCAGCCCAGAGCAGGAGAAGGAGTTAAGGTGAATGAGGTGGGGTTTGAAGATGACAGCATGAACAGCATTCTCTCAGTGCATAGAATCTGCTATCCAGTTGCAGTAGGCAAGCACCTTAGTCTAGAAGGCGAAGTTCAGATGTGTGTAGTTTCTTTGCCATGAAAAATATATATTTAGATTCAAATACAAAAATAAAACACGTATAAAAAAGAAATATTAATTAATACAGACTAATATATATAGCTGCACATTTATTTTTTATTATTTCTATAAATTTTTGTTTGTATTTGGCATGCTATACATACATCTGTATACATCATGCTAATCCGTAAACATAAACAAGTAGAAAAAAGTCTCTAAAATAGTTGGCAAGAAAAAAATGATTTATTTTGAAAGTACCAATCTGGTAAAGTGACTGCCAAATTCTCAGGAATGCTCACTTCTTTCTCATAAGAGATGTGCTTTTTCAAGCTTTCTGAATTTTTCTTCAAACGGATAACAGTAAGTTCATCAATAGTACTAATAAACGTCTGGAGCTGGTTTAAAGAATAAATAGTATTAATAAAGTATTATTATTTTCTTTAAAACATAAATAGATGTTTAATATTACCTCATCAGTTCTTCAGCTGGAACGATATGCCTGCACTTTGTTATCTCCATCCAACTCGCCATCAGATATCACGTCAATAGAAAGAATATTTCTGCAATCATATCAATTCATGCCCTTATGAATAGCCTCTGTGTATGTCTGGTACGTGATAATACAACGGTCAAGAAGCTACCAAAGAATATTGTATTAAAACATTAAATCAATAGTAAATTAACTTTATTTTAAAACTTATGGTCTTCTTTCTGTTGCGTCTTCTTCCAGCTTTATTTCTAGCCATAATCTTCTCTGCTGAGGTCTGGAAGACTCGCACTTGATTTTGGTAGTTATTCTTTATTATATTCATAATGACACTCTTTGACACATTTGTGCAACATCTTTGAGGTCTCAGGTACTTGAAGAGAGCCAGTGCAAGTGTCTTGTTGTACTTATTGCCATACGTGCCAGTCATTGACCATGCTGATCTATTATTATTCTCAGCAACTTTAAGCAGGTCTGTGCTAACAAAGTTTGGTTTCTTGATGTAACTATTGATAAGTTACTATAAAAACAGTATTAGATATATTAATTAGTAATGTTATTATTATCAATTTACTTACAGAAATCAAGGGATGATGTTTTGCTCCAAGGTCAAGATCATCATCCATGGAAGAAGAAGAATCCGCCGGTACAGCAGAAGGCATCATGGAATTTTGGCCGGTCATTGCCTTTTTTATTTTGGCATTTGCAGTCATGAGCTGAAGGACCGAGTTCTTCAAAAATTCATTTGTCTTGTTGGACAAATCCAGGACATTCTTCAAATGAGTTATTGCATCAGTCACTCCTTTTGCATTTTCTTGCAAGGATTGCATTGACACATTGTTGGCTGCCAACAAGGTAAGGACGTGATCTATTGGGGTCACAGCAACTTGAACTTCAGGGGCTGTGTCAACTGCTACTTCTGGAGTTGATGTATCAATTGGAGCAACAACACCTGCACTTGTGCTATTAAGAACAGCATTCATGCATAGATTGGATTGGCGGGGAGCAGTAGGAATATGCTTTGTCATTTTCTGTTAATAAAATATATATTAATAACTTTCAACTAATATTGTATAATTCACTACACTTGTTATATCATATTTAAAATTCACATACTAGTAAAGAGGATAAGTGGTGCAGATTAACTCTCTACCTTTCATTTGATATTTAAGCACATCTCCCAACCACTTGATCCACATTTAGACAACTTCTTTTCTAACTTAATGAGACACAAAGTTGTATTTCAAGATGACAGTGGGCATCTTCTTTTGGAGTATTACTTTTTACAGCCCGAGTTTTGTCAGGGTCAAACTGGGTTTTAAGACAAGTCTTTTTTTTTTCTTTTTTTTCTTTTAACGACATTTATTATTGATATTTTCTTTGTTTCTCTTTTGCTTATGTTTTTACAATTTCACTTACAATTTTTTCTTTCTTTTATAGCTCAATACCAAATATGTGTCTCTTTGTTTGGCTATACTCTGTCTGATATATCAAAGTAAGATATCATTCTCTTACAGATCTTCGTTACTCATCATATTGTTTGTCTAGCCATTGCTACTCATTTCCATTAAGTCTTATCATCTCTTAATTGAACATGATGGTAAGTTTTTTTCTTAAAAAAAATTCAACTTATTATTTTGTTTTACTCATAAATATATCTTTATTTTTATTACAATTTATTAGTTATGTCTGGTATTATGCAGGAAGACGTATAATCAGTAATACTTGGTAAGTTAACTACAATATATTTAATAAATATGCCTTTACTATACACAATAATAATAATTATTTATTTTTAGAATGTATCTCTATTCAAAGACTACTGGTATTGTCTTGATAATTCTGAAGAACATGTTTATATCAATTTTATGTCAAGTCTTCTCTGTCTTGTAAGTATTTATGAAGAAATTTCAATTTAAATCATTTACTAATTCTTCTTTTCTATTAATCATTTTTTAATAGCATTCCCGCTATTAAAGTATGTATTTCATGTCTACTCCCAGAAGGCTTTAAATTATATATAGCAAGCAAGAAATATTAGTGATTATAATAGCTATAGTATCAAAACTGTTGCGAAATTAGGATTTTTATCTAGAAAAGATTTTCTTATCAAAGAAAAAAAAAATTGAATAAAAAATGTATAACTCAATGTTTTTCTAAAAAAAAAAGTAAAATAAATAAACAAACCAAAGAGGCTTGTTTATAAAAATCTACCCATGCTTTGTTTCTCTTTTTCATTATAAAAAATCTAGTTTCATTGCTTTTGTATGTATAAAAAACCTAGTTTCATCACTTTGAGCATATATAAAAAACCAACTATCATTATTTCTTTATATTGTAAAAAACCTACAATCATCTCTTTGATAGTTTTTAAAGCATTTCTGCAGCCAATAAAAAAACCCGGTAAAAATAATAATATAGGATGCTAGCTCTTTATAGACCTCAAAATATAACACATAAAGAGGTAGGCTCGATAGGAGTAAAGCATAACTACAATATTTATTTAGTTTTCATAGTTTGCGGACTGACAATTGTTCTACATTGGGTTTTTGTGTACCCGTTGTTATAATGATATGCATCAGCACCATAGATGATATCATATCATTGCTCAAAATGATATATCACAAAAATTGTGATGATATCAGCTCAATTATCTACATTTTTGGTACATTTGATCCAGATGAAATTACTCTATTTTTCCAGTAGTTGTTACGTTTTCTTTGGCAGGTGGATGTATGTATATAGCATTGTCTTCTTAATAGCTTTCTCCAGGTATCATCATTACAGTGATCTTTCTGTTGGTCATGTGTAATCCCACTTTACTGTCTTTTGCATGTAATCATACTGTCCACAAATTCCCATATTTTCCTTTTGGTATCCTCATGAACAGATTTGTACTTGGGAGTGCCCTCAAGCCATATAAGCATATGAACATGAGGCAAGCCTCTGTGTTGGAATTTGATTCAGAAGAAATATTCTTTAATCAAATTATCTTCAAAAGGCCCATTTGGTGCTTTCCAAGTTTTTTTTAGTTGTCTAAAGGGATAGTCAAAGTATCTAGCATATGTAATTAGGTCTTTTTGAATTAGCTTGGCTTTTTCTGCATACAATAGTTGTTCCGCCTGTTCTTCTGTGATAGAAACTCCATCAGTTACAAGTTTTAGGATACAGAGTAACTCTGGACAACTTGCTTCGGCTGCTGATAGAGTTACAAAGATTTTTGGAATGCCAAATTGTCTAACTATTGCTAAAAGATTCTTTTGTTCATTTTTCCAATATTCTGCAGTAGAACAAATACCACTGAATGTCTTATAGGCTTGGTCTTTGCTTAGTAGTTCTTCAACACTGTTGTTATTCAAGAAATCAGATGCATTATAAGGTACGTTGCTGGAGATCTTGGTTCTTTTTCGAAGAACTGTGTTAAGGTTGCTATGCATTCTCATTATTTGGTTCTTTCTGTCCATATACAGAGTATACTCCACTCTTTGAGCTGCTCTCCAATCGAACCTTCTTGCAATAGATTTTGTCATGAAGCAGTAAGATACTTTATCAGAAGATAACTGCTGGCCACAGAAAATTTGAGGGAATGCCAGAAAGTCACTATCTTTATCAGTTAAAATAGACAGAGGTATCCTTCCATCTGCAGGTGAAAGTTTGAGAGCTTCATGATCTGAAACTATAACAGTCTCTTGCTTGCCAGAGTTCATAGATTCATCCTCAGCATTACTTTCTTTATTTTTCTCAGAGTGTTCAATATTATTGCCCTCTTCTACAATTCTAGTATCATTGCTGGCAGCTTCTTGTATCCAATTTTTACTGAAGGAGATGTTATACTCTTGGTAAAGTGAGGTTGATTGTAGGAATAGCACTGCTCTCCAAACTTTAGCAGGACTTATATTACCTCTAATATAGTCTTTGATATAACGCATCCTACGAGCTAAGCTCAAGTGAATTGTATTGAAGTTGTCAAGATTATGAGGAAGTAAAGAGAGTGTTGTATCAACATTAACAGATATGTTGATAATACCGCCTTTACTTCTATACTGCCCAGTTAGTCCTTTGTGTGTCCATATAGACTGGAAAACGTGTTGAGATGCAACAAGTCTTTCTTCTAATCTTGTCAGGTTGTCTAAACAAACGACATGATTAGGAAAGTGGAGACCATTAGAGAGAGTAAGAGCTGGAAGCGTTTTTTCTTAAGTGACGTTTTACAGGTAGGACATAATGGAATATTGGCTATAATATTGTCATCAACGAAAGTGCTTGGTATCTTATAATTGTTAATTGCCCAAAAGGTTCTCTCAACAATATCTTCTGAACAAACCCAATTGCTTGTAAGAGCAGTTCTTTTTACTGAAGATATATCTTTTTGAAAGAAAAGGCCTCCACAACATCCGCATACACATGTAGAACCCTCTCTGATTATTGATTCATACTTTCTTTATATACTACTCCAATTATTTGTGTCAACGTCATTCAGTCTACACCTTCTTACTACTCGCTCATTCTCTTCAACAGCTCTACTTTGTCTACTACATCTATACTTGCACATATATTCTGCTTGAGAATTATGGTTCTCCTCTTCTGTCTCTGCTGCTTCTGTCTCCACTACTTCTGTTCCTACTACTTCTGCTTCCACTGCTTCTGCCTGAGCTACTTCTATTTCAGCTGTAAGTCTGCGTCTGTGTTGATACTTCTGCATATACTCATGTATATATTCTGCTCGAGAATTATGGTTCTCTTCTTCTGTCCCTGCCGCTTCTGTCTCCACTACTTCTGTTCCCACTACTTCTGCCTGAACTACTTCTATTTCAGCTGTAAGTCAGCATCTGTGTCAATACTCCCGCATATACTCTGCACAAGAATTACTAATATTCTCTGCTTCTACTGTCTCAACTACTTCTATTTCAGTTATTTATTGACGCCTGCATCAATATTCTCACATATACTCTGTATGAGAAGTATTAATATTCTCTGCTTCTACTGTTGCTATCACTTCCATTTCTGCAGTTTGCAGGCGACTCCACCAATACTCTCACATATACTCTGCTTGAGACATTGAATTCCATTGTTGTGTTTCTGTTTTTGATGTTTCCACTTGCAATGATTGCCAACGATTATGCTGGTATTCTCTCATGTATCTTTGTCTTCTTTCAGCCCTTTCTTCAGGGGTAACAGTGTCTAGGCATTTTGTACTTTATAATAATATAATATAAGAGTAAAAGTAACAGTAAGAAGAAAGTATAATATGCTTAGTAAGCTATAAAGAAGAATCAAAAGTGTCACATGGTTAAAGTGTTTACATTTTTACTAGTAAAATTCTTACAAACTTTCACTGCTTAAAATTGTAACAAACTCTGCATACAAAATTGTTACAAGATCATTGTTTACATTGTTACGGATTTTCCCCTTTTTCTTAGGCTTTCTAACTCCATAAACTTCATATAGAATGCCAAACAGCAGGGAGATATATTTATTTATATTTTATTTTGGAGTTTAAGCAAGATGTATTATAAAATCCAACTTTAAAAGCAGGTAGTCTCAGAACCTTAGAGAATATATAGATGACTTACAGTGACCACAACATTAAATTGCGGAAAAAAAAATTCAAAGTGCGGCTTTTTCACAACTCAATTTGCGGCTTTCTGGAAAATCAAATTGCGTTTTTTTGTGAAATTAATTTGCAGTTTTCTGAGAAATTAAATTGTGGTAATGGCTGGACGAAGTATGAGACTTGTAATTAGAGGGGTTCTTTATTTTTGCACTTGTCAAACTGATTACAAGAGTGCTGTATAAAAGCTTTTAAATATTTAATAGGAACATCATTGCATGCATCCGCAATTCTTGTTTTGAGATCTTTTTCATCAGTAAAAAGTCTCTCTTGACTTTGTTTTTTACAACAGACCAAAATTGTTTAATTGGATTTAACTCGGCAGAATAAGGAGGAAGATGTATGCATCTATATCCTCTTGAAGCGATTAATTTATCAATAGTTTTACTCGCATGAATGGGCGCATTGTCCATGACAATATAAAAATTACTCATACAAGGATTTTTATCTATTTCATCAAGAGTTTTTCCAATGAATTTCAAGTAATGACCAGTTTTAGTTCCCTCTCATCTTTTCGGGTTTGATGTCTGCTTTCTTTTTCGTTCTACACCATCAACTTTACATTGCTTAGGCTTTTCTGTTACTCGAAGCTCAATATCAACAACCCCAATTGAACTTATGGCACCTAATATCGAATGAGAATCCCCTTTAGTCGACTTTGTTTCGACAATTGCTGGTGTACCAACTTTAGACCAGGCTGAAGGTGGACGCATGTTTATATCAAAGCCACTTTTATCCACGAAAACGCAGTTGGAGAGAAAATCCATGTCAGTTGTTGTCCATTGCTCTACCCACTCGAATCGTTTTTGAAGAGTTTTTCCAGAGTTTCTTTCTTTTGTTTGTAATGTTGCTCTTTTGAATAACAGATTGCATTCATTTGTCATGAAGTTACGAACACTAGTTTCTTTCAAGCTGAAATTCGCAAACGAACACTGCAGACTCACAACAACATCCTCCACACGTGTTTGAGGGTTTTTATCAAATAGATCGATAATAAACTCCTTATGCTCTTCTTGCAGCTGTCCTGTCTTTCGCTTATCCTTATTTGTTTGCTTTTCAAATATATTCCATTCAGGTTCATCTCTTATTCTTTTAGTCCACTGCTGACCAGTACGTTTGGATACATCAGAAAATCTGGCAGCTTTCGCAGCTTTAAACAACTTCACTTGTAAATAGTACAGAAAAAGCACCTTCTGGTCAGGAGAATATACTTTATAACTTTTCTTCGTTACATTATTATCTTCTTCATTCACTCTTAAAGATACTTTGTTCATATTCTCGTCAAGTTTGCTTCTCATTTGCTTTTGCTTGGATGGCTGTGCCTGTTGGTATTCACATAATGTGGTGAGGGTTTTCAAATGAAAAGGATCAACTTCTTCAGACCATTCCATGGCATCATTGCCTTGTTCGTTGTAGATCTTGCCTTGTCCATTTCCATAAAAAAAAAGTATGTACTCATTGTAGTTCTAGATTGAAAGAGAAAGAAAATAAGAAAAAGAAAAGAAATGCTTGACCCGCAATTTAAATTTCTCAGAAAACTGCCAAATAAAAAAAGGCTATCCAGATTGCCAATCAAATAAAAAAAGACTATCCAAAGTGCCAGCCAAAAAAAAAGATTCCTCAATTTGTCAGCCTCATCTAACTCAGTTTTTTTTAAAACAGATATTGTGAAATGAAAAAAGATTCATCTGAGGTATACTCTACTAGATTTTTTAATAATATTAATGGGTGTAATGGCTGGTACTTGCTTTTCTTTTGCGGTTGGCATAGGTATCCATAATTGATGCTATTTCATTGTTGGAAAGTGTTGGCATGAGTGATGATTGCTGATTCGTTTTCTGGTCAGCGCACAAGCTCCAGAAGGCTGAGGAAATTAATGTCAATTGGTCGGCTTGTGCAATAAAAAGTGGAAGTTCTTTTAAAGACATTGGCAATGGAATATGGGCAATTTCGACTATTGGGTATAGGCCATTTCTTGTACCATCAGTCAAATAGAACGTTGCATGATGTCCTTATTTAACATAGGAGTGATTAAAGAAAGAGTGTTAATATGTCTTTTTTGTATTCAAAATAAAAACAGAGATATTTACCAACAACAAGAAACGACAGAACAAATTTGCTACAATATGTATCAATTGCGTTTTTTGCTAAAAGCGCTAATCGTACCAAGTCTTTTCCAACCAGCTTGTGATTCAGCACCTGGAGTACTGGTTTTACTTCTCCAAAACCTACAGTCTGCCCGATCTCTGTGCCTATTATCATGCTGACCATAGAATCAGGTCTGGCCAGTAACAATGACATCTCACTGGATTTGCACTCGTCATTATCAACAGAAGTCCTAAAGTACGCGAAATTGCAAAAAAAATTTAGCTTGCATTTGACTAAAATTGTTCTTTTCATACCAACGAAACATGACGTGCTTCATGAGGTTTTCCAACAGTGGATTAATAGCTGCAGTGACATATCTAGTAATCAACTTCGATTCATCAACTTTCTGACTGATTGGTTCCAAAGGTAATTGTTCAAGACTATGAACAGATGTTAATTGTCATATAATAAACACTGTGACATGCATTCTTCACAATTCGCCCTTACAGATTTCGAAAGCAAAATAGTACTCTGTTATGGACATCATTGCTGGCAACCATAAGAGCCATCAATTTTTGAGAATCCTGAAAGTCTGTAGTCTTCTTCTTGATGCAAGTCTATATAATAACGGATAATTAAGCTCAGCCATTTTTTACTCTCTTGATTATATACCTTCACGATTTGTTCAGCAGCAAGCTGAGTATATTGGTCAAATTCGCACGACTGAATACCATATTCTCCCAGCAAATATTCAATAAGGTCTTCGCATATTTCACGTCCTATAAACTTGTGAAGATCACTGTTGGTGCGGGCTGGCTTTAACAAAAGGATTGAAGACAATGCCAAGATGTGCTGGACATGGGATTCATACGTCAAGAGACGCAGTTCGTCAATGATTGTTTTCACATAATTGTGGAAGTCGTGAAACCCCTTGGTAATATCGTTGTTCTGAAAGACAAGATGATCATTGTCTGGACAACAAAAAATCCAGCCTAGCTTGGTGATATCGTCTGGTGCAGTGATAATTCTTAAACAAGTAAAATTTAGAAATCCAAATCATTGTCAGTCAAAATATTTCAAATACCCAATTTCAGGTTGAGATGTCACAACATGTTTCAAATCACAATGCTTTTCAAGTTCTTTTTTCATAACGAAGGCCTCTTTACAAGAGACACAGCCAAATTGAACCACAATGGTGTAGCCAAGTCGTTTATACTTTTGAACATTCGTTTGATTATACACACCAAAATTGTGGTTACCAGAGAAAATACGTTCCACTTTTTTCTTATGAGTGGTAGCAATATGGTTCACGGCTTTTTGATTCGACTGATACAACTTGTCGCAATAAGAACATGTTTTTTTTAACAAAATAACAGTTTTTTCTTCCTCGTTGTAATTTTTAGTATCACTAGATGACATGGTTTTTTTTGTATCTCAGCAAAAGAAAAAGACTTTTTTTTGGCTGGCAATCTGGATAGCCTTTTTTATTTGGCTGGCACTTTGGATAGCCTTTTTTATTTGGCTGGCACTTTGGAGAGCCTTTTTTTATTTGGCTGGCACTTTGGATAGCCTTTTTTTTTGGCTGGCACTTTGGATAGCCTTTTCTTATTTGATTGGCAATCTGGATAGCCTTTTTTTATTTGGCTTGCACTTTGGATAGCCTTTTTTTATTTGGCAGTTTTCTGAGAAATTTAAATTGCGGGTCAAGCATTTCTTTTCTTTTTCTTATTTTCTTTCTCTTTCAATCTAGAACTACAATGAGTACATACTTTTTTTTTATGGAAATGGACAAGGCAAGATCTACAACGAACAAGGCAATGATGCCATGGAATGGTCTGAAGAAGTTGATCCTTTTCATTTGAAAACCCTCACCACATTATGTGAATACCAACAGGCACAGCCATCCAAGCAAAAGCAAATGAGAAGCAAACTTGACGAGAATATGAACAAAGTATCTTTAAGAGTGAATGAAGAAGATAATAATGTAACGAAGAAAAGTTATAAAGTATATTCTCCTGACCAGAAGGTGCTTTTTCTGTACTATTTACAAGTGAAGTTGTTTAAAGCTGCGAAAGCTGCCAGATTTTCTGATGTATCCAAACGTACTGGTCAGCAGTGGACTAAAAGAATAAGAGATGAACCTGAATGGAATATATTTGAAAAGCAAACAAATAAGGATAAGCGAAAGACAGGACAGCTGCAAGAAGAGCATAAGGAGTTTATTATCGATCTATTTGATAAAAACCCTCAAACACGTGTGGAGGATGTTGTTGTGAGTCTGCAGTGTTCGTTTGCGAATTTCAGCTTGAAAGAAACTAGTGTTCGTAACTTCATGACAAATGAATGCAATCTGTTATTCAAAAGAGCAACATTACAAACAAAAGAAAGAAACTCTGGAAAAACTCTTCAAAAACGATTCGAGTGGGTAGAGCAATGGACAACAACTGACATGGATTTTCTCTCCAACTGCGTTTTCGTGGATAAAAGTGGCTTTGATATAAACATGCGTCCACCTTCAGCCTGGTCTAAAGTTGGTACACCAGCAATTGTCGAAACAAAGTCGACTAAAGGGGATTCTCATTCGATATTAGGTGCCATAAGTTCAATTGGGGTTGTTGATATTGAGCTTCGAGTAACAGAAAAGCCTAAGCAATGTAAAGTTGATGGTGTAGAACGAAAAAGAAAGCAGACATCAAACCCGAAAAGATGAGAGGGAACTAAAACTGGTCATTACTTGAAATTCATTGGAAAAACTCTTGATGAAATAGATAAAAATCCTTGTATGAGTAATTTTTATATTGTCATGGACAATGCGCCCATTCATGCGAGTAAAACTATTGATAAATTAATCGCTTCAAGAGGATATAGATGCATACATCTTCCTCCTTATTCTGCCGAGTTAAATCCAATTAAACAATTTTGGTCTGTTGTAAAAAACAAAGTCAAGAGAGACTTTTTACTGATGAAAAAGATCTCAAAACAAGAATTGCGGATGCATGCAATGATGTTCCTATTAAATATTTAAAAGCTTTTATACAGCACTCTTGTAATCAGTTTGACAAGTGCAAAAATAAAGAACCCCTCTAATTACAAGTCTCATACTTCGTCCAGCCATTACCACAATTTAATTTCTCAGAAAACTGCAAATTAATTTCACAAAAAAACGCAATTTGATTTTCCAGAAAGCCGCAAATTGAGTTGTGAAAAAGCCACACTTTGAATTTTTTTTTCCGCAATTTAATTTTCACAAACCCGCAATTTAATGTTGCAGTCACTGTATATTACTATAATTCTTTTTTATAAAAAAAAGTACCAAGTCAGAGAGGTACAAAGTAATCTGATCAAGTAGCCAGAACTTTGTGCTACTAATTATTATTAGACAAATTACACAGATACAACTTGGTTATCCAATTATTTAACTTGAATTATAATGATAGTGATAAAATAATAGTAAAAAATATATCTTGAAGCCATATTTTTTGGTAGGTTTGTATTTTGATATTTTCAAAAAGGAAAGAAAACGTTATACTTTGTCATATACACAATTGGTATTGACAATTTTAAAAAAAAATTATTAAAATATTTGAAAAAAAAAGTAAAAAAAAAAATATAAAGATAAAGATAAGCATAAGCATAAGCATAAGCATAAGTATAAGCAGAAATAACATGAATACAAAAAATACAAAAATAAAAATAAAACATATAGAAAAACATTGGCATATTTGGATAAAGACATAGGGCAGAAAGCATATGATATGGAACAGATTAGTTAATTGTTAGGAACAACTTCAATATAAACAGCATTGTTTATATAGACATTGCTAGTTGTTTCAGTAGAAATACTGTCTATATCAACCATGATTTTTACTGAGTCTGGAGTTTGGACCCTGGAGAGAGCGACATACAACTGCCCATGCCCAAAGACATGGTTGGGAAGGTACAGACCAACTTTGTCAAGGGTCTGGCCTTGGGACTTGTTGATAGTCATGACAAAGGTAAGGCGGACTGGAAATTGGCATCACTTGAACTCAATGGACATGGTCTATCCTGTTGGGTTCAGCTTGATCCTGGGGATGAGCACCACCTTTCCAGCACTTGATCCAGCTACAATGGTAGCCTTGATGACATATCTGCCAAAGTCATGGCATATAAGGCGGGTATCATTGCAGAGATCATTCTTGGGGTTCAGGTTTCTCAGTAGCATAATAGGACATCCTTTCTTGAGGCGTAGAGTATGTGGAGGCAAAGATCCAGGATTGAGAGTGTTGAGCAGTTCAATTAGGTAGCTCAATTGATCATCTTTGCTTAGATCTTTGTCAATACTCTTGTAGACGGTTTCTTGTCCAGAGAACAGTTCAATAAGGATGTCATTGATCTTCTTAACTTCTGCATTCTTTGGGGTCAAGATTGCATGGCCCATAAGGAAGCTGGGACTGGTGGCATTGTTAAGAAGATCAGAAAAGATTGCACTGGCCAGATAATTAAGATTACGGCCATGAAGGAGCATGTGTGGTGGGATGAGAAAGACGCCTTTACCACCAGTCGTCCGAAGACTGTCTTTGCCAACAGTCAAGAGAAGGGCAGCAAACGCATTAAGATGTGACATTTCCTGTGAATTGGTAGACTCGGCAATGCACATGTTCCTTGTAAGTCTTATGTGGTAAACAATGCTCTGGAGATGTGCTTTCTTGACGCACTGGGAAACAATCTGGGTTTTGCTTCCTTGTGGAATGACTGGAAGCACCTGACAAAAGTCACCACCAAAAACGAATAGCTTGCCACCAAAATGAACAGACTCGAGCAAGAGGTCAACCAACTTCATGACATTTTGAATGGAATGGTTGACAGCATTAATAATATCCTTGCTGACCATGGGGATCTCATCCCAAACAATTAACTCTGTTTTCCTGATCAACTTTGCCACCTCAGAGTTGACAGGAATGGAACACATAGAGTCAGCATCAATGTCAAGGGGAATCTTGAATTTGGAATGAGCAGTTTGGCCACCATTTAAAAGCAGAGTTGCAATTCCACTGGTAGCTACTGCGAGAGCAATCTTCACTGGAAAAATAAGAACAATTAACATATTGTCCAGATAGTCGGATTATAGTGCATATGTCAGGTTTTTTTTTCATATCAGCAGTTTTTTTATTAAGTTGGGGGTGTAGTTTTGATGTATTCTATTGGCTTAAATAAAAAAATAAAAAAATACGTTTTGGTTTACTATAAAACCATATCAAATCAAATATTTGTAATACTCTTGTTTCCTTTTTTATTTTATAATTCAAAATACATACACTATGTTTCCTTCTATTCAAATGCACAACATTAAATATCACTGCACCAGATGCAATAATAATGATCAAGGAGTTTCCTGAGTATTGAGACGTACTGCTCAGCATCATAATAAAAGAGCTAGATTTGAAGGTACTGAGATATTCAAGAGTTGTATAATTTATTCAGTGCTGTTATCTGTTCACCAAGTAATAATCGCTTTTATTTTTATTTTTTATTATTTTAAAAAACATAGCTGAAAAGAGAAGCATAGAAGTAGATACTGAAAGAAAGACATTTTTTATTTGAAAAGCAGAAAAAAAACTAATAATAAACTATTATATTTCATATTTGTAGTAATCCCAATATATCAATCCGATCCTGTGAAAGCAATGGATGGTCAGACCAACTTATCTAATTTGGATGCCATCTCAACATTTGACAATGACATCTGTCATATTTGACTAGTCACAGAAAAATTTATAAAACAAGTTCAATAATAAACACAGTACCAATCTCGGAGACCAATAATATTAGCGGATCTGAAGGTAAAAGAAATCTATAAAAGGGCTCGTAACTGACATACTAGTTTTATCCATTCAATTGGCGCCCATTTCCATCTAATTAGCATCCATTTCCATCTAATTAGAACCCATTGACATCTGATTGGCTTCCATAGAAATTGAATTTGCATCCATTGCCAACTGAATTTGCTCTCATTGCCATTTGAATTTGCTCCCATTGCTATCTGAATTTGCTCCCATTGCTATCTGAATTTGCTCCCCCCTCTCCTTTTACTATTGGCGGAAGGGTACATGGCACTCAAATTTTTTATCCTTACACCTTACAATTTTTTTTATATAACCATAGTATTTTTTTTTGTAAACGTCATACTTTTTTTTTGTAAACGTCATACTTTTTTTTTGTAAACGTCGTATTTTTTTATATAACTGCCATATTTTTTTATATAAGTGCCAAACGCCTAATGTAATAGCACTTCATATATGTAGACCTTTCTACAAAGATACGTCATAGAAAATATCTATAGAGAGAACTAACATAATATGCAAACTTTTCTCCAGATTACTTTGTTAAAGTTAAATACCTTACTGCAGTTATAAGATAATAAAGCAAGTATCTCATTATAATAATTATGTTAAAATTGAAAATACAATAATATTATTTGTATTCTTTCTTTATTGCAGAGTAAGTTTCGAATAAAAGATTCATTTTTTTGTCACTTGTAGCCTCGTTGTTTTTAATGAAAAAAACAACTGGAGACTTTCTCCACTTCAAAATATAGCCATCAGCAGTTGTTTGTTTCATATTTACTATCTTGCTAGCTTTTTCGATAGTTAATCCTCTTATGAAGTAGAGATAAAGAAGCTTTTTATATCTTTATCCGTAGGCTTTTGATATTGCCCTCTACTTTTTTTGGGGGTTTCGTCTGTTGTTGATGGGGCAGAACTTTTTGGATCTTCTGGCATTTCAGGCTCTTCAAGCTCTTCCATGATTTTTTCAAAGGCACTGTTATATTCTTCAAGTTTCTTGTGTAACATTGTAGGGTTTTCTGATAATAAAAGGTGAAAAAATAAAGAAATAAGAAGATATGTTAAAGTGACATATTTTATATAAATATAGTTATATCTAGCACATAGCAGTTATAATTAAATAGTAATTACTTAAGATGCAAGATAAAAATCAGAACACAAGTTGAAGCAGCAAGAATAGATGTAAAGAAGATTGAGTTGTTGTTAAATAGTATTAGTCATTATATTTTCAGCTTTTTATATCAAAAAATAATATGCCAAGGTCCACTAAATAAAGTAGTACAAATTGAACTCAAGGAGATAAAAAATAAATAGGACAATATATTATCCGCAGCCATAAATTTATTATAAACATTCTTTTTTAAAAGAGATATCATAATTCTCTCTCTTTCCATTTGGTGTTTATATATCAAAACTCTTTATTTCTCTTCTTAAATCAGCAATAAATTTCATTCTCATGCTCACTTCAACAACTAAATATTACTCTGACAATAAAAACACTGCTTAAAGCTCTACACCTCATGGATTTTTTTATTATTTCCAGATCACATTATGTTTCTGTATGTAAATAAAGCCTATACCTCGGAGTCATTGATATTAATCTCTAAATAATCTATAGTATTTTGAGCAAAAGCTATAAATCTGAAAAGAAAACGTGACGATTCAACCCTCAATCTACAAAGAAACTACAAGATCAAACATCTATCTGTACGATAGGAACCAGTTTACACATATTCATAATGCTTTTAAGTGCATTTCACTGACCATACTTTTTTGAAATCCAACAGTAGAATTCACTCTACCGACCACACAAAAACTTGCCAATTTTTATCTCAAATATCCGGTAATCTGATTGACTACCACAGCAATTGTATTTCTTATGAACCTGGTCCTACACAAGCATCTAATACTATTACAAAAAAGAATTCAAAAATGCTATATTTATTCAGCACCTGCTCTAACCATTTTACAATGTCAGAATCCTGATCTTCTTAATATCAAACTCAACAACTCTTTGTAATCTGCACTCGAAACAAGTAAATGTCCAACAATCTGTTAAACAACTGAAAGCAGTCCAAGAATTATGCTTTGCTCACAATACTACCCGATCTCAATTTTGGAAACCCTCATGATACAAAATACCAAAAAAAAACCAAATATTACACACACAAAAACAGTAACAAAAAATAGCACAAGCTCATGACAAAAAAAAGAAAAAAAAAAAGAGATGAAAAAAAAAGAGATGAAAAAATAAAAAAAAAATAAAAAAAAATAAAAAAAATAAAAAAAGGAATAAGAAATAAAAAAAAAGAAATAAAAAAAAAGAAATAAAAAAAATAGAAATAAAAAAAAAGAAATAAAAAAAAAGAAAAATAAAAAAAAGAAAAATGTAATAGCAATTTTAAAAATAATTCTCCAAATAATATAACTAGCATTTTTATTCATAAATTTTTATAATATACATAACCATTTTTTTGCAAATAATTTCTGAAAAACTGAAAGTCTCAATAACTAAAAATAAAATGATATCTTACTGCAAGAAATTTCTGAAAAACTGAAAAACTGAAAAACTGAAAGTCTCAATAACTGAAAAACTGAAAATCTTAATAACTGAAAATAAAATGGTATCTAACTGCAGAAATTTCTGAAAAACTGAAAATCTCAATAACTGAATTTCGAGCTTTTCCTTGGCTCTATACAAAAAAAAACTTTCTTTTTTTTTATTTTTTTATTTTTTTTATTTTTTTTTTGGTTGGGCAAACCCATGAGGAGAAATCTCACCCCTTCCTTTGAGACAGAGGACAGGACACCATAAAGGCTCTGGTAGCACTGTAAATTGGCTAATAAAATAAATGTTCTTAAAAGTGTGAAGAAGCTTAATATGTAAACATTCATTATTCTTCAACACGTTCTTTATCCAAATATATTAAGACAACAGGACAAGACTATACCTTGGTAGAAACGTTTAAGTTATTAAAATATTTTTTTTTGGTATATATACCCCAGCGTCTTAATAAAAGTTTCTCAGTTATCTTTCTTCCTCGATTTTAACACCCTTTTTATTTTCAAAAAAAAATGTCTACTTCCAACAACTCCCTCGAATTTGTTATGGACAAGCACTGTGAAATGGTCAGTCACAGTGGTTCTGCAGACCAAACCCAGT